TGTCCGATCTTTGTTCTTTGTGGCGAGCGCTGAACTTTACTTTCTTTCCGTGTGGATATAGCATTCTCTACTGGTACCTCGTCACGCGCGTGTGCGTCGGCAGGCGAGGAGCGCGATGATTCTTCGGGGCGAAAGGGTAATCAATCGTCGACGAGCGGTACAATCCGAACGGGAAAAGTTTGTCTATTCGCAATACATTATCATTGAGGCGTGCTTACCGCCTTACTCCGTCCTCGCCATCTCCACCGCTCTCCTCGTAGCCTCGTCAAGGTCTTCCGCTGGTAGCCCCAGCACGTCGTTCATCAATGACTCTTGGCCGAGATCTCCACTGCCATCGGGGAAGAAGATGCGCGTGTACATCATCGTGATCCAATCCACGGGATTCTTCTCCTCCGTTTCCCATTTCTTAGCGGCGCGCGCATACCGCTCCGCACTGCTTTCTTGCGTGAGATTCCAGTCATCCACCGAGTCGTGCGTCACCCGCAGAATGGAAGCGAGCATATCTCTCTGCGACAAGTGGAAGGAAGCTATCGAGATGGAGGTGTTGGCGTATGCTTCTAGATATCCGGGCTTGCTGCCGTTGGTAGTGTTTTGTGTCGGTGGTGCGTGGATAGGCAAGGAGAGTAGAGCAGCGACGCCGCGGCCCACCTGCTCCAAAGTGGAGGTGTGGATTTTCGTGTCGCCGGCGTCGAAGAGGGTGAGGGTACGGGCGGGGAGGTCGAAGCCGTAGCGCGCTGGGGAGCCGGCGAGGGAGAATTCGTACCAGACTGGTGGCAAGCATGTCATTAGAATGCTGGAAGGACGAATGTAAAGTTGGAGGAAAGGAGAGGCTACTCACATCCACAAGCAACGCCAATCCACTTCATCTTCCCTCCACACACCCTCTCACTCACCTCCTCGATGTACGCCCTCGCCCCGCCCCATCTCGCGCCCAACCCTGTCTCTCGAGCCAGAACTTCGTTCCCATAGTCGTAACCCCACTCATTAGGGATGATGAACGTCACGCCCGCCTCGGCCGCGGCGTCGACTAGTCGCTTTTGCGCATCGGGAGCGGAGGCTTGGTTCAGAGTGATGATTAGCACTTCCTGGCCTGTCAAAGCGGAGACGAGGGAGGAGTGGGAGGTGTAGTCGATCTGTTTGATTTTGTGGAGGCCTGGGGGCAGGGCGTTGGCGCTGCTGGGTCGGGTGAGGGCTGTGAGACGGATTGCGTTGGGGGAGTCGTTGTTGTTGTATCGGGGGTGCGAGACGAGGGCGGAGACGATGTGGGTGCCTGAGCGGCCGCCGGCGCCGACTATGGCGATGTTGTGGATGTGGTTGGACATTGTCGGGGTTGTGTTGCTGCTGTGCTATTCGGTGAAGTAGAGCGATTGGGTGCCTGAATGAGTCTTGCTTGGTTGAGCTGCTTGAGTACCTCCATTGCCGTGTAGTTTAAGTCTACAGCCTTCGCGGTTAAGGCTTAAATCCGATGGACATGTTGTCGGAGATTGGGAGTAGCATGGCGCCGATGTGACTCGTGTGCGTCTATCGTGCTCGCTCCAGGTGCTTGTAATATAATGCTCTACCTCTACAATTAAGGTCATGATATATGAAGTATAAGGCTGTTGGGACAAGGGGGAAGGCCGCAATGTAGGACGTATCGCTTCGTTTCAGGCTGCCAAGACTTTTGACATCTGCGATCCTGATACACCGACTTTTGTCAAATCCCTCGGCTCATGTTACATCGAACGGAACTCGCGGTATGGGAAAAGGCCTCTCGACGAACCCGTCCAACTCCTCCATGCTTCAGCAATAATAAATAACCATGCCGATCCTCGACAAAGTCCCGGGGGAGCTGCAGCTGTTCATCGGAGGGTAGATTAGCCCCCTCTTCACCCCTCACCTGCAAAGCCCACACTGACCGCTCCCATCCAGTCTCTTCACCGTCCGACGCACAGAATCGCTGCAGGAAAACCACATCACGCACATGCTGACCGTCCTGAACCTGCCCGTCGACCAGGACCAGTTCAAAGACTACGTCCACAAGACCATTGCAGTAGACGATGTAGACGACGAGAACCTGCTCGAGCACTTCCCCGACTGCATTCAATTTATTCAAAGCGGTCTGGATGCCGGCGGAGGCGTGCTCGTCCACTGGTCCGTACTCCATGCCTCCTAACCTCGACCATGTCCGCAGCATCAAGTACTCCCCCCTAACTTCTCCCCCTCCAGCGCAATGGGCAAATCCCGCTCGGCAACAGTCATCTGCGCCTATCTAATGTACCACTACAACCTCACCCCCGACGCCGCGCTCGCCAAGTTGCGCGAAGCACGCCCCTTCGCCGAGCCCAACGATGGCTTCTGGAAGCAGCTGCAACTCTACCACTCCATCGGCCCGCACAAGCCGCTGGGCACCTCGCCCCTCTACCAGAAGTGGCTGTTTGAGCGCGAGATGGAGCTGAGCCGGGTACGTCGAATGGAATTTTTCGTGCGGAAGAAGCGGCAGTCGCTGAAAACTGGCGGTTGCGTGGGCATGTAGGCTTGTGGTTTGGCGCCCGAGGCCGACAAGATTCGCTTCGAGGATGAGCATGAGGCAGATGATGATGAGCGTGATGACGATGATGATGCGATGAGTCGGACGCCGGGGTTTGAGTTGCGGTGTAGGAAGTGCAGGTGAGCAGACCCCTTCTCCTTTGACCTTCTCATATTAACCCACCATGTCACTCCCCAAGACGAACCCTAGCAACATCAACCTACATCCTCCCCCACACGCCCAAAGAACAGCAACAATCCCAGGACCCATCCACAAACCCCATCAGCACCCTCAACTCCAACAACACAAGCACAAGCAACCCCGCCTGCGCCCACCACTACCTCGACCCCCTAAGCTGGATGCGCCCCACCCTCCAACAAGGCCACCTCAGCGGCCGCCTCGAATGCCCGAACCCAAAGTGCGGCGCGAACGTAGGCAAGTACGCGTGGCAGGGGCAGCGGTGCAGTTGTGGCGCGTGGATCGTGCCGGGGATTAGTCTGGTGAAGGGGAGGGTGGATGAGGTGCGGGTTGCGCCAGCGGCGTCCGGGAAAGTTGGTGGTGGGGATGGTGGGGAGGAGGCTGCGAGAAGGAGAGCGGCGATGGGGATTCGACTTCCTCCTGGTGGTGGAGTGAGTACGAGTACGAGTGCTACGACGACTACGAAGGCCACGGCGACGACGGGTGGAGGTGGCGGTGGTGGTGGTGGAGGAGGAGGAGGCAGAAAGACGGGAGCCGGAGCGGAGAATTTATAATGTGATTGGTGATAACGTTTTTGTAATAGACATGCGCATAGCTAGACATGAGCGCGGGTAATGTGCCTGCAGTGGCATGCGCGATGGATAACAATACAGCCCACGCAGACCCAGCCAGCCCTTCCAAGAACCCCGCGCGCCTCCGCTAAAAAGTCGTCACGTGTTGGTATAGTCGTCGTCCATATTCCCGTTCATAAGCATCGCCTCACACGACGATCCTCGCGCGAGAACCATCGGGCCCGGCAGTCACGGCGCCCACCTGTCCCTCCATCTCCATCTCCATCTCCACCCCAAACATGTCATCCAGCTGCGTGGGCTCGCCAAACACCTCCTCCATCTCCATATCCCCCGCTTCACCACACGTCGACGACACAGCGGCCATCTCGACATCAACGGCCGAGTCGTTGCGTACAATCCCGTACATCAAAGCCGCAGCCAGGGCGTCCACGTCACCTAGCCGCTCCGCCCGCAAACCAGGCCACACGCTGAGATTCGCGAGGTCGCGCAGGTAGCCCGTGCGCACCGCGTACTCGTACACGCTCGCGGGATCGAAGGCGGTGATGAGCTTGACGTCGCCGTCGCGCGACTTGGGCCAGGCGTAGGCGTGGTACTCCGCAAGGATGTCGGGCAGCGGGACGCCTTGGATTTTGCGCAGGCAGGCGACGAGGCAGCCGGTGCGGTGCTTGCCTTGGTTGCAGTGGATGTGGAGCGGGTGGTTGGCGCGGTTCATGACGAAAAGCAGGGCTTGGCTGAGGGTATCCGGGGTGATGTTGACGGCGCCGTGCTTGTTTGTTGCGAGGTGGATTTTGACGTGGGTGATTTGGTTGGTCTTGATCCAGGTTTGCAGAGCGGGAGATGGGTCGGTGTCGACTAGGGTGCTGGTGGTTGTTAGTGGATTGGGCTTAGTTAACGGGGCGTCTGGGAGACTTACAGGATGCTGCGGATCTTGAGCGTCTGCAAGAAATCGAGATTTCGGTCTTGAGGGAACGAGCTGCGGTAGATGGTGTGGACGTCGACGGTGCCGTAGTTGAATGGTGGGAGGAGAGGTTGCAGACGGGAGGGGCAGGGGCCGATCGTCACTCTTGGGGTGGTTGATCCGGTGGAGGGGGGAGACGGTGGCTCGGAAGACGGAGGGTCGACTGGAGTGAGTATTAGCAGTTTGTCAGTAGGTTAAGGAGTCGAGACTGCTCACCTGCATCGACTTTGTCCATGACGCGCAGGTCGGTGTGGTGGTGGAGGTGGGTGATGTCGGCATTTGCATCGCACAAGACGGCGCCCGCGTTGGTAGAGACGACGCTCAAGACGCTTTGCGTCTGCTTGACAGGAGTCGAGGTGCTTTCAAGCGTAGCAATGACAACTTGGTCGCGAGACATGTCGGAGGGTGAGTGGAGTTGAAGATACCGCAAGTACAATATTCGTCGTCGTCGAGACGCACGCCAAATATGCCTTTGCAAGAAGGTTGTGGTGCAAAAGTCCGATGATAATTTGAACTTTGCAGAGGAGAAAACGGGGGAGAAACCAAGGAGAGCAGCGGAGGGGCGCGCGCTTTAATAGTAGCAGCAACAGCAGCAGCGGAGCGAAACTGGCTGCGGAGCGAATTCGCTGCACGCCTAGAAAGCATTAGCCGGGTGTGCTCGTTGCGACAGTGATAGCGCGTGGCGACAGCATTCACGCACCCACTTCACGAGGACCGCGGGGTAGACGGGATCACCGGCGCGAGCATTTGGAGAGCGGGCTGCCAGTGATCGAGATGAACGACTGCAGGTCCATGTTGGCGGTTGGGGGGTGGGGTAGAAGAGATGGGGGAATAAGAGCGGCGAGCGATGGAAGGGGGGGGTGAAGGAAAGGAACCAGAGTCGAGGAGCGAAGAGTACGGGGTCCTGGTAGTGTGGCACGTGAAGGGCTGTCTCTCCCTCTGCCTCCAGTCGGCCTCGAATATCGAGTATGGCGTAGGTAGCTGTGTGCGGCGGGGTCGGTCAGGGCCGATGAGAACTCTGGTTACGACTGCGACTGGATGATGCAATGCGGATTTCCGTGGTTGTGGATGAGTGGGTTGTCGGTGGTGCGGAGAACAAAGAAAGAATGAACGAGGTGAGGTCGAGTGGTCAGCGGTGGAAGCGGGCAACGCGGGCTGGCCGGCGGGCGGCGAAAAGCTAGGCTGAAGCTTCTAGACTAGCCAGCAAAATGTTCGCGTTCCGTCCACCACCGCGCCGACGCCGATATGTCCGAGGGTGATGTAATGGGATGGAATGAGATGTGAGGATCGACGACGCGATGGATGTTGTCATATCTCACTCATCATTCATGAGTTCTCGATGGTGCAAGCTACCCACCATCTCCTCGTCGCCATCAGTCCGGCAGCGTTGCGAGCACGTGCTGTATACAGCGACAGATGCAAATTTAAGGCTGGCAGGCTACTCGACATCGACTCGCAGCGGTGTATGCTACTCGAATATAATAAAGAAAACAATTCCATGCATGCACTTCGTGTCTGACTGTCTGCCTGTCTGATTGCTTGCACGTCTCGCCCCCTCCCATCCACATAATCATCATCAAAAGACATGCCCCTCTCGACACAAGCAAAGCCCCTCAGCACCACGAGTAAAACAGGCAATCTTGAAAGAAGGTAATCCCATCGAGAAAAAAGACAGCAATCAAACCCCAGATTCAGTGCTACTCCAGTCACGGAAAGATAGAGACCGACCGATTCTCCGTCATCACTTTACCCCTGTGCCGCTCGCATCGGCCACTTCCACTCATTACCAGAGTTCGTCACCGCCTTGCTCGTTGCAACACGGTTGGGCAGGGGAGTGCGGTGCATGTCTTCGTTTACAAGATCATGCAGAACTTTTTCCTCCCGCTCTTTGATGCCCTGGTGAGCAGGGCGGCGCGCGTCGCGTGCTCAAACACCTCCCTCACCCCGTCATTGGTCTTGGCCGAGCATTCCAGGTATTTCTGCGCGCCAATCTTCTTGCGCACGTCTTCGGCCTGGAGGGAAGAGTGTTAGCGGAGGATGTCACGTAGAGATACAACACCGCAGCATACCTGCTCAGGGGTCACCGGCTTCTGCGACGTCTTGTGCAGCTCCTCCATCGTCTTGGCATCGTATCTCAAGTCCTTCTTGCATCCGACAAGGATAATGGGCAGGCCCTGGCAGAAATGCAGAACCTCCGAGATCCACTGCGAGGGGAGGGAAGTTGAATTAGCGCGGGGTGTCTTCAACAAGCACGTGAGCATCTGCCTACCTTCTCTTGCACATTGTCGAGGGAGTCGGGGGAGTCGACGGCGAAGCAGATGAGGATGACGTGCGAGTCGGGGTAGGACAGGGGTCGCAGTCGGTCGTAGTCTTCCTGGCCCGCCGTATCCCACAACGCTAGTTCCACGTGTTTGCCATCCACCTCGACATCGGCAACGTAGTTCTCGAAGACGGTGGGCACGTAGACCTGTGGGGATCGCTCACGTCAGTGCGTGCGGGACAGTTGTGATGCTTCGTTTGCATTTGTGGAGGGGGTGTATGCCGCTGCTGGGCTTATCGGAGACGGTGCATGAATGCGGCGATTAGGGGGCGTGGGGGAGGGTGGATGACGAGTACGAACCTCGGGGAAAGTGCCCTTGGAGAAGACGCTGCACACGTCAGTCAGTACCGGAGGAGGCACACAGGAGGGCGGGGAGGGCAAACTCACATGAGCAGACACGTCTTTCCGCACGCACCATCACCAACAATGACCAACTTGCGACGGATCTCCGCCATCTGCGCAACCCGTCAACGACTGTTTCGCGGAAAAAGAGGGTATGGAGTGCCGCGGCGAAGGAGAGGGATGGTCGGAGGAGGGGTGTGGTGGTGTGTGAAGATGGGGGAAGGCGGGTGGGATGGATGAATGGATGAAGGGGAGGTGGGTGGTGAGGCAGACGGGTAGGTGTTTGGCCAGTGCAGGCGGAATTCAGGGAGGGAAAGCGGGCGGCGCAAAAAGAAGGCGTTGAGACTGACTTTCCCGATCGGCGGCCGCTTGGCACTTGCCGCGGATATGCTTTGCGCTGCGCAGGGCTGTGCTCTACTCTGCTTCGATGGTCAGACAGGGGCAGGATGGTATTGACAGGGCAGATGATGAGGCGAATGAAGACACGAAGGATGGTGAGGGTGATGAGTGGTGATTCGCAGCAGGCATCCAGGCAACACCAAAGCCAAGCACGCAGTCTCCAAGAGCAACTAGCTTCGTGCCTCAGGCAGGCAGTGCGTCACCCCCCGAAACTCTATCCTTCCATATCGACATCCCTGTTCCCTCTCCTTTGATGATAACAACTACCGTTTCAACTTTTCCGGTTCAAACCCCCACCTGGCGAATGATTGACTAGTCCACACGGCCCAGCCGTGGAGTTGGTCAAGGAGGTGTTCATGTCATGGCGCAAGAAGCGTTGATTACGAAGATTTAGTGAGACCCCTGCTCGGCCGAGCTGAACAAATCCACCCTCCAGTCACGAACTTCGCTTTGGTTGCTTAACACATATTACAAGGCGGCACCAAAATGGCCCTCCAACTCCTGCCACTGGAAGACAAAGACGTGACCAGCTTCTATCGCATCGTCGAAGCAGCCGATGTCGACAGCATCTTCGGCCGCAACTTATGGCTCAACGGCGTAACCGACGCCGGCCGCGCGCACTCCGTCGCCGGCGCAATCGCCGACATGCACGAACCGGACAGCAAGACGCGCTTCATGAAGGTCGTCGATCCCAGCCTCCCGGCCGACGACCCGATGAACCAGATCCTGAGCGTCGCGCTGTGGAAAATCCACCCCCGGAAGCGCACGCCCGAGGAGATCCAGGCCGAGGGGGAGAAGCAAAAGGCTCGCGGCGTGCCTCCCGGCGCCAACGAGGCGTTTATGGAAGACTTTTTCGGCCGGTTCAAGGTTGCGCAGCAGGAGATTGTCGGGGAGCAGGCGCATGTGAAGTTGCAGATGCTCTTCACTCGTCGCGAGGGTTTCCGGCGTGGAGCGGGAACGATGCACTTGGCGTGGGGCCTCGAGCAGGCTGACAAGCTGGGCATACCTGCCTATCTGGAGGCCAGCAGAATGGGCCGACCTCTGTACGAGCGGATGGGCTTTCAAGCCGTCCGCGACCTTCCTCTAGACAGGGAGAGGTGGAATCTAACACCGGAAGACACGATAACGTGTATGTTGCGGCCGGCTCAGACCAATCCTGGGACTGCTGTGTAGCGCTTGTAGGCTTGGAAATGACCGAAAGCCATGGTGAGTCCATAGCGGAACGCTGCTGTAGCGTACATTCGAATGAACCGGAGCATGGTGTCATGCAATGTGTCCATCCATTCTCCACCCTCAACTGATGCCACATCTATAACTCCTTCTTCTCCCTCATCCCCTCCCCCTCCCCCTTCACTCCAGTTCCAGCCCCAGCCGGAACCTTTACCGCCCCCTGCTTGCCCTCCGCACTCCTCAATCCCCAAACCCCCACAACCCCCTCCTTCAGCAACCCAATAACACTCGCACACGCAATCCCCCAAACATTAATACTCACGGCCCCCAACGGCGCGCGCGGAAACGAAAGCACCCACTCAACCGGATACGGAAACCAGCCCGACGGCAACCAGAACATCGCCTGCTTGCCGAAGTAGAAATTGCACCCGAAATTCAGGCCTTGCGTTCCCAGGAAGCGTAAGGCGGAGGCGATGCGGTCGAAAGTTTGGCGCGCGGATTGTTGTGCTTGGGCTGGGTAATTATTGAACGTTAGTCCCTCGCTCTGCCACTGTATATGTGGGGGTATGGTTACGAACCCTGCGCCTCATACTTCTCCTTCGCCTTATCATGCTGCCGTCTCAGCTTCGCCCATTTGGCAAACTCATCTTGTGCCGAGGTAGCGTTCAGTTCGCGCTGCAGGCGCAGCACTTCGCGCTTCTGCTTCGACAGGTCTTGCGTGTCGGGGTTCGAGGTGGTGGAGAAGACGAGGGTGTAGAGGCGCCAGAGCGTGTCGTTGAACGTCTGCTTGCCGAGGGTGTTGATGGCGAGGATGAGGAATTGGAGGGTGAAGGCTATGAGGAGGGGGGAGGGCATGATTGTTCTGCGCCTGAAGGAGGAGAAGGCAAGGATGAAGGGGAGGATGGTGGGTTGTGGGAAGGATGGGAGGGTTGTTGGTTTGTGAGGGCAACTTTCTTGCGATCTTACTTATCGATAGAGATGTGACGTTGCTGATGGCCTGAGGCAGGATTTCATCTGCGAGGCTGTGGCGCCCAACTCCCTACTCCATAGCCTCTACTCCACTCTCATTTGGAAAAATAGATACATGCCCATGTTGGAGATGTAGAACAGTGTAGTGCGAAGAGGAACCGAAAACCGAAAAATGACCATTCTCCCCTTAATGATCCCCTCTGAGATGATCCCACCAAAAATGCCAGACCATCACCACCCGATCTCATCATCACTATCAAACTCCCCCGGAGGACAAACGCACTTCTCATCCTTCCTGATCAAAGGGTACAACTCCAGCTTCTCTGGTCCAGTCTTCTTCCCAACCCTCTGCGCCCAAGGCGGAACAACGACAAACATCGCCGCGGCCGAGTACATCGTCTCCGCCGCGCCAGGCTCATTGCCATACTACGACCCACATCAGCAGACACCCAGACACCCAACACCAGGAGCATAAAAAGTAAAACTCACAACCGCATACCCAAACGCCGCCTCCCACTTACTGCCTCTACTCACCGGCGCAAGCCACGTGACTTTACATTTGTCTAAAACGGTGCCGGGCCAGGCAACCGCGACCGCGTCTTCTGGGAACCGCTTGTTGAGGACGTGTGGTGTGTTCATGTGTTCGAACTTCGTGCCGACGACTTTGAAGGGCCTGTGCATGCCCTCACCGTCGTCGGGGTCGCATTCGATTACGGGGCGGAAGAAGGCTGCGGGGTTAGACGGGTGGTGTTAGCCACAAACTTTTGCAAGAAAAGGCAGGGGGGATGAGGCAGCGACTCACTCCTCAGCCCCAGCGCCGCGCACGCAGCGTACAGGTATAGATCGCCGCCCTTGAGCCGTGCAGGGATGAGATCCAAATGCTTGGAGGTGTGGGCGTACGCGTGCGTCAGGCTGATGGCGAGCACGTGGCCTTTGGGTAAGAAGCGTTCGTTCGCCAGCGCGGAGGCCAGATCGCGGCTGAAGAGGAGTTGGGTGCCGTCGAGTTGGGATGGTTGTTTGGGAGGAGGCTGGATGCTGGGCTGTTGGGTTGTGTTTGGTTGGAATCTGGTCCTGGCGTACAGGTTGTAGGTCAGTGTTACGCGGTGGCCGGAGGTGACGGGGAGGACTTCGTGGGTGCAATCGGAGTAGAAGGCCGCCCAGTAGATGGCTGAGGGAGAGGAAGTGCTGGACTGCTCGGCCATCTCTTCGTCCTCCTCCTTCGACGATACGCCGTGCGACTGCGACCAATCGTACAGCAGTTCACGCCCAGCATGCCGAACAGCCAACTGCCCTCCTACACGCCACACTTCATCAGCAATCTCACTCTCCCTCATCAGACGGTGCAAGCCATACGAACCCTCATGCGCCACCGGCAAACACACCACCAGCGAAGCAACCTGCTCCTCCGACCGCGGCGTATCGACATGCGCCTTGAACATCCCCCCAGGCCCACTGTTCACATTAAGCTTGTAGAGTCCCGCTCTGATCTGTAACATCGCATCAACACGCGCAAATCAAGAGGTGGAAGGAAGTCAACTCACCGTCCTCGCCTCCCCCTTCCCATCGCCAGGCACCAACATCCGCCTCACAACATCCACAATCCCCGCCTTATACGGACAAAAACTCGTCAAGAAATCCGCGACATCAAGTTTCAACGCCCGGCGATACTTCTCATCAAACACCTCCTCCGTCCCGCGCCCAAAAGAAGCAGGAACCATGGAATTCAGCAAAGCCTCGAAAAGGCGCTGCTGTTCCTCCGACTCGACGGATAGAGGGACGAGCAGGCTCTCACCGCAGCCTTTGAAGCGGAGTTGTACGGGTTGGGAAGCGGGGATGGGCACGCGGCCGCTGCAGGAGAAGGGGGTTGTGGTGAGGTGGGTGAGCATGGAGTTGCTGAGGTCGAGGATGAGTTTTTCGTTTTCGGGGAACGGGGCGGTGTCCATTTTATGCCTAGGGATGTGTTGTTGGAGGGATTGTCGTGATGGATATTGAGAAGCAAATGTGTATTTTTTTTGTCAAGACGGGAGAAGCAGTAGATGGAACGATATGAACGGATGGATAGACGAATTGATTTTAGAAGAGATGTAGCGACTAATACATAGACAATGGAAAGAATAGAACAAGGCTGCCATCCGCGCCAAGCCCAAAACCCAGGCAGAAGGCCAGGCAGCACGTCGCACAAGGGATGGGAATGTGTGACACAGAATGAAACGGGAGTACAGTAAATCGTCGAAAATCATTCCCAAATCGAACGCTATCAGAGAGAGAGGAAGAAACACCGGTAGCCAAAACGCTGTCAAAGACTGGTAACCATTAATGTATCATGCTTCATGCTTCGCCGTTGAGGGGAGGCGTCATGGTCTCCTCGGTCGGCTTCTCGCGCATGGCGGAGTTGCGCTTGCGCCAGGCGCGCATGCTGCCGCGCTTCCTGCCGGTTCGCACGTCGCGGCGGGAGGCACAGCAGCAGCACATGCCGAGTTGGATGACGAAGGCGATGATGGAGGCGCCGGCTGCTATCCACATGTCTGTGAAGGGCGTTAGCGATATTGAAGGCATGGCTTCGACGTGTTGGGGGAGAGCGTCACTTACATGCGAACATCTGGATGCCAATGGTGGCCTTGATGTTGAGGGTGGTTTGGGCGGTAATGACATCGCGCATGATGATCTAATTTGCATTAGTGAAGGGGTCCATGTTGGGTTTCGAGGGGTGGGAGGGGAAGTCTTACAAACAGCACGGTGGCGATGACGGATCCCACCGTGGTCAACAGGGCGGCGAGGAAGGTGAAGATGGTGATGGGGAGAGAGGCCCATCGGCTGTAGACGGACAGGGGGACGATGAAGATCATGACGAAGCTCAGGCAGGCGCCGGAGAGGAAGAGGCCGAACATCCAGTGGGAGACGATGCGGATCAGCTTGAGGATGTTGTTGATTTCGAGGGGCAGGGCGACTGGCATGCGCGTTAGTGTGCACTGGGGTCGGCACATGAGAGGATGGACATACTGGACGCGCCGGCAATCAGTTGATTGGAGATGATGGACACCGGGTTGAACCAATACAGCGTCTGCGGCTTGGAGCAAGTGGTGGTGCCCACGCCATTGTAGCCCTCGCAATAGCCCCACAGGCCAACGGTGTAGAAGTCGTGCAAGCCCAGCGTCTGGGCGATGGAGTTGATGAGGGTGGCATCGGGGATGCTGACGGGGACGATGTTGGTGAGGTTGAGGTTGATGAAGTAGATTTTGCTGCGGATGGAGCCGACGGCGGTGTCGCCGACTTCGACGAGGATGAGGAAGACGACGGTGATGAGGAGGAAGAGGGAGGTGAGGAGGGACCAGGTCATGCGTGGGCGAGTTGCGCGGTGGAGCTCGGATTTGGTGGCGAAGGCCTCGTCGTAGGGAGGGGTGGTGGTGCGTTTTCGTCGGCCGAACATGTTGTCGGTAGTTGCTGTGCGTAGAATGTGAGTGGTAGGTGGTGGAGGTGGTGGCAGAAGATGCTGGCGACGAGGATGGCAAGGTGAGAATGTAGGAGTAGGAATAGATGGAGTAAGCAGCGACGACACTACCTCATTAAAGCGATTGACCCAAGTGTAGAGGAAGAGAAACGTCGAGGCTGCGTGTCGCGGCTGCGCGTATCTTAACGTGGGCTTGCGTGGCTGAAGTTTGGTGCAGCGAAGACGTCACAACCAAACGCAACGGGGGAAAAAAAGGTTCGGCAGAGAATGGATTCGGCTCTCGGATCCACCAAGCCACGCCAAGCTGCACGTGCGTTGGCGGATTTCCCTTTCCAATGATTGCCGGTGCATAAATAAAGTAGCCATGTATAACAGCACTGGATTGAATCTGCTGCTGTATCATTGCTGAATGAGCAAGAGAATGGGAAAGTAGGACACAGCATAGTTGCCCCGTCCTCCTTCCCTCACCCCGAAGAACCCAACTTCAGCACACCTCCTCGCCTGTTGATGGGATCTCGGGTGGCGAAAGACGGGAACGGACGAAAGCTTTCACATGCATGCGCGGCTCCGAGTTTTGCGCGCGTCGCCCTCACGACGTCACTGCCGCGCTCTTTTCCATCCGGTGGCTTGATGGAAATAATCCGCCGGCAATCGTCCAAAACAGCCAGACCTCACCCCGTCGGCTGCTGCGGCGCGCACTCATATTCCTTCCGCGCCGCGTCTCCTACCTCTTCTCTCCTCCATCCTGGCTTTTTTCTTGTTTCCCTTGGAGTAGACTGGCTAGGGCACTAACCATCACACTACCGCCAGCATGGTCTCCTCGTGGCCGCGCAAGCTGACCACGCTCCCCCCCTCCATCCTCCTCCTGCTTGCCACCACCATCGCCAGTGTGACGGCCGCCGACACCTCCTCTATCTCCTACACCGGCACCATCAGCACCCTCTCCACCTACTCTGCCTCCGCCTTCACCGGCTCGCAGTACACCTATCCCACCCTCTCCTCCGCACTCCCCACCACTCTCAACACAAACAACGCCAGCAGCATCATCATCGTCTCTTCCAACTCCCCCTCCAACGCAACCGCAACCGGCTCCTCCTCCAAATCCACCACCAAGCCCAGCCGCACCACCCTTCACGGTTCCAGCCATCGCTCCACCGGCACCGCCACCACCAGCGCCGCTGGTCCCTCCAACACCGTCAAGTGCAATGGCTGGACCGAGTTCTGCGACCGCTCGTACAGCAACATCACCTATGTCTGCGCCCACAACTCCGCCTTTGTAGTCCCCAACAATGCCGGCAGCAACCAAGCCCTGCCCCTGCGCACCCAGCTCGACGACGGCATCCGCATGGTGCAAGGCGAGACGCACTACGTCAACGGCTCCATCTACAACTGCCACACCACCTGCAAACTCCTCGACGTCGGGCTGTGGGAGGCGGAGCTCGCCACCGTCGTCGACTGGCTCAAAGACAACCCCTACGAAGTCCTCTCCTGGCTCGTCGTCAACTCCGACTTCGTCAACGTCGAAAAGTACGTGCCCGCCATCGAGGCCTCCGGCATCCTGCCCTACCTCTACGTCCCCAAGCACGAACCCCAATACCGCGACGACTGGCCCACGCTCGGCGAAATGATCCTCACCGGCAAGCGCGTCGTCATGTACATGGACTACAATGCCAACCAAACCGCCGTCCCCTACATCCTCGACGAATTCTCGCACATGTGGGAGACGCCCTTCAGCCCCACGAACCGCAGTTTCCCCTGCACCCAGCAACGACCCCCGGGGCTCTCGCACGCCGACGCAAAGAACAAACTCATGTACCTCGCGAACCACAACCTCAACACCCCCATCGACCTGTCCGCCCTCATCGGCGAAACAGACGGCCACGCGCAAATCCTCATCCCCAACACAGCAGATATAAACATCACCAACGGCGCCTTTGACCAATTCAGCCAACTCGAAGCCACGCGCTTAAACTGCACCCGTAAGTCACACCATCCCCCCAACCCATCCCCTCAAAACCCTTCCCCCACTAACCAACCAGCAACACCAGAAATGTGGGACCACCCCCCCAACTTCCTACTAGTAGACTACTACAACTACGGCATCCCGCACCCAGGCTCCGTCTTCGAGGTCGCCGCGCGCGCCAACGGCGTCGCCTACAACTACGACTCGTGCTGCGGCAAGACGTCCGCGTCGCTGGCGTCTGCCAGTATGCGCGTTTCGCTTGCGGCGGTGCTGGTGGGTGCGCTGGGGTTTAGTATTTTGTTGGTGCTGTAATTGTTGTAATAACTTGGAATTGGATGATCGGATGCGGAGTTATATGTCTTACATGGGATAGGCTTGGATAGAGGGAGTCAAGGGGCGGATCTGTGATTGTATGTTTCTGGAAGCGTTACGTTCGTCTTTTGAATGACGTGTACGTTGAAAGACGAAGACGCGTTCTGTTCATAGGACGTTTCTCCATTGTTCGGCCGTCGTGACATATTCCCCTCACACACATCTCCTAAACTACCTCTATTTTGGACCGTCCATTCCACAATAGCGTCATCATATCGTATATTCTTCGTATCTCCCGAGATTCCATTCCCGTCCCTTCCCCTTTTTTCCTTGTATACGCCTAGACTCTCACGCTCGTCATAAGGTAACATCTCTAAAGTCGCTCACTCATAAAATCAAAAATACACACTCAACCCCTCCTCAGCAAAGAAGCAGCATCAGTCAAGAGGCGCAGCAGCGTAGGCCGTCTCGACAGCGCGCCCGCCATCCCCGTCGCAGGCAGCGCAGCCTCGACCCGCGCATGCTGCACCATCGGCCCTACAATCTCCCCCTCCTCCACAGCGGGGAATTTCGCCGGGTTCTCCGGGTCCTGCGGTAGGGAAGGCATGTGCAGACATGGTTGTAATTCAGGCAGGGGGCGGAGATCGGAGGTGTCGCCGGCATCGGTGGATGCCGAGGAGGCCGGATCGAGGCCGGCGCGCGCGAGGTCGAAGTTTGCGCGCCATTGCGCGTCGACTTCCTTCCATTTGGCGCAGGTGAGGTCGTAGATGCGGGACGTCGGGCCGTGGTGTTCGGCGACGCGGGAGGCGTGGCGCAGGAATTCGATGCGCGCGCTTTCCCAGTCTTCGAGCAGGCGTTTGCAGATTGCTGTTGGCGGGGTGGTGTCTGACGAGGCTGAGGGGTGCGGGAGATAGGGTTCGGGGAGGATGTGGAAGTTTGCGTGGCCGAGGTGCAGCGCCCAGTGGTCGAGTTCGCCGGAGATGCTGAGGGGTGGGAATTCCTCGATGGAGCGCGTGTTGTTGTGCGAGAAGCGGGCGCGTAGGGAGACGGAGGAGGGCATGGTGGAGAGGGCGGGGGACCAGAAGTTGGGCGAGGTGGGGCTCGACATGGGCGAGCTGAAGATGGACTCGGACGCGGTGAGGCCGGCGGAGAGGGGAGGGTAGAGGGGGGATCGCTCGCCATCGCGCGTTTGGTACTGCTCGGAGGGTAGAGGGGGAAGTAGAGGAGTTCGCGTGCGTTCGATCTCCTGGAAGGGGGGTTGATTTGCATCCGTGGGTTCCTCGTGTGCGGAAGGAGTATTGTCGCCTGCGGCAGAGGGAGTTTCCAAGGGGCTAAAGCATTCCGGATACATTGTCGTTGGAGATGCGCACGCAATGCTTCCCAGCCCCGAGTCCGCTCCCGTGGAGATGAACTGCTTCAGCGACAACTGTTTGTAAGAAGAAGTGCGACTCAACGGCGCACTGCGGATGCCGGTGTCCAAGAGGGGCTTGCTGAGGCTTCGCGCACGCCAACGTCGTGATACAGATGCAAAGCGTCGACTTAGCCGGGAGGGTATATGGAGATTGTCCTCATCGGGGCTCTCGGAGCTGAGGCGCTTGTCGGAGGAAGTCGACTTGCTTTCGTCTCCGGTGCCGCGGGAGAGCGATAATGAGGTTTTGCGGGTGCCGGGCACCGAGCGGATTTGCTGATGCTCACAAAAGACGGAGTCGCCTGGGGTCGCTCATTAGCATTGAAGACGTCATGAAGGGCAAGAAGTGCAAGGTCAACTAACATAAACAAAGCGGTCGCTCTAGCACTTCAGCTTCCCATGACAAATCCAGCTCGTCATCGCGTTCAGACGGCTCCTCCACCAAGTCGTGCAGCGGGGACTTCGCGACGTTCACAGGCGAGTCGGGGTTGGTTGCGAGAGAGGAGGACGAGCTTGGCCAGCGGGTATGGCTCCGCGATGAAGAGGCGGAGAACCGAGGCGAGCCGGGGATGAGCGGCGATCCAGCGGAAGAGTCGCGAGAATGGCTGGGTGTGGATTGGGAGTCGGCCATGGTGCTGGCGACATGCGCGGGGAGAGGAAAGGTGAAAGATTTTTCGTCTGGTGATGGCAGCGCCGCGATGCGACAGCGATCAGGTAGATGCGATTCGGGATCCATGCGCGCGCCGGTGGACTACGAGAGCGCAGCCATGGTGAAGGTTGGGCGGTGGTGATGTGAAGAAGATGATGAAGAGGCGAAGGCAGACGCGCAGGATGTTGGGCGCGACGTGGTTTGGCAGGTGTCGTGTGATGTCAGGGTGCGCGACCGGTATCAAACGGGGCTGCAGAGAGGCGCGCGCGCCACCAAAGCTTGGGCGACGGGTGTCGCAAGCTCAGCAGGCGCGATGTGCTGGCACCACCGACCGGGCCTGCGTGGGTGAGACAGCGTGGCGCGCAATGACTGGGAGGACGGTGGGAGGCGGCAGACGCAGAACCCAGCGCAGCATTGGAGGTTGGGAGGAGGAGAGGGAAGCAGACGGGCAATGCGACGCGGATGGGAAAAAGTGGTGGAAGAAGTGGACTGGACTGGGGGAAAAACGTGAGCCGCGGTCAAGAGGCCGCCCAGCTCCACCTGCCGTCGCGCTTTTTCCGCAATGGCGTTTTCTGTCCGAAGCTTCCAAGCTTCCCGCTGCTCGGCAGGCAAGGGAACACCCACCGGGGCAAGGCAGGCACCGAATCTTCGTCTCCACCCGCACCGAAACCTTGTTCCCTCTTGCCCGAGGCAGTTAGTGTGTGATCTTGGAGCTTGCTCTCGCCTTGACCTGACTCGCAAGAAGAGGACCGTGTTGCGAAACGCAGAGGGCGATGATTTGTAACCCGTCACCGGCAACTCGTGTTTCTACAATGTGGAAGGGTGAGCAGTGATGTTCCAGCCGGCAAACCGCTTGGCTCCATGCCTTGCAAAAACGACAACGTCTTTCGCACGTCGGTAACACGCGTTCCGTCGCATCATTGCGACGAGTAGGATAAATCACATTGTTTCTGACTTCGTGTTGCGTAACACCCGCCCAGATATAAACAGCAGCAATCAGCAGCATCATCATCATCCCCGGTCCTTGGGAGCAAATCAGGCATAGCAAGGCGGACACATGCAAGCAGCCATGTGTACACAAAAAGACGGCGACGATCGAAGCCACGACCACATCGGTCTGTGCCCGTACAACCTTACACCCGTTTCTACCCCGTTTCTACACCCGTTTCACACTGAGTCCGTCTCCATTTTGCGGGGGTGGGATGGACTGCGAAAGGATTGGGCATCGCAGCGTCGGTCAGGAATTTGTCAACTTCCCTTCGCAACCAGGACATTCGTCCGGGTAACTTAACCCTCTTCTACCCCAGCAAAGCATAAAGCCGAACGAGGAAGCAAACCCCAGAATCAATGATCGCTGGAGCGGCCTCCACCTCCCCGAAATCGATACTCCCGCGCAGAGAGCGTCCCAGTCCGGCAACTTCCACGGACTCGATTCGCCGGGAGCAGGGGTGCATCTGAAACGAGCCCTGTGGGGTAAAAGTGCCCGTAGATCAACCGCCGTTGGCAACGGTCGGCTTTGCACTTTTTTAGCCTCAACTTACTTCCCATTCTTTGCACTCGTTCTGTGGGGAATGGGGTGGATCTGACAGTGTGATGGAGCACAAGCGACGTTGCATTCGCGGGGGTTGACAGCCTGTCTAGAACGTGCGGAGACACAGCAAGCGCGCCCATTGTTCGACGAATGGCGGAAATAGTCGCACCGAAGGCTTGCGAGGCGACACAATCAACCGGCAGCCCAAGCCGAGCCGCCTGGGCTGGGGCTAATGCGAGTAAAGCTTGCAGCGGGAATTGATGCATGCCCGTTGTTCCCCGGCACATCCTTTCTAGAAGCGGGTGCGAGAGGCTGGGATGGGCATGGTACTTGTGGTGACCTTTGCGCGACAGCCTCGAATCATGATGTCCAGTACTTCCTCCATTGCTGCTTCTCCTCGTCTGTTCCTTCGAACTTGGTGCCAGTAGTCAGCCAGTCGTGCAGAACTGTGGGGTGTTGATAGGACTTTACCTCAAAGTCGACTTTGGTGATATCCTGGAAGCCCTCGTCCACCCTCGGCTCGCGATACCGCGACGCAAACCCCGTGAAGGCTATCTTGGGCAGCATCTGTCGTTTCTCGGGGTTCACCTATAACCATCCTCCGTCAGCTCTGCCCACTTCATTTTCCCATAGTCTAGAGACTGCCGAGCACTCACCGCATCCCCACCCAAAGTCCGAACAACATCATTATGCTCACACAACTTCGCGCTCGCCGTGAACAGCACCAATCTAATCGGCACTTTCGCCGCTCTCGCCAGCGCAATCCACGCAGCTCTCGTTTCGATATCGGCATTGGTATTGTCGACGGCCACCGCCTTGCCGTCGGCTAGAAACTCGCGCGCAACCTTCATGCACCTGTCTCGTGATTTGAGCAGGTCTTGATTCACTCGTTCGTAGCCCGAGGGTTCCAGCCGGCGCCAGTAGAAAGTCGATTTGCCCGCGCCGGGACTGCCGCAGAATAGAACGACTTCTACCTCGTTCTTCTTCACAAAGAGAAGAGGCGAGGTCTCCGTTTGTGCGGAAAGCACGGTGTCCAGATACTTCGCAGGCTCGAATGTCCTGACGAACGGCTTTGGCGCTTCATCCAGAAAGAATTCCTCCGGCGTGTGGAACGCAATGCCCACATTCGCGGCAAAATCGCGATCCGAGCAAGAATGATCCTTCTTCCTCCCCGCAGCCTTTTCCTCCTCCCTCCCACCCGCATCACCCACAAAGAAACTCCCTTCAACGTCCACCTCCCCCTCTCCGCCCAACCCATAATCCCTCCTCAATAACCCCCACAAGCCTCCCCTCGGCTTCCGAAACTCATCCTTCCCCGTAGCAGCATACACACTCAACGGCACATCCAAAGCCAGCGCAACAGCCTTGATCTTCCCTTTGAAATTGTTCAAACTCCGCATCTGCCCCGCGACCGGCGTTTTCGCATCTGCGCGCAAGCTGACCGCCCCCTGATTGCTGATGACGACAATCGCATACCCTTCCTCATGCAACTTCTTCAGCCGCGAAGGTACGGACGCATGCCACCACTTCCAGTCGTCTTCGCCTCGCGCAAACTTCAGTCCCGACTTAGTTGCGATGAGCGTATCGTCGAAATCGAACGCCGCGATCCTGACAGGTTTGGGCCGCGAGGAAGTATGAGCGGAATCATGTCTGCCAACGAGCACAGTATCGTGCACAATGTGAAACGTCGTTTTCTCAGGCTGCTTTTCGGACGCGGGTTTGAAGAAATTGGCTACCGCTTTGTTGGTCGTTGTTGCTGCCAATTTCCTCTTCACAGGCGGAGGAGAGAGATCTTTGGTGTCGGTGCTATGGCGTTTGGACGGATTGACGGCCATGATGGATCTGGTGGGGCATTGCCTGGTCGTGAGTGTGGTGGATTTGGTCCAGGGTGGGCGCACTCGGTGGGTTGCGTGGATGTGTCTGAGCATGTGCGGTTGGTGAAGTTGCGGGAGACGCGAGGAAAGTGACGCGGGGCGCGCGGTGTCACATGTGAGAAGTTTGAGTGCAGCTATTACGACTGCCGCCGCGCTTTACAAAATACATGTACATCACGATGAAGAAATTGAGCGAAAGAACATCGTGATATGGGATTCAATATCATGCAGATTCTAGGATGAGACCGTTAGATCAACCACCTCACCATCTAGCAAGCCCCAGAACGCCAGCGCTATGTGAGCAACAAGCCCGCTCTCCACTCTACAACTTCGCCTTCACGCCATTGCCACCATTTGATCCGTTAGCAGTAGCACTGGCCTCTTTATTCAGCTCCACCTTTCCGTTCCCCTGCGCCTCGCCGAAAAAGATGACCTGCACCGTCAGATCGTCGCGATAGCGGCGAGAGTACGGCGAAGGCAGCGTGAGCAAAGCAGATACCATGTCTGAGTCTTTGCCGCCTAGTGCATTGCGAACGAGATGCGTCGCCGCGTTCTCGTCCTCATACACGAAACGCTCTTCCTGCCCCGTGGGCACACCCCACTGCTGTTGGCGGATGGGAGCGCGTTGGCCTCCTGCGCTGCCTTCTGAGTGGTGTTCGACGGGAAGAGCGGATTTCTGGGCACTGCTGAACCAGGAGCCGAGCCAGCTGTTGCCTTGTTTGCCAGCAAGCTTCTGGTTCGAAGATTGCTTCTCGAGCCATTGGCCCACGAGGCCAATGACTTCTTCGTTTGTGAGCATCTCCCACAAGCCATCAGTCGCCATGACCACAAAGTCTCCATTTGCCGGCTCGATCTTCGTGGTGGTGATGATAGGCTCGGCTGTCACGTATGGCGGAGTCTTGAGGAACTTTGATGGCGAGCGGCCGAAGTAGGAGTTCTTGAGCTTGTCTTGCGTCTCTTTGGACCACTTGTACACAGCATCGCCAAAAGCTCGGCTAGGCTCGAGACCGCCCAGGATCCGTCCGTTCAGGGTGACATATGGCTCGTCAGGATGTTCTCGACGTAGGCGTGCATCCTCGGAAGGAGTGCCTCCAGTTTGATCGACCGACAGCGCCGTAGCTGTCCACTTTCCGCTTCGTCCTCTTCGGCCGAGCACTGCCCTGCTGTCACCTGTGCAAGCAACTCGCAGTTCCTGCGATCTGCTGTCGTAGAAGCTGAGTAAGGCGCAGGACCCTGATAGAGCTGGCGCGAGCACCTCTGCCGCAACAGTCTTGGACTGTGCCTTGAGAACTTTCTGCACCGAACCGTGGGTAATCTCATCATCAAGCGTGACGAACCCCTTCTTGATGGCGGCATCAACAGCCGCGGCCGATGGGAAGGTCAGCTTAGGGTCCGAGAGCGCCGTTTTATACGTCACGTTCAATTCACGTGCCACGTATGACACTAAGGTCTCCCGCAGCTTTGCCGAGGTCGTCCATCCTGCGTGTCCATCAAACACACCCCAGAACATCCAATCGGCCTTCGTCTTGCCGTCTGTCGCCGCAGCGGTGGTATTTGGCACTTCCACAATCTTCTCAACGTGGTCATCTTCGATGGGATTGTTGCTGGGTATCTGGACTACGTCGTATCGCACGACTCCTTCTCCTCTTCCTACCAGGTAGCTCTCTTCGTTAGTCCGCAGCCGGGCAGTCGCTTGCTCCGGAGTGAGCATCTCGAGAACTTTGCGCCCAGAGCTGTCCGTCTCCTTGCTGATTGGCTGGCCCGCGGGTATTTGCGCGGTGAAGAGTTGCCCTTGCTCAACGATCAATGCTTTGCGGACTGCTTCTGGTACATCCGAACTATGCACCCCTATCGGCGAAGTCGTGAATTCCGAATAGGCGGTGGCAGCGGCGGTGGCGTGTCCGCGGCTTTGAACTTGAGCAGAGGCGTCTGATGCGGGAAACGCGGGTTGCCCAGTCCGTTGGTATGCGTAATATGATGCTGCAGCCGCGACACCAACAGCAGCGGGCATCGACAGTCGTCGAGGCCAGCGCATGGACGAGGGATTCGCTTGCGTGTTCTTGGACGCTATCGAGCGTTGGAAGGCGACATTGTGAGGAGTGTTGATGCGCAGCGCTTTCACACCTTTTCGCGGAGTCGGCCGGCGAAAGGTGCGCAGGTTCTGGATGACTGCTCGCCGCATCGGAGGAGATGGGACATGAGCGGGAGGAGAGGTTGAAGATACACAAAGGAGGATGAGGCGTCACCCAGAAGCAATCATCATCAGCGAAAACATGTGAGAGGGATAGAGTTTCACTAGCGCGTCTTTACATAAGCAGAATTTTCGCCAAGAGTTCCGCACTCGAAAATCCACCTCGAGCCAATCCGCCATCTTGACTGCATCGACCACTTTCACCTCCACCACAACACCGCCACAATGTCGAGCAAAACGAAGTCGAAGCCCGCCGGCAAGAGCGGCGCAGGCCGAAGCGCCATCGAGGATGTCGTCGCGCGCGAATATACCATCCACCTGCACAAGAGAGTACGTTCAGTTTGATGAAGTCCACGGATGGCGGGCCTGTTGTCTTGAGCTCCCAATGCTTGAGTGCGACATGGCCGGCATCGGGCGGAAGACTGAAGACAAGAATAAGAATCTAACAGGGACTTAGGTCCACGGCGTGCAATTCAAGAAGCGGGCACCGCGAGCCATCAAGGAGATCCGCGAGTTTGCGACCAAGTCTATGGTATGTTTCATCCATTCTACATACCTGCTTCTCGCACAGAGTCATGCTAATCTCTTTCACAGGGAACCACCGACGTCCGCCTCGACCCCCAATTGAACAAGAAGGTGTGGGAGTCTGGCATCCGCGGTGTGCCGTTCCGCCTGCGAGTCCGGATATCGCGAAAGCGTAACGACGAGGAGGGCGCGAAGGAGAAGCTCTACAGCTACGTGCAGGCTGTGAACGTCAAGAACCCCAAGGGTCTGCAGACCGCTGTCGTTGAGGATACCGCATAGATGGGTCGCTGTCGAAGAGCGAGAGGTGGATGGAACCAGCATGAGACATCGGAACTACTCCTATTCCAAAACGTCATGTGGCTATGCGCTCTGAAGAAGAGCTGCTTGGCCATGCTTCCGTAGCCTACGCCTCCAGCGCAAAAATGTTCTTCGTGTCCAACATCTCTTCACTTGGAGCCCTTTCAGCTTAGTCAGCTTTCCATATCTGAGTCGAGTCGTACTTGTAGACCGCATCCCTCGTTCAGGTCGCCGACATCCAATGTTGACTCACGTCCTGCCCTTCAAATACTCCGCCTGCACTCACATATGAGTCGCCGCATACTACATGTTGCTCGAAGACTTCCCACCACGAATAATACACAAGCTCTACTCCGACACAAGACCAAATACATCTACACAATGTCCCAACCAGCCGCCAGCGACTCTGGCCCTGTCACCAATGGCTCCCGGCCAGCGCTAAGATATGCAGACGTCAGTCTCCTTGCCGTCCAAAGAACGAAGGACAGACAGCCCACTGACAGCAAGGGCTAGGTAGATCGGCATCAACCTCTCCGACCCCATCTTCCGCGGCGTATACCACGGCAAACGAGCACATGAAGATGACCTACCACACATAATTGAGCGCGCACGCAAAGCAGGCGTAAGGAAGATGATGATCACAGGCTCTGATCTGAAAGAAAGCGCAGGCGCAGTCGCATTGGCGAAAGAATACCCCGGGCTCTGCTACGCTACTGTGGGAGTCCATCCGTGCTCCTCGACGTCTTTTGGGAAACATCCTGCTGGTCCGGAAGCACTGCTTGCGGAGGTGAAGACCTTGGCGCAAGAGTCGAGGGATGAAGGGTCTGCTGTGGCTTTTGGCGAGATCGGACTGGACTACGATCGTCTGCAGTTAGCGGATAAGGAGACGCAGTTGATATACTTCGCCAAACAGCTGGATGTGGCTTGCGAGCTTGATATGCCGCTTTTCCTGCACTCCAGAGCGGCTGCGGATGACTTCGAGAGGTTACTGAAGGAGCGGCTGGATCGATTGCCGAAACGAGGAGTTGTGCATTCTTTCACTGGAACGATGGAGGAGATGCGGAGGATTGTGGACCTGGGCTTCGATGTGGGAATCAATGGGTGCAGTATGAAGACGGAGGAGAATCTTGCCGTCGTCAAGGAGATCCCGCTTGAACGATTACAGATCGAAACGGACGGGCCTTGGTGCGAGATGCGGCCGAGCCACGCAAGCTCGCAGTTCACGAAAGATGCTCCGCCTTTGCCGAAAGCCTTGAAGAAGGAGAAGTGGAGCGCGGAGTGCATGGTCAAGGGGAGAAATGAACCCTGTGCTATCACTCATGTTGCTCATGCTATTGCTGCTATCAAAGGTGTGCGGGTGGAGGATGTGTGCGAGGCGTAAGTCGCTGTCCCTCCTCTCACCCCTGATCTGATGCTAATCATGTTGCAGCGCATGGCGGAACTCAATACGTATGTTCGGTCTTGGGAAGTCGCTTCGATAGCATGTTCCTCCTCGTGGAGATGCTCGCGACCGATCAACCTCTCATGCCCATCACTCAAGGTCTTCTTGCACACCCTCATTCGCCGTGAAGGAATCTCGTGGAATGCCATTCCAGTGTGAAAATCCGGTCGCCTCTCTTGCTTGAAGTCGCTCAGTCGAGCACGATGATCTCCGGTGCTTGCAGCGTAGCGGTAGAACTTTCACGAAGACCCCCATCATCGTCAAGCTCGAGCTGCGTGTCGCCGGCACGGGGACGAGCGATCTTGCGAGGGCGTGGGTTGTCGTCAGCATGCTCTTGTTTGACCTTGACTGCCGCGTCTCTTGCTTCCTACTCGTCCCGTCAGCGTTGTCTCGATACAGCGGGGAAAACCGCAATGGTAATTCTGACCTTCATCTCCCTTAGCTCCTTCCGGAGCTGTTCGATGTCGGCTGGAGTGTACGTGGAGGCGTCACGTTTCTCCACTGGCTGTGGGGATGGAGTGCGTGGAATGATCATCATGGACTTGAGGGCCGCTGTCTTTTGTCAACAGTGCGTACTTACACATCGATGAAACGACACACACCTTTGGAACGATAGTGAAACACGAATCGTGCAACTGGGGCCGGTATCCCTTGCACATCTTCGGTCTCTCGGTATGTAAACGTCACACTGCGATCACGAACTGCGTCGCGCAAGCTGCGGGTTATCAGCGTCGTTCCAAGTTCGGGAGCATTACGGAAGGCTTACCCAACGCTGTGCGAAAGCGTTTGACCTTTGATCGCCTTTTCGGAGAGTATGCCGATGTCTTGCGTCTCGCCGTCGAAGCCATCGCCAGAGCTGGGTGAACCAACACAATTGACATGGCTGACTTCGATCACAATTTGGCCCAGGTCACTTAACTTTGCCCCCTCGTCGTTGAATTTCCTGCCATCAGCCGCTAGATACCGAGTAAGTAGGACGCAGTTTCCTATTGGAGAAGTTACTTGCCGGTCTCAAGAGCAGAGAAAAAGAACTTTTTGACAAAACCGGTAGCGATTTCTGCGCCTTTCATCGTACGGACGGCACGTCTGCTGCGACATGCTTCCTTAGACATAAGGGCTGACTCGGCTTCTTTGCCGTCCATGAAGATTGTAAAGGCCAAACTATCGCCCTTGAATCGAGTTTGCCTGTTTGTAGTCATCCGAACCTCGAAGCTTTGACCAGAGACAGCTTCAATATATCGAGTGACGGTACGCTCCTCTTCCACCAGTATGGAGTCTTTGTGCTCTTGTAGTGGCTTCCCATTAACGACAATGGCGACGTCGACTCCTGGAATGTCGTCGCTAATCGCCATTTTGGATGAGCTGTGTCACAACGTGGATAGCTCCCAACACCTGTACGGCCCTATTGATTGCCTGGATCTGCTGGCTAAGGGAGCGTTCAATGGAGGAAGAAGAAGAAACCAGGTGGGTGTGTTCTGGTTGAGGTGTGAGAGATGGAAGAAAGGTGGTTGGGGTCGTTAATGAAGGGAGGTGGAAGAAGGTAGAGAAGGGGAGCAAGGACCGGGCAGCAAGCTCTTATGGATTGGCGGACTTCACATGAACGAAGGTGAGGCTGAGTCAAACGCTTCGACCGGTGAACCTGTACCACGCCTCAGTGAAGTGAAAATGGCCCAGACACGGAGTGACGCTTTGGTGAGGGAAGAGTGGTGCCTTACTCAAGCTCTCGCGAAGTGAGCAATCAGGCTGGACGTGCTTCTCGATTTGCAGCGACGAAAAGCTTGCCTCTCACGTAGGGCGGGAGGAAGTGATAAATGAAGCCATTGATCATAGCAGCGCACAGCGGCGCAACTCAATGGACCCACTGATATTGCCAGTAGCCTCTCGCCGTCATGAGTCCAAAGCATCGCGCAGGGTTGAATGCTTGCCCATACGTCAGCACAACGCCAGAGGCCATGCTATCAGGCTGCAGACTTACAAAGCCCCGTGTACCCAAGCTTTGCCAGCGAGCTCGCGAGCATTCCCAATGCCAAGCTGAAGCCAACGAGGATAGGACCCAGAGATGCTCCAAAACTTTGGCTTGTCGGGGGTTGGGACTGCGCCAAAGGCTGCGAAGATCAGAGACTGGGCAAACATGAACGCCAGAGCAAAGAGTTCCCGGAATGAGATCATGCCGGGGGTAACGGTGAGCCTGGGAATGTTTCTGCTTTGCGGATGGTATGATTGCGATGTAGTTGGGCGTGCGAAGTAATTGTCGCCGAGATCCGGCCGTACACCACAACGCTACGAGCTTCCAGTCGTCTGCGGCGGCGGTGGAGCACTCTCGTTCTTCTCCACCAACTCTCCAACCCCAAGCTGCCTTCCGACCTTCACTTTCCGCTTCTTTTCCTTCGTCTTGCCAGCGTCAACGCCGTCACCGGCCTTGCCAGCACTTCCGACTTCACCGCCTTCGTCCTTCCCGACAGTTCCTTCATCTTCGGAGCTATCTGCCTCCTCCCGCAGGTAGTCAAGGTCCATGCGCATGCTGTACGCATCCTCGCCGTCGGCGTAGTACTTTGCTTCCGTGCCGCCGACTTTGAAACCAAGAGTATCTCTGTACAGTGCCAGGGCAGCCACGTTCGATACACGCACATGTAGAGAGACGTAGACAGCGCCGTATGTCTCGTACATCGCTCGCTCTGAGTGGGGCGTTGGTGTCAGTGGAAGTTCTTGTCGAGGGGAAAGAAGCGGCATCTACTTACGACTCTGCTTCATCAGTTTCTCCGCCAGACCTAATCTCCGGTGCGTGCGCATTACGCTGAGGGAGGTGATGTGGCCGTGCTGAATTCCATCCGAGGGGTCTTCCTCCATCTTGGCGAGGACGTAGCCTACAATTTTGGGGGCATCGTAGGGAGTCTTCTTCGGCCGTGATACCTGCGATCCGATAAGTCGGGGAAGGTCGGGAGTCGAGATAAGATAATACTTACATCCACGGCCACATAACTCAACTGCGGCCAGCTCAGGGCATGGTAGAGGTAGTACTTGCAAAAATAATTCTCGGGCAGATTCGTGATGTTGGTTTGCTGGACATGCGGAATGTCGGAAGACCGCAGTAGTCTGATGTCCATTTTTGGCAGAGTGTGGAAGATCGCGTGTGCCAGATGATGGGAGTATATGGCAGAGGTGATGGGAAGAATCTACAAATCGAGAGGTGGTGGCACAGTGCTCGGATGAAGTTAAATTTCGCGGGCTGTGGTTGGTGGAACGCGGCGCGGATGCTGCCGCCGTGCAACGTGCGCGCGCAGCGTAGATGCCAACAGAAGTAGCTGGGGGTATGTGCATTGATGTAGCAAAACACTTTTGCATTTGTTTCGATGCCATGACACGATATAGCATTCGTATAAGTAGGATAGATCGAGTAGTTGATCCGTCATCCATCCTTCCCAATATATCAAGAAAGGTCCAACTCCTCGTTCGAAACGAGACAATATACCTTCCGTGTACTTCCTCCCTTCGTATCGTCATCAGTGACTGCAGAATGCATGTGAACATACCTCACCGCCTCCGCCTGAGCGGGCCGCTCCCGCCCTCCGCCCACACACCGCCTTGGATTTTCCCTCCAGCTTTTCAACCTTCCAACCTCCTTCACAACACACACACTCACACCGTTTCCATCAACCACCACCTCTTTTCTCATCACTACGCACCTCCCAGCCATCACCACGCACCTTTAAACAATCATCCCCTGCTCCTGCAGACTCTTTTCACCACCGCCGCCCTCTTCAACGTCACCACCGCGCTCTTCAACGTCACCGCCGCCTCCTGTTTTACCTTCACCTCACGCGCCAACCGTCACAGCGCAATGGCGTCTTCCCAAGACACCACCTCCACCGCCACCATCATGCCCACCAACGACGTCAAGGCCGCAACCACGCCGCCCAAGGCGAGAAAGATCATCGCGGCCAAGGGCAGCGCTCACCGCGTTGCCTCAACCTCCATCCAAGACGCCCGCCGCCTCGCCCCCCTTTCCCTGCGCCTGCCCGCCAATGCAGGCTTCTCCACTTACGAGCTCGTCGTCAACGGCTCCCACAAGCGCCGAGTATTGGCAGAACACCCCCACGAGCCCGCCGAAGCTCAACTACGCGGCCCCAAGCGCCATAAGCTGGATGTCGCGTTTCAAAGGAACGACGACGGCTTCGCGCTCTTCAAGGCGAAGAAGCAGCTCGAGGCGAAGCTGCTGGAGGGCGAGAAGAGCAAGGCGGCCGGCGACGCCGAGATCGCCGGGCTCATGAAGCAAGCGGAGGCCGACCGCCAAACGGCCACTTCCCAATACGACAAGCTCGCCGAGCAGAACCGCCAGCTGCTGCTCGAGCTTCAAGCCGAGCGCGCTCGCGGGGAGCAGGCGAAGCAGACCAGCGACGCCGAGGTTGCTGGCCTCAAGACCCAGCTCGGCAGTGTGCGTGATGCGGCGCGCTCGGAGATCAGCAGCCGCGACGCCACCATCCAGCAGCTCCAGAACAAGCTCACCACCGCGCGCTCCGTCGGCGATGGAGCCTTTACGGCAAAGAGCAATGAGGTCGCTGACCTCAAGCAACAACTCGAGACTGCCGGCCATATGGCAGCTCGTCAGAAGAAGGAGGCCGATGCCGCCATCACGCAGCTCAACCAAGAGCTGGACAACATGCGTTCGGTCGGAGAAGAGGCCTTCAAGGCCAAGAACAAGGAGGTCGCCAACCTCCAGCAAGAACTGGAGACTGCCAGCCAAAAGGCAGCTCTTGAGAAGAAGGGCGCCGAAGAACGCATCAACCAGCTCGCCGGGAAACTCACGGCGGAGCGTTCTGGCCGAGAACAGGCCATCCAGGCGAAGGAGACAGAGATCTCGGAGCTGAAGGATCGCCTTGCCAACGGCGCCAGAGACTCCGAGGCGGAAATCACCCAGCTCTCCAAGGTGTCCTCCGAGCACTGGTCGGATCTCATTGAAGCACGCCAGGATCTCGACAAAGAGCGTTCTGGCCGAGCCAGCGACATGGAGGCCGCGCAGGAGAGAATCACCTGGCTGGAAGAGAAGCTCGAGTTCGTGAGGGGGGTAGAGGACCAGAACTGCAAGGACTGGCTGAAGGAGCACCAGAGGGCCCAGGACGAGCGGGCTGAAAGATACAGGCTCGAGTCCAAGGTGGATACCGTCGAGAAGAAGCTGCGAGAGACCACCGACTGTCTCGAGCTCGTCGTGGCGGAGCTCCGACAGTCCCGGGCGGAGGCCCAGAGGCTGGCCAGAAACCTCAAACCCACCACGGGCGACGTGAACAATCTCGCCACCAGGTTCGGGCAGCAGATGTGAGGAGGATCGCGCACGAAGAGGAGGTCGTCAGATGAAGTGGAGCGTGTCTCCTGAGCGCCTGGGCGCTGCATCAGTAGATCTGGACCATGCTTGTCATGCGATCCGGACTCTGAATGTACCCCCGGTGTGAGGGTTTCACTGCATCCACTTCATCAGCCTCCCATGTGTTCCGTTCAGCCCTCACCTGCCCTTCTCTTCTCGGCGGATCTCGAGCTCTCTTGACAGCGCATCATCACCATCCTGTCCATCATCACACAGTCTCTCCCACGCGGGCCCCGTCACAGCCCTTCTCTCTATCACGACGATTTGTTTCTTGTGCTTGCTTGCGTTGGGCGGAGGAAAGGAATGATTGCTTTTGACGAATGGCGTTGGAATGAAAGATACCCAGGGATGCGAGCATGATTGCATGGTCTTTCCACGGACTCAGATTGTTTTTACTTGCCTCAAAAATTGTCATTACATCACCTTCCTCTCAATTTCTTGTCACATTCCAATGAATTGAGGCAATCTCAGGTCTTCAGCAGTCAGGTAGAGTAATGCCAAGGCCGGAGGCAACGGAGATCCGGGGAAACCTTTGCGCTCTCGTAACGGCCGCAGATCCATCGGAGCTTTAACTTACCCCTGCGTCGCTCGCCAATGGGGCTCTTCACATGATTGTGGGACCTGTCTGCCGCATGTCCTCGCCTCGTAATCGGAGCACATAACCGCAAGCGACCCCCGTCGCGATGCCTTACTATAATCAGACCCAAGCCCCACCAAGTGTGTTTGGCAGGTTCGCACGCAAAACGACAGGTGAACAGCAGCAGCAAGGGGAAGGCGCAAGGGGCTTGAACGCTACGGGCAATGATGAAAGAGCAGGAGGAACCCAGCCTAGCAGAAATACCACTACAACTGCCAATACACATCGGAGGGAGAGCAATGTGCTGAGTCTCAACAGCGTGACGGAGCTGGGACAGAGTGTGAGGAGATCGGTGTCGTTGCGCTCGCATCGCTCGCAGCTCAGCGGCGGCTCTTCCAACGCTTTTGGACACCAGCCGCGAGCTTCTTCTGGCGCGCCCTTTCAGTCGAGCCTGATCACTTCGCCGGTGGAAAGTGTTGGCGACGACGGTGCGGCGCCGCCCCCTCTTCACCCGGTACAGACGTCTCCACCTTGCGTGCCGCGATCGCGAGGCAAGCCGTCCATCTCCTCCAAATTCTCCTCTCAGAGCCTGACGACCATTGCCCCCACGGTGTCGTTGGGCAGCACACCTGAAAGGCCGACGACGGGCTCCGAGCTGCGAAAAACGCAAACTTCATCTTCGACCACTTCTACAGCAACCAGACGTGTGCCGTCCGGTCGACCACCCGTACCTCCATTGCCCTCCACCCACATCACCGAGCCCGGCACATTGATGGGTTCTTCATACCTGCACGGCAGCGCCACGCCTGCCACCCAGACCTCGTCCGTCGATCCCAAGGTGGTGTACCGACAGATCCACGAGATCTGCGGCAAGCGGATGGCGACGATCGACTACCTGCGCAAAGTGCACGAGGGCAACATCTTCTACTTCTCCACCCTGCACTACTCCCCCGCAGCCCTGCAGACTCTGCCATCCATGCATCCTTCGAAACTTGGGCGGCGCGCGACAAACTTTTTCGTGCTCGGGTACAGCCTGCCTGCCCTGCTGGATCTCAACGCAACCGGCACGGCCCTTGACTACCTACGCTCCCTCAACTCCCTGCTGCAAGAATTCGAAACCTACCAAACCCTCATGGGAATCGACATCAACGGCAACAGCCTGGGCCGCGGCCGCGTACAAAACATGTTCAAACTAGGCGCACGAAGCAAAGGCGCACGCCGCACGAGCACAACAACAGACAGCATCTTCCTCCCACCCAGCAACAGCAACAACGAGCACCTCAACGTCAACAAGTCTCCCACCTCCGCCGGCGGCGGCAGCGGAAGCGACATCCCCAGCCCCCTGGAAACCAGCAGCCCCATCAGCCCGGTAGCACTAGGCCACGACTTCCAGCACCTCGTCACGCCGCACCTCCCCTTCGACCCGGACTTCACCACCATCTACGCCACCCTGTGCGACACCATGACCGACACGTACGCCAAGGTCATCGATCTGATCGCGAGCCCGGAGGTGTGCACGGCGAGTGTGGGCGAGGCGTTTGGCAAGGTCGACAAGGCGCTGCGCAAGATTCTGGTAACGAATGTGACGCGCGAGTTGGAGGAGAGTGGGCGGGCGAATGTGAGGAGTGAGGTTGCGGGGTTGGGGAGGCTGGTGCTTGGCGGGCTCATGTAGGATGTGAGTGCTGGCCGTGGTGCTAGGATTGATGAGAGATGATTGCCGTGTTCTCCCGCTGAGATGGAGAAGATGGCTTTAGCGTGGCGTTGGAATGGAAGATCTACCTGTTCTCCGTGTATTCCGGGAGGTTTCGTGCACTGCCAAAATGATCCTTTACCTCTATCAACTACATCATTTCCGCGATGGAATCTGCTGTCGCGAGAAAGATTAAAGTTCAATGTCAACCCATATGGTAGCTCTTGCCGGACCCTTTCGGTTCGGATTCCTGAGAACTCACCGCTTTCTACCTTATTATATATTAAGAATGGACAGCGCAACTTACCACTTCCAATAATCGAGGACGACTTGAGAGGTCGCTCATCGAGCACCAAAGCATTGGTGACGGGTAATGGCATCTCAGCTCACACTCTCAGACGGGAGAAATCTCGATTACTGCATCAGCGGAGCCAAAGACGGATTCCCCCTCCTCTTCTCGCACAGTAGTCCCGGCGCGTGGACGCCCGTTCCGCACCTGGCCAAGGCATGCGCAACCCACGGCTTCATGCTCGTCACCTGGAGCAGGCCTGGGTTCGGCGGATCGACGCGGAGAAAGGGTCGCAGGGTAGTGGACGAGGTGGACAGTGTACGAGCGTTGCTCGGCCACCTTGGTCGTGAGAGGTTTGCGGCCATGGGGTGGTCGGCTGGCGGTAATTTTCGCTTCAGCGCTACGGGGGAGATGTGCGAGTCTCACTCACGCGCCCACAGGGCCGCATGCTCTCGCTTGCGCGGCAATGAACGGCTGCGTGGCTGCCGTTGTAGTTGCTGGACTTGCCCCGTATGATGCCGAAGGGTTGATGTGGGCGCCGGATATCTCAAAGCATGGTAAGGGGCGCCCGGTGGGTGCTTGCGCTTCGCCCACTGGCTCGCTGACGCAGCTGTAGTGGGCAGGGAAGGAGAGAGTGCCATTAGGGAGAAGTACGAAGCGCGACGTCCGGGGATGATCAGCATCACGGCCGCGGAGATCTTTGCAGGGGAGAAGCCGGGGCCGGACAAACAGGCGATGAGCGACATTCCGGGCCTGGCGCAGTGTGGAGAGGACAGCTTCCGTAAGTCCAGCCAGCCGCAATCAAATCACCGTTTCGATCACTAAGAGAAGCGGGGGGGGCGTGTCAGGCGAAGCGCTGAAGTTCTCCGTCGATGGCATGGTCGACGACGATCTCGCTTTCCGCGAACCTTGGGGCTTCGATGTCGCGGACATCGCAGTGCCGGTGTTCCTGTACCACGGCACGTCGGACCCTTACGTCCCATTCACCCACGCTCAATGGAACGCATCGCACCTTGGCCGCGTCACGACGCATTTCGAAGAAGGGGGAGGCCATGTGTCTGTGATCCAGGACGTCGACGGCATGCTGCGTGAGATCATTGGAGCTATGCCAAGTTGAGGCAACTCGATATTCCGGGCTGGGAAGGTTATGTAAAATCACAAAATCCTGAAGGAAGGACTGCGTTGCCATGTCCTTCGCAGATAGGGGGAAGATAGATCTTCAGGGTGGCGTTGGGATGGGAAATCTGCCCGTTCTTCTCAAGTGTTCTGGGACACTTCGTGCACCGCCTGAATCGATCCTTCATCTCTACCAGCTACAGCATCAATTCCCGCGATGGAATCTGTCGTCACGCGCTCAGAATTCCATCATACACACGGCATACACCCTCTGGGTAATCCGTAAGCCGCAGCAAGATAACTCTGAAGTCAAGTGACCCGCCAAAGCCGCGCGCCGGCCGGTAGTTATCAGCGCTTACACTCGGCAAAAGCGCCGCAACAGCAATTCTTTTCCGCCATGCAACTTTGCGCCGCGCACCGTCACGCGAATGGAATGCTCGGCATAGCACAGAGAGATTACGCTGGTTTCCTTTCTGCCACATCTCAGCAGCAGCCGCGTCGTCGCGTCTTACCCCCCCCGGCTTCGGAGAGCGGCACGGCGGCGGAACAGAAGGCGGCGCGGCGCGGCGGGAAAATCTCGAATTGTTGACAAGACGACCGCCTCATGCGGCCGGTCGGTCCACTTTACGTGGTAGGAGTCATATACTCTTGGTGTTTTCCGTTTTTTTCGCATTCCCCTGGTCTTTTCTCTTGACTCCCTACAACTGTGTTTGTGACTAGAAGAACTTATTTATCCTGCCCTGTTACTCGTCAAGAGGTTGTGTTGACTCAGTCGAGTTTGCTCTGGAAGACGGCTTTTTGGCTTTGGCCCTGCTGCAGATCGTCTTCGTCTCGACGTAAAGCACTCTGATTGAGGACTACTCTTCACACACCGGGTACTCTACATCCTAACGACGCAATGGCGCCCATCGCCATCACCCCCGAGCCCTCGCGCTCCGCAACACCCCAACTCAAAACGCCGACCACAGCCTGGAGTCCAACAGAAGACAACGTGTCCTCCCTCACCCTCGCAGGCATCGAGCACGCCCTGCCCTCCAAAAATGCATCCAGCGCAGGCCAAGCGCCCCTCGACGCCTCGCTTCTCCAAATCGAACTCACTCAATCCCCGCGCGCCGTCCCCGCCCCGGAGAGCCCCGAAGTGGCCGCGCAGAAGACCTGCACCGACCACATGATTACCGCGCGCTGGACGCTGGAGCACGGCTGGCATGCGCCTGAGCTCAAGCCGTACGGCGCCTTTTCCATCATGCCGACTGCTTCCGTCTTGCACTATGCCACCGAGTGCTTTGAGGGCTTGAAGCTGTACCGAGGCTTCGATGGCAAGTTGCGTTTGTTCCGCATTTCGCGGAATTGTCAGCGGATGCGCAAGTCGGCGGCGAGGATTGCCCTGCCGGATTTTGAGCCCAAGGAGTTGGAGAAGTTGATCATTCGACTTTGTGCGCAGGACGGGGAGAAGTGGTTGCCCAAGGAGCGGCCGGGTAGCTTCCTGTAAGTTGTTGATTGTGCCGTCATCATTCGTCCGATGTGCTGTGGCTAACAAACCATGTTCAACAGGTACGTCCGGCCAACTTGCATCGCCACAGACGAAGCCCTCGGCGTGCAAAGACCGCAAGAAGCCCTCTTGTACGTCATCCTCGCCTGCTTCCCCGACATGACCAAGAGCAAATCCGCTCCCGCACCGCCAGCCCTCAACGGTGCCTCCAACGGCACCAAGAAGGCGCCTTCCAGCGGCCTCAAACTCCTCGCCTCCACCGAAGACAGCATCCGCGCCTGGCCCGGCGGCTTCGGCTACGCCAAAGTCGGCGCAAATTACGGCCCCTCACTCGTGGCACAAGGTGAAGCGCGCGCCCGCGGTTTCGACCAAGTGCTCTGGCTTTTCGGCTCGGAGAGCTACGTCACGGAAGCCGGAGCGAGCAACTTCTTCGTCGTGTGGAGGAACAAGACCACAGGCCGCCTGGAGCTCGTGACTGCGCCGTTGGAGGAGCGCATCATCCTCGAAGGCGTGACGAGGGCATCTGTGCTCGAGCTCACGCGTTCGCGTTTGAGCGAGGCAATGGGAGACGTCGAGGCGCTCGATGTGGTGGAGAAGCGCTTCACCATGGCGGACGTCGTGTCTGCGTATCGCGAGGGCAGACTCGTCGAGGCTTTTGCCGCTGGCACGGCTTTCTTCATTGCGCCTGTGAGCTTGATTCACTTCCGTGGAGAGGACTTGGTTGTGCCGACGGAAGAGGGCGAGAGTGGAGTCTACACTCGTGTTGTCAAGGAGTGGTTGGTGAATATCATGTATGGTAAGGAGACGCACGAGTGGGGCGTGGTGGTTGATGAGGTTGCGTGAGCGATTGGTGGCACTTTGTTTGGAGCCAACGGTTTGCGTGGCGTTCACTGATGGTGGATTTGGGAATTCTTGTTGGCGTATTCTTCCTGAATCGTAAATGCCGGCCGTAGACATCCATTATACCTTCTAGAATTTCATGAATGCTCAAAATCGCCTCATGCCGTGGTCACCGTTGTTCCCTAAACCACACATCAGTCAGCCACCCTTCCATTCAAACCAGTACCATTAGAAAGAGAAGAAAACACATACCCATAAGCAACCCTCAACTCCCTCACCGCCTCTCCACAAACATACACCGTCAAGACAGGCACATTCCTCTTCTTCACCCCTCCTCCCTCCTTCGCACCCATCATCTCAAACGCATCCTCGTCCCCGTCCGCATCCTCTTCGTCTAGCTCTGCCTTCCCGCCAACAAGCGCTCCCCGCCTCTCAACATCCACAACCTCCCCGCTCAAAGCAGAATACTGAAACCACCTCCCCCCTCCACCTTCACCAGCAGAAGCAGTAGCAGTAGCAGCAGCAGCAGCAAGCACTTCCCTCTTCGCAATCTCCACCACACTAATGAGTTTGTGCGCGTAGCGTGCTTTGGCCGTCAAAACGACAAGAGCCAGTTTCGCTTTCTCGGGCTCGGTTGCGTCTTCGTCGTTGCTAGGTTTTGCTGCTGATGAGTCCAGTTTGGAGACGAGGAGTGATACTCGGCTGGAGATTTGGGTGGAGCCTGCGATGGGCAGGTGGGTTATTGTGTAGTTTGAGCTTAGGGTTGGATGAGGGGTGGATGTCATTTTGTTGCTTGAAGGAGGGTTTGGTTTGGTGGATGGATGGATGGGGTGAGGTTTGGGTTTACGGATACGAGGCAAAGTTTTGACCGCACCTTCCTGATTTGGTGGCGGAAGTTGGGTGGAATTCTAGCCTCGTGGGTAACAACACTCTTATATAGAGTAGATTCATTGACATGACGAAAAGGGAGTTGTGGGTATTGATGTTGAATATAGTTCATAATAAGTCATAAGGTAAAACCAAACAAGACTTTTCAATCCGTCTCCATCTCATGCGCCGGGAAATAGCCTCTCAACAGCCCCAACGGCATAGAGAAATCCTCGCTCATCCGCGCAAAATGCTTCGGCTTGTTCGGCTGCTGCTGCGGCGGCGGCGGTGGCGGCTGCTCCTGCTGCGGGATCTCTGGAGGCAACATCTCCATCTGCTGGCCAGCAATTCCGTCTTGGGTCACAGCAGCAGCCGGGGCAACGACCGCAGGCGCAGAATCCATCTCCGCTTTGAGACACCCGCCTGGTGCAGCGAGGTGTAGTGCAGGCAACATTTGCAGCCTCGGAATGAGCTGCGCTGCATCACTCGTCACCAATCTCGCCTCCATCAAATCGTGCGAGAAAATGTAGTATTCTATGCGGCTGTTGTATGCGTTCCGCGCAGCTACTAGATACCCCGGGATGGCGCTGTTTTCGAACCAAACGGCCACGTCTTGGAGGGCCGGGTAGTGGTTCTGAATCCATTTGGAGTAGGCGGCTTGACTGATCAGCAGCGCTTCACTGGCGTCCATGCGCGTCCAGCTGATGCCTAGCGTGCGCGTCGCTTCATCTATGAGCGGCTCGGCGGTGACATCGCGCATTTCGTGCGGCAGAAGCAGCTGCGCCAGATCATCGGCTGCGACGGTGCGGGAGCCCATCCGTTGCAATTTGCGCGTGCTCATCGCTGGTCGTTGCTGCTCGGTGACTTGACTGCGTTCGTCTACCCATGTGCCGGATTGCGACTCTGGACGGGCGGGATAGCCGGGATCGTCGGGATGGATGAGAGTCATGCCCGGGCCTAGGATTGGTTCGGGGCGTTGCAACGCTGGGTACTCGGTTGCTGGAGTCACGTGCGAGCCGTCGTCCTCGACGTACTCGTCCTCATCTGGCTCGTGCATGTCGCCGCGCGACCGTTTGCGCCCGGCCATGGAGCCTGGGGTGACGGGGAGAGAGCCGGAGGGCGTGAGGGAATCGTTGAAGCCATTTAGCAGTGGGTTGGATGTCGCTGGCGCATTGTTGTGGTCGTTTGTGAAGTATTCCGATTGGGTTGGCGGGATAACGACAGAGGGAGAGGAGGCGAAGAACCCGTTTGGATTGGCCATGTTGAAGAATGACGAGTGGGGCACTCAATGCGCAAGAGAACTAGTCTCTGTGATCGACAATGCTGTTGTATAACCCATCCACAATATCTGATTGGTCAAAGGCGCAATGGGGAAACAATGCCGGCGAAAGGTGACCGAAGATGGATAGCGAAGGGATGTTAGCAAGATGGATGCTGTAGCGTTAAAGCCATTCGCCTTGCTTCCGAAAGAAAGTCAACAAAGACAGTCAATACCCAGCCGCGAGAAAGTGGAATGTAACAACGAAGGTTTGGAAACGCAAGTGAACCTGCATTTGAGAGGCCGGCCAAAAGGGCAGGCAGGGTCCAGACGGGTTTCAGCCCCACAGTGTACAGAGTCTGGGGCAGTTGGGGCCGCGGCTTCGCTCCGAGCCGAGTTGTTCCGTGTCGCGTGCTCTTTCCCCGGCCAATCAGTGACGTAAGCCGTGCCCTGCCCCTGTGTGCATGGGACGATGTTGAACATTCAGAAGTCCCGATCCAAGTAGTTCTCATAAGACCTACAAAATGCGGCCAGCCAAGTCTACTTCCGTCCGATACATCCCTCCCAATGCATGTAGGTAGACAAAGGGGTATCACGAAAGAAACGCCCGTATGCATCACTTCATCCCCCCACTAACTTCACCTCATGTATCATCACTCAAGTCCGCTGATTGAAGAACCAACTCCCACGCTTGCCCGCACCATTGGCCGTGCCAAAATGCTCCTGCGGCGGCGAGCCCATCCCGTGCTGCTGCTGGGTGTGTGCACTAAGCATGTTCGAGAAGGTGGGCACCATAGGCCCGTCATTCCCACCTCCACCTCCACCTCCACGGAGGGGCTTCGCGATACGACCGAAAGGATTGTTGGCGAAGTTCGAAGAAGCGACGGGCGATTGCGCCGAGCCCTGGCCCAGACCTCTCGTCGACCCGGACTTGGCGGCCTCCAGTCTCTCCTTGACGGCGAGTAATTGGGATTCGAATCTGTTCTCATCATCAGCACTCCGCAGACGGCAACATGCCGGACGGCAAGACACATACTTGTGGTTAGCAACCATCAACTTCTCCTGACTCTCCGCCACCAAACCCTCCAACCCCCGAATCCGCTCCCCCCGAGCAACAAGCTTCCGCTCCGCAATCGCCACCTCCTTCTTCAGCTGCGCATTCTGCTCCACCAATTGCCGCTGCACCAGCGTGAGCTGCTCCAAATTCCGCTCCAGGAAAGCGAGTTTCTTCTGCTGCTGCTTGCTGTTCGAGCTGCGCAGAATGCTGTTGTACTGCTCGCGCGTGCTGTCGAGGGAGATTTCCAGCTCCACCACGCGCTCGCAGCGGTTCTGCAGGTCGCGCATGAGCGATTTCTTAATCATGTCGAAGTCGGCGAGTTGCTTGCTTAGCGTCGCGCCGTTGGCGCCGCCGTTGATCGCTTGTTTTCGCAGGGTTTCGAGCTCGTCGGTGAGACGCGCGTTCTCTTCCTGCTGTCGGGAGAGTGCGTTTTGGACATCTGGTGAGTGTGCGTTGCCGTTCTGTTGAGACGCGAATGAGTCTTGTAGTCTCCTCTTCACCTCCTCCACATCTGATGGAGATAGGTTGCGTTCGAGGATGTTTTGGTAGTCTTGTTGCACGCGTGCAAGCTGATCCTCGAGTGCGGCGCTGTGCGCGTCATCCTCGTGGCCGTTTGCTCCCACATCCGCCTGCCGTACAACGCCCTGAATTTCGAGCAGGCGCTCTTTCAGTGATTGTAGTTCGTCAGGAGCAATCACATCACCGTTCTCGGCAATTTCCGTCAGGTTGTCCACTCGCTGAATCATCTCCCGGACGTGCATTTCGTTAGCCGACATCATGCCATCACCAAGATCAAAGCCCGCCATCATCTGCGCCATACGCTCCTTCTTCAGTCGGTCCTTTTCGTCAAGCAGAGCAGATGACTCCTTCGCAGTCATCTTGGCATCGAGCAATTGATGCTTGACATCATCCAGCTCCGCGGTGAGCTCGCTGTTGGCCTCTTTGAGAGAGTCCATGGTGATAGACGCCTCCTTGGTCTCGAACTGGATTTTCTCAACCTGCATTCGGAAGCCTTCGACATCGCCCTGCAACTTTTCGTTCGAGCGCGTGACATTCACATGAGATTCACGAAGGTCCCGGATTTCATTTCGGGCCACCTTGAGAGCTTCCTCTGCGGCTGCGAGGGCAGACTCCTTCTCAGCCAGCTGATCTTGGAACTCATTCTCCCGCCTCAAAAAGTCGTCCTTCTCATCCCGGTCCATGAGAATACTCGGCGTTCCAGACCTCTCAATTTCCATTCTGCTCTCCGGTCTCGGCGTGCCCGGAATATCCTGTGTTGATCGCAGTCTACTAGGCGTGGCAGATTGCGGAGGTGCCTGGGACATCGACCCGGCAATCGCTTTCAACGCTGGTGTCCATTGCTCCTTCGGTACCTGACCACCTCCTCGCCAGGTGTTGACTTCACCCTCAAGGGAGGATAGATATGTTTGGTAGTGCATAACCTCACTCTGCACCTTCTTGAGCTGCGCCTTGAGTTGAGCAGGCGAGAGCTCCTCGTTGATCTTGGCCTTCTGTTTGATGGTCTTTGCACGTTCGCCGAACCGCAGGGTCGACATCGTCTCGGAATCGTTGTAGCTGCTTGGCGAGCAGTTGATAATCAAAGTCGTGCGAGAGTTTCCGCCGAGCGATTCTTGTAGAATCCGCGTGAGTTTACTGTCTCGGTAAGGAATGTGGCTGCTCTTGCCGTCAGAGAGCGCGTTGATGACCATGCCGAGCGCAGACAGAGATTTGTTGATCTTCTTCGCCTCCTCCAGAGTCTGTCCGGACGCGCCAGTCTTGCCGACTTTCTCAGACCCCGCCAGATCGACCAAGAACAGCCGACCGGAGCGGGCAGAGCCTGACTCTGTATTCTTCTGGGTGACTTCTATCACGAAGATGGAATGTGACCGAGAGGACTCCTGGTTCATGTTTGTTGCCGCCACTGCTCTTGATTGCCCACCTCTTTCCAGAACCTGGTAAACCTCACCCACGTTGGCAACATAGAACTCATGCAACCCCTTGACGTACACGCCTCTCGACTTGTCCTCATGCACCGGCAAATTATCATTCTGCGGCACCAGCAGATCCCGAATCTTCTCCATGTAGATCTCCATGTAGCTGACCTTGACCGTGAATTCAATGCTGGCATCGCTGCGCAGGATACTGTCGAAGATTTGCTCTACGATGCGCGGGATGATACCTTTGGCCTGGTCGTCTCCAATGTCCGCGCCCATCATGGTATACGTCTTGCCGGAGCCCGTCTGGCCGTAGGCGAAGACGGTTCCATTGTACCCGGCCAGCACATCATCGACGGTGCTGCGGATGGAGTAGTCGAAGACTTCGTGTTGGCGGGCATTGATGGGAAAGACGCGATCGTAGGTGAAGGTGCCGCTGGCTTCTCTCGAGGTAACGGTACAGGTATCCTCGCCCGAGAACTCCACAATCGACCCGCTGCCGGCGGCTTGTTCGATATGATTCTGTGGGCGGAAGCGGGCGACGACTTTGATGGTGTTGGAGGAGGACATGTCGATGGTTGTTGGGCGGGGCAGACGCGCCTATCCAGACCTTCTTGCGCGTTAGGAGATGGCGCAGAGCGAGGGACACAGGAGCTCCTTGTATCCCAAGCAAGGCCAGGTAAGCACAATCGCTGGCAGAGTATTCACCGCGATGGCTTCCAGTCGCCGCACACCATCCAAACGGGATTTCGAACTTCACCTAGGCGTCATGTGTCTCGGGCTTTAAGACGTCCAGTGAATGGAACGAACGTTTCGGAACCAGAAACGTCCAAGGGTGGGATGGTGAAAGGAGTGTTTACGCTCGTCGGCCTCTCGCAGCGGCGACCCTGCTTTCCCGCACGCGCTAACGCCCGCCTTCCGCAACTCTAATGTCGCCCGCTTGCACGTGTTGCACGCCCATCGCAAGGCTTTGCTATGCCTTCGGAAAGACGTTCACTGCAACGAATAGAGTGTAACAGCAGACATCGGTATCGAGCTCGCTCATTCACCACAGTCTTTTGGTCGTGTCTCATCCGCTTTCTGCAAACGTTTCATTTCGGAAAGTGACTACCGCGGATCCTGAATCCGTGCTGCGACTACAGGCATCCATGAACTGGTTGTGGTAACTCGAAAGAACATCTAATCGGTCGAAAGATGACTGAATCCTGGCATTCCTTTCTAGAGTCAAATTTGAAGTCGTCTCATCCCGGATCAACTCATATCCGTCAGACAGCCAACGGCATGGGAGAAGCCGGCAAAGCTGTCACGTCAATCTACAAAAATAAGTCGAGAACCTCCAAGCGCACCCGCAGACGCGTATACTAACGTTCTCGACGACGCAAACCAAGGAGAGCCAAGCAATACTGCTTTACGATCTCCGACCGTTCCGTTCAAAACGGGGCGTCCGGTAGTTCACAAACCCGACACGTGGCAGGCGTTTGCAACGAAACCACAATTCGCTTGCCTCACACACAGGAATCCAAGACGAATTAGGAAACCCAAACCATACATCCCCAAGGTTGTCGTCGTCGTGATGCTCTAAATCCATCCGTACCCGCCGAATTTTTATGTTGGGGGAACGGGCCGCAGCCGAGCGGCAAAAGTGTGGCGCACCGTTGCTCGAAACGGGCATGCAGTCCATACACTTCTCCACCGCTACTCATATTCGTCATGTCCACGCGCACTTCTGCTGACACCACGGGATCTAGACGGCTGCTCGTTTGGTTGTTATATGGAGCAGTCGCGTCGAGACAGCGGAGGGAGAAGAATTTTCATCGGGATTTCTGGTTGATGATGCTGCTATTCTCGTGAGTTGCGTCCCCAACTGCGCACGGAGACGCGCTCGCCGTACGTGTGCTCTGTGGCCATTCCATATATATTGTAAGTATGCCGCTCGTTCTCCTTGGTTCTCCGTTTTCTCTCTCCGCATTCAATCAATCGACACAGCTCGCCACTCCTTTCGAGCCTTTGCGTCTTAGTCCGGGAGGGGGATGTCGAAAGAAGCGGGACAGGGCATATCAAAAGACGATGGACAGTACTCTTCGCCAAAACAGGAGATCTCATTTACGAACGTCAACTACCTCGGAGCCATCGTGTTCACGATAGGATGCAGCGTGCTGGTTGTGAACGCAGTCCTCTCTTTCCTACCCTTCCTCAATGCTGCTTGGGCCCTTCCGCCCAGCGTCATATACGTGGAAGGAGGGCTGAGTCTGGCGAGCAACGCACTCTTCCTGTGCGGCAGCGCCTTCTCTCTGATCCAGACGATCCGAGCTGAGCGGAACAACGACGATGGCGAGCCACTGGACAACATCTCACCAATGGACCCGCCGGAAGAGAAATCATCAACCTCCAATCTACCCGGCACGAACGCCGACTTCTCCGCCTCCAGCGAAACGCTCGTCAACAGCGAGCAAACACAAACCACCTTGAATCTCCCCGGCACAAATCCCGCCTTCTCCGCCTCCGCCGAAACCCTCGTCACCCCCAACGAGAAAGCCACCAACTCCCACCACCACCACCACCACCACCACCAACCCCTCTCCACCCACGAGCTCTTCACCCGCTGCATCCACGAAACCAGCCTCCTCGCCACCGCCCTCTTCCTCTGCAGCTCCATCGTCTACTTCACCTCCTCCATCGCCTCCATCATCACCATCGCCCAAACAGGCACCATCTCCCGCTGGATCCGGTATCCGCAGCTCATCGCCGCGTGCGGCTTCGCCATCGCCTCCATCATGATGATGCTGCAGCGGCAGGAGAAGTGGTGGCGCCCGGCGTGGCGGAGCTCGCGGTGGATTGTGAATTTGTGGAATCTGGTGGGCAGCGCGGGCTTCATTTTCTGCGCGTGCTTTGGGTTGATTGAGAATGTCGGCTGGGCCAAGTATCAGTTTGGCATGAGCTATTTGTGGGGGTCTTTTTCGTTTTTGCTGGGCAGCGTTTTGCAGTATTACAAGTCGATAAGAAGGTCGGCGAGGGAGAAGTCTAGGGAATGGGCATGATGCATAACGAATAATGGAATACTATGATCGGTTTGAATGGTAATCTGGCTGGCCATCCACCAGTCCCAAGCACTGCTCAAAACGTTCCACTCTAGCCAATGCTTCACTGGTCCCAATCAACAAAGCGCAACAGAGTGCGCTCGCGTGGCACGTGCATCGCCGCACAGAACATGGCCCTTCTCGTGTCATGCTCTTGTCCAGCCTTCGCAACAGACTTGATACGAACCCACAGGCCCGAGTTCAAGAAACGAAGCTGGCTGAAATCACCGGCCTTCTTCCGCCGGCGTGGACGTGGGTAGGGCGCTGGTTTCGTGCGCGGTGGTCTGAAATATATCCGTGGCAATTTCTCTGGAGGAATTGGATCGGGGCCAGGATGCAGCCTCGGAGCGAGACGCAGTGTTGAGACGTGCGCATTCGGGAAGTGTGGGAAGTGCAATTTCCAGGTCAGGGTGATTGCGTGGTAATTAAGCGTCGGTCGCTGAGCGTAAGGCTCGTATCGCTTCCAATCAAGATTTGATGGACCGCTCCAACAATCCGTTGTCGTGTGGGGTTGGAGCACGAACGTGGTCGAGGCGGGCTGGCCATCGATGCGGTGAGTCTCGAATTGCCTGCTCTCCAAGCCCTTCAACCGCTCCACGATCGGTAGGAGCTGTGGGACTTTGTAATCAAGGGTCTCCAGTTCAAGCCGCAGAATGTGAGTACTGCGAAGATCGGGCGAGTCCAGCAGAGCCTGTACCCATGGGTCTTTGAGTACCAAAGCGGCATCGTTCTCCCAAAACTGTCTCATGTTCTAGTTAGCCAGTGCGTCGACGCGGCGATGTAGCAGGAACACGACAAAGTGTAAGCGCAACTACGCACCCACCAATCGGTGTGACGGATCGTCACCTTCAGCATACGCGGCTGAAAGTCGGCTTCATGACGCGGCGTGCTGAGAAAGTAGTCCCTCACGGCTCCAGGCGCGGCGGTCAAGGGCTCGATGGCGAGCATTTGGGCGAACAAATGCAGGCTGCCACAATTCTTGCGATTCAAGGGCGTGAGTGCATCCATCCAGGCGCGAGTGCGGGCATCGGGTGCGCTCCGGTGGTAGTAGAAGCAGTGCTCGGCCTGCAGCATAGGCAAACGGTTGGCTTCCAGCCAGATCCGACGACAAGTCAGTAATAGTGAGACATGCGTTTTGAGCCGATGGGTGTGGCCTGGGCGGTAGCAGTATTGCTGCTCGTGATATGGACGCTCCTCATCCTCGAACGGCGCGGTGGCGAGAGCCCAGATTGACTCGCGGATCTCCCTGGGAAGCTGAGAGAAGAGCGGGGAGGAGAGTTGGGAATTGCACGTTGCGAAAGTGTCGCTGCTCTCGATATCGTCGATGGTCACCTGGCGACCTGCGTGACGCCCAGTCCGAGCAGGTGGCGCCATGGTGTTGGTGAACGTCGCATAGAAGTAGGAGACGAGAAGATAGGGGAAAGTTTCGAAGAGGTTAAGAGAGTTTCTTTCGAAAGACCGACCGACCAAATGGCACAAGACAGTAGCGGGTGTAGCGTTGCCTTACCTAAGCCTAGTTGCCCCTGACACATCCAACCAGGCAGCAGACGAGGGTGGCTGCGCACTCTGCGCCAGGCAGAAGCTCGCGATGGTGCATGAAGGATGGAGCTGTCCCACATCGGCCATAAAGCGTCACAGATGCCTAACAGGTTATATGTGTTGATTGATGGCGTATAATAAGTTCAAGAAGTCAAGGCGTTGGAGGCCTCCTGGAGGCTGGTGAGAAGGCGGCAAGGCGGCGCTGGTGGAGTTTCCAGGCCCAAGCGCCCAAGCGCCTTCCCAGTGGACCTCCCGCTTTGGGAAGCTAGAAATTTATAACGTCTCTATTGTACCGTCGTCATTACTATGGACTCAAGCCGCGTGGAAGAGAGATGAGACTGCGCCCGCGATCACCTGTCCTTTCCTCAAAGTACATCCAATCATTGCGCGCTCCACTCCGCTCCTTCAGCACCCGCATGGCTCACTCCAACAATAACAAGACGACCTCACCACCATCAACACCCGACTACACAACCTGGACCAACCCCGAGCTAATAAAACGAATCACCCTCCTCGAAACGCAGCTCCGCGCCCAAACATCCACCCCCCTCCAAAGCAACAAGCACGCCCCCAAAAAGCAGCCCAAACCCTTCGACCCCTCCAAATATGCCACCCGCCTCATAGCCCTCAAATTCGCCTACCTAGGCGGCGCGTACAATGGTTTCGAGCACCATGTGAACAACAAGACGCCGCGACCTACAATTGAAGAGGTGTTGTGGCGGGCACTGCGGAAGACGAAGCTGGTGCTTCCGGAGTTTAAAGAGGGGCAGCTGGGGGAGGGTGAGGAGGAAGAGGAGGTGTGTTGGGAGGGATGCGAGTATAGTAAGTGTGGGAGGACGGATCGGGGTGTGAGTGCTTTTGGGCAGGTGATTGGGGTTCGGGTGCGGAGTAGTCGGCCCAAAGAGAGGGTTGCGGATATGGAGGAAGAAGAAGGCACGGGAGTGAAAGAGATGGGGAAGGAGTGGCATCACATTCGAGACGAACTGCCCTATCTTCAACTGCTGAATCGCAATCTGCCTGCCGACATTCGAATCCTCGCCTGGTGTCCCAACCCGCCTCCTGACTTTTCCGCAAGGTTCAATTGCAGGGAACGGAGGTATCGCTACTTCTTCACCAATCCTGCATACATGCCCGATCCGTCTCAATCAAGGTCGCGCGACTCCGCCGGCGGTGGCTGGCTTGATATTGAGAAGATGCAGCAAGCAGCGAAGAAGCTGGAGGGACTGCACGACTTCCGCAATCTGTGTAAGGTCGACCCCTCGAAGCAAATCACCAACTTCGAGAGGCGGATCTTCAGTGCGGGTGTTCACGCAGCTGGCCCGGAGGATGAAGCGGGCGCTTTGCTTTCGCTGCCTCCGTTCAGTGCCGAACCAAACGGGAATCACGTCGCATCATCGCCTTCGAATTTGCAAGTGCACTATTTCGAGGTCTGCGGCTCCGCCTTCCTCTGGCACCAAGTGCGGCACATGGTGGCCATCTTGTTTCTCGTCGGTCAAGGGTACGAGCAGCCTGAGATCGTGGATGAGTTGCTTGATGTTGCGAAGAATCCGGCGAGACCAATGTACGACATGGCTTCGGACATTCCCTTGGTGCTATGGGACTGCATCTTCCCCGCTCTCAATCAGACGAGTGATGGCGACCATGGATCCGCACGGCCAACAAATGGGTACGAGGACGCCATGGATTGGCTCTACGTCGGCGATCAAGCCAACGACGATTCCGAACCCACAAAGCAAAGCCGCATGGTGCTGATGCAAGATCGGAAGTATGGCCGACTCGGGATTATGGAAGATTTGTGGGCGCAGTGGCGCAGTCGCAAGATTGAGGAGGTGCTTGCTGGCTCTTTGATGAACGTCGTGGCTCGGCAGGGCCAGTCGGCGTCCCGTTTGTCTCCGTTGGGTGGTCTGACTGCAGCAGATGCGAGCCCACGGCTTTTTGATGGAAGTGACACGCCGCGGACAACGGGCGCGTATATCCCTCTCATGCGACGTGAGCGGATGGAGGTGCCAGAGGTGTTGAATGCTCGGTATGCCATGCGAAAGGGATTGAACGGTAGCGCTGGGCTAGATGCGGCGGCGGATGGTGATGAGTAGTCCGATAACCTTAGCCGTAGACACACCACTTTGCTCCGAACTCAAGTCTTCGGCTCATACAAACAAGCCCTCGCCCCCCTCCACACATCCTCCAAAATCTCTCTCCGCGGCAGAATCTTCTACATCCCGCACATAGTCAGCACAGAGCCTCACCACGAAGAGGTAACATGAAAGAGAAGCAGAACCCACCGGAAAAACAACAACAACATCCTCCTCCCCCTCGACAACAATACTCAAGTAGAACCGCACCTCAAACCCCTTGAACGCCTCATGAATCAGAATATCCTGAATCGCGCTCGTAGGGATGAAACTCGTCGAGCTGCTCCACAGATAACTCGGCCCGGAAGTCGAAGTCTGCACGCCTAGCCCCCGAATCACGAGGAGCGATTCCTCCGTGTAGGACTTGCGGAGAGCGAGGGCGAGGAGGGCGAGGTAGAGGGCCAGGCGGGCGGGGAGGGGAACGTGGGTTGTGAGGTGGGGGAGTAGGGTTGAAGTTGGGGGGGTGGTTAGGAGGTGTTCTAGGGTTTTTGAAAAGCTGGTGGTGGGGGATGTGTTGGGGATGGCGGCGCGGTATTCCCACAGGAGGGCTGTGAGGGTTAGGAAGCCTAGGAGGAGGCGCGCGAGGAGGAGGAGGGTGTTGAGGAGGTGGGCGGTGAGGGTTGTTGTTGGGGATCTGGTGGAGACGGTGTAGAGGACTGTGGTTGATGTTGGCCGTTTGATGGTGAGCATGGTTGGGACATGGGGTGTCGATTGTGTTTGTTTGAGGATGGGTGGTGTGGGAGAAGAGGTGAGGTTGGGTTGGAGGTGGCTTGTGCGGGTTTTCAGCCACAGCAACTCTCTCCGTTTTCGACCTACTCTGACCGGGTGGGAGCAGCATCGATGGGTCGACCAACGCGAACAATGGCAGAGCTATGAAATTGTGTCGACCCAGTCTAGCCACTCGTGACAATCGCATAGTGCAAGCCGACCAGCGGCTTGATGCATTACATTTAAGAGATCCCCGGCAATAAAACGCTAGGCAGCATGCATCATCATAACACATCAACATCATAAACCTCATCACTCATCTCCTCGCAAGTCCTCACTCCCCCCAAGGGATCTCCCTCTCTTCCACCCTCACACAGGTCAAATACCCAAGACCGCCACCCGCAAAAGAGCTCAAATCCAACTCCAAACAGTTCCGCATCAAAGGCTTCACCGCCTCCCTGGCCAACGCCTTGGCATCGTCCATGCGCCGCTCGAATTTGCGCAGGTTGTCGCGCGTGTAGAGATCAGGCTGGAGTTTGAGGAAGCGCTTGAGTTCGTCGTGGGCGAGGTAGGAGGTTGTTCCGGCGGGGGAGCCGAGGAGGCGGTAGATGCGGCCTGGAGAGGGGGTGGATTGTACTTGTTGCTGCTGGGTCGGATCGGGGCGTTGGCTTGCGATGTGGTTGCTGCTTCGGCTTGTGCCTCGCGTGGGTTGTTGGTGGCCTGCAGACGATGTAGTGGTGGTGTCGGGAGTGCTGTTATCCGCCAGCCATTGACGGAAGAGACTGATTGCCAGCCAGGACAAGTAGTCATTGCTAGGCGTCACCCGATCGCCTCTGCTCGTTGTCAGGTTGAGACGCCATAATCGGAATTCCACCTTCTCCTGCTGCTCGCTCAGCTCATCCACCTTGTCCAAGATGAGATCCATCACGCTGTCGTCGACTTGATTCCGCAACTGTGGTGCCGCTGCAGGCCATTGGCCGACGACATGGATCAACGCTTCCGTGAAGATGCTCCTCGATCGCGCCAGATATCCAAGCTTGAGGTAGGAAGGCGGATACTTGGCAATCTGCTTGAGCAATTTCCCACCAAACCGCAGGAGATGATGATCAACTCTGCTTCCCACAATCTCGAGAGCGTCGTACATGTCGGCCAGATTGAGCAATGCCTTGCACTCGGTGTATGCGTTGGCGATGTTGATGCTGTCTAGAATCGGCGGATACTGATACATTGTGCGAAAGAGGTTGTCGTAGTCCTTGAGAACCTCATCTCCGGGCTCCGAAATGGTAGTTGAGTGCGTGCGCTCGTTCAGATTGAGTGCAGAAAAGTTGGCCATGCTCCGGAAAAAGCCCTCATTCGCCGGTGGGGGTTTGTTACGCGATGATCTCTCTTGACCCTTTCCCTCCCCTCCAAACAGTGACGGCGCTTCCTCATCCCTCTGCACAAGCATCGGCGCCTCATCTTCTCCAGCATGCTCCCAGTCAAGCACATACCGCCACCGCCTCTTTCCAGGCAGCTCATAAGATCCCCTCCCCTCCCGACTACTCGCCCGAGAGCTACTGCCCACAGTCATGCTCTCATTCTCGTTGATACTCGGCAGCGCCCCTCCTCCCGCTCCCAAACTCCACTCAACTCTCGTGCCCGCTTCAAAGACCCCCGAGCACTGGCTCAAAATCAAGCGATGCAGCAAATACTTATTCTCCTTCCGGCCGCTCAGACTTGTAATGATAATCTCCACGTCGCCCGTGTGCGAGAAGATGGGAAACTCGTTCTGCGCCTGGTGCACGCTGGAGCCGCCATGGTGCGTTCGCGCGTGTCGGTGGCGGCGGGTGTGCGAGCGGCCGGAGGTGACGGAGGCGGCAGGGCGGGGTGGAGGGGCAGAGAAGAGGGGAGGGGCGGTTGCGGCGAGGGAGGGGAGCGGGGGTTCGGAGTATGGTGGGGGATGGATTCGGGAGACCATCTGGTTGTAGTCTGGGTTGTGTTTTTCGTATGCGATCGCCCGTGTCTTCCTCCCAACTCGAGGTGTGCGCGCTGCGTCCAAGATTGCCCGAGCGTGTGGTCGAACTCAAAGGCAATTTGCCTTGTGTCGTAGATATGACCAGCTGGCCGCGCCGGTGCCGGTGGACGTAGAGTGGGAGGCAGATCTCATGGAGATCGCCATGAATACAGACGCACGAGCAAGAAGATGCCCTTGGTCGCGCGGAGGTGTGGTATCTTGTATCTCTCTTAAGACGAGGGGTGGCGGCGATTGGAGCGCGGATTCAGGCACTACGATGAATACGGACTGGCGCGCATGGAATTGTGCAGGGCAGAAGGAGATCGGGCAGCCACTCGTTCGTCGGACGAAACTAAACTTCACGCAAACAACATCAATCTGCTCCATCTCAAACCCTTGCTTTCCGTCATTGCCTCTTTTCTTAAGAAAGGCAACCCTTGAACTTCCCCTTGACAATGGTGTACGCCACAGCTCCGGTCACGTCGCTGGCTGCGGAGTAGTTCGCCACGGTGGTCGGGCCGCCGCCAAAGGTATACCCGTAAAACAACAGGCTGCTCTTAACCCCAGGGGGACGCTCGGCTTCTACACGCGATAGGGTCAGTCAGCCTCCACGCTGCTGGGTCACGGACTAGGCAAAAGACACACCTTGCCACCCGATCGACGACGTACAGCCCGGGTCTTTGCGGCATTCCCGGAGCAGATGCTCGCCCCAGCTCGTCGTGTTCCCCGAGGCGCCGTCGCCGTGGTAGGAGTTGCGGATGTCGGATGCCACCAATTCGCCAGTCGCCATGTAATTGCCGGGAATCGGGACTTGACAGAAACGGGGTTGGCGAGGAGGTAGTCCGATTGCCCCTGGCGCGGGCATGGCAGTGGTCATGCTTGCCAGGGCAATCGCGGTGCTGATCATGTACGCTTTCATTTTGGGTGTAAAATGTCGTGATGGGTGCGAGATTGTTGTGAGGATCATATCGCGCGATGGCTGCATTTTATACCACGCGCAGTCTCGGCCCCCAACAACACTGTTCGCTGGTTCAACGGCATATCTAGCCATAGGCGAGCCTTCTGGCAGGAGAGTACAACCTGGTCGCATTTCGCGGCGGCACGTTTTATGAGAAGCGCAGGGGCGTTGTTCGCCCGCGGCTGGTAAGGCTCGCCTAATGTCACAGCGGCCCTAGAGCCACGGGTGTGGCCAGACATGCCGTTGAAGGCTTCTATGGCCAAGTTGCACTAGCAAGCAGGGTTGCGGCGCATTCTTGTGTAGAGGGAAGTACAAGGAGTGGAATTGGCATGGAATCGTCGAGCAATCCTACGCCACAGCAGCGGCCTCACCATTCTCCTTCTTTTTCGATGCAATGGAACTCGTCTTTTTCTCAAATCTAATCTACAGTTCTCGCTGCACTCAACAATCTGCTTATACCTATCTACAGACGCCGAGAACCCCGCCACTTGTCTCGGACCCTCCGTCGGCGTCTCCTCCCTCCTCATGAAGGGTAGGAGCCGGCGTTGCAACCACCCTTGCCCTTGACAATGGTGTACGCCGTAGCATCAGACGCAGCAGCACTCTCAGTGTAATTTGCCGTCGTTGTCGGTCCACCGCGGAAAGTGTATCCAAACCAAAATTTACCACCCGTGCTACCCGAGTTGACGGCTAGAGAGAGGGAAGTCAGCCTTCACGCTGCTGGACCACGAGATTGACGTGCAAACATACCAGCGAATCCGAGCGAAGAGGTACACGCCGGCTCTTTCTCGCACTCGCTCAGGACGTGCTGGCCCCAGCTCTCCTGGTCGTATTTGGAGTATTTGGCATTGATGCCTTTGATCACGTTGCCTGGGAACAGAGATGGGCCGGCTTCGTAGTGGCCTCCGGGAAGCGAGACGGGACAGAAGGTCGCCTTGTTCGAGCCCTTGGGCTCAGGGGCGGGCATGGCGGTGGCCATGCTGGCAATAGCGAGTGCTGTGGCGATGAGGAAAGCCTTCATGTTGGGTGTGAGGAATAGTGATGGGACTGAGTGGGAGGTGTTATGTCAAGTAGTTGCTGCGTGTGTAGACCAGAAGATGGGGACAGATGAATATATACACAGTCGCAGCCACTCACTCGCTTGCAAACAAACACATCTTCAGGCGAGATATTCTCATCACGAATACGAGCCGTTGCTACTAATTCGCGACCATACGACCGGAGGCGCAGCGGTGGTGGTGTTGTTGACTCTCGGCTGGCACAAGGCTGGCGTGATGTGGAGCCGGCTGGCTTGCGTACCCCGGAACCACAGATACGGTCGAGTAGAACGTTACATTCGTGGACAGAAGGCAATGCAATTTGCAACCTAAGGCATTCCGAATGTGAGGAATTTAATAAGGGAACGATCGAATGTGTAGCGAGCGCATCCTTGCGGCGCATAGGGTGCAGGCTACAGTTGCCAAAACAACGACCCGGCCGCGGAGGAGTTCAGCCACGCGCCACGAAACCATACTCTTGAGCAATCCTTCGCTAGCAACATACAGGCAGCCTGCTGATTCGGTTGAAGCTGACATTGTTCGCACAAATAACAATACTAGGTCGGAAGCAGTTCTACGACATCGTAATTTGAATCGATTGTTGAGACGCTTGACACTCGTGAGGCCAGGACACATGCAAGACTAGATTCGTCCAAGCTTCGTGTATAGACAGAGGCATCAAAGGCCCATCTCATCCCCTCTGCTCCTTCCCTCACTCCTCCTCGCTCTCCTCGCTTTCATCTTGCACATTCCCCGTCACCACATCCGGCTCACCAGGGTCCTGCAGCGCGAGGGAAAGCTGCTTAGTGAAATCATCATCCTCCTCTTCATCACCAATCACATGCTCCCCATCCTCCTCCCCCGGCCGATGCGCCTGAGCAGGCGAAGGCAATTCCAACCCTTCCACATCCGCATCCGCCTCCTCCTCCTCATCACCACTCTCCTCTCCCAGCTCCATCTCCTCGTCCTCCAGATATCGCCCAGGCCGCGGCACCGCAGGCGACGCGACCCTGCTGCTCATCAATGGACTCGCAGCAGCCGAGTGCAGACTTATAGGCCCCTGTCCCAGCTGGCCTGAGAACGCAAGTGCCATGGCGCTGCGCGGTTTTTCCGTTACGGGCGTTTCGTCATCTACGACCAGTTCTCCCGAGTCCTCGTAGGGAGGGACTTGCAGCGAAGCTTTGCGGTCTAGTTTGACTCGCGGGATGGGAGCTTTGGATTTGGTGGCGGATGGCGCTGGCTCGCCGCTGGCTTTGGCTCGTTTGGGGTCGCTCTTGACGGGCTCCTGTGCCTTGCGTTTCTTGTCTGCTGCATCCGGATGCTTTGGCGGCTCAGATCGCGAAGTGGCAGGCCCTGCTCGAGCTCGTGGAGGTGATGCGCCCCGTTCTGCGCGGATCCCTTTTGTATCGCTCTGTGCCGCAAGCATAGCACCCTCCCCCATGTAATGCCGGTAATCGAACGGGTTCCCCGCTTCCGGCGGTCCAGCCTCAGAATGCTGCGTCGCCTCAGCAGCCAAAGTCTTCCCGGCACCCCCATCAACAGGAATATGCGGATACTCGTCTTCGAGCTCCCACACGTTCTTCCCATCGGGCAGCCGCAGCAAATTGAAATCAAAACACGCATCCAACTTCTCCAGCACCACCTCCCGATCTTTCCCCTTCCCCTGCGCAAGCAAGACATACCGATCATGCTGACTTGTTCGGGCGCGCTTGCTGCTGCGGTAACGGTATTCTTGCTCGCCGTTCTTTAGCTTCAGAACGAAGGACGAGTCGTCTCGGGGCTGGAAACTGCTTTCCACCTTCTTCCCATCTTCGACCCGGGGTTTGTAGTTGTATTTTATGCTGGTGAGGCGCTTGTCTTCGCTGGATTTGAGGATGCTCGCGCCCAGGCGGATGGGCACGGAGGTGGAGGAGGTGAGGTCGAGGGTGGAGGTAGAGGGCACTACGGCGGCGGCTGCCATGGCTATAGAGGGGTATACGGGTTGTATGGATCTGTTCAGTGTTGTGGGTGTAACTTCTAGTCAAAACCGATGTAGTGTGGAAGGTGGGAAAGAAAAGAGGGGAGGACCCAAGAGACACGAGCGAGCGAGTCTTTGGTCGACCGGCACAAGAACACAGCCAAGACAGCTGCCGAACTGGTTGAAGCTGACCGCAAGGGTTCATTGAAGTCGCTTACGGACTGGGGTAATGTGGGGCTGCGGGAGGACGGGAGGCCGGACGGGTGCATCCCGTGCAGAGCGGGTAGCCAATTATAGCACCTGGTGTCTCGCAGGGCTGGCCTCACGTGCACAGCGTGCATGAGCTTCACCGGATGGCCGCATGCAATATAGGTGCGGATCTACGGCGCTTGAAATAGACGGCTTGACATGGGACCTCTCGCGAAGAACGTGCAAAGTGTGATACAGGGTATCTACATACAATCAAACAAACCACACCCGCTAGCACCAGAAATCTACACTTTCCCATTCCCTCCCACGACCGCCTCTCGACTAGCCTCATACAACGGCATAATGTCCGTCCAAAGCTTGAACTGATGAATCCCCTGCCCAACCAACGCCTCCAACCCAGGCACACTCCTCCACCCGTTGGCCTGCGCCAGCTGCATCAAACTCGTGACTGCAGGCTTGTAGGCCATCTCGAGCAACACCTTTCCTGCACCGTTGTCACTTGCACCCGTGCGGGCCTGGAAAATCGCAGCGAGAATCTCCTGCATCGCCGCATCGATCGGTACGTCGCCAGGAATCGTTCCAATGGCCACAGTAGGCTGTGCATCCGCGGGTAGCGCAACAGCCTCTTCAACACTGCTAACGAGATGGATGTTGTACTCCTCCGAGAAGCTCTGCGTAAGCGTCGCGAGCTTCGCCTTGTTGCGACCGATCAAATAAACAGGACTGTAGCCCATTTCCTTGAGAGCGTAGATGGCCGCGCGAGCCGTGCCGCCGCCGCCAACCACCATACCGGCTTCCTTGCCCGTGCTCTTGCGGCCGGCGCCGGCGTTGCGGAGCGCGAGAATCATGCCTTGCCAGTCGGTGTTGTAGCCTCTCAGCACCGTCTTGCCATTGTCATCATGCACTGGGACGATGGTGTTGACGGCTCCGATGGTATTGGCTGCGCTGTCGATTTCGTCGATCAGGGGCATGACATCTAATTTCAAGGGAATGGTGACGCTGGCGCCGCCGAAGGTAGGCGAGCGGATGAGGTCTTTAACATCCTGAGCGTCGTTCGTCTCGAACAGACCATATTGGTGGGGCAGTCCGGTGAGGCTGAAGAGCGTGTTGTGTAATGCTGGACTCCTGCTTTGGCTGATCGGCTTGCCAAAGAGGTAGTACTTTCGAGCGGGAATGTCTCCGACTATGCCCAGCACGGTCCGGATATCTGCTGCAGAGACCTGGCCCGGAGCGGCTGCGGACGGCAGCGCAGGATGAGACACTGGCGTCATGAAGTGGTTGTTGACTCTGCTCATTTTCCCCGCTTCACCCATATTCATAGCAATGAAAGGGACGTCAGCGTACTCCGCCGCGGCCCATTTCTTGAAAGCCTTCAGATCGTCATTGTCTTCTGTGGACTTCGCCACGCCAATCAGCTTGACGATATCTCCGTACTCCCTTGCGGCTTCGAAATGCGGCAGCCAGTCTTCTCCCTCGTTCGACCACGAAAGAAGGCCCTTGGGGTCATGGTGGGAGGCGATGATCGTACACATCTTGCGATGGGCGAGCACGAAATCCTTCAGTTCGGGGGAGGATGTCAGCTCCAGATCGACAAAATCGAAGCCCATCCGCAGAGCGACTCGATACAGCTCCAGCGCTCGCGGGATATTGTCGTCGAGGAAACGACCACCCTGGGATATCGTCCTCAGCGTGAAAATCAGTGGCAATGTGCTCGAGGCTCGCAGAAGCGATACTTGATCCACAAGGAATTCCGCGGTTGGCATGCCATCCTTCGACTCGGGGTCGACCAGAAGGTCCGCTCGCAACTCGATTGCGTCGACACCCATAGTGACCTGGGGCAATAGAGGTGTGAGACTTTGGATCGTCGGTGCAGTGAGAGCGACGAAGAAGGAGTGCTTCTTCTTCCGAATCCGCGCCAACGCCTCCGCACGTCCGGTCATGGTATACAGAAAGCGGCTGAAGTCGTCCAGAGGCGATGTCCAACCCGCAATCGCCGCACTTTCATCCACAGCCTGAGAATGGTAGTGCAAGTTGCTGCATTCCTCGTACCAAGGGCGGCGTCGGAGATAGACGCCCATGATGTCCTCCACGTATGCTGGGCGGGTCTTGTCGATGTTCAAGTAGTCCACGATCAATCCGACCTCGCGCGTGACTAGGATGACCATGCCTTCCTTCTGCCAGTCTTTCAACAGTTGTCGCGCTTCCGGTGTTTCAACCAGGCCTCCTCCGGCCGCGAAGATGTACCCTGTCGGGTGATCAGTCATGACTCGTTTGAGTAAACGAAGCTCTCTTGCTCGGAAGTCCTCCCAGTCATTGTCTTTGAGCATCTCCAGGATAGTCATTCCCTCGACACGCTCCAGTTCTGTGTCCAGATCGATGAAGGGCCATCCCAGGATTCGAGACGCCCAGCCGCCGGCAGTAGTCTTGCCCGCAGCCCGCATGCCGATGATGAATATGCTTTTCTTCACGATCGGGGAGCCGTGATGGCCGTTCAAATATCCGTTGACCCCATTCGTAAGAGCACGGTGTTGTTCAGCACCAGCCAATTCCACGCCGAAGGTCCGGTGAAGGACATCCCACCACCCTGGCCACGTCTTCCCCACGCACTCCCTCTCCAATATCACGGTCTCCATAGGTGCGACTGTTCCGAGTACGCTGAAGCTCATGGCCACTCGGTGGTCGTCGTAGCAGTGCACGCCACCTCGAGGTTCTTTGACACCCTTGGCGCCATCGCCTTTCCCATCGATTTCGATCCCGTCTTCGAGCTCTCTGCACTCCACTCCAAACTTCTTCAGTTCATCGCACATGGCTTTGATCCGGTTGCACTCCTTTTGTCTCTGATTTGCGATGCCCGTAATTCTGGTCGTCCTACGACCCTCCTTATCAGGCTCTGCAACAGCAGCCAAAACCGCGGCGGTGAGGAAAGCATCGGTCATGCTTTCCATATCGACAGACGCGATCGCCCTCAGCTTTCCAATGGGAGGGCCAGTCACTGTGGTTGAAGTTTTTGTCTGCTCCACCGTACAGCCCATAGGCTCCAGCACGGACTTTGCAAACATCGCATCGCCTTGCAGAGACCTCGATCCAATGTTTGGAACGGTGCAAGTGGTTCCAGTGATCGCGGCCACAGCGAGTGGGTACGTAGCAGAAGAAGCATCGCTCTCGACTTCGTACTCGGCCGGGTTGGTGTAATTCTGCTTCGGCACGTGATACACGTTCGATTCCGTGTTGCTTCGCTCCACCTGCACGCCGAAAGAGGCCATCATGGCGATTGTCATGTCGATGTAGGGCTGCGAGATGACTTTGCCTCCGACTAATCGCAGCGTGACTGGCTTCTTGGCGTACGGCGCGCACATCAGGATAGATGAGACGTATTGACTTGAGACTTTCGCCGTGAGCTCAATGTCTCCTCCTTCGAAACCACCAGCGGCTGCGATCCTGAGTGGAAGGCTTTGTGAATCGACGTTGAGGTATTCAATATCCACACCGTTACTCCTCAGTGCATCGACAAGAGGTCCTTGCGGTCGTTCTTGCATTCGTTTGTTGCCAGTCAGGACAGTGTGCGTGGCATCGGGAGTGGCCTGAGCGAGAGAGACAGCCGTGGTCAAGAAGCGGGAGGCGGTACCAGCGTTGCCGATGTAGACCTCGTCCGGACTTGCTGTGAGGCTGCCACCATTCCCATGGAGGACTAACGTCTCTCCATGGTCTTCCCAAGAGTAGCTCGCACCACCCAGCTTGGCGATTGCGGAGAGCATGTACTGCGTGTCATCGGAAGACAACAAGTTGCGAATCCTGCACGTCCCCTGTCCAAGAGCTGCGAGCAACAGGACCCGATTAGATATGCTTTTACTACCTGGCGGCCGGCACTCAACACTTTGGTTGTGCGGTACACCGGGTTTGACAGCAATGGCCGGTGACAAAACAATGCGGATGTCCTTGTCGGTGACGCTGGAAGCTTTCTCTTCGTAGCACTTGCCAACCAATGAGAGCAGGACAACTTTCTTCTGCGACCCAGAGTTTTTTTTGTCGATGGCCATCTTTCGAAGTAGTCTATCGGCGGTGCACTGCGGGACTTTGTTGGTGTGCTTGGTAATGAGCTTGTCGTGCACAGTCGTAGGCAAGCCGTATGACGCGGTGCATTTCGTAATCCTCGCAACAGCACTCGGTGAGAGAGTGCCAAGGTACCGTGACAGCTCAGCTTCTGCTACCATCCCGACAGCCACACATTCGCCATGTAGTATCTCCGGGGCCAAGATAGCCTCATATGCGTGCCCAATCGAATGGCCGAAGTTCAACAAGTTCCGCAGGCCGCCTTCCTTTTCGTCTGCGGAGACGACTTCCGCCTTGACTCTTGCAGAGCCGAGTACAATCCTCTTGAAGACCTCGGCAACCCCGTCGAATCTCCCGGGCCCAATTGGTCGGTCTAGCGCAGCCATGATCGCGCTGGCGTTGTCTTCGAGTCGCTCAAACTCCTCTGCGTCCCAAATTGCGGCAGTCTTGACCACTTCCGCCATCCCGTTGCACACCTGCCGCTTGTCTAGCGTCTCCAGGAATGTGAGATCAATGTAGATTCTCTCGGGCTGGTGGAACGAGCCTATCAGGTTCTTGCCAGAGGGAGTGTCAATCGCCGTCTTTCCACCGATACTGCTGTCCACCATGGCGAGCAGCGAAGTCGGAATTTGGCAGAAGCGGACTCCGCGCATGTATGTAGCAGCCACGAAGCCAATGAGATCGCCTATTACCCCTCCACCGAGGGCGAGAAGCACCGTATCTCTTGTGCATCCTTGCTCCAACAGCCAATCTTCCACCTGAGCCTTCGTCTTCCTGCTCTTACTCCGCTCGCCCGGCCGTATCCGATCGTAGATCAACAGGCGCGCTTCGTTAGATCCTTTGCCCAACGACTCACGCTCTGCCTGGAAGCGAGTCTTGAACTGCGAGACATAGTCGAGCTGGGCGAGGTTGGTGTCGCAAATCAAGACGTAGGTGGAGCTGGGGATGTTGTTGAGAATATCGGCGGCAATGTAGCTGTGCCACAAGCCGTAGTCAACGATGATGCTTTCTTTCCCGAGGATAGGGATTTTGATCGTCGGAGAGTCGACGCTCGTGGTGGTGGCCATGTTGGGAGGAGCTGGTAGAGGGAAGGCAGGAGAAGGTCTAGCCGCAAAGGCCACAGCAGACCGAACGGGCCGCCGTCGGATGTGTGTAGCTCAAAAACGAGTGTGAGGAGCGCGTAGAACAGGAGTTTGGGTGTGGTTGCAGCAAGGGCGATTACAATGGCTCCCGTCGAGTCATTGGAGGTGCAGTGCATGAACTTTTAGAAAATTGAAGCCTTGTGGCGCAGGCCGGACAGAAGAGGCGCAGCTTAGTAATCACGCAATGTCGACACCACCCGCACGAAGTCTTTGTTCTTCTGAGTACCTTGCTATCCAACCCATACATCTTCGTGTCATACAGCTCTTCAGTCGCGCAGATTCAATACAACATCCGGGCACCTCGCTGATTTTGCTCGAAAGTGAAGTACAATCGTGAGACAACAAAGCCCAAGAGGAGAAGGATCCAAATCGCTACCAGATCATCTGAGACATGGCGCCTCTCATCCTCGACGGAGGCTTCTCTCGAGATTTGATACGCCTAGGTGCACCATTCAAACAGGTAAGATGTCAGAAACAGCATCGTGCTTTGGCAGTGCTGCCAATGCGATACTGAGACTTGCCTTGGTCCTCCTGGAGATCGAATGTGCACGAACGCTTGCTGAAAAGCCTGTCGCATTCATGGTTTTAGTGTATCAACGCTGATTCTCGGATTTATGCAGCCAGAGTGGTCAGCCTTGTCGCTTTTAGAAGCACCGGAATACGTACGACGAGTACATGTGGAGTTCGTCAAAAGTGGCGCCGATATTATCACGACGAATTCTTACGCTTTGGTGCCATTTCACATTGGCCAAGATCGATTTAACCTTCGGGGTGCAGAGCTCGCTGCACTTGCCGGCAGACTCGCTCGAGAGGTGGCAGACAGGTCCGCCGATCAAGGGGCGAAAGTGCTAGTCGCTGGGAGTCTACCGCCGATTTTCGGATCCTATGAACCCGACAAATTCGATGCGCAAAAAGTACAAGAGTACTTGAGTATCCTTGTCGACGCACTCGCCCCGTATGTGGATGTCTGGCTTGGAGAGACACTGAGCCTCATCGCCGAAGCGCAGGCCGTGAGACTGGCAACGCGTAACACAGACAAGCCTTTGTGGATCTCTTTCACACTAGACGATACGAGTCAGCAGAACCCGCCTTGCCTCCGCTCAGGTGAGTCGATTGAGCAAGCAGCCGAATGGGCACAGCGAGTCGGCGCCAGCGCGTTGCTTTTCAACTGCAGTAGCGCCGAATACATGGCGCCGGGGATCAAAATTGCGCGGGATGTCTTTGCAGCATACTCGGCCTCGCCGCCTGTGATTGGCGCATATGCCAACGCTTTCGCAAGTGCGGTAGGAGATCAGCCCGCAAACGAGGGCCTAAATATCACCCGGAAAGATCTCACGCCGGAGATGTACGCACAATTCGCCAAGGAATGGATATCTCTCGGTGCCAGTATCGTCGGAGGTTGCTGTGGCATTGGCTGCGATCATATTCGAGAGTTGGTCGCGCAACTCAAGTCCCTGCGTACGGCTCATCCTTAGAGAGCGTGGCTTGCCAGTTTTTGGCAGCTTCCTGCCGCCCGATTCTATTGCTTCCACCAAGGTCACGCGCATTACTATCATGCCACGCATGGAACGCGTCTGGAACGACCTGAATGGCATTGATAGCGTGTGATGTCCCAAATCAGGGGGGGCCGTGCAGAAAAGCTTACATGATTTCCAGGCCGCTGACGGCGTTCGTGGTCGTGGCGTGTCCCGAGCGCGCGAATATCATTACAAAGACGATGATGTTTTCTGATGGCGCAGACGCATACATTTTGTCCGCCTTACAATTCACCGACTACGCAGCGCCGAGGAATCGAGTGTTGCCTGATCGCGTAATTATACTCTCAGGGATCTACCACGCCCAGACCGGCCCACAAACCCTGCCCACTCTTTCGAGAGAATTATCAGGTGCATTCGCCACAATTTGGGTTCGACGGATCGTATACCTAACAGTCGGATTTACAAGCCAACACGGCACAGCCGGCATCTTCGGCTGGCGTTAGGGGTGCTCGCCTGCAGCCCAGCCCACGAAGGTGAAAAGCACATCCTTGATCGGGAAGGCCGATACGGGGCCAGACTCTGTCTAATCATGCGACGCTTCCAAATCTGTTCTGCCAGGCCATCGGCCAACGTCACTCACGTGGCAGGGCTTGATTCCTGCCGAGCAAATGCTTGTTGACATATCTCCGCATTTTCCACGGCGGCTTCACGTCATCACCCTCGGCCACCCGGGCTTGTTCAGCAATCGTTATGCAGAGACAATCCTGTTGGAATCACTGGTAAAGTTGCATAGTGTGATCACACCCTGGGCCGCAGAAAATAGACCCTTGCTGGCTCCAGCCTTGCGAGCATGCAATTGCCACGTTGGGCGGTTGTTCGCAATTCAACCGTCCGTCCGTCCGTCCGTATCGGTACGAACAACATTCCGGCCCACTCTGATCGAATCAAGCTACAGACCCTGCTGCAGGATGCGTGAGAAAAAGCGTGGTCGGCGGCGAGGGCGATGGAGCGACGTCGTGATCAAAAAAGCTTGTGCCAATGGCCAAGTACCGATTGGCTGTCTTAAACACCCTGATGTCCAACTCTAATCCGCGCCCCACTACCCTGGTGGTCAACGTGAGGATCCATGGATTTTCGCTCGCCTTTGCTGGACCCGCAACCTGAGAGGATTTTCTTCCAGACATTCGGATCCGTGAATTGATAAAAGCCCCGGATCAGCACTCAATCCGTCTCGCCGTCTCGCCAGCACACTCTACATCCCGTGGCAGCCTTTCAACTTTTCAGCCTTGCCATTGGACATCCTTCGTCATGGCTTCCGCAAACCTGGGGATCAGCAACTATGGGATCATGGATCCCGAGCACTACAATCTCACCCTCGCCAGTGCCCTCAACGGCAATGCAGCCGAGCAACTGATGCAATTGCGAGCCGTCACCTGCTACATTCTCGCGACCCCGAACGAGGAAAAGAACGACCTGGGCTCCCGCATTTCGTCCGTCTTCGTCATCTTCGCCATCTCCACTGCCGTCACCTTCTTCCCGGTGCTGGCGGTGCGAGCGCCGAAGCTCAAGATTCCCCTCTTCGTCTATCTCTTCGCTAGGTACTTTGGTGCTGGTGTCATTATTGCCACGGCCTTTATCCAGTATGTTCTGATCCACCATTCCTCATGTACCGTCAGTGACTAACGGATGCACAGTCTCCTCGACCCGGCGTACGCGGAAATCGGGCCCCAAACCTGCGTGGGCACGACTCAGGGCTGGCGTGGCTACTCATGGCCACCGGCAATAGCCTTGTCGTCTGCCATGATTACCTTCCTGCTCGAGTTCATCGCGGAGCGCTGGGTAGAGAAGAAATACGGCCTGCGTCATGCCGAGACCGCGCCTAATGAGCCCGCGCGCTCGGGATCCGTCGACATGGCCATGATGCGCTACGAGTTGGGACGCCGCCCGTCGGTCTCCTCTGTCAGCCGCCACGCCACTCACCAAAACTTGCACTCCAGCGACCAGGATGGCCCGAACCCCGCTGCTCTCCCTCAACGCCAGCAAACCGAGAAGAATGAGACGGCCGTTGCGTTCAATGATGCCGGCCTGGGGTCGGATGTCGACAGCATTGACGCCGAAAAGATGACCGACATCGCCTTTAAGCAACAGATCACGGCCTTTTTGATCCTCGAGTTCGGTGTGCTCTTCCACAGCACCATCATCGGCCTCGCGCTCGCCACCTCCAGCCCGTCCGACTTTGCCACCCTCTACCCCGTGCTCATCTTCCACCAGTCCTTCGAGGGTCTGGGTATCGGCGCGCGTCTCTCCGCCATCCCCTTCCCCAAGCACCTTCGCTGGATGCCGTGGGCCCTGTGCGCCGGCTACGGACTCACGACCCCCATCGCCATCGCCGCCGGCCTCGGAGTGCGCACCACCTACAACGCCAACAGCTTCACCGCCAACGTGGTCGCCGGCACGCTCGACTCCATCTCGGCCGGTATCCTGATGTACACGGGTTTCGTCGAGCTCATTGCCCGCGACTTCCTGTTCAACCCCGACCGCACGAACAACGACAAGCAATTGGCCTTTATGACCATCTGCCTCTTCTTGGGCGCGGGTATCATGGCGCTGGTGGGCAAATGGGCTTAGACAATCAGCTACCTGGGCGTTTTTCAATCGTGCTTCCCTTTCATGACGTTTATCAAGACCAGCGGTCGTTTTCACCCGGTCCGAGTGCTGCACCGGCGGGGAGGGGAGGAAAGTTTCGCGTGGATGATTCGGAGGAGCGGAGGAGCGGAGGAGCCACTCACTAGAAGTCGTCAAGTGTCTTCACACATACTGTGCAGCTTTTCCATAATCACACAATTCATGATGTGCAATGCAGTCTCGGTCTCAGTCAGGGCTTGGATTTAAGGCGCGACGTTACCAGTATTCTCTCTCCGTCGCCGTCCAACCACTCGCCGGAGTTTGCGCCGACTGGAGCGCAGTGGATCCACGAGGCGACAGAGCCCATGAGTCGCGCACATGGACTAGAACACACACGTCCAGCATCGCTTCCACCACTTCTGCATTTTCCGTAACACAGATGATCACAATTTCTTGCGAGATCCTCACTGCCCGCCAAGTTGTCGTGCGCATCGCGAGGGGTGGTAATATGGATGCGCTGCCCGAACCTTGGTGGGAAAACTCGGCCGGGGCCAAAAGGGCCGGTCTAGAACGTGGGACCCGGCGAGCTCGACTGCTCTTCCCGTCTCCGTTGCACCCGGATGCGCAGGAAAGTGTGCTAAACGGGCGGTATATTTGTACGAGTGCACACGACGCGTCCCTGTGCTGACCTTGTGCATCTTCTCTTGTTCTTGCGGAGTGTAGGTGTGCTTTGCTTCACGTTCGGCTTTTGCACTTTCGGGGGGATCTGAAGTGGTGTTCACTTTGCATACTCGAGAGGAGAGACGGAAGACTGCGGCCTAGAAACTCCCCTGCTGATACCGCACCTCCCCTGTCTGACCACCCCAACACAACTCCAAGGCCAAGCTCAGCGTTCGACTGTGGCTTCCACACACCCCGCAGCTACCGACCTATGGGTCACTATGGGCGGGCAGCAGCAGTCCACGGCAGCACAGTCGCATCTTTCCCAGCGGTAACAACGACACCCGGACTCGACGGCTTTCCACCCCCCGCCAGCGTCACCGAGTCCCTAAGCCCTCCCGGCCTGCACCTCGATCTCAGCACGACGGATCCGCATCTCCATCCCTCGGCGGGAGTAGAGGAGGCGGCATCCAACGCCGGCGTCGTTCCCAGCATGCCTGACGAGGTGAAGATGGAGCCTCTGCTATCACCACCTATCCAGGACGCAGGGCCCGAAATCAGTGCTTTCAGCGCCGTCACGGTCCCTGTCCCGGCATCTAGTCTTCGCTCTCGCTCCTCCTCCTCCAACAAATCCAGCCATGCTCTCCGCCTTCCTCCCTTCGAGCAACTAGGCATCGCTGCACCGCACCCGGACCGGCCAGGAAGTGCTCCCGGCCCCGCCGCCAGCTACGCCCATGCTCCGGTGTTTGAGGATCAGAAGCCTGCTGTGGTCCGTGGCGATGGCCGCGCAGTTCGGTCGCCTATCTATCATTACGTTGATACCCTCACGCCGCCGACTGAGACTGGACCGCCGGTGTGGGATTTGCAATCCCCGGTCGAGACGGGCGGGATGCACTCGGCTTCCGCGGACTCTGCGGATGCTGTAGGTGGCTCACCAGATGCTGGTGTCGATGTCACGTCAGCGGGTACGACGAGTGCGGCCGAGGCAGTGGATGCAGCGGAGCCGTCGCTTGCGGACTCGAGTGTTGTCGAAGGGTCTCATGCGTGGATCCAAGGGGCTCTTGATGTACTGCGTAAGTATCGCCACACCTTCACGACCATGGCATGCACCCTAACCCGTGACCAGTCGACAACGTTCGCCAAGGCATGTCGCCGGCCGGCACGCTCAAAATACTCTCCCACGCTCTACCTAGGACCTCCGCAACTGGCCACGTCTTCGGTACGGTGGTTGGCCACATGCACGCATCTCGCCCTGCTTCACCCATCAGACCGGCAAACTGTATCAATGTCCTCCACGCCATTCCCGTCGCAATCGGCCGCTTCAATCTCGCGGACTTGCCATCGACACCCCCGATTTCTCCCGCGCTCGCCGTCGACGGCGACTACTTTACCCAGACCTTCGATTCCGCGGTACTGGTATCAGACTACCAGGATAATGCGTTGGCGACGCCTCGCACGCCACGACCCATTGTCCCGCCCGCCTCGATCGATGTGGCCATCGTAGAGCGCTACATCCCGCCCTCGACATCGCACGAGTTCGCGGAGATGTTCAACCCCAATGGCTCCTCGATTCTCGTTGACCGACTCATCGAGCTATCCCCGCACAACGGAAGTCTACTATTCATCTACCCCACCCGCCGAGGCGGCCGAACCTTTATGAAAGACTACCTAGGCCCCATCCTCGACCCGCTCCTCCGCACCATGGTCGTGGTCCACGGTCTATCAACAGCCCTCTGCTCCTCCATCGGCACCATGACGGCCGTGGAGCACCTCCCACACTACGACTCCATGCTGCTCCGCATGGCCTCACTCTGCGACATGCTCACAACACAACAAGACACGAGCGCGCGCCGCTTCCACGGCAGCCGCTCGACCTTCTCCCTTTCGTACGCCGCGCGGCACCGCGTGAAACTCGAGCGCGGCGTCTGGGCGCGCGAGTGGTGGACGAAGCAGGAGAAGAACCGCATCAAGCAGATCCTCGACACGCACTGGCGCGACAACGAGGCGCGCAAGTCGGGCTTCGAGCACGCTGGTGCTGGGGCGGGGGCGGCGGCGCATCAGGCGACGTCGTCTACTGTGTTGCTACAACATTTGCTTGATGGGGTTGTGGGGAGGGGAGAGCTGGAGAGGGACGAGCCGGAGGGAGAGGGGATTGAAGTGGGTGTGTTTGTGCTCAAGCGGTCGTTGTAGCTTTTCGGCTGGCGTGTTACTGATTGATGTCTACTTGGTGGAAGCATTGCGGGAATGAGATGGGAATGCATAGGGAACAGGCAAGACCTAGGAATTGATTAATAATGGGTGTGATGGCTTGAGGCCGGACACATGTTGAGAAATGCGGCAACAATGAGATACATTTGCCTTTCGTTGCCTCTTGCGCACATGGCTCTTGCATGATCTGCTTATTCCCGGGATCGCACGTGACTCCTGAGACCGACTTCGCCACATCGAGCATCACATCATCTCTGACATAATCACGCTTGATCAGCTTCGACATCTGATTGGCTCAATGCCCTCTTCTTCGCCCTTCGAAGAGCCTCGCTCGGCCGGCACGAGCGATGACGTTTCATTGCCGAGATCCACGGCTGCTCATTGTGGCATGGCGATGACGGGAGATGTTTACAAATGCAAAAACCCAGGCGGCGAAGTATATATCTTTTCCCATTCATCCCCTTCTCAAAGAATCTCCACTCCACTCCTGACAATCACACTACACCATCTCATCACACCCATCGACCATGTCGTCAACCACCACCACCGCCACCACCACCTCTTCGGCCAAGCCGCAAACCTCCTCCTTCCGCACCGTCAAAGACATCAACCAAATCGACATCCCCCGCGGCGAAACGCGCTCCACCCTCTCCTTCTACCAGCCCCCCGCCGACGGCTCCAAACCCCACAACTACGTCGAAGCCCCGCCGGAAGGCCAGCCGCAGCGCAACTTCGGCGCCGAAGACCATGAAGTCGCCATCAACGACATCCGCGGTCGCGAGGCCGAATTCGACATGAACGTCAACGGCTTCGGCGTGTTGTCCGGCGTCGAATCCGCCGAGACGGAGTTCCGCGACGACGAGCAGATTAAGAATGTCTACTACCCTGAGGTGGAGAAGGTGCTGCTCGATAATGTGCCTGGCGCGAAGCGCGTGTTCATCTTCGACCACACTGTCCGCCGCAGCGATCCTGACGCCAAGCGCGCACCTGTCAACCGCGCGCATATCGACCAGACGACGCGCAGCGCTATCCAGCGCGTCGACTACCACATGGGCGACGAGGCGGAGGAGTTGCTCAAGGGGCGGTACAGGCTGATCAACGTCTGGCGCCCGATCAATGGGCCTGTGGTGCACAAGCCGCTGGCTTACGCGGATTCGCGCACCGTGCCGGATTCGGACATCGTGCCTGTTGAGCATCGGTATCCGCATCGCACGGGCGAGACGGCGGGGGTGAAGTATACTGACAAGGGGAAGTGGTATTACTGGTGAGTCTCATCTGCCATCTTTCAGTCCGTTGTTACAGTTACTAATGCGTCTTATCAGGTCTGGAATGAAGAACGACGAACGTATCCTCCTGCAATGCTACGACAGCAAGGACCACGCGCGGACACCTCACACCGCCTTTGACGACCCGCGGACGCAGGACGACTGGCCGGGCCGCGAGAGCATCGAGGTCAGGACCCTGGTGTTTGGTTAGAGGGCCACTTGACTGTCATACCAGGCTTTGTTTGATAGAGCGTGCATGAGATATACGAAATTCCAATGTTCTAAGAACTATCATCTTCAATGCCCCCTTCGCCACTCAAATCGCTATGCTGTATGCTGCCGACCTAACTCCATCGCTTAAAGTAAACAACCTCATAGACCACGCTCAAATGCCCCATTCCTCCATCTTCCCAACAAGCCACAAACAAACCGGCCGTCGAATGCTCTCGACACGCCACGCAACAGCCAAAACGACAGGCACAACCGTCACCAGGAACAAGAGCCACAGCCCTCGCTGCGTAACCTGTGGACCCGTAGCAACATCACCCGCAGTAGCAGGAGCAGGAGCAACGCCACCATCCACATCCACCTCATCAGCAATCGCAAAACTCCTCCCACCCAACGCCTCTTCTAACCCTGTAGTCGCCTGCCCGTCACCGGGCAAATGCCACGAAGCAGGCTTTGGAGCCATGTCGATCCTCGTGCGGCTCTTAGCGGGCGAGAAGTCTTCGTCCTCGGTCTCTTCTTCGTATTTCCTGGCTCCCTGCTGCTGAGAAGAAGTGCCCGCGCTTCCAAACACCCTCCCGCTCTCGAAAATCTCGCGCATGTGCTTCATCTGATTCTGCTGCTTGCTTGCGGATGCCTGCTTGAACGATAGCTGTGAAGGGGGGTTGCGCAGTCGTCGGCCCACGCTCATAGGAGCTTGCGGTATAGTGCCGCGGAAAGGACTAGGTTGGCCTTGCGGCGGCTCGAAGCGCAGGCGAGAGCGTTGATCTTCTTCTTCGCGCTGCTTTTTGCGCTCGTCGGATTCGCGAAGCGTGTCTTGCAGATTGTAGAGTTGGTGTCGCACCGCGCCCCAGCTGGAGGGTTGCGTGAGATTCGGATCGCTGAAGAGGCTGCTTGGCTGGGCTTTGGGTTGGTGCGTTGTCTTGGGGCGGAAGGTGCGGTCGATTGCCGCGCCGGGCATGCCTGCTGTTCGGGAGATGGGAGGCGGGGTGTCGATGTCCATTGCGTCGCCTTCGTTGTCCGAGGCTGATTCGGTGCCGGGTGGAGACGGAGGTGGCATGCCGGGCAGGTCGAGCCTCGAGTAGCCGCGGGTGTTGCGCGTGACCGGGGCGAGGTTGGCGATGGGGAAAGGCTTCTGGTCACCGCCGAACAGCTTGCGGGGATTCGTTGATGAAGCTTGGCGAGGGTAGAGTTCGTCTGCTGGTCCTGCCATGGCCCCAAAGACGTCCTTTTCGTCCGGGCGAGGCATGATTTTGCCTTTGATGCGCCACTTCTCGGATTTGATGGGGAGTTCGCTCATCCACTGGGCGAGAATGATTAAGCCAATGATGAGGCCGTGGCCGGCGAGGCGCTGACTCGTTCTTGTCCCGCCAACGACATTCTGGTCGGACAGATTCCACCAAGCGGCGACTCTGGCAATCAAGAGGATGAATTGAGTGCGGAAGTGCTCTGTCTGGCCTCGCACGGCTTCGATGCGGTGGGTGTGGTGGTACCAATCTTTCAGGCCGGGGTTGTACCATATCAGGCAGAGGCTCACAAGCAAAGCTTTCTTGACCGTTCCAGCAAACAGTTGGTGGCATGCCGGATCGAATTGATGAGCCAGGCCGTGCTTCAAGCAGTCCTTGTGAGTAGGCTCAAACATGAGATCCATCCCATCCAGTCCATCTGTGCTGGGTGCGGTGAAGATGAGGTCGAATATGCCGTAGAGATGCCAGGCCACCTGCACAGCCAAACTCGCATACACCATGACCCCGACCAGGGGTAACAGTATCCTCATAAACCACTTCCACCAATCATCTCTCCGTCCAACCGCCCCCCTTCCCCTCCTCGCCCGTGTCTCATTCATCGCCGCGGCCGCCTGCCACGACATACCTTGGTAATCGGCCTGATGGATCCTCTCTTGCACTTTCGGGGCACACGCCTTGCACACCTGGGGATACTTCTTCTCCAGCTCCGCCTTCTTCTGCGGCAGCTTGTCGAGGTATTCTTGGAAGCGTGGGTGATCGTCGTCGGGGAGGTAGCTGTTGAGCGCATCGACGTACATGCGCTGGTTGTTGAGGCATCTTTGGCAGAAGGGTTGTTGTTGGTTGCTTTGCTGTTCGTGGGAGGATGTGAGGGCGAAGGGTGTGGGTGATCGAGCGGTTGTTGTTTGTTCGTACTGTTGTGCTGGTGGGTTCGTGATGTGCGATGGTGCTTCTGCCACTTCGCCCTTCTCATCGAAGAAGTTGAGCGCTTCACATTTCGTGCACTGGAACTCCGTTGTTCCTTTTGAGAAGTCGGAGCGTTGGCCGCAGAAGTGGCAGCGCAGCCGCCCAAACATGTTGGCGACTGGGGTGGGTGTTATCGCATCGGCTCGACTGAAGTGTGTGGAGAGGGCGAGGAGTAGATGAGAGTAAAGAAGTAAAAGTCTGTGTCGTTTGCGTCGTTTGTTAGGTGAAGTATTTCATTGACTGTTTGAAGGTGAAACAATAAAGTGAAGTTCGAGTTTACGCGGCAGGACGACAAGGCCCGCGCCGGCGCCACGCGACTTAAACCCCCACGACAGTGGAGAGTGCACGGTGGACATCAATGTCGTCCGGATTCTTGCGGCCTCAAGAAGACTCGACGTCGACTTCAAGATGTTCTCGCTAGAAAGACAGCACTCATGGCGCCCAAGAAGATCAAAGCCCGCCCATCGGCCGGAGCAAACCCCAATATTCCGGGCATATCACCAACCGCCCAACTCCCGAGCATCTCTCCCTTGAGTCTCCTCATCTGGCTGTACATCCTGCGGCTCTACAATGCCCTCAATATTGAGACCTTTTTCCAGCCGGATGAGTACTTCCAAGCCCTAGAGCCAGCGTGGGCGGCTGCGTTTGGCGAGAACAGCGGCGCCTGGATTACTTGGGTGAGGCGCGCATTGGAGTCTGTCTATTTGAATCTCGTGCTAAGACATCACCTCGCAGGAATGGCGGGAACATCTCCGCTCTTCTCTGCATCCCCTCCTGTTCACAGGCGTGTACAAGGTCGCGGGATCTTACTGCAATGCCTTGGACCTCCCCGCCGAAGTCCGCTCGAAGATTCTCCTGGCCGCGCCCAAAGTCCTCCAGGCCGTCTTCGCCGCGTGTACGGATCTGTTTACGTATCTCCTCGCCGGTAAGATGTACGGCCGACAGTCTCCGGAAGCAACGGCAGCGTTGATGTTGACCATCCTGAGCCCCTGGCAATGGTTTTGCTCCGGCCGGACGTTTTCGAATTGCCTTGAGACGACTTTGACTGTTGCGGCGCTGGTTCTTTGGCCTTGGGATTGGTTTGTACATGGCGTTGACTCGAAGAAGCGAGACGACAATGCTGTGGAAGGAAGTCAAAGACACGACCTGCCGTTTCGCTTGTATCCCTCACTGGCTCTTGCGGCCCTGGCTTGCATACTCCGCCCGACGAACCCCATCATATGGATTGCCCTTACCGGCACGCTTACATGGAACAGATTCGTCCAACCAGCCGTCATTCCGAAACTCCTAGTGAGCGCTGCAATTACTGGATCAGTCGTTCTCACATTCTCCATCGCAGCCGATCGAGCATTTTACGGCGAATTGGTGCTACCACCTCTGAAATTCCTACAGTTCAATGTCGGCCAAGGGCTAGCTGGATTCTACGGCGTCAACAGATTGGCATACTACTTTACCGAAGGAATCGGCTTACTCCTAATCTCTGCCCTCCCTTTCGCTCTCCTGGAACTTTACTATGGCTTACGACTGCGTGATGACCGCCAACCAGGGACTCCCCGCGTCCGCTCCTTGCGATCTATCTTGGCGTACACAGTTCTCATCGATATTCTCGCTCTAAGCCTCATCTCGCACAAAGAAGTGCGCTTCATCTACCCCCTCCTCCCCATCCTGCACGTTCTCGCTGCCAGACCAGCAGCAGCCTTCTTCCACCCAACGGCCATCCAAGCGCAAAAGTATCGCGGCATGCTCTTCACACTTGGCTTCGCTCTCAACCTCATCGTTGCGCAATACAGCACGGGTCGACATCAACGAGGTGTTATGGACGTGATGCACTACTTGCGGAAGGAATACGAAGTGCGCTATCAACCGCCCGGCCCGAATCATGGGAATATGACCGTGGGCTTCCTGATGCCGTGTCACAGCACACCTTGGATCAGTCATTTCATTCACCCCGAAATCAACGCTTGGGCTTTGACGTGCGAGCCCCCGTTGGGGCTTTCTGGCGAGCAGCGGAGGGATTATCTGGATGAAGCGGACGTATTCTACGCTGATCCGGCGAAATGGATGCAGACGAACATGGCTGATGTCGGACGGAGGGGAGCTGCGGTGGGACGGTCGTCAAAGAGAGCGTGGCCGCAATATGTGGCTTTCTTTCAGCAGTTGGAGGCTACTATGAAATCGGTGTTGGAAGGCAGCGAGTACAAGGAGTGCTGGCGGGGCTTCAACACGCATTGGCACGACGATTGGAGACGGAAAGGGGACGTGGTGGTGTGGTGTAGAGGGAGGCAATGGTAGAAGCCACTATCACGCTAGGCGTAGATTCAGTCATCACAGCAGAAACGACTCTACCCGCACGAGTACACGAAGAACATTCTTCCCCATTCCAGGCGTGTCTGGTACCTGGTGCCTGGCAAGAAAGCAGACGAAAATGGCGCGCTGCGGAACGGAAAGGGGAATGCACGTGGGTGTGGTTGGCTGGTAGGTCGAGAGAAGATTTGGAGGGCGCAGCAATGGGCTCGCATTGAGGCTGTGCACAGCCGCATTGCGCAGGACATGGATGTTGACGTCGAAGCGCTAGAACAACTCTCTTTTGTCGTCATGTTTGTGAAGACGAGTGAATGGAAACGGTTGGCGATTGTCTGTAAATGGGTGAGTGGTAGGACGGGATGCAATGTTTCTTGGGAGGGCACTGCTTGTATGCTACTCGAGTGGTTTGCTTCGCGCCAGAGGTTCATCTGCCGTAATCGATGTCCGGGACTGGACTTGAGTTCAGCCGCCAAGCGATGACGAAAGGCGCTGGCTCTTGTGATCACTGCATTGTCCTCATGATGTTCTTTGGCTGCACGAAGAAGGGCCGGAAGGGATAGTTCGAATCGAAAGGTCCGATCGTGTAGTAGCGACGTAGACATTGAGGCATTTGTTGCGATTGCACCGGGTCTGATGACCTGCTCGACGCTATCGTGCCGCACCGGTTCGCCTTGACGAAGAGAGATAGAGAGCGAGTGAGTGGCGCAGTCGCCAATTTGGCTTCGCGCGCCGACTCACTGCCGCCCGCCCAAGCCTTAATCACTACCTTCACCTTCCACCCACTCACTTGCCGCACTCCCGCCTTGCCCTCGCCCTCGCCAGCCCTACCCTCCGCCAATGCAGGGTGGATGAGTACAAAACCGACTCGCCCGCAGCCTTCGAGACGCTGTCGACGCGCATCCTGCCTGCCCGAGCTGCTGCGCCACCCCGTCTGAGAGGTCCCCTGCTCTGCACCCTCTGACCCTCTATTTCCAGCCTTGCTCTCTACGACGCGCACGCGCGCGCATCCCCTCCACCATGGCGGACCAGAATCGCGCGCGGTCGCCTTCTGCTGCCCACTTAAATAACACCGCGCCCACCCCGCAGCAGCAGCAGCAGCAACCTGCCTATCACCCTTCTTTCGCTGCCTCTGCCGATCCCTCCACTCTGCCCTCCTCCTCCTCCAACCTCTACTCCGATCCCTATTCTCAGGCGCATACCGGCGCATTGGACCCCACCAACACCCAGAACTACCTCTTCGACCCCACCTTCGCCAACACCCAGGCTGCAAAGCTGCAGCAGGCCACCAACGACCTGGCGCTGCTGCAATCGCAAAACTTCGCCGCGCAAGGCAACAGCGACTTCAACTACAACCAAGGCGGAGTGAGCTCCGACTCCAGCGCATTCCCCTCCTTCGACTTCAACCAGACCGATTTCTCGGAAGACGCGCTAGACCCGGCGTTTCTCGCTGAGCTGGACGCGCAGCAGCAGCAGATCAGCCAGATGGCCGCTGCTCTACAACCGCACTCGCCGACTCCTCCGCACCTCCTCCCGGAGATGGCGCGGAGGCAGTCGAACAGCCACAGTCCCAGCCCTCACGCGTCTCCTGCCTTCCACCAGCAGTCCACGGTGAATCGGCCGCGCGGGACCTCTGAATCACTCGACCCGTCCAGCGCGTTGTTCCCTCAAGGGCAGAATGAGTGGTCAAACATGGGCGCATACCGGGGGCATATGAGGACACCATCGGACCAGTACTCCGAGTACTCGAATCATTCCAACCAGGCGTCGCCGTATCTGCAGACATACGACAGCTTCGACGCAAATGCGCACTCCTCCCCACTCATCAACCCGCAGCAAGACCCTTCGTTCACCGACAGCCTGGGATTGCAGCAATTCAATCTCAATGGAGACCATCCAGGCCACAGCCCTCATATTTCCCCGAACCTCATGCCGCAACAACAGGCGCTGCCGCAATTCACGGCTGGCGACTTTGGCTTGAACCAGGATCAATTTGTGCAGCAGAACAACGGTCTTGATATGTACACTGGCGCCGGGCAGGAAGCATTTCCGCAGCTCAACAAGCCTCAGAGTCCGAATGATCTGGGTGCGGCGGATCAGATGAGCCCGCCGGAGATCCAAGTCGAGTATGCGCCGCCCGCGATGAATCCGAACCAAGTCCTGCGATCAACCAATGATGGGGAGGCGCTGAGTCCGCCGGCAAGAAGTGAGTGTGCTCGCACACAATGGCACAACATTTATGCTGACTTATCAACTACAGCTCAAAGCCGCAACAGGATGCGCGCCAAATCCGACTCATACGCTGGCTCCCGACCCTCAAGTCCAGCCGTGCTATCTCGCGGTCGTTCACCCTCTCTACAGCCTGGCACGGCAATCAGCGACAACCTCACCCCCTTTGATCAACCCTCCTCCCGCTCCCCATCACCCCGCGGTCGCGACAAATCCGCCAGCCGCGGCCGCAGCACCAGCCACGCTTCCGACCAACGCGACTACATCCTCAACCTCGCCGAGCCCGAGCGCACGCCTTCCAACGGCGTCAAAGACAACGGGCGCGTACAAAAACACCCGGCCACCTTCCAATGCCACCTGTGCCCCAAACGCTTCACCCGCGCCTATAACCTGCGCTCCCACCTACGCACCCACACCGACGAGCGCCCCTTTGTCTGCACCGTCTGCGGCAAGGCTTTTGCGCGCCAACACGACCGCAAGCGCCACGAGGGCCTGCACAGCGGCGAGAAGAAGTTCGTGTGCAAAGGCGTGCTCCAAAGCGGTGCGCAGTGGGGTTGTGGGCGCCGGTTCGCGCGCGCCGATGCCCTGGGCCGCCACTTCCGCTCCGAAGCCGGGCGCGTGTGCATCAAACCCCTGCTAGACGAGGAAGCAGAGGAGCGGCAGAAAGCGTGGATGGAAGAGCAGCAGCAAGCGCAAGTGGCCGCCGGCCTCGTCGCGCCGCAGCCTCTAATGAGCCACGCGGCGCAGATGGAGATGAATGCCACTTTCCTGCCTGCGGTGCTTTTGCAGCAGTACCCTGCGCTCGCGACGATTGATTGGAACACGCTGCCGCAAGGCCCGCCGCCGGAGGAGGAGGCGTATAATAGTCGCAGCTCGTTTGAGGCGAGTTCCGGCGGCGAGTATTATGATGATATGAGTGGGGATGATGGTGCTGGGGGTTTTTCGGATGAGCAGATGGGTGGGATGGGAGGTTTTGGCGATGGGCAGCAGGGTGGGTTGGCGGGTCATCAGCAGCAACAACAGCAGCAGCAGCAGCAGGGTTTCTATGGGGGACAGTCGACGGGGGATTATTTGGGGGATTTTGAGGGGCGGTGATGAGCGTTGGGTAAGACGATTTCGAGCGTTCTTGAGTGCTGCGTGTCACGAATGATGCACTGTCATGCGGGATAGATGGTCGGGATTGACCTCGCGCGATTTGTTTGTAGAGATATCGCCAGAGACGGCTGTGTATATTGACCTTTCATCTGTTTTGTCCAACATTGCCATGAAGCCCACTCAGCTCCAGCCTGTCGTAGTCGCGTGGAACTGTCGAAAACGGACCCGACCTCCCGTCCCGTCCGTGGTTGCATGTGGAGACGGACGATGATGGATGCCCAGTCTCACCAAGGCATCTCACTCCTCAGCGCTTTCTCTTGGGGCTCTCGTTCGGTATTCCTTGTACCCTCCTTCCCAAATCCACAATGTCCTACCCGAAGCGCAATGCACCGCTGTAGCTGAGCCAACAACCTCACCTCAAGCTACAACGCAGCCCAACCAAGCCCTTCGCTCTAACGTTACGTTCAACCCCACATCTTCCCACCTACCCAAACACCATGGCCTCTCGCACCACCGGCCGCATCTTCAGGCGCCTCGGATACCTCTCCGTCGCCGGCGCGGCCGCGGGCGGCACAGTCTACTTCATCTACCGCCCGCGCGAAGTGCCCGGGCTCGACGCCGCGTCCGTGCCGCCTCCCACCTACGGCGAAGGCGGTGTTTTCCGCCCTCCTCACTTCCCGCAAGTCAAGAGCCGTGCGGAGCAGATTGCGGATTTGAAGGCGAGTGCCGGCGGCTCGTTCCAGAAGGCGAAGAGTAATATTCTTGGTGTGCTTGGTGGAGGGGAGTCGGAGGGGGATGCGGCGAAGGGTGCTGCTGCTGCTGCTGCTGGTGGTGGGGAGGAGGGGGATCCGTATGATTTACTTGTCATTGGAGGCGGGGCGACGGGCACTGGTATTGCGCTTGATGCTGCGTCGCGAGGACTGAAAGTCGCTCTTGTAGAGCGGGATGATTTCGCTTCCGGGACCAGCAGCAAGAGCACCAAGCTCGTGCACGGCGGCGTGCGGTATCTCGAAAAAGCGGTCTGGCAGCTGGACTACAACCAGTACAAGCTCGTCAAAGAAGCGCTGCGCGAGCGCCGCTACTTCCTCGACACCGCGCCGCATCTCTCCTCCTGGCTGCCGATCATGATCCCCGTGGAGAAGTGGTGGCAGGCGCCGTACTTCTGGGCGGGCACCAAGGCGTACGACTTCCTCGCCGGCTCGGAGAATATCGAGAGCTCCTACTTTCTCACGCGCAGCAAGGCGCTCGATGCCTTTCCCATGCTGAAGAAGGACAATCTGTGGGGCGCGTGCGTGTACTACGATGGCGCGCATAACGATTCGCGGATGAATATTTGTCTGGCGATGACGGGGGCGTTGTATGGGGCTACGATGGTGAATTATATGGAGGTTACGGGGCTGGAGAAGGATGCTCAGGGGAAACTGTGTGGGGCGAAGGTGAGGGATTTGGTCGATCAGAAGGATGGCAAGACGCCGCAGGAGTTCTCGATCAAGGCAAAGGGCATCATCAATGCTACCGGGCCGTTCACGGACGCCGTCCGCAAGATGGACGATCAGTCGGTCGAAGAGATTGTTGCGCCCAGCTCGGGAGTGCACGTTGTGTTGCCTGGATACTACTCTCCCGCCGATATGGGGCTCATTGACCCGGCGACATCCGATGGCCGCGTAATATTCTTCCTGCCGTGGCAAGGGAACACGATTGCTGGAACCACCGACTCACCCTGCGACATCAAGCAGAATCCCGTTGCCAAGGAGGAAGAGATTGACTGGATCCTGAAAGAGGTCTCCAACTACCTACAACCCGAGATCAACGTCCGCCGAGGAGACGTGTTAGCCGCATGGTCCGGCATCCGCCCCCTCGTCCGCGACCCCAAGAAAGCCGCATCCGAAGGCCTCGTACGCAACCACCTCGTCACCACCTCGCCATCCGGCCTCATCACCATCTCCGGCGGCAAATGGACCACCTACCGGCAAATGGCGGAAGAAGCAGTGGACGAAGGCATCAAAGAATTCCACCTGCAAACCCAGCACGTGTCCAACCCGCCGCTCGTCAGCGGGGTGGAGGGCTTCCACGAAGACATCACCCTCGACGGCAGCTGCAAAACGCACAACGTGCGCCTCATCGGCGCCCACGGCTTCTCCAAAACCCTCTTCATCAACATCATCCAGCACTTTGGCGTCGAGACCGACGTCGCTAAGCATCTGACTGCGTCGTACGGCGATCGCGCCTGGACTGTTGCCTCCCTCTGCGCCCCCACCGGCTCCCGCTTCCCCGTCCGCGGCGAACGCATCTCCCCGCTCTACCCCTATGTCGACGGCGAAGTGCGCTACGCAGTACGCCACGAGTACGCGCAGACAGCCGTCGACGTGGTCGCGCGCCGCACCCGTTTGGCCTTTTTGAACGCGCAGGCGGCCCTCGAAGCCCTGCCCAAGATTATCGATCTCATGAGCGAGGAGCTGAAGTGGAGCAAAGCGCGCCGGGCGCAGGAGTGGACGGATTCCATGCAGTACTTGGAGAGCATGGGTTTGCCGAAGAGCAAGTTGGGGCTGTCGCGGGAGGATGTGGAGGCGGGGCGGGTGGGCAAGTATACGGATGAGGAGTTTGGGTTGTATGCGAGGAATGGTATGTCCCTCTCTCTCTCTTGCTCGAGAGCTCATTTTGGAGATTTTTGCTGACGTTGTGCGTGCAGATAAACCGGATGAGATGCTGGCTTCGGATGCCAAGTTTATTTCGGGGCGGAATCCTACTATGGGACAGGATTCGGCGGCGAATAAGTAAGGCTGTCGAATTGGACGGCATTGCTGGTTTGGGTCATGGACTGAACAACCTTCGTCTGAGGATAGGGGTTGTTGGTCATATCACGTTTGCAGGCCTGGACTGGGCGGCTTTCTCTGCAGATCACGCTATTTGTGATGTTCGCTGGACTTGTCTACGTGTGTGGGGATCATCAAGGCTTTGTACATAGAACGCAAAAGGACATTTCGACTGCTCGCGTGCCCATCTTGTGAAGACGTGATGTGACGAACCCAGCGGAATTAGAGTTTAGCGTTGCTCTGTCACATGCAAATTTCGTGCCACCGCGTCAACAACACGGCGAACAGAATGCAGAACATACATTGAGAATAGCAGCAAGATGGGCACGAAAGCTGTCTGTCACGTCTAGCAATTGCTGTAGCAGAGATGTATGATATTGAGCTGCATCATCGTGTGAATACAGGTATCTTCCCCAAATAAACAGTGGAGTTGCATGACGCAACGCGCAAGCCCGAAAAAAGTTGACGACAGGGTCAAGGCGTCGGGCGTGTGCAACCCCCTGCACCTGCGTGTTGTCTCTGCACAACCACCACGCCTCCCTCTCATCTCATCTTGACCAAATTGAACATCACGAACGCATCACTGCTCGCATTGACACCACTCATATCTTGTTGAAGAAGTCCCTCCCCGATCCTACTCTTCACCTCGTCAAGCCGCGAGCCCAACGACCCATCAGCAATGGCGGAAACAGCAGGACAACAGCAGTACCCCAACCTGAACCCACACACCTCGACCAACGGTGACAGTGAGGTATGTGCTGTGCTTTCTTTCCCTCGCGCCTGCCGATTGGTGAAGAATGAGGCTGCCTGGAGAGAAGAGAGCGGAAAGAGTGAATGGGACAGCTGGCGGAAACACCACCACCTCATCCACCCTGCAACCTCTTCTGTCTCCTCATCCTCCTCCTCGTCACCTCTCGAGACACCTCGATCGCACACCTTACTATCAATCATCATCCCCACTGACACCACCAATCCAGTTCCCACCACCTACCACCCTCCCTCCTCCCACCACGCCTAACACACCCCCCTCAACAGCCACCAAACCCGCCTCCGCCATGCAATCCCTCACCTCCGGCCCCGTAGCCGAAAAAGCCAAAGCAGAAGCCGACGCCACGAAAACCGAGCTCTCCAACCTGGCCGCCGCGCGCACCACCCCCGACCGCACCACCGCCAGCGGCCAAAAGCTCACCCACTACCACTCCTTCTTCTACGAGCTGCTCTCCTGGTCCAACCCGCGCGCCACCGCCATCGCCTACACCCTCGTCTCCCTCCTCATCGTCGCCGCTCGCTACCTGCCCATCACTCGCTATGCTTTGAAGGGGACGTACATTGTTCTCGGAATCACGGCTGCCGCGGAGGTGGCTGGCAAGGTAGTGTTGGGTGAGGGTTTCGCTACGAAGATCCGGCCTAAGAAGTACTACACTATTCCTCATGAGACGCTGGAGAGCGTGATGGAGGATCTGGTGGAGCTGGGCAACTTCTTCGTCATTGAGTTCCAGCGCGTGGTGTTTGCTGAGAATGTCGAGGTGACTATTGGCGTATGTCACTCCCTTCCCCTCCCTCGCATGCCATCGCACTAACGGCCCCAGGTCTTCCTCGCCGCCTTCCTCACCTACTTCCTCGTCAAAATCACCCCCACCTGGGGCCTCGCCCTCCTCTTCACCACCCTCGCCTTCTTCGTGCCCCTCATCTACGTCTCCAACCAGGAGCTCATCGACCATCAAATCGCCAACGGCAAAGACCTCTTCAACCAGCAGGCAAACCAAGTCTCCGACCTCGTGAACCAGCACGCCGGCTCCGCAATCGAGACCACCCAGGCTGCGCTGAAGGAGTACTCGGCCAAGGCGGGTGAGCTGATGGGCACTGCCAAGAAGGCTGCGGTCGAGAAGGGTGTTGTCACTCAGGAGACTGCGGATAAACTTCCTGGTGCTACGACTGCGACTACGACGGCTAATGGTTCCGCGACGGGCGTGACGAAGGAGGACTTTCCCTCTGCGCCTCGTGTTGAGCCGATTGTCAAGACTGAGACTGGTACGACGGGGGAGAAGGAGCCTCTGTTGGCTTAGATGGGGCTATTCGTGGAGCCAGGGCTGTTGGGCGACTCTTGAACCATGGCTTCCGGCAAGAATGAAACGAACTTGAGGGGGAGAGTAACGACGGAGAAGGCACGAGCAAAAAGACATGATTCGGATGTTCCATTTGGCGGTGATGAACACGAGAGAGGAGGAGGGTATGAGCATGGCTGTACGATTACCTTTGTGTTACCTCCCTATAACAAGCGTTTGCATTTGTGGGCACATTCTCTCCTTTTCCTTTCTTGTTGATGCTGGCGTTTATTCCTAACACATCAGCCCAACGGCGCCCTCTCAACACCACTCTTCGCCCTTCGCGACTCTTGCGTACGATGCTAAACTCCTTCACTCACGCCGTTGCTGCTGAGATGCACCACTTGATCACCGCGCTGTGACTTCTTTCCAGACCGCTCGGATGGCGCGCTATTGCCCATCTGGCACTTTTCCCTCGTACATCTAAATGCACAAACCCCTTTGACTGGGATTGTGGACGCCTCCCATTCCTAGCTATGAGTCGGAGGGGTGACAGACAGTCAATGGGAAATGAAGGGGTCGGTTGTCTCTTCTCGGTGATGTTTAGGGAGTTGAAGGTGGTTTGGGAGTGGAGCGGAGGGCGGAGAGTGTGGAGATTGGAGGGGAGATGTGGCGGATGGCTGACGGTTTTTGGTTTGTATGGTTGGCGCTTCTCTTTGGTTTTGAGGGCGGTGGATGTGGTTAGAGTGGATTGAGGTGCTTGGTCCGTTTGGTGATGGGAAGGGGGATGTGGCGGATGGCCGACACTACGCATATTTTCAACATATGAGGAAAAGGAATGAGAGCGGCAGAATGGAAGTTCTCACGAATTGCAATTGCTCGTCCCAATCTATCTAACGCCATACTCGCTCGCTCAAAACACACTCCCAGAACCGAGACACTCCACCCCAACCCCAAATCTCAACCCCCTCTCACTCCATCTCCTCCATCTCCTCATCCTCCCGGGCCGCAGCCCTCTCCCGAACCATCCGACGGAGAGACAGCACCCCCGCCGTCCTCGTCTCCTCCATCCTATTCATCCCAATCAACAACCGCGCAACCTCCACCTCCTCAAGCGCATACTGCGCCGTCCCAGTCCGATCCCCCCCAGCGTCCGCCAGCACGCGCTTCTTCCGCGCCAGCGCCTCCGAAGGCGAGTTGCGGTAGCTAGCTGGCGCGCGGCCTGCGCCCGTCACGCGCATCCCGCCCGTGAGGTTGGGAGCCGCGAGCCGGGCGCGCTTGGCTGCGTAGCCCTTGTTTGCTGGGCGGATGATGAGATCCGCCGAGTCGGCTTCGCTGGGCGCGTTGGCGTCGCTGGTGGTGGAGGAGGGGGAGGGAGAGCGAGTGGCGGGCGCGGCTGGGGCGGCGGAGTGGCGGCGCTTCTTCTTGTTTGTGCGGCGGCTGCGGGCTGGCTTGCTCTCTGCCTTTACTTCGGCTTCTTTGCCCTTCTTTTGGTCTTGCTTGGAGGCGAGGTAGAGCTCCAGCTCGTCCTTGGGAGCCGCCGGACGCCAGGGGGCGGCGAGCAGCGAGTTCTCCAGCGATGAGGCGACGGCCGTCTTGTGTTGTGCAGGGTTGTTGATGGCTGTGAAGCTTGGGCTGCTGTATGTCGTCTTGGGCGAGATAGCTGGGGACGCGAGGGCGGAGGTGGCGCGGGAGGAGTCTGAGGTGTCCGTAGTGAAGACTGAGGTGGTCTTGAACTTGGGGCGCGCGTTGCGTGGCGGGAGCGTCTTGCCGATGCCCTTTGATGATGCAGCTTGCTTGACAGACGCGTTGTTGAGGCCATTGTCGTCACTGCCGCTGGTATCTTGAGTCGAAGCCACTTCTGCAGCCTTCTTTCGGCGCTCCAGCGCTTCCAGCGCGTTGCGCACCGTCGCACGATTGATTTTGAACTTTTCGAAGCCGGGATGATCTTCTTTCAAGCAGTTGCGGACAAAGTCAGGCCCGAAGACAGGAGTAAGCACCCAGCGGATCTTGTAACAAAAGGTCAGGCAGATCTCCTTTGCGCATTCGTACGGCATCCAGTAGCCTTGGGCCTTGAGCGAGCCGCCTGTGACGGAGACGGCGAGTTTCTCGAGACCGGGGTTGGCGCTGATGGATCTCCCGGGGACTGTCTGTGGTGATGTTTGTTAGCGGCTGCGTGGGGATACAGGGTGAGGAGGGGGATGGATGAATTGAGATACCCGACCCACCTTGCCTTTATGCAAGGCTTTGAAGAAGGGCGTGACGCGCACGTAGCCGATTTCGTAGTCCCACATCACTTCGTACTGCTTGTTCTCGGGGTCGCCGGGGACGCGGAAGCTGTACTTGTAGACTGCGAAGAGAGGTCAGGACGCGTCGATGACACGCGATGGGAGGGAGGGCAACTTACAGTCGAGCGCATTCTTTCCCGTCTTTGCGTAGAGCTCCCTCTTATCACTGGTGTAGGGGACGTGACTCGTGGTGTCGGCAATCCTGTCGCCTGCTTTGCCAGTGGGAGGCAGAACTTGGAAGTGCTTGTGTTGACGTGCGAGCTCCTGGCGCTGCTGAGCATTCATGCCGGTGAGGTTCTCGTTGAGCTCGTAGGGCAGGTAGTCGTCAGCTGTGTCCATGGCGGTATCCATTGCGAAAGTGGTGTGAGTGGATGTGTGTGTTGGTGGGTGAGCTGAGAAGGGGTTGAAGAAGGGGTTGTTGTGACTCGAAACAGTGGTTGACGCGGATGCAGGGGCTGACGTCAACAGCGCACCGTCGCCGTTTGTCGTCCTTTTGCCTGCCTTGGGAGCCTTGGAGAGGTCGGGGTTGAGCAGAGAAGGGATTTTGAGCATGTTGATGGCGATGTTGTCGGAACGCGTCGAGTCTTCGTTCTCCCTCAGTCCTGAAAGGAATGGCGAAGGCTGGTGAGCCGAGTGCGAGGACATTCGAAACGATGAAGAAGGTTGAGCGCTCGAGAAGAGCGGGCGAGCGAGTCGTGGGGATGAGGAAGAAGAAGCGGTGAGCAGGTCGAAGACGGGATCCACCCCTTATACGCAAAGGAGCAGATGGAGCATGCAGTCGCCCAGGCGGTCGATGAAAGAGAGTCTGAGACAAGCAAGCCAGTAGTCCAGCAAGCTACTGAACTCAACGCGTCGCCGCCCGTCAATGTTTCGCCTTTCCTGCCCTTTCTGGCCGAAGAACTGGATCGAAGGGCGTCGAGCAGTGCGTGAGTTTGTTGCAGAACCCCTACCACGCGGCTGTGCAGGTGCTAAGCTTGGTCCAGTGTCTTGGTTCGAGAGTTTGCGGTGAAGGACAAAGCATGTCTTGGTTATGCACGAGTCTGCATATGCAAGGCACGACCATGCGCGAAAGCGTTTCTTTTGCATACGGAGGGAAGTGAACGCCATGTTGACTCCCAACGCCTTTGTGGCAGGGAAGGGTCGCATAGCAACGAGGAGCAGAGAAAGAAAGAGGCAAGATAGGAACGGGAGTGTTGCAATTACTTGCCTCCGAGCAGGGGTGGACATCGTGTCTCGAACAAGCCAAACAACACGCCGACGGGCAAACGCTACAAACACCCTCTCTGCTAGCAGGATGAACCCCGTACCGGACAGTACGCGGCTCGCTCGCCAGCATCGAGTATTGACCGCCTGCAGACGTTGGAGTGCGGGCTAATCATAAGCACGTTCGATCACGGTGAAGTTCCAGCACTCAGCAGGTCGTGGAAGTGCTTCCTCCGCTCGTTACCAGCAGCACGGATGCTGCAACGCAGTCAGCCAAAACACACGCAGCATGTCGGAAACCGAGCATCGTAGCCATGGCAATTGGCTGTCCAGCCGCATCCCAGCCCCGGGCGGAGAAGCAAACCGATCTGGAAGAGCTTGGACTGTTCAAACGCGTTTCCGGGAGCAATCGCGGTAATTCGAGGAGTTGTCATGACTTGGTGAAGAATGGAAGATGTGACATGCCCCTGATTCATACTCCGCTCGTATAGCGGACTCCCACAGGCTCCCATGGCCTCATCCCATAAGCGAGGAGAGTGGTGAGCGCGACAGCTATGCAGCCTTGTGGTTGACGACTCGGGAACTGGCATGAGATCGGCATGCGGCCTTCCGACGAGCGAACGGGGCCTGTTCCTTTCGTGCCGCGGCTCGGTAACATAGTCAAGGCACCCGAATCAAATGAAACTGAGCTGAGTTGACTATCACCGCATGGATGGGTCTTTTGGCGGGGCCGAGGACGTTTCTGATCGTGCCGTATTTATGGCCCAGTGACCATGGGTGATTCTGCAAGCGTCATAGCAACATCTGCGCAGGATGAGAGTCAGTGCTTGGCCAAGTATCAGGCTGCCGCGAATGGAGGCATGCTTTCCCGCTGGAGAGGTAAGAAATGGCTGGAGGGGAAACAGCTGCCATGAATTCGAATCGAAGCACGAGGCGCGAGCCGGTGGCACTGCAAACACGACAGTTCTCCATTCAGCGACAGCGAATCCCCAATTTGTATACTACGGCAAGCATCCTTGCTTTGACACGGGGTCGCATACAGAGCTCGCACGGCCTGGTGGAAGATTGAGCACATCTGAGGAAGCAGTTGTCGGACGTCAATTGAAGGCGCTGTTAATATGAGCGCACAACTCATGTCGGCACAGGCTGTCCATCGTTACCGTCGTGCTCCGGGGCGCGTGGGCAGGGCAAGAACGACTCTGGGCAGCATCACGCCGGTCGCTGCTGTTTGAGGATTCAGCGCTCTGTCAGACTTCAGTTGCCCCGACATATTACGCGTGATTATCGGCAGAAGAGAACCTGACGCTTCGATTCGGCAACCAGTCCATGGAAGGATGGGCAAAATGGAGATGAATGCGCAGCGCTCTGGAAGAAGGTCACGGGAAGTGGCTGAACTCTATTGGCCCCGAGACCGGACGGATGTCAATTCGTTGCTTGCGGGGACGTTGGCGGCTGAGCCCACCACGCCCTACGAAGTGCAAGTGACTCAGGCGGTGGAGGTCAGCACCGCAATGTCTTTGTTGTCTTCTTCTATCCTTCTCTCACGCCCTATTGTTTCCTGTTCCGCTTTCCATCTGGCGCCTTTCATCACGCGCCTTGTGGAGGGGCTGTAAGAAATGCCGACCATCGAGGAAGAGCGCGCCGCAGAGCCTGCGGGCGTCGATCTCGACTTCTCCGACCTGCTAGCGTTGCCTGAAGCTGCGTTCACGACATTGGGGGATGGCGCTCCAAGCAGCATGACCCATGACTTGCAATCCTGGATGCCGAGTCAGCAGATGGATTCGTCGGTGTATGCACTTGTTTCCCGTTTATCCCAAGCGCCGCTAATCTTCCATCTCTCAGCCCACTTTCACACGACCTTATGGGTGCCTGGGATCTTCCCCAGCCCCATAGGAAATTGTCTTTCGGCATCGCGGAGGAGGGCGACTATGATTACGGCCTGGAGGCTCCCGACTATACAAAGTTCGAGAATTGGATCCCCCAGTTCACTCGTCCCCCCAAGCCGTGCCAGTACTGCCGCGCAAGACGTTTCAACTGCTACATCACCCGCGGCGACACGGCCTGCACGCCATGCAGCTCCCTCTTCCGGGACTGCTCGTTGACCTCGACTCTCACATCCCAAGCCACCCACCAACCGTTCGGGCATCCTATCGACAACTTACGCGTCGTCGATGAAGATACAGTCATGACCAAAGATGCGACGACCTCCAGGACCCTCCAATCTCCGCCGTTGCTAAGCGACATAGACACCGCCGACGACACCACTGGTAGCAACAAACGTAGAGGCATTCGCTTCCCTCGCGAGGCCGTGAAAGTCCTGAGGGACTGGCTGGACACTCACACCGGCAGTCCCTACCCTTCCGAAGACGAGAAGGTCGAACTGCAGAGTCGAACAGGCCTGAAGCCAACCCAGATCTCAAACTGGCTAGCGAACGCTCGCCGACGCCGAAAGGCAAGTCGCCATACCAGGCCAAAGCTCTGTGCGTCCCCGAGTCTGAAACCAATTACGCCACCCATCAAGATCCCACGGGGCAGCATGTCTTCCCCCGAGCTCGACCCGCTCGAAAGATGGAAGAACTCGCCTCCAGAACACGAGCCGGCGTCCATCAAAGATATCGCCAAAGCTGTTGCCAAGAGTGCACTGGACGGCGATGCAATCCAGACTTCACCTTCGAGTCAAGGCTGGCAGAAGGCTCGCTCGAGCAATGGCTCGGGCTTGTCGGACGTGTTAGCTCCATCGACCACATCGTTCGAAACCGGGCAGTCGGCGCCGCTGTCCGCGTACAACAGCGCCGATTCCTTGCACTCGGCACAATCACAAGGCTCCTTCGGCTCCTTCAGCTCTAATCTGACTGGGAAGAAAGAGCGCCGAAGACGGAAACGGCAGCAGCGTGAACCTCCACGCAAGCTGAGTGACAACAAGAGGCGCATGTTCCAATGCACTTTCTGCACCGACACCTTCAAGTCCAAATACGACTGGACGCGGCACGAGAAAACACTCCATCTGTCCCTCGAGAAATGGATCTGCGCTCCTCTTGGTCCTGTAATTACGGATCAGGCGACGGGTAAGCAGAAATGCGTCTACTGTGACCAGCTTGATCCATCCGATGAACACATCGAGACGCACAATCATCGCCAATGCGAAGAGAAGGGATTGGGTGCTCGCACATTCTACCGAAAAGACCATCTGCGGCAGCATGTCCGGCTAGTACACAACTGCAAGATGACACCTTCCATGGATACGTGGAAGTCGGTCACCAACAACATCAATTGTAGATGTGGCTTTTGCGGCCAGCGCTTCACAGGCTGGCAGGACCGGGTGGACCATCTAGCCACGCACTTCAAAGCCGGTGCTCGTATGTCCGAGTGGAAAGGGTGTAGAGGGTTGGATCCGAACATCGCCGCCTTGGTCACCGACGCCATGCCTCCTTACCTCATCGGACATGAAGCTCTCGCTCCGGATCCGTTTAGCGCCACCAACAAGTCCACTCTGGGTCACGATATGCTCAACGACGCCACCACTCGCCCTGACAACTCCCAGACCGCTCCGCAGGACTCTCCAGGAACCAGCAAAGCAAGCTGTTGGGAGATACTGACCATAAGGCTGGGCGAATACGCCAACGACATGGCGAAGAAGGGCGTGGTCCTCACAGACGAGATGTTACAATCCAAAGCCAGACGTATCTTATACGAGTCCGATGATGCTTGGAACCAGACTGCCGCCGATAACCCCGAATGGCTGGATTTGTTCAAAAAAGCGCACGGCCTGGATTTCATCCCTTCGCAAATTGGCGGGCTGGGGCAGCAGGTCCCCGAAGACTTGGAAACGTACAGCGATCTTGGCTTGCGCATTCCCTTCTCTGTGCAGCTGCAAGCATACAACCAGCAGCGCCGGGAGAACGACTCGAAACCGTGCGATCCTGCAGTTTGTGTGTACACGGACAAGTCGCAGAAGGAGAGAGCCACCAACCCTGCGCCCAAGATACCGCACATCCTGCGGGAGGGGGTCTTCCGCGGGCCGAACGATGAATGCGGTCACTTGGAGTGCGAGAACAATCAGCTTAGACTCGGTGCCGACACGACGTACCGGTGGTGTACATACGACCTGCCACCGGCGGCGCAGGAAGCGAGCGGTGTAGTAGACACCAGCGGCGATACGCGGTCGGCAAACACACCGAACGGCGGTACATTGCTCATGACTGCGGACAAGACGCCATACCTCCCGCGCTACCAGTACGAATTGCCGGCGGAAAAAGCGCAACGGTTTGCTTCTGTTACTGGCGCGTGGACTGCTAGTGGTGTGATGCCTCCTTCATTCAGCACGGCGCAGCAGCAGCAACAAGGCACAGCAACAAATACCGACGCCATGATGGACTTCCTCGACGACAATGCAGGCCAGCACATACCCTTCACCACCTCCCCCAACCACCCCGCGCCCCCTCTTACCGCCGCACAAGAAGCAGCCATGATAGCAGATATCGACAAATTCCTCGCCGAGTCGCAAGGACAGCCGACTCTGGACGGCCATGGCGCAATGCTCGGTGGGAAAGCCGGCTACGACGATGCTTCGTGGATGACGATGCCTGCTTCGACTGCAACAGAGGTGGATTTGCCTCCGGACTTTGATATGAAAGATTTGGAGTTTGACGACATGTTTGATATGGATCACGATGCTTATAAGGATTTGGTGCTTGGGTAGAGGTGTGGTGGGTTTTAGCGGTGGGGTTGAGGGTATGATGGAGCGTGTTCATAGAGTGATCATGAATATGCGATTGTTACTTTGTTGATGCTCGATTCCTCGAACCTTTTTTCTATCACCATGTGGTATACAATTGTTTGATATGGTCGTTGGTACGATTGGCAAGTCGCCACGGCTGGGCTGCGCACGGCTTCTGAATTCTAGACTCGCTTGCACCGCCCCCGGAGCCCTGCGGAATCCACTGTTTCAGCATCAACCTTGTGAGATTCCCTTGCTCGTTTGCACTCATCCCTCCCTGGTCTCGCCCTCCATGCAGCGAGCACGACAAATCATGATATAATACGACAGTCGGAAGTCTAACGAGCGATCCTGTGGAGATGGCTCGAGAGTTGGCGGAAGGCGGTACGTACCACTCGCGCACAGCATGCTTGAACACCACTTGTCCCTTTCCTCTTTCGTTTACGAGGGGCATTTCGATTGTACGATGTTGATACCATTTGGTAGAAAGCATCACTTACGCCTCCTCCGACGACGACGGCGATGTTCGAGCCGGCGAGCCGGATTTGCGCTTCATCCATTACAACGATGTCTACCATGTCGAAAGCGGCTCGCGGGAACCTGTCGGCGGTCTCGCGCGCTTCAAAACGGTGTGCGAGGCCTATCGTTCCAAGACTAGCGGTCCTTTCGCGGAGCAGGTGGAGGTTCTCACGATGTTCAGCGGGGATGCATTCAATCCGAGTTTGGAGAGTTGTATCACGAAAGGTATCCAGCAGCCTCTTGTCTTTTGGTCCAAAGGCTAATACTGGACTCCGAACGCAGGGAAGCATATGGTACCTGCACTCAACACCGTAAACACCACCGTCGCCTGTCTCGGGAACCACGACCTGGATTTCGGCGTCAAGCACTTCCAATATCTAGCCTCGCAATGCACATTCCCCTGGCTATGCGCGAACGTGCTAGACCCAGCACTAGGAGACGACATCCCGCTCGCCAACTGCAAGAAGCACATCATCCTGACCGCCTCAAACGGGATCAAAATCGGCGTGATAGGAATTGTAGAGCGGGAATGGCTGGACACGATCAACAGCCTTCCCCCGAATTTGCAGTACTTCTCTGCTTCCGCTACGGTTGCCGAGCTGGCGCCGAAACTGAGAGAGGAGCACGGGGCGGAGATGGTGATTGTGCTCACGCATCAGCGGGAGCCGAATGATAACAAGCTGGCGACTAAGCTGGCTCCTGGGACGGTGGATTTGATTCTAGGCGGGCATGATCATTTCTACGGCCACTCGATTGTTAATGGGACGCATATTCTTCGCTCCGGAACGGACTTTAAGCAGCTTTCGTACATTGAGGCTCGGCGCCGTCGGCGGAAGGGTGGGGATACGAGCTCGGGCTGGAAGTTCGACATCGTACGGCGCGACATTGTGTCCAGCTATCCCGAAGACGCCGAAGCGGCCGAGCAAGTGGAATCCCTCACACACTCCCTGAGCGAGAAACTGGAGAAGCCCATCGGATACACCGCTGCTCCGCTCGACGCGCGATTCACAACAGTACGACTGAAAGAAAGCAATCTCGCCAACTTTGTCTGCGACTTGATGCGCTTCCACTACTTTGCCGATTGCGCGGTGATGGCCGCCGGCACCGTCCGAGGCGACCAGATCTACCCGCCAGGCGTGCTGAAAGTAAGAGACATGATGGACTGCTTTCCCTTTGAAGATCCCAGCGTAGTCGTTGGCGTCACGGGCCAGCAACTCCTCGACGCACTGGAGAATGGCGTGAGCAAGTACCCTGCTCTCGAAGGCCGCTTCCCACAAGTGAGCGGCATCCACTTCACTTTCGATCCCAAACTACCCCCCGGGAAGCGCTGCTCAGACGTCTCCGTCGGCGGCCGCCCCATCGAGTTGGAGAAGGAGTACACCCTAGTCACGCGAGCATACATGGTGCAAGGCAAAGACGGCTTCACCAGTCTCCGCCTCCCCGAAGACGGCGGCACCGCGCGCTCCATCGTCAGCGAAGAGAACGGCATGATCCTCTCCACCATTCTGCGGCAGTACTTCATGAGCCTGAAGGTTCTGGGCCGCTGGAAGAATTGGAATGCCCCGATGGATCGCCATTGGGACAAAATCCAGACGCAGCTGCATGGTGTGCATCCTGTTCAGGAGCCGGTGGGAGGAGAGGAGGGCGGTGCAATGAATGGCAGTGTGCGTGTGCTTAATGGTAGTGCGAAGGGAGAGCATTCGTCTTCGCCGCCGGCCAAGAGGGTGCGCATTGAGAAGAAGATGCAAGAGCAGGATGATGTCAAGTACGTGGATCACATGGAGAGCGAAGACGAGGACGAGAGTATTCCGCTGGCGTGCATTCGGCAGACGGCGAGTGAGCGGGATTTGCATATTATGCGCAAGTACTCGCGCAAGTGGTGGAGGCTTGCGGGCTTGCCTGGGCATCCGGACTTGGTTGATGGGGATGGGGGGGACGATGATGGCGTGTCTTGGGCGATGGGCATTGCGCCGAGGGTGGAAGGGCGGATTAGGATTGTGGGAGAGGTAGGGTAGGGTGGAAGAAGGCAATTGAATCGCATGTAAAACGCATCTTCTATCATCTATTGGAGAGTGTCATGAATATTACCAATGTGGAATCAAGCAACGACGCCATTCGCCCTCTTTTCCCTCGCTTGTTCCACCTCGCCAGAAAGTTTGCTTAACTTCCCAGCAAAGACGTCTTCCAATACAACCCGCACATCTCGCAGAAATCGAGAATTCTCGCTCTCAGTCCCTACGGTGATTCTCAGCGCGCCGAAACATCCATGCTCCTTCCCTCTGAACCGTACAACGACCCCTCTCGTCTCCGCCAGCCGTTCATACACCTGCAGCGCAACCTCATTACTAGGCTTCCCACCTGGCCCATCCAAGATCTGGACGAGGAGGAAATTGGAATCCGCCTTCTTCCCGAGGAACGGACCAACACCGGCAATCTGCGGCAACTCTCGACGCAGACGATCGCGCTGCTCGAGAATCTGTTGCCGATGCCCGTGCATGACTTTCAGCCCCTGCGGTCCCAAAGCTTGAATAGCAAGCTGCGAAGTCGGGTTGGAGATGTTGTAGGGCGCTTTGAGACTGTTCAGTAGCTTTGCAATTTGCGGGGATGTAAACGCCGCGCCGAGACGGATGCCCGCCATGCCAAAGGCCTTGGACAAAGTTTGCATGACGACGAGGTTCGGCCATTCGGCTACCCATTCCGCAAGGGATGAGCCTTCAGGGGCGAAGTCGATGTATGCTTCGTCGAGAATCACAACGCCGTTCCAGCTGGGGTGTTCCAGGATGGTCTGGACATCGGCTTTGCGGAGGAGGGTGGATGTCGGGTTGCCTGGGCTGCAGAAATACACCATTTTAATGGTGGGGTCGGCGGAGAGTTTGGCGGTGATTTGCGAGGTTTGCAGTTGGAAGTCGTTGTCGACGTCTAATGGTACGGGAACGACTTCGACATCGTTGACTTGGGCTGATACTGAGTACATGCCGTACGTGGGCGGACATGTGAGGATCTTGTCTTTGCCTGGGGTGCAGAAGGCTCGCAGGAGGGCATCGATGGCTTCGTCGCTGCCCACGCCGACGAAGAGATTGTCGGGGGTTAGACTTTTGCTGGTGTGGACGTGGGTGTTGCGGAGATCGATGAGCTTTTGTTTCAACTCGTGCTGGTGTCTGGTAAGAGGATGTTAATACTCGGTAAACGAGGCATCAAAAGAGATTACGCATACGGATCGGGGTATCGGTTCAATCCCAAGAGATCAATTTCCACCCCTTTTCTGGTGCCATTGACAAGCTTGCCATCTTCCGTCAGGTCGAGCGATGGACCGAAAGCATTCTCGTTCGCATCGAGCAGGATATTCGTGCCATCGTCTTTGTAGTCACTGACGGAAGGGATACGTTAGCCATTGGCCCATTCAAAGGTCATCCAGAAATGGCAAGACATACTCTCGAGCGCATCGATACGGCGTCAGCTTCAATATATTAGGCCTGGCGCAGGCATTGATATCGAACGGCATCGTGTCAGGCTGCAGATGGAAGAGGCGAGGATGACTCTACCAATCAGTGTTTTGTGATTTCGATTCGTAGGTGGAATTTAGAGTTGGCGGGTAGACGGAGCGGGACGAGATTGTCAGCGTCTGACGGCCCAACGCCACACGAACCTTGTTGCCGGCTCTCGCATGTGATGACTGGAATTCAGCTGCCCACGATGTGGCCGAGTGTCTTTGCGGAAATTCAATCCGTTTCCGTTCCTCGATACTACATTTCTCTTTCCCTGCGCGGCGCGGAAGACAGAGCCCCGACTCTCGCGACATGCACGATCGTGTTGCGTGCTGATCATTTCTAGCTCGCGCTCGTCATGCTCAATCCGGTTTCCGCACACCTACGTACCCGTGTTTCCCTTCTGGCCGATTACCTACCTGCATCTCTCTATACGACCTCGCATGCGCCGTATTAGCCAGTCAGTCCATCGAACATCTGATCCACAGCGACTGCCGACGTGATTTGCACGTGTAAAGCGTGCCAACCCACACCGCCTGTCACATGCTCCGAGAGGATCCGGTCAGCATGAGTACACAGTACCAAGTGCCGGCCACGCCGCGAGTGATATCACCCTCACCTACCCCATCCGAAACGAGTGGAAAAGAAGGCTATTTCCCACCCGTCACTCGCTCACAACGAAACAGCGTGGGCAGAGCGGGTAGTCTTACAGCCGTGGAAACAATAGAAGAGAAGGATGATCCTGCCCAAGACGAAGATCCAGAACTATCGCGTGCGCGCAGTCGCAGCAGAAGTCCACATCTAGTGCGAAGAGAGTCGGCAAAGCAGATGAACGGCAGCTTCACCACCAGCGCCCGGGCAGGCATCACGCCGCTCACTCCGCTGCGCAAGAGAACGGAAGCTGCGCCGAAGGGCGGCAAAGCTAAGGGCTTTCTATCCCCCGAGAGTGCCTATCCTCGAGGCTTTGGCTCGGCATATTGGCGCAACCTGAGTCGCAGTCCGAGTCCGCTCGGTCTCATTCCCATCCATCGCGAATGGAGAGTCTTCGTCCACAAACACGAGATCCCCCGGAAACTGCTGCACGTTAGCATCGGCTTCGGCACGCTCGTGCTGTACTACCAAGGGCTGCAAGTGGAGCAGATCCACCCCGTCCTCCTCGCCCTCCTCATCCCAATCTTCACCATCGACATCATCCGCTTCCGTTGGGAAGCCGTCAATAGGCTGTACATCAAACTCCTGGGCTCCTTCATGCGGGAAAGCGAAGCGCATGATCGGTTCAACGGTGTCATTAGCTACCTTGCCGGCCTCTGGTTCACCATGCGATTCTGTCCAAAGGATGTGGCGGTCATGAGTGTGCTACTGCTCAGCTGGTGCGACACCGCTGCCAGCACTTTCGGCAGACTATGGGGCAAATACACACCTCGGATTCGAAAAGGGAAGAGTTTAGCGGGGAGTCTTGCGGCGTGTATGGTCGGCGTGCTCTCTGCTATTCTCTTTTATGGAATCATTGCGCCGGCTACGGGCGGTGTCTACGATACGGGCCCGGACAGCTTCGCTTTTCAAGGCTCCCTTACACTGCCTTTACGACTTCGTGAGCAGTTGGGTGTCGGCAAAGCAAACGCTACCGTCAGCGGCTGGATTGCTCTGGCGCTGATGAGTGTCGTTTCCGGGCTAGTGGTCAGTGTGAGCGAGGCGGTGGATCTCTTCCACCTGGACGACAATCTGACGATACCTGTTCTGTGTGGAATTGGGCTCGGAGTGTTTCTGAGAGTGTTTGGTGCCGGGTAGATGATGTTCATAGCGTGGCAAAATGCATATATTCCCTATTCTGTCCTAAAATGCGGATGACTGGGCGATGAAAGTGCGAAAGTAACCTCTGTCACGTGCCCCTGCCTCGGTGAGTGTAAGATAAGCTTTATGTCATCGGAACAACTTCGCGTGCATCCATTCACGGCACTTGTCTACCTGAGTCACTTACCACCACATCAACCCTTCGCCACCAAACACTTTTTCTCGCCGACGCATCGTCAAGAAGTCGACAGTACTCCGACAGAGGCAGTATACACCATCAGCCTCATCTAGACACTGCCACCAAGGTCCTCAGCCCGAATCCACTCACCCGAACTCGCCTTCCACTTCGCTTCCCGCTGTCCATCTCCCACCAGGACAAACCAGCAGAGCGACGATTAGACTCAAGCAAAAGGCTTGAAGGAACGGGGATTGAGAGCGGACTACACAGCACAAAAAGCAAGCATGTCGACGGCTGCGCGGCGGAGGCTGATGCGCGACTTCAAGCGCATGCAGACCGATCCCCCGGCCGGCGTGAGCGCGAGTCCTATTGCCGATAACGTGATGACCTGGTACGAATGCCATTCCTTGCCTCTCTACCTCATGCCCCGACCTTCGATCTAATGGTTTTCTCTTCAACTAGGAATGCCGTCATCATCGGCCCCTCCGACACACCCTTCGAAGACGGCACCTTCCGCCTCGTCATGCACTTTGAAGAGCAGTATCCGAACAAGCCGCCGGGCGTCAAGTTCATCAGCCAAATGTTCCATCCCAACGTCTACGGCACGGGCGAGCTGTGCCTCGACATTCTGCAGAACCGCTGGAGTCCGACGTACGACGTTGCCGCCATCTTGACCAGTATTCAGAGGTGGGTGGGGAATGACGAAATGAAGGCGCGAGAAGAGGACCTGAGCTAATTTTGATGGGTGCTGGCAGTCTACTCAATGACCCGAATACGTCATCGCCGGCGAATGTTGAGGCGAGCAATCTCTACAAGGACAATCGGAAGGAGTATACCAAGAGGGTGCGAGAGACGGTTGAGAAGAGCTGGGATGATTGAGAGGTTGGGCTTTACTTGCTACGACGGAGAAGAATATTGGTACGATACCACCTCGCTCGGGTTTGCTCGTGGGGAGGGTTTCCGGCGGATCACACGTACGGAGTGTACGATGCTACGGACACGTAAGGGCTTGGATTGGATACCGTGAGAGCGTGCTTGCTGGAAGCGACGGCGTTCATTCGGAGGGAGTGGGACTGCTCGGTGGTGCTAGCATGAACATACCTATCTTCCTCACTATCACTGTGAGATATGCGCGAGCGAAGTTTCGGTATCAAGATCCTCGTTACTCTGTGCCGCCTCTATGAGCCTTTTCCCTCTCAGCAGCCACGTATGAACCAACTATCGGCGGGATCTCACCTAGATCTCATGTAAACTTGCCCCAAGCCATATTGAGTGGAGTATCGCGGCACGTGGTGGTGGCGGTATGCAGGGTCCACCTACTTTCCAAATTCGTCGACTTCATCTTTTCTCCAACCACGTCCATACAATCTGTTCAAGGCGAGCCGTTCACGTTCGCACCACACATGGGCGGATAAGTTATGGCGCAGCAACCTGCCGTGATCTTCATCGCGAGGTAAGAAGTCCATACTCCAATAATGCGCACACGATCTGACACAAATGCCAAAGACACGGTCCCCGCCTCGACGCCGCCGACTCCACATGGCACTTGGCAACACCTACGCCATACGATCCTCCCATCACCTACGGCGGTTGGAATCAGTCTCGTGCTCTGGGAACGCGCATAGCCAGCCTCTTACACGCACGAGAGCAGGAGGTGGAGCAATCAAACAACCATGACAACAGCAACAGCGAGGAGCGAGGAAGACCCGCAAAGCGCAGAAGACTACGACACAAAGTCGTCATTCACACCTCTCCTTTCCTACGATGTCTGCAGACCAGCATCGCCATCGCGGCCGGCATGGCGCAGTACAACCCCTCCATCGAACTCAGCAACGAGCAGAAGCGGCCTAACTCTGCTTCCCCGAGAATGCGTAGCGCGGAGGGCAGTGGTGGTAGCCCACGCTCTCTCTCCGCTATACCCGGTCCTAAGCACGATCTGGTGCACGCCGTTGCACGGAAGGCTCTGCATGAGCATAAGAGGTATCGGAAGGCGAAGCTGCGCGTTGACGCCTTTCTCGGCGAGTGGTTGAACAAGCAGTACTACGAAGGCATTACCGCGCCTCCGCCGAGCCCCATGATGCTTGCCACAGCCAAAGCGGAGCTACTCGAGAACGAAAGCGTGCAAATCTTCCGCCCGACAATCGTCACCAAGAACTCCACCGACAGCAATTCTCTCTGGGGCGGGGGGAACGCGAGTGGTGGAAGCAGCGGGCGATTAAGTCCGCTAGACGACTGGAGTCCCGTGGAAGACGCTATCCCGCCCTCGCCCCCTCGCTCTCGCGCCAATTCGCAAAACAGCCCAATTGGAATGGAGAGCGGGCGTCGCTCGCCTTTTCGTCCTGGCTCGCCTTTGCTGCCGCTTGCGTCTTTGGTGCCGAAGCAGGAGCCGTCAATTTATCGACCGCCGACGCCGCAGTATGCTGTTTCGGCGTCGCATTTGATTCCGAGGGGATATGTGGTGCATGCGCGGAATGCTTGTACTAATGTGGATTATTCATGGGATAGTAGTCGGCCTCCGCAGAGCTGGGGCGATGGAGGGGAGTTTGGGGAGGAGTGGTCGCATATGCATAAGCGGATTCGGAAAGGTCTCACCTCTTTGGTGGAGTGGTATAGTCATGGGGGAGGAGTGAACGAGGAAGCCGACGATGCGATCGAATTCGAGAAGCTGGACGGGCAAACTGGAGAAGACGAACGACAGGAGGATCTAGTCGTCATCCTCGTCACGCATGGTGCAGGCTGCAACGCGCTTATGGGCGCTCTCACAGGCCAACCGGTTCTACTCGACGTCGGCATGGCAAGTCTCACCATGGCCGTGAGGAAGCACGATGCGCCCCAGACGAACGCCACTGCCCCGAACTTGCAACGCCGCGGAAGTGTGGATACGGGTTTGAGCACGATCTACGAAATGAAAATGGTCGCATCCACAGAGCACCTACGCCCCGGCGCAGAGCTGAAGCGCGCAGCTTCGCCGGCCGGCAGATCGGAGATCACGACTCGCGATGTCCTGCCGAGATTCCAGGAGCGCTTGACTGCTCGCAGCAATACGAACTCATCTCTGGGCACGATTCGGCGGCCCTCGGCTGTCAGTATACCGTCTGCGGCGAAGCTCAACAATAGCGGCAAGGGCGGTGAGAGTGATGGCAACCGGTCTCAATCCCAGCCTATGACTTTGGGCTTGTGGACTCCGCCTGCTTCCCGCTCGCCAGGCTTACAGCCTCAAACTGCCGTTCAAGAACAGAAGCGCGCATCTGTCGATTCCGGCGAAAGTGTCAAGCTCGACAACAGCAACAGCGCCCCGACGTCCCAACCGCGCTCTCCTCCGCCCAACGAATCGGATAATACCAGTGCCGCCAGACAGTCTCACAACAACATCGCCTCATACGACGGCGCATCTGATGACTCGAACGACGGGAGTCCAACCGCCGGAATGAAAGAAAGCGACGACGTGCTTAGCAACATCCCGCCTGAGCTTAGTAGGCGTTTGAGCCAGCAGGGGCTTTGGGGTAGTCGGCCTAGTGGCGCGCACGTGGAGAGAAGGGTCAGGCAGCCGAAGAGGAGGTGGACCGTAGAGCAGGATTGAGCTTCTATTTCTGCATGCCTTGGTCTCGGCCTGCGTGCCGTGCTGCCTCGAATCGCAGAATTGACAGGATGGTGTGGTTTCAGCAGTTGCCTTCGGACTTCCATTCTCGAAGGCCTGCTTTGAAGTCATTCACTTCTACCATATTTAGCCCTCCTTCTTAATCCTCTCCCTCGCCCTCATCAACGCTTTCCCCAATGCATTCTCACCCCATTCGTCGATATGATCCAGCGCATCGTCCGAGTTGAACTACACCACAACGCAATCAGCCAAACCCATCCCAACAATCAAAGAGCACAAAAATAGCAAGACAAGCAACGAAAAACTCACCCCAATGCCCCATTTCAGATCGTTCGGACTCGTCTCCACCAACTCCCGACTCCCCGTGCCCAGCAGCACCTTCTACAACTCCGCATTCTGCGAGAACTTCAAGTACTGCCCTTGCTCCACGATGTCGTCGCAGTGTTTGTCCCAGAGGGTTTGTTGGAAGTTCTTCACCTAGAGTCCAGCCAACACCCCGGAATCAGTAACATGCCCCGAATCGAGAGTAGTGTAGAGTGGAATACCTTCCTCCCCAAACCCTTCGCCTCCCCAGGCGTCTGACACTCCAACACCTCCCCCGCAACCTCGGCATCACCCATCAACAGCGCTTTGTGAAACATCATGTACTGCTCGCTCGTCTTGAACTTCCTCTCCGCGCTCGTGCCGCTGCGCTTCGCCTCGCTCTCATCCACCTTCTCGACAAAAGGCGAGGGATACCATTGCTGCAAGCAGCATTCTGGCTCCGGGCCGTCGAACCCGAAGAACAGGACGTACTTTTCTGTGACTTTGGGGGGCAGGTCTTGGGCGTATTGCAGTTCGGGGGGCAGGGAGGGGAGGTTGTCGCCTATCCAGCGGGGACCTTTGGAGTCTGTCATTTTCTTTTTCTGTTGTTCTTAGTTGGGATGGGAGCTGAGAGAAGGGGATTAGGAGGATTGGAGGTGGGTTGGGGGTTCGTATCGTGGTAGGTACGGATGCTACATGGCCTAGCTACGGATGGGAGGAGAGCTTGCTTGCTTGCTCCATTGGGCCGAAAAAGAGCTGGGAGAGCGACGCATGTTGCACTTTTCCGGCGATGCATGGTTCCTTCTGTTGCGAGATTGCATTCTTTGGATATTCGGATGCAGAGAATGGGTGTCTTCTCGTTTGCGAACAGGCACAACCGTGCCCAGCCTTACAGACGATGTAGTTTCCGTTTCCGGAAAGTCGTCACGTGTGCAGCCAGGTGTCTGTCTCGTGGAAACATTTTTAACCATGCGAGGGAGCGAGACGATCGTTTAGACGAATATAAAGACGACACTGCAGTTTTACTCATTCACACATGATCATGCATTTCTCGTAAATCTATGAACCACTCTAAACCTTGATCTTTATCTTCCCCCTCGCCCTGGTCATCCTCGTCACCACCAAAATCGCCGCACACAAAGTGATAGCAGCAGCAGCCCAGCACTGCGCAGCAACATACGACGCCTTCGTCGGCCTGGCGCTAATAATCGCGCCCCCAATCGGCGGGCCGGTAAAAGCGCCCAGCCCCATAAAGCTAAACATAATCCCCAGCCGACTGCCGATAACGTTCATATTCTTCGTGAGGCTGACGGCCGTGGCGGGCACGAGACACTGCACGGCGGCGGCCATGATGCCGTAGAAGCAGGTCCAGACGTAGAGGCCGGTGGCGCTGGTGACGCCGAGCCAGCACCAGGAGACGAGGGCGAGGCCGATGGCTAGCGGGGTGATGGTGTTGAGTTGGCCTAGTTTGTCGCCGAGGAAGGCGGGGAGGATGCGGGCGGGGACGCCGATGCCGTTCACTATAATGAGGAGGACGGCGGAGGATTTGAAGGCCATGTGAACGATTTCGTCGCCGAAGGAGGAGACCTGGCGGTGTTGTTAGTGGGAGGATCAAGTTGGGGGCGTTTGGAGCAAGCTCACGTAGTATAGGGTGAAGTTGACGTTCCAGGTTAAATTGAAGACGGCGATGCAGTAAAGGACGTAGGGAAGTTCTGTGAATGCAGACCAGTCGACCATGGGACCGGATTTGTGCGGCGGCAAACGGGGGCGGATGAATGCAACGACGATGCATAGGGCGGCGAGGTTGATGAAACCTAAGATGCGCGTGGTCCACGCGAAGCCCAGCTGGGGAATCAGTTCACGAACGACAACGGGGTAGACGAGACCGCCGGCCGAGTTGCCTGTGGAAGCAATGCCGAGGGCCAGGGCGCGCCGCTTGGAAAAGTAGGTGGCCATGATGCCCATGCAGGGAGTGAAGATGATGCCGCCGCCCACGCCAGTTAGCACTCCTTGGGTTAGGATGAGCTGCCAGTATTTCGTGCTGATGCTCATGAGAAACATGCCGAGCAATTGAAGGACGCTTCCGGCTATGATGGTGGGGTAGAAATATCCGGCGTCAAGGAGTCGGCCGGAGAATGCGCCGATGCAGAAGGTGAAGAAAGACTGTGTCGTCCCGATCCATGATATCTCCGACGGGGTTTGAGGGAGGTGTATCGTATAGTATGTCTGGAAGACACCTGGATGCTAGCGTTAGAGGGTATGTTTGGTTTGACATGTTGGAACGTCGGATCGTACCAAAGCAATTGACCCAGCCCCCTGCGGTGTAGATGTTAGTTGGTTATGGATAAGATGTGTCTCGAGAAGGCTCACAAGTCACCAATATTGCGAGCCAGCCCGCGGCAACCTGAGTCCATGCCTTGAGGCCACCATCCGGCGGCGGACCTGGATCGCGGAGGGAATGGGTGGTCAGGCGAGAGCTCACTCGGCTCAAAGCAGGCCGCTTGGACTTTGTCGAGGCCACATCGGTCTTCTCAACACCCACGACTTCGACCTCGAATTCCTCGGATGAGCCTGGGCGAACGTGGTCGATGTCGGAGGCGGTGGTGGCGCTGGGACTCGCGTCTTTCCTCTTTTCTGATGAGCCATTGATGTTGTAGTCGACATGGCCCAGAGAGGAAGATGACATGTTCTATGGAATATCACCGATAGCCATTATTGTCTCGATGACACCGACGAAGCACTGACGCGAGGAGTAGTGAAGTGGTCGTGCGGTGTCGGAGCATTGCCGCGGGCGAGGCGAGTCAACGAGCAATAGAGTTTCGGAAATACCGTAGCCGCGGAGGAATGAAAGCGCGAAAGCGCAGCACAGAGAGAGAGCAGAGAGAGAGAAAGCAGGAAGCTCGGCGCGGAAGGATGCCGATGGGCGGTTTGCAGCGCGGCGGCGCGTCCGACAGCGGGCGGCGGGACAAGCGCCGCGCCTCCGCAGCGATGGCGAAGAAGTTCTTAATAAGAGAGAGTCATGTAGCTAGTGATAAGGTACTTCTGTACCTGGTACTGTGCTGTAGCCCAGTTACATCGCGCGTTGGATTATTAGGGCCTCCCATGCCATTTGCGGGGCGAGTAGGCGCGTCTGGAAATTGGGGATGAGGAACGAGCGGCACGGATAGCATGCCTGCCAAGAGAGAGGTGGGTGGGGATGTTGCGTGGCCGCCCGTTTCAAAGCGCCGACGTGGCAGCGGAGGAGCGACGACGCTGCGGGTTTTGAGATGATGCGGACGTGCTTGGCGTGCCGTCGACACGCTTGTGGCGTCGAATGCCAAGAGCCTGCCTTCGCTTACCCCCCAAAAGCGTTTTGTATACACGCGGGCGGGCATCTCCTGATTTGACGGATGCATGACCATCCTGGCCTGACCTGCTGCACTTGCCTTGCCTATCCCTCCATCTAGCGCATCTTCTTCTACTCCATCATCTCTGCCATCCCTGCCAGCTCTTTCGCCAATTTCTCCCATCTTTCCTCCCCCCATCACCGCTCATTCAATTCAACTTGGGGCGCCTGAGCCTATCGCGGGTGATCTTTCCTTCTTAGGGCGACTACCCAACCGTCCTGCCCTACTGCTTATTCACTCTTGACCAATCTCCCCAAACCTTGCACTGCACTGAACTGCACTGCACTTCCTCCGCCCGGCCAATTCGCAACCTCTTCTCCTCCTCGACGACTTTTGTTGCCGCCGCCGCCGCCTCTGCCCCCATCCACCCACCCACCGCATCTATTCAATCAACCCCCTCTCCCGATCGAATCGCCCTTCTTCGTCGCTGCATGCGCCACCACCCGCTCCTCCTCCTCCATCCATGATCACGCCCACACCCGACCACGGCGCATGTGCGAGCACCTCCACTAGTCCTCTCACCTCCGCGCCCACACCACCACCCCATCCGTCTTCATGAGAGCCATCCATCCCCTCATATGGCATCTCGCACTATGCCCCGCCGCCGCCCTTGCCCGAGCGCCTCTCCCTCCTCCCCCAGACTTCAACGCGGCCCTCGATGCCGGCGACTACGGCATCTACCCCCAGCGCGAATATGTCACCTCCGGCGGCATCAAGTCTCCCGAGACCAACTTCCCCATGTGCACCCCCGACTACGATGACGGCAAGTTCATCTTCTTCACCCCGCGTGGCCACTCCTTGCCCTACAACCCCGGCCCCATGATCATGGACGCGCGAGGCGAATTGGTGTGGTATCAGCATTATGACAACTCCTTTGGCGGCGAGGCCTACAATTTTCGCGTGCAGCACTTTCAGGGGGAGGACTACTTGACGTTTTGGCTGGGCGATGACCGTGTACGCGGCCACGGCTCCGGCTTTTATTATATGGTGGGTTGTCGTGTGATATACCAGCAAGGGAAAAGTGTGACTGACAAAGCCACCCAACAGTTAAACTCATCTTATGATGTCGTGCGGCAATTCGGTGCGGGAAATGGACTGAGTGCGGATCTACACGAATTCCTCCTCACCGACGAAGGCACTGCGCTCATGTCCATCTACGAAATCGCACCCGGCGACGTAAGTATGTTTCGCGAGTTCCACCCCGAGGAACACCTGGAGGACGAGAACCCCAATTACATCTGGGATGGGATAGCGCAGGAGATCGACGTCGACACCGGCAAGGTGCTGTTCGAATGGCGAGCGTCCGAGCACGTCAACGTCACCGAGACCTATCGCCCCATCTACTCCATGGGCAATCTCTTTGACCCCTTCGACTGGTTCCACATCAACAGCATACACAAGGACCAGCTTGGCAATTATCTCATCTCCGCCCGTTATACCCACAGCATCATGTACGTGGATGGACGCACGCGAGAGACCATTTGGCAGCTGGGAGGCAAGAAGAACAGTTTTATGGATATGAGTGGCGGCAACGCTACCAATTTCTGCTGGCAACACGACGCTCGATTTCTCCCTCTCGACACCTTTCCCAGCATCTACACCCCGCCACCAGCGGAGGAAGGAGTCAGCAGGCGGTTGATCAGCATCTTCGACAATGCTGCCGAGGACCAGCATTATCTATATGGCCTGCCATATTCTCGTGGATTGGTGGTCGAAGTCACGTTCCCTACTCCCGGCACGACAAGGGCTGCAAAAGGCCCACGCAAGTCTGGCTCCTCTGAATCCTTGACCATTCTCGACGAGGATGGCAATGTTGATTACAACCTGCAGAAGCTGCTGGAAACCAATGGCACCGACCCCTACTACTCCGTCCGAGTCATCGCCTCCTACGAGAACCCCCAGTTGGTGCGTTCCTCCTCGCAAGGAAACATGCAAATCGTGCCTCAAGGCCCGGGCGAGGACCCCAAGATTCTGGTCGGCTTCGGGCTATCCCCCGTCTTCACCGAGTTCGCCACCAACGGCACCGTGCTTTGCGACGTGCACTGGGGCCCCAAATCCTCCTGGGACACGGCGCACAGCCAAAGCTACCGCGTCTACAAGTTCCCGTGGGTAGGCAAGCCACACACCGAGCCTAGCGTGGCCATCAGCGACAAAAACGACTTCATCTACGTCTCCTGGCTCGGCGCGACCGAGATCTACGAATGGGTGCTCCAAGGCTCCCGCCGCGAAACCGAAGACGACTCCCGCTGGAAAGACATTGGCCGCGTGGAGAAGATCAACTTCGAGACCGTCATCGACGTCGCGCGCAACCTCGGCGGCTACCGCTACCTCCGCATGGTCGCCGTCGACGAGCACGGCGCCCGCCTGCCCCACGGCACCAGCCGCATCATCGACCGCGGCATCATGGCCACTCACTTCCCCATCGTCGCGGACAAGCTGCCCGAGGACGTGAAGCAGATGCCGCCGCTCAAGGTCTTTTTGATCTTCGCGTGCAATGTCAGCGGGCTGGTGGTGCTGTACGAACTCTACCGCCGCTATCTCAGCTGGCGCGTGGGCCGGCCGAGCGCGGGTGCCTTCCGGTGGCGCAAAGGCGCTGCGTATAAACTGTTGGAAGCGGTTTGATGAGGCCTTGAGCGAGGAAATAGATGAAGAGAAAAGCGTGAGCGCTGGCGTTTGGCGACGATATACCTTTCATGAGCGGGCTGTTTGCGGCGGCGTTCGGGGAGTGGAGGGACGTTTCGAGGGCCACGCGTTTTCCGCTGGCCGTGCATTCTTGCATCAACAAGGCGTCCGATGGGCAGGATTTGTGAGGGAGCATGTGTTGTTTGCGCGGATTGATCTCGTTCTCGCGGGGTGTCGGGGTGAATGTTGCATAGTGGGTGTAGATACACGGCGCGCAATGTATCAGATATCATCCATCACTCTACTGAGAAGTCGTCGAATGCGCATCTTATTTGATTCCGTCAAATGCACGCTCTCGTCGACACCCAATGTCTTCCCATCTCAAAGTGCAAGAGCTACGTCATCGAAACGCGCTTCCAACCACGCGCGTGCCCCGGACTTCAGCAACACCTCCAAGCAGAAGCGTTCAACAAAATTCCACACCAACAACATCCACCCCCCAAAAATGAACGAATATGAAGCCCGCCGCCAAGAGAAAATCAAACGCAACCAAGCCCTCTTCGCCGAGCTCGACATCAAACCCCTCATTCCACAAAAGACCCCCCGACATCCTCAAAGCAACGGAAGCACACGCCCACCAGCAGCCAAAAAGCGGAAAATCGTTGGAGAACTTCCCACCGCGCCTTCGCGCTCTTCTGCCCGTCTGGCGTCTGCGCCGAGGAAACCCGATTATACGGACGATGCGGAGGTGAGGAGTGTGGCTCTCCCGCGCTCGGCGCCTCGAAGGAGAGGCGGGAAATCTAACGAGAAGAGGACCCTTGTTGATCGCAGTTTGGGTTCTGTGCGGGAGCAGTCGCCCATGTCTCTTGTTCCGGTGAAGAATGTTGACGAGATTCGCGAGGGGTGGACGAAGTGGGAAGTTGCGGCTGAGTCGCCTACGAGAGATGTGTACAAGGTGTTCCACTTTGAGGATTACCCTGATTTCACGCCTAATAAGTCGCCCGAGGAGATGTTGCGTGAAGGCGCTTTTGGCGGGTCTTATTACCGGCCTTTGCGCTCGCGGAAATTGGGTATCGTCGTGCAGGATGACTGGAAGGAATTACCTCCCGCCTGGATCGAGGGGTTGAATGTGTACACATACCTCGCGAACCCAGCGTACAGTCCGGAAATCAACAAGTTCAAAGTCAGCTGCGGGCAGAGTATCGAGGAGTGGGAGGCGGCAGGCTGGATTAGCCACGAGCACGACGTGCGCGGCTGGTTTCAGTGGTATACGCGCTTCTTCCGCGGGAGGCGGTGCGATGATGATGAGCGGCAAGTGGGGCGGTGGAAGAAGTGTGTGGGCGAGACGGGACGGTGGAGGCGCACGTTGCTCAAGAAGTACGGGCTTCTGGGCGTGAGGGAGGTGTTTGATGATGGGGAGGGGGAGGAGGGGGCGGCGGAGGTGAGTCCGGTTGTGCATCAGACTTGTCATCATTGGGCTTTTGAAGTAAGGCAGGAGCATTTAGATGAGTTCTGGGCGGGGAGGTAGATGCGTTTTGTTGATCGTTGGGCGAGTGCTACGCACTGCCTAGCATGTCGAGCAGGAGCTTGTTGAACTTCTCCGGCTGCTGCATCGGCGGCAGATGGCCCGCTTTCTCGAGCTCCACGTACTTCGCTCCCTGAATTTGGCTGGCAAGCTCTTTCAACGCCGGCAACGAAATCGCACCATCCTCCGTGCCTCCAGCGATCAAACACCGGTTCCGAATCCCGCCCACCTCTGCCCGGTAATCGTAATTGCGAATCGTGTCAGCAAGCAACTTATATCCCTCCAACGAACAAGTGCGCACATGCGTCAGCGCTTCAGCACGCACAGCTTCCGTCTCCCGATCCTCGCCGGGAAACCACCTCGCAACCGTCTCACGACAAAGCCGATCCCCACCGCTCCGTGCATCCTCCTCAAACACTTTAATCCGCTCACTCCACAACACCTTCTTATCCTCCGGCGCCGCAATCCCAGGCGCAGCAATGGAAACCACACACTCCACTTCCTCGGGAAACATCATCGCATACCGCAAAGCCAACACCCCGCCAATGCTACACCCCACCACCCCCTTCAACCGCGCCCCGCCGGTCCGTTCCTTCACGAGCTGGTGCATGTGCCGCGTAATGTCGTCCATGTGGTACACTAGCGAGCCCTCCCCGACGGACATGCGGCGTTGAGACGTTGTGCGTGCTGCGGGGGGCGGGGTGTTGTGGTGGCCTACGTGGTCGAAGCGCAGCGTTGCGTAGCCTGCTGCGTGCAGGGCGGATACGGTTGCGTCGTACATGTTTAGGTTGGACATTAGGGCGTGGACGAGGAGGATGCAGGGGGCGGTAGGGTTGCCGTTGTGTGGGGTTTCGTAGATGGTGTAGTAATTTATGCCTTCGACTTCGGTGTTGGTTGAGGCCATGTTGGTGGTTTTCAGTGGTGTTGCTTTGCAGTGGTTCCTTGAATGCTGTTTTCCTTGGGATGATTTGATGGCGCCTATCGTCCGTAATTCTGATGAAGTCAGGTTTTTGGTGTTGAATTATCCAAGGTTTCGTTCACTGACGGAAGCATAAAGTGATGTCCAGCAATGCGGGGTCTGAGAGGGTGGAGGCGGGGGCCACCATGTGGGGCTGCCTTCCGACGACACCTCACCTTCCTCTCGACAACACCCCTGAAGCAATGCTGTGCTCGAACTCACAGCGCGCTGCATTGTGGTCCCGTAGCTCAACTTTGAGCAACATTGCCCTCGCTTTGATTTGTTTGCTCGTTCCGCTCAAGTAACGCCCGGGAGCGGATACTTGAAGGGAGTATTTGCTGCCTTCATTCACTTCAACCTTTTTCTTCCCCATCTCATTGATCCGCACCTTTTTCCGCACTTGAGCTATATACCATGATGTCTCGAACTCAATATACCCCGCCAGCAGATTGGTCTTGTCACTCACTGGTGTCCGGACTCTTTCACCAAGCAAACAAAATGGAATGGATTCCGCGCTGTTCCAACACAACCTCGCTGACGAACTTGAGACGAAGAGATTGGAGCAGGTCTGTGACCTCGTATGGGGCCGCTTCCGCGCCTTTCTCCCCTGCCAATCTGCAGTACCACATCGACGATACCGACAATAGCAGCACATACCACGCTCAACGTCAAGCTGAAATGACTTCAAACGCGGCAAACAATAATCTGTCCTCCAGAGCCACCAACGGCAAATTCAAGGTGCCGGTCGTGCCAGAGAAGCAGAAGCTTGTGACCGGTTTGTCCTACTCTATCAACGCATGAAAATGGCAGTACATCAACAGCCCGTGTGGAATGCCGCCTTGGCCTGGATCGGGTTTCACCGCTGCTGGCCTTGGGGAGACTCACTGCCGCAACGTGACAGATGGCGGAAATGGTGGAGTTTGCACGCTTTGATGCTGCCCGCCGTCACTACTGCTATGGTGAACCGACGCGCGTATAAATTTCTCCTTCTCCGCGGAAGTCTGGCACTGTTACTGCCATATGCACAACCACACGGCGTCGATACAACAAGATATGTCGCTCGAGCCAGCAGAGATGTCCGTGTCGAGTCCATGCACTTACTGCTGGCAAGTCTCCCTTTACATATTCTCGTCGAGAGCATGGCTAACGAGCTCGTCTCAGCTCCACTAAGGGACTATGGTACTGCGATCCCGAGGATCCCGCTTGCTGCCACAGGAACACGCCTGCAAATCGATGCACCGCATGCGAGTAGGAACTTGTCAGAGAAACCCCATAATGCGATTTGCTCTAATGCGAGGACACAGAGACCGTGGCTTGGAGAGTTGCAGCTTCGACCAGTTTTGCGAGAAACACGAAACCTTTCAACAAGTGCGCCGACTCTGCCCAGATTGCCGGTCAGTATTTTATTTACATCGTGCACGAACAAGTCGGTTACTGCCTGGGATCAGACCCCATATGCAGAGCTCTTTCACGCCTATGGGCACTACCACCTGTTTGGCTCTCAGCGAAAGCTGCTATCGAAAACGGCAGCAGCTCGTCATCACTCAGGAGTGTCAATTTTGCTTTAGGTGGTGAGAATCGCCGCTTCGTATTGGCATCAGACTGACGAGTTATAGAACGCTGGAGTCTACGACTGGGTGTGATGTTACGAACACTCGATGTCAGAAGAGAGACTATGTTCTGCGGAAGTCGCTGGGCCATCCTGTCCTTGATCCCGTCATGTACGCTTTCATCCCCGGCCTTCCGAGGGTATATGAGCTCAAACGCGGATACTGCATCTTTCCGGAGCAGTTCAGAGACGTGCGATCAGCCGGACTATGTCTCACGCCATTGACAGCAAAATCCGAGCGCCAAAAGGGTGATTATCTTCCGCCAATCTATATCGCTAAGGTGAGCAAGGACGCACTGAACGCCGAGCCAGCCCCCGTCCCTGGAGTGTTCGAAAAGTCGCCATACCTGCTCGGGCCGCAATGGAACATGTGTCCATCGCAGGCACTTCAACACAACCTTCGGATCTTGCGCCAGAGACTGGGGGAGTCTCTGCCGCTTTCTCCCACGTCTGGGAGCCAATGGCCGTATGAGACGCAGTTTACGGTCTACCCAGATCCTCTTCCGCCCAATCGCAGCAGACAGAACTATGAGGCGTACATCTTCCAATTCCCGGGAGCTCCGCCTGTGGACGAGAAAGGCGCCTGCAATCCGACACCTCTCGGGGAAGTGCCAGAGGCAAACGCAGGTGGCTCCGACGAAGTATGACGGAGCAAGAGGTAGGGTAGACTCCGGCGGCGTCTTAGATATGTTGTATCCGATCATCTTTGCACTGACTTACCTCAGTCGATATTGGAAGAGGACTTGGGTTTCAAGAGTAATGCAGATCATCGATCCAGCAAATGGCATAATTAACGAAACCAGACTTCCGTCCGGCTCGGATGCGTATTCACTGCTGCTGGCTTGGACGACATTCACTGCCGCGACGTGACACATGCTGCTCATGGCGGAGTTCAACCGAACATTCATGCTGCTCGCAGTCACTGCTGCCGTGGGGGAGTGAGCGGCAGTGATGGCGGTGTCGATGGCGCGTATAAATACATCCATCCCTGCTGCTGAAGTCTAGAACAATTACTGCCACAATAACGACCATACGAAGCAGCTACGAGCGATGTCTCACGCGGGTCCTTCAACGACGTTCCGGCCAAAAGTCTACCATCCAAACCCATGCACGTACTGCCAGTATGTCGTTTCCATTACAGGTTTTCCGTCACGACCGTCGCTGACCAACTCTCCTCAGCGGCACCAAGGGGCTGTGGTACTGCGATCACGCTGATCCATCATGCAATCAAAGCTTCGCACCCACGGAGCCTTGCACTTCATGCGTGTAAGTCTCTATCTGCCAAGATCTAGCCATGGAGCGCTCCTTGACGAAAGTGCCTAGGAATCGTGATTTGACAGTATGCGACTTCGATGCGACGTGCGAGAAGTACTTGACATCACAGCAAATGCGCGTGTCGTGCCCGAGGTGCCGGTAAGTATTTACGCTACAATGTACACCAGCGAGATGCCTAACGAAAGATAGGGATGCTGGTTCTGCAGTCTGCAGCCCGTCAGACCGACTCTCTTGCTATCGTAATCGAGAGCAGCTAATCATCACTCAAGCTTGTGAATACTGCTTCAGGTCTGGCTATTCGGTAGCTTTGTTTTGGTGTGGTACTGACGATTCGTAGAGAACTGCAATCCACGGACGGATGCCAATTAGGGCATCGCGATTGCCAGAGAAGACGCTATCTCGTAGGGACAGACGGGCCCCCGTTCGATTTGACCTTGTATGCGTTTATCGCGGGTTTGCCTAAGGCATTCCAGCTCCCGCAGGGATATTGCATCAACCCGGACCAAACCAGAAGATCGTTTGATAATGATGATGAGGGGTTTTGGCCGACTGGATTGCGAAGTTTTAAGCAACACAACCTGCCTCCCACCGCTGACAATCTACCTTGGATTTTTGTCTGCAAGAACACCAAGGACGCGCTGCAAGCGCAACATCCCCCCTACCCTGGGAGGTTTCGTACCACACCGTACGTGCTCGGACCGCAGTGGGGCCTGGATAGGTTGGGAACTCTTCAACACAATCTCATGACACTGAAGAAACCACAACCCCCGTGGAGATTTTATTCTAGCCCTGGCCAAAAAGGAAATGCAGCTACGGCATCTGGCGGCGTGTTCCCGAGAGCTTATGACTGGGGCTATGAGACGGAGTTCAAAATTCACCCTGAGCCTCTTTCGCGTGGACCTCGCGGAGCCAATGATTTGTTCCAGTACGCTGTTTATGCATTCCAGTGTCCAGGAGCAGCAGCTGTGGACGAGAACGGTGTCGAAATCTGAGCTATTTCGGCCAGCGTTCAGGGCGAATCTATCTGTTTGCTTCCACTTCTCCTGGTATTGGACTTCTTCCATATCTTGTTTGATGCATTCTTTGCGACAGTGGTTGTTTTTGGTAATGATGATTTACAGATAGATGCAATACAGGCAGCCAATTGAGCAAATGGCACCCGTAATGGATTGTCGTTTTCGTTATCTGCTCACTCTTGAACATGTCTGCGCCTTACCTTCATTTCACGCAGCGGTTCCCATTGAGATGTACGAGTTCAAGCTGAGCGACTACTGTGAACACGACGACGACACTGCTCCGCAACGTAGCTAAATCGCACTACCAGCCTCAGCCGGAACAAGAAATCGATCACAAGACGACAGATCACCAGATGATGCGAGCTTACCAGCAGTGACCGCTGAGCACACAACTGATGTCAGGCGAGCATAAGTGTTCCGCATCAGCAACGCTCCAGCAGGCAGCACTCTCGTGCTGCCTACTATAAGCTACACGAACGCTTGCAGCACCCGACTGTACGAGGCCTCGAGCAACACAGAATTTCAGCTGCAGTGATACAAGGTCTCACGAGTCGAACACCAGGCAGCACAGACCGACCATGTCTTCACTATATCAAGAGCCTGCCTCGACGCAGTCTCCCCCAACAATACATACCTGTCGTCAACTTCTATAATCTCCAACCATGTCTCAACAACACACACAACAAACACCCCACCGCCACGCCAACCCAACAACCTCTCAAGAAGAAACCACAGAACAAGTAGAAATCGGCCCGCTTCTCGTCGCCAACCGCTTCTTCAACCAACCCACCGGCAACGATGAAGCCAGCCACGAAGCAGAAGCAATAATGCTCTCAGCACTGCAGGACGCCGCGACAGCCGAAGCAACAGCCTCACCCTCAACCCGTCCCGCACCGCGACAACTCCCCGATCTCAACCTCACACCAGCGCAACAAGTCGCGCACGGCATGCAGGTGTTTGATCTGCACGTTGCCGCGAATCTCGTGAGTGGGCTTGTGGACATTGCGCATGCGGAGATGTTTGAGCGGTCGGATCGGAGGATGGATGCGGAGAAGGTGAGGGAACGACAGCTGGCCGCAGTCGCGCAGCAGCAGCAGCAGCAGCAGCAGCAGCAGCAGCAGCAGCAGCAGCAGCAGCAGCAGCAGCAGGAAATGGCGTTCGTCGTGCCGAGTGCGGATCCCGGGTGGAATGTGTTCGACCCGCAGTTGTCCTTCACCAACGACCCGGTGGTGCTCGACGACCTCCTCGACCCGGCGGATTACGGCGGGTCAATCGGAATCTTGGACCCTGACGTAGACATCTGGCTGCAGCAGGCGGATGTGTGCCCGTTGGGCGAGGGCACTGTGTCTCTTTCTCTCCCTCCTGCTCAGATCTGGACCGCGATGCCAACGTCAGCGGATGTTGGAGGCTATGGCGGTGGCCAGCTGGGGTCTTACAGCCCCCCTGACGGCTCACATGTGCTTCGTGAAGGGGTGGTGCAGCAGCCTGGCCGTCAGGAGCAGAACCACAGCGGCGCACAAAGTCAGCGAGCCAAACTCACGGGGATGGGGCAGAGTGCGTCGCCTGGAGGGTTGCAGGGATCATGTGCTGCGCCAGGTCGTGTTCGGCGGTAGATTTATAGACTATCCGCAGTATTCAAAAGACGTTGACTGTTCAAGATCGGGTGTTGTCTCCCCGCCCGTTGACAGGCCCCGGTTCCCAAGTCTCCGCATACGATTCCCATTGGGTTCCAAAGGTGATTCGAAGTAAGGTCCCGGTCGGTGATGATTCCGTTCGAACGGATCGGATGACATACTCGTGTTTACGGCCGTATGCAATGCATTTGCATGTCTCAGCACAATAGCGTACGGCCATGGGCGAGTACGCCGCCGGACATCCTGGACCGCTGGGACTCAGGCTCGAGCCTTACAACCGGCACACATGCTGTCCTCCTGGTCAAAGAGATGGAATATTTCTCTGGCCTCGTTCGAAACCAGTCTTCCGAGACATGAGCCAAGCGTAAACCTGCATGTAAGTATAGCAGACAACACTTCAGCTCACCCCTCCCCGGGCATGCCAGCACACGCTCTCGGGAGGTAATAGTGTCCACAAGACAAAGGTCCGCCGACGCCTCCAACGCCACCTCCACCGCCAAAACAACGGCGAGGCTACCAACCCTTCGCGCACATTGGCCGCCCAGCACGGCCGCTAACGGGCGTCGTTTACTCCGTGGAAGCAAGAGCGGAAGCACACATGCTTGACATCCTCCCCATCCGCGAAACACGAGATGAGATCCAATCAGGAGGATTGGCCGGGTGCAGAGTGCGCAGGGCCAGCTGGGCGGGATGCAGCTTGGCGGGCTGAGGTGGCGTTGTGCGCGGTGGTCATTTGTTCCGCGGGCGGAAATGGTCATGCCATTTGTAAGGTAACCTTGGGAGGCGCTTCCGCGGCCTGGGCGGGCGTGGGGGCCAAAATGAAGCGAGAGGCGTCTGTTGCGTGGCGTTTGTATTAGTTGGAGATGATGGGGGCTACGGTGCCTGGGTACAGGTGCTATCAGCGTCGTTACGCCTTCATTGCGCGCTGGTGAGATGTGATGGTAAGGGTGTTGGTGGTGATCGGCCGGCTGCAAGGATGGAGATTAAGCGATGGCTCCAACTGCCACACACGCAATTGATCCTGCTCAGAGCCCTGGTGGAACCACACGAACCAACAACATCCATGTTTGAGCTGCTTAGAAGGAACTTGGGTAAGCTCGTATTCAAATGCTTAGCTTTCGTGTGTCTTGCTCCGCGCAGCAGCTGAATGCAGCTGGCTGTTGCTTTGTTGGGCAATTGTACGCGGGGTTACCATCTTTCGCAACCGGAGACATGAGCAGGACCTCGGACGGGTAGAGGGGGCCCGAACGGTGAAGGTGAAACGGCGAGACGATGGCAAGAACGATTGCGTAGACTATGTAAGACACCTGGACAACTGTCACGTCCGTCCATTAAGAGCGCGCCCAGCACAGGGCTTTCCCTCTCCGCCTACCAGCCGTAAGCGAAAAGTATCTTTCCCTCGTTAGCGCCGAGTCTCTCAGAGCTTCTTCATAGCAAGCAGCGAGTTGGATGGTAGGCACGTCTACCACGTAGACTCCGCCGGAGCCTCGCCAGTTGTCTCGGCAGCCCAGCCCTCGTTGCCAGTCTGCGCGGGGCCAGATGCAGCGGCCCAGTCGGCGCCCTCAGCATCCCACGTCGAGCCGGCAGTGGCGCCTGCAGTACCGCTGGCAGCGGCAAACGCACCAGCCGTCCCGCCAGAGACCTCCCACTCATTGTTGAACCCAGACTCCACAGGGCCCGTGCCAACCTCGTCGGCGCCAGGCACCTTGCTCTCGTCCACACCAGCGCTGTCCTTGTTCTCCTCGGCCTCAGGGTCGCGGTAGAAGTACAGATCGGTCATGACATCCCACTCGACCTCGCGAGAGGCGAGAGTGCCACGAAGACGGAGCACCTCACGAGCAAGCATCCACCAGATCAGACCAATGGCGTGACGACCCTTGTTGTTGGTGGGGATGGCCACGTCGACGTACTCGGTGGGCGAGTCGGTGTCGCAGAGGGCGATGACGGGGATGTTGACGTACGAGGCCTCCTTGATAGCCTGGGCGTCGGTGCGGGGGTCGGTGACAACGATGACACGCGGCTCCTTGAAGCTGCGGGTGATGTAGTTGGTGAAGTTACCGGGGGTGAAGCGACCAGCGATGGCAGAGGCGCCAGTGTGCGCGGCGAACTTCAGCACGGCACGTTGGCCGTAGGGACGGGCAGAGATGACGGCAATGTCGGCGGGGTTGTCGATGGTGACGAGCAGGCGCGCGGCGAGCACAATCTTCTCCCTGCGTAGTGTTAGTCTGGAGGTCTCCTTGCATCTATTGATTGCGGTCTCACGCACCAGGTCTTGGAGATGTTGATGACATTGACACCGTCGGGTCTTGTCTTCCACAAGTAGGGCTCCATGTGCACCTGCAAGTTCTTGCTGCCAATGTGGCACTGGGCGGAGAGCAACATCTCGACATCGTTGGCAGTGGCGTTGAACACCGGGGGAAGGTTGGAAGGAGCCATCTTTGCGGTGTTGTCGAGTGATAGAATCAAAGTGCAGAAAGGACAGAAGAGTGGTGTAGCTGTGCGTGAAATTTCGAGGAAGCTCTGAAGTTCGCGAAATTCCAAGCCGATCGTGTGTGGCTGACTCGCGAAGGTTTGACTAGCGCCAAGCTTAAATTATTCTCCATAGCTTCCATCTCCCAAGTTGCCAGGCAGAGGGTCGTCTTGAATACATCCCTTCACGCCGCGGGCAAGATGCCTCCCCGGATACCCATCTGCCAGTGCCTCAAGGCATCATCCAATGGTACGATCGCTACACTCCATCTGACACGCACGCGACTGACCACAAGTACAGTAACCCAGCACGCGACAGCAGCTTTTCGTCCCTTCACCACCTCCACATCCATCCAAGCATCAAAGACTACGCAAAGAAAAGGGTTTCGAGACCCGTACGCCACTGCCCAAGCCAAGGCGCGGAAATCAGCAAACATCAGCCGGCAAGAGGTGTTGCGCATAGAGCGTGCAGAGGCGCTAGGGGATCCTGTCCGCGGCACCGAAACACCTTACCTCCGCTCTCTCGATGAGCCTCCCGCTCCCACGAGCTCAGCCCCTTCCGAGCCCACTTCCACTGCTTGGAAAAAGGATGCTGGTGCTACTGCGACATCATCAGCGGAAACAAGCGGGCCGCTCAACTACTTCCTGAACAAATCCGAGCTCGATAAAGGCCTAGAATACAGCAAATGGCTGTCCAAGCCGTCGATGGAACCACAGGAGTATGGTTCCAACAGTAAATTCACCGACGAAAAAACGCCAGAAGAGCGCGCAGCGGATGTGGAAAAGGTACAAGCAAACGCCGAGGAGGCGCTACGAAGAATAGCAGACCTCTCCCTCGGCAGTTCGAAAGATCGAATGCGGGTGAATGTGCAGAGAATCATCCAGGACTTTGGCCGCCACACCACCGACTCGACTCTTCCCCCACGACTCCCATCCTCCGTCCCCCAATCTGACGAACAATTACCCGCTACACCGCGCGTCGGACCCGATACCGGCAGCAGCGAAGTGCAAGTCGCCATCCTGACCGCCAAGATCCGCACGCTCGTGCAATTCCTTGAAACACGAGGGACAATGGACAAAGCGAATAAACGGAATCTCCGCCTGCTGGTGCATCGACGCGCGAAGCTGTTGAAGTATCTGCGTCGCAAGGAGAGGGGCGGCCCGCGCTTCCAGAATGTGGTGAAGACGCTGGGATTGACCGAGGGGACTTGGAAGGGAGAGATCAACATCGTTGGCCCGCTGGGTGGGCATTCGCCTATACGGCTGGCGAAGTTGCAGGCCAGAGGCTGGGGCGTACCTTAGGCTTGTCCATGTGCATGCTATAGATTGTACATATATTCAAAGCCCATTTCACGACTGCTAGCGCATGCGCGCATGTCTGCTCCAATCCGTGAACTTAGGCAATGCGTGTTCCCACTGGTGTTAACTTAGGTCATAAAGAAGAATGAGGTCTTCGCATCTGGATCGTCGAAAAGTAGTATTTGCATCTGGTCTTCTGTCAACGACATCCCCACACTCGCGGCGCTTCAGAATTGTGGGAGCATCACCACCTCACTTCATAGTCAACCCAACAGGATCACACCATCACACTCCCAAGGACACAACAAACCAAACTCCCACCTGGAATTCAGCAAAAATGGACCTCCCAATGCCCGCACCAACAGCCCAACCAGCCCCCCTAACAGCCTACAAAATCCTCTCCTTCGACGTCTACGGCAGCTTAATAGAATACAAACAGCACATCCTCGCCGCCTTCCAACCCCTCCTCTCCCGCCTGCCACCCGACTCCCCCTACCGCAACACAACACCCCTATCACTCACCGTCCCGGACTCCGCGGACAAAGGCTCCATCACCTTCCTCCGCCTGTTCCAGAAGCTGGAAGACGCGATCAAACTGGAGAAGCCGGTGAAGCGGTTTGACGAGATCATGGCCGAGATTTGGAGGCGGGTTGCGGCGGAGTTGGGCGTTGAGACGAGCGAGGAGGAAGCGAGGGGGTTTGGGAGCGAGGGGATTATTTCTTCTTGGCCTTGTTTTGACGGGACGGTGGAGGCGCTAAGGGTTCTGGAGAGGTATTATCGTCTTGTCGCGCTGTCGAATATCGATCGCTTTGCGTGGGGGATTACGAGTCGTTCCGCTGCGAGTGGGTTGGGGGAGGTGGAGTGGTGGAAAGTATTTACGGCCGAGGATTTCGGGGAGGACTCGAGCCGCGCGGACGATGCGAAGCTGGAAACGCTGCTGGCGTTCTGCGAGCAGCAGGGTTTCGGCAAGGGCGAGGTGTTGCATGTGGCGCAGAGTTTGGGGCACGACCACGCGCCGGCTAAGAGGGCGGGGTTGGGGAGTGTGTGGTTGATTGGGGATGGGCCGCGGTGGGGGAAGGAGGAGGAGAGTCGGAAGGTGTTGGAGGGGAAGGTGGTAGGGTATGGATGGAAGGCGAGGAATCTGCGCGAGTTCGCGGCAGTGGTGGAGAGGGAGTGGGAGGCGAAGGTCTAGTCTATGCTATGTAGGTAGGGGTCGCTGAAATGCCATGCCTGCTCATCTATCTCATGCTGTTCCAGAACTCGTCGAGCAGTTGATGTCGTTTGAGAGCGACGTCAAAGTCTCCATATGGCTGGTTGGAAGCATATGCCTCGTAGAGTCGGCCGATATTCTGCCCTTGCTTGGGTAGATTCTCCCACTCCGGCCCGCCCTCATCGACATGAATGGGCGTGATCTTCTTATGCTCGAAATCACACAGCACCATCGACACAGCCTTCGCCATCTGCGGTCCGGCACTCTCGAATTCCACCACAAGCTCTCCCTTCGTTCCAAAAATCTTCCACGTCGAGCCTGGCGTCTGCAAAAACCTCGCACCACCTCGAAGATGCAGCGACAGCGCAGCAGGCGGATTCCGGTCCAGCTGACCCTGAAGGAGAATCTGATCCGGCGTGTCCTTGAAATACGCCTCCGGCGAAACAGACCCATCATCCAATTTACAATGCATCTCCGGCCGCAAATTCAACGCCAAAGGCGTATAACTCCCCGGCTTCAACTCGCCCAGCGCATAAAAAATCGAATCCATAACATGCCCCCCATAAATCGTCAGAATATTCGCGCCGGCGCTGCGCGTGCTGAAGTGCGAGTACCGCGAATCGGAAATGTTGTCGAGCCAGTTGTTCACGGCGCCGTAGTAGTTCACGCTGTGGATTTCGCCGAGCACGCCACCGTCGACGAGCGCTTTGATTTTGCGCACGCTCGGCGACATGCGGCCTTGGAAGCCGATCATGGCTTGCACGCCTTGCGAGCGGGCGAGATCGGCCATGATTTGCGCGTCGTGCGTTGTGGCTGCTAGCGGCCATTCGACGAAGACGTTCTTCCCGGCTTGCAGAGCGGGCAGAGTGACTTCCAGATGGGTGTCTGCTCGGGTCGAAACGACGTACAGGTCGACGTCCGGGTCGGCCGCCAACTCCGCGTACGAATTGTACGCTTTTGTCGTGGCGAGTAGACCGTGTGCTTTGATTGCCGCTGCAGTCGATTCCGGGGTGGAGTTGCACAATGCTACGATTTCGAAGGCGTGGGATTTGGATAGGTAGGGGAGGTGGGCCAGGGTAGCCCATGCGTCCTTTTTCCGCGAGAGGCCTACGATTCCCACCCGGATGGGCTTCATTTTGCGCTCGGCGAGGCTGTGATATGTAATGTGTGAGTCAAGTCTATGTATTTGGAAGAATGGGAGGCTTTATGGCATGCCTGGAGTTTTTTTGGCTGGTCGGGGTTGGTTGGAGAACTCGGGCCGGGGGTGCTTCCCCGGTTTAGGAAAACGTGGGTTGTGGGGCAAGGCTAGAGCGACACTGTCTCTGAGGCTCGACACTCTGCTGCATTCCCAGCAATTGGACACGGTCTCGTTGCACAATATGCTCAAAGGTAGTTTAGTGGCACTCTAATTCAAGTCTCCGTCAAGCCTTTGTGACAGCTTTCACCACCCTCACTCACCCCGCCAAACAGCCTCCGCAATCGACATATCAGTATTCGGCACGAGCTTCACGCCCTTGAATTCAAACCCCGGCCCCGCCTGCTCGAAAATCGCCGGCCAAGCCTCCGGCTCCCTCGCATTGACGGGATGAAGGGCTAAAATTTGCAGGTCGAGGTTGCGCAACGTCCTCTCCTGCCACACCGGACTCACTCCGGATTTCGGGAGGTACGGGTCCTGGACGAGGACGTGGGCGCCGCGTTTCAAAGCCGGGCGGAGACATCGCAGGATTTTGACGCACTCTGCGTCCGACTTGTCCATCATGACGCGCCGGATGAGGTAGACGGCTGCGTTGAGTTGGGGCTGCGGGGTGTACATGTCGTGCACGAGGAAGTGGATGCGGGATCCCACGTCCGGGGGGAGGTCCTCCACGGTAGCTCTGCAGAGCGTGTCCGGCCGGTCTTGGATGATGAAGTTCAGGCGCGGAAAAGTGCGCGCTAGCGTTTTGCTCTGAGCGCCAATGCCACCGCCGACATCGACAACGATTGCATCGCCCAGGGCCGCCCAATCCCAATTCCTGGCCAGCAGATGGGTGCCTCTGGTGCGGTCATTACCGGCCGCGCCGCTCATGGCCCTATCTCATCGCTTCTGCTTCACGCTGTCTGCTGCCAACGTTTCATCAATCTCCCGGCCATGTGCGAGGCGATAGCCAGTCTCCTGCGAGCCGGGCTCGCGCATCCAGACCTGCATGGAATCGACAGTGCGAGTTGCTGCAGGCTAGATGTCATCGCACATGACTCCGCACCAGTCACGCACTCTTACATCCTCGGCAAGCAGACGGGATGCCTGGGTATGCGCGACAAAGCCAGGCTGAGGTTCATGGAAGATGCGTTGGGTGATTGCATGGCGGACGAGGCGTTGCAGATACTTGACGGGGACGTTGGTGCGATGCGACAAGTCCTCGTAAGAGATGGGGAGAGTTGAGGGGCACGGCTTCGTAGACATCGAAGCGGTCGAAGGCGTGCCGGCTCAGCAGATCGGTGGTTGAGTGGGAATAGACCAGTTCGCGCGGCGTGCTGAGCAGATCTCGTAGCTCCGTAAGGTCTTCCAGCGCAGCGGCTCGCGTGTCGTCGATATCGGTCCAATCGGTTGGTTCCTCTTGCCCGTCGAAGGTGGGATCCAGCTTCCCTGTGTCGGAGAGGTGTTTTTGAATTTCGGCAATACGGGCATGGAGGCTGTTGGCTAGATCCAGCAGGCGAGAGGTATGAGACATGATGAGATACTCGGTGATTTCGGTCGGCTGTGGGTTCCGAGGCTGTGAGAGTCTTGCGCCGTCTGTCCCAGAACACGGTTGCCGTGTGTTCTGATACTCCAGCGCTGCGAAACAGCTTGGTCAGCCATAAGCGCCGGTCATGCTGACGCTGCCCTAAGTTCACTATATCGACACGGAATGCTACACGTTGGCTTGACGGATCATGCGACGGCTGAAAGACGAAGGGAAGCACTCTCCCACTTGACCGGATCAGCTTCGGCGGGTCCCGCACCAAGTGGGCCGCAAAGCTCCAGGAACCCCCAGTTCTCTTGCCGTAGCCACGGCCCGTAGCACAGCGTCGTATCGAGTAGTCGCACACGAAGAAAAGAGAGAACCCATCCCGCTTGAGCAGTTCAAGCATTACCTCACCCCCTGTACTTTTGGCAGACATCTCACGAGCGTAGTCATCACTGAATCCGCCAAGTCACGAAGACGAGACGAAGAACATGGCATCCAGCAAACTGTACAATGGTAAGCCACCCTCAACCACAAAGCCTCAACTGCACCCCCAAGCTGACAAGAGAAACCAAAACCAGACCGAGGAGGCCAAAGCCCACTAGTAGCGGTATGCATGGGCTCCGACACGGATCTCGCCACTCTGCGCCCAGGGCTCGAACTGCTCGACACTATGGAGATCCCCTACGAGGTGCACATCACCTCCGCCCACCGCACGCCGCAGTACATGCTCGACTTCGGGCGTGCAGCAGCCGGCCGCGGCTTCAAAGTCATCATCGCGGCCGCCGGTGGCGCAGCGCATTTGCCAGGCATGATTGCCTCCGAGACCATCCTGCCGGTCATCGGAGTGCCGGTGAAGGCGAAGGCGCTGGACGGGCTGGACAGTTTGATGAGCATTGTTAGCATGCCACGGGGGGTGCCTGTTGCGACGGTGGGGATTGGGAATAGTGTGAATGCAGCCGTGCTTGCGGCGCGGATTGTGGGGACGAGCGATGAGAAGGCGGCCAAGTGGGTTGCGGCGCATTTGAAGCAGATGGATCACGACAATATGGAGAAGGAGCGCAGGCTGCAGGACGAGGGATGGTTGAAGTATCGCAAGCTGGACGAGTGAGGTTGTGTCTTCCGTGCGAGGAACGGCACGGGGTGTAAGCAGACATGCCGTCTCTGTCAGCTAGCATTGATCGCAGAAGAATCGAATGGCTTTCATCAGGGGTATTGAGCGGGTCGAGGGTGCATTGATGGCCTTGGCGTGTTTCGTCGTTGCTATAATTGGAGTTTCTTACATCCCAAGTAAAAGGCATGCAAGAAGTCCAAAATGAAGGAAGACACCAAGACGTGTCGATCGCAAACGGGCGATGACGACAACCGCGTCTTATGAAGACGGGCAGCAGGCTGAGGGAGCAAATAGGATTGAAGCGAGATGGAACGTACCTCAGGAGTTGACGAGAGGAGTTGACGAGCCGGAACACGGAACGCCGATGATGCAGCATCTGTTCATGCGGTGCTTGTAAGCCGAAACCGAATGCGAATGCTTTTGGGGTTCATCCCTGCAATCGCTACCATGCTCCTCTGCTTATCCAGCTCTCCTGGCTATTTTTGATGACCAGAGGCGATATTGTGCGATCAGACCACTACATCTTCGCAGCATCGCATGCCTTGAGACGTTGCACATCTCCATATCATCACGCGGTCCCTCCTGCATGTAAAGTACAACCCAAGCATATCCAAACACATTAATCCCCTTATGCAAAACCCGGAGTTAAAGCACAATCCCCGCAGGGGCAAGTGTTGATCCAAGCGCCAGCCTTGCAGACCCCACGCGTCTAAGAATAGCCCGCCTTGCCCTCCCCCAGGACCCATCCACAGCACCGCCTTCTTCAACCCTCCCAAACACGCGAAATGAAAGAGTCCACTTGGCGACCAGGTATGGCAGCCCATGTGCACGCTGCAAATGCTGATGCCTGCGAACGTCCCTGCCTGACAACCGGTGTACACCTCGTCCCCATGTCTGTGTGGATGGAGGCATTGGCGCTCTTCGCGTCACTACCTTACTGGGGTCCGCCCCGCGCCGCATCCTGATACTCAACCCGGGTGCTATTCTGCTTTTGGTAGTCGCAGAGGGCAATGGACCGTGTCAGGAATAGAGATGCCTGATCTCTAGCTCTTGGCAAGGCTGGATGGATGGATGAATCGGCAAGCACAGGCACGCGGAGGCGCGCAACTGTCCGTCGCCATTGGATTGGCAAGCACGGAAAGAGCATTGAGATATAAAACTTGGCCCTCGTTCGTTCGTTACATGTACTTCCCCGTTCTCCTCTCCAGTCTACTCCACCCAGCTCCAATCCATCCATCATTCTGCCTCCTCTCACATCTCCTTCTCTTCTGTCCAAACACTCACTCTCTTCTCACCCGCCTCCAGCAGTCCCAATATCCTCCATCTTCCTACCCCCCTCTCGAATAAAAAATGTCCGGAAGCCTAAGCCAGGGCGCCGTCATAGTCATCGTCATCGTCGGCACCGGCGCCGCCGTCCTAATCGGCTACTCCATCTTCTACGTCTCCACGCGCCGCGGCCCCGAAGAAGACACGTCGACCGCGGGCACCGAGTTCGACCAGGTGCGGTACATGCGCGAGGTGCGGCTGCGCGAGGTGGACGCTATAGCGGCTTCGCATGGGCTTGGGAGACGATGGTGAGGACTTCCCCCTCTCACTCTCCTTTTGTGTTGTTGTTGCTTTTTGGGGGGAGGTTTGCTGACTGTGTTGATCGTGGAGGACTAGGCAGGACGCGAATCAGCCGCGGCGGACCGAGACGCCGTTGTCGATGGAGTAGAGGACAAGGAAGAGGAGGGTGGATCGAGGAGTTGTCGACCGAGCCCACGCGCGCCTTGGAGCCATGATGTGGATGACCAATGAGCGATACGAGCCGGTCATGTCCTCGATGCCCTTTCCCCCACCACCCTACGCGTCCGTCTTCCAGGAAGCTTCGAAGCCTCTTGAACGATGTCGATCTGGCCATCGAGGGTCATGTTGCATCATGGACGCTGCTGGTTGTGTTGGCCGCCAAAGAACACACCAAGGTGCTGGGACGCGTTTCGTGGCAAGAGACACCAGCGTGTCATAGTCACTGCCCAGCCAGATAAAGGCAGCTGTCAAACATAATGCTCGCCCATACAGGAGGAAGAGATACGACGCAGAAACAACTGCGATGAATCAAGATACCATATAATGGCAACTCTTCATAATCATACAACCCTATCAACTCATCAGCCAAACTCCCTCCATCAACTCACACTCACGCAACCTACATCCAAGGCGCCACCCCTTCCCCTCCCAACCTTCCCCCATCCCTCTCGCCCTCCCACTTCCACCCCCTCAGCGTCTCCGCCCCAACACTCCTCTTATTACTCAGCGCCCTTTGCCTCAACTCCCTCAACCCCTCATCCCCCGCTTCCAAACACTTCACGCTCTCCTCTGGGGCCAGCATTTCGCCCAACTGTTTGGCGGAGAGCGAAGAGCGGCGAATGTGGTGCCAGAGGGCGCGGACGGTGTCTTGCGAGGCTTCTTTTGCGGAGGGAGGAGGTGGGGAGAGGTGGGTGGGTGTGGTTGCTGTTGGGAGGGTTGCTGGGTTGGAGAGGGCGGTTGTCGTGCGGGGGGCGGTGAGGAGGGGTGGGGCTATTGGGAAGTAGGATATTTGTGATGGCGGTTGAGGTTGAGGTTTGGAAGTGAGGAGCGGAGATTGGAGCGGTGGCGGGGATGGTGTGGATTCCGCCGAGGGTGTGCTGGGTGCTGTCGAGAATGGCTGATCCACCACAACGTCCAGGACGCCATCTGCTTCTCGGTCCACGTCTGTGATGATGACAGATGGCTGCTCGTCCTCTGCGTGCCTTTCATTGGTCGAGGCTCTCAGCCCAGAGCTCTTCCGGCCAACTTCCATCACTTCAGGATCGAGATACTCATGCATGAGCTCCAACGCCTGTCCCTCACCATGCTCCTCGGAGAGATACCGCGCAAGCCGCATCTGCGCCGCAGAAGACACAATCAAACTGTCCGACAGAGTGATCATACTCCAGCGGCAATCCGTCCTCGGCCTGTTCATCCGGCACACATGTCGCACCGTGACGGTGTTATTCGATGGCAGTAGAGAATGGCGGTATCGGGCTTCGACGTGCAGAATCTCGGTTTCAAGGGTGCCGACGATGCTCTCAAGCTCGGTGAAGAGGGAGTCGTGATCGGTGGCGGGGTCTTCGGTCTTGGTGTGGGGACTGTCGGTGTCTCTTGCGCTGACTTCGGGAACGTGGAGTTTGACGAATAAGGAAAGGGTGTCGCCAATACTGAGGTTCTTCTTGGTCTTGTGTCCGATGGTGTCGCGGATGCGACTGCCGTTCAAGGGTCTATAGCACAGTCTGAGCGTGTTGATTTGCCCATGCACAAGTCCGTTGGTTGATGTAAGGCTGGAGTAGTCGTCTTTGCAGAGAGTGGCATGATGTGCACCTGATGCGGTCGTAGATGCTGCATCAGCGGTGGGAACGCTAGCTTGCACAGTGGCCTTGATTGCCACCCAAAGATCTCTTTTGGCAAGAACGTCTAGCGTCGAACAGTCCACGCTCACCTCGAGGTCCACACACGGCACTACGAGCGATGCTGCACTTGAGGGCTCCTCAAAACCAGTTGGCCGACTTCTTCGGAGCGGGCGTGGGGTCTGCAACGGCGATGGGGAAGAAGGTGTCAATCGTGACGGATGAGACGCAGGAGTGCTTGCGTCGACAGCGGTCGTGCCTGAGTAGTTCAGATCGGAAGGCGTGTTATCGGTCAAAGAAGAAGGGCGGAGAACTTCAGCAGTAGAGACTGTCGAGCCTGTGAATGATCTTACGTCTGGTCCAGCAGCGGTGGCAGACTCGAAACATTCATCGACAGAGCTATCAATGCTGTCTCTGCTGATCTCGAAGCTTTGGCTGCGTTGGTTGGCGTTGTCGGTTTGGGTCCTGCGTCCGGACCACTTACGCAGAAGACGAGTCTCTGCCTTGTGAGATGAGTGGCCGGGAGGTGACGTTCTGGCGCGGTTCGTGATGCCTTGCTTGACTTTCGTGAGCATCCGTCGTCTTACCGACTTCTGACGGCATAGAGCTGGCTCTGCAGATGCCACATCTTTTGGTGATTCCAGGCGCCCGGCTGGAGCTGGAGGAGTATCAAGTCTGGTGGCGGCAAGATCCGTCGGAAAGGCATGCAGCTCCTCAGATGTGTCCCGACTGTGCGCATGCTGAAGCGCCCCATGCATACACGGTGGTGGAATATCGGCGTAGATGCTGCACTGCTTGAGGTTCTCCCGTGTCTTGCGCACTTTGAGAGGCGTCTCCGGTCTCCCACATGCCGAGTGATCGCGCTGCTGTCTTAGTCCGGGTTTGTTGCTTGGCGAGTTCTTCGAGATGGACGGGGGTGTGAACTTGTGCGGCGCTTGGTTCTGTGCCGATGGGTGATGAGCAGATGAGGCTGGAACGGAAGGAGTCGCAAGATACCTCTTTGCTCGCCATGGAGCACACTTTGCCGGCTGAGGAGCCAGTGAATGCCGACTTCTAGTCGCTCGCCCGGCTGTGAGCATTGGGAGCAAAGAAGACGATGTAGCTCCCTGTTCGTAAAGTAATGGTGACATCCTCAGGACCTGAGTGCGCTTTCTGCCGACATTTCTCGTATCCACGGACATGGCCATCAAACATCGCAGCTGCTGACGACATCGAAGTCCGCAGTCCGTGCATGCACCTGCTATGTAGACGTGAGGCAGAAGTTGTGATCATGCTGCATGTACATCACCAGCAATGAGCAGGCAGCAGCGACGCTGTATGCAAATTTTCCGCCGCAATACATCTAGGAAGTCGTAGTTCCTTACACAGGTATTGCAAGAAGCATGCGCTTTAGCATCGGCCGTGCTTTCCACCAAAGAGTCGGCCATGGTCAGATGGATGAGGTGGCATCAAACAGCGAGTGTTTTGCTCTCAGCCATCATCTCGCTCACCACCTGCTCATCCATCTTGGAGAAGCAAATTGCATCATCGTGCTCGTTGGCGTAGAGCATGTGCTCCGAGAGACTGGCCTGGATGCTTTTCCGCACTCGGTCTTCCCACACGCCTTGCCAATTCCACTCTGCAGGACGTCGCGCACTCCCGGAGAGCTGCCGTGGAGAGCTACTGCGCTCTCTGGCCATTCTCATACTCGAAGGATGCGGGAATGAGACGGCCGGGATAGCCCTGCTGGCCGTGGGCCCGGATCGGAAGCTCCTCCATGCATGCCAAGCTCCCGGGTTCGCGGCATCTTCCAGCGATACGGCGTCCAGGATGGATTCGGTGTCGAAGATCACCCGGAGATACTGGAGTACTTCGATAGTGAGAGCAGCGCTGGGCGTTTGAGGAGCAGGAGCTCGGGATTCGGATTGGGCGGCTGGTTGGGTAGGATCGGCGCTGTTGGCGGCGGTGTTCTCAGATGGCACGACGAACCATTCCGGAAAGCCGTGTCGGAGGCTCAGGCCTCCAGGCGGGAGACGATCGCGGTCGGCTGCGCTCACCGTGTCTGCAGCGGCAGCATCACGCACCGTGTAGGTGTAAGTGTTGAGTGGGGTGATGAGCGGGTGGAACACGTCGCTTAGAAACGTCACGACCGGTGGACGATATGGGTAGTCGTCAGGGAAGTCAAGCTGGAACCGCAGGACTGCGTTCGCGTATGGGCCTTGCAGAAAGAGGGAGTTGTCAGACGAGGGCACGAGGAGATAAAGCGCATGCACGGCCAATCATGGCGGGGCGGACTGAGGTACCAACCTTTGCGGATGAAGAGGACGCCGTGCCAGAGGAGAGGATTGTCTGGATGTGGAGCGAGGTAAACGCCTCTTGGACATGCATGCTTCAGGCTCGCGCTGGAGACGACGATGAGGTCAGTGAGCTGGCGGCTACCAGGTCAAACGAGCGCGTGGGCGTGGGCAGGTGACTGACAAGTCTATGCGGAGTCTCTGTCTGGTGAGGGCAGTGGACAGCAGGGCCATGGTGGTGACCGCCAACAATCACGCTGCTGGATGTCGGTATAGTGAACAGTGTAGGTATGCAGGGTGGCTGCACGAGGCTGCATGAATCCAACCAGGCAAGATAACATGCTCGCCAAAACTGTTGTCGCGCGCCGAGGGGCTATGCGCGTCACGAAACTTTTGTTAGCGATTCTCACCAAAGCAGTTCAATCCTTACATTATAACCTCGTTATTTGCCACCCACCTCGCTGTCGCCCTTGTTTTGAGTTGATATGAGGCCAAAGTAACCCATACAAACGGTGTATACCACTAAATCCGAGGTGTTGTTAGTTGCTCGCGCGCCCTCACCGTCGCAATGGCTCCGCGAACGCGTCCAGCGCGTGCCTCAAAGCCTACACCTAAGGTGGCCGCCGCGGTGGCCACCGCTCCTACTGCTCCTACTGCTCCACTGCCTAGCAAAAGGAAGAGCAGCAAGCAGGGCAGTCGACAGGCTCCTTCAAAGGCTCGCCGCCGAACAACAGACGCTTCTACAGCAGCTACAGCTGTAGCTGCTACCGCTGCCGCCACTACAACCGCTCGCTCGAAGACGAAGGACGCGCCTGCCGCTCCTACTGCCGCTGCCAGTCGTTCAATGGACGCGTCTGCTGCTGCCGCTGTGGACGATTCACTGTTGAATGAAATTGAGGCTGCGGATACAGGCCTTGATGGCTTTCAGTCGCTCCACGACTCAGAGGCGGAGCCTGAGGTGGTGGATTTGACGGTGGATCCGTCAACGTTCGAATATGAGCTGGTTTGGCGTGTGCTCGCTGGCCGCACTCAACAACAACGGGAGATTGCGTATAAACGGAAGACCTGCAAAGGCAATCAGCCAGTATATCACATGGCTCAGGCATGGGCTACGCAGCAGGCTGGCAACCTCAAGATATACCGTCTGTCCGCTACTGCTTCTTATGAGGATCAGCCGGCTAAGAAGCAGTATAAGACGGATATTGAGTACCTGCACGAGTTTGAGGAGCTGCTCGCTCGCCTCATAAGCTGGCAAAAACACGGGTAGACAGAGCCCTGTATAACCATGCTGTGGTTCTGCGAGCGTGACCAGGTGTCTACTGTCCTCGCGAGCAGTAGCCCTGCCGCCGCCTCGTCTCAACGCTGCCGGACTGCTACTACTCGCTAGGAGGCGTTAGTTCCTTCGCAGATCGAGGAGATAGAGTCTTAAGGCGACTATAGCGCCTCCTTGCGGCTCGAGTGGACCTGTACTCAGCAAGCTTGTCCTAATTATGGTGATGGCAAGAACGGCTATTACTACTAGCGCAACACCAACGTACCTGACAATCACTGCCCTTTCACGAAGGACATCTTTGCTGAATAGGCTACTAAGATCAAAGCCGGCAACCTAGATGCTAGGGTGCCAAACCTGGATATCCACAGCGCTCTTCACAAGAGCCAGGCTCGTATGAGGCTAAAGTCGTCTAACCATAAGAAGCTGGAGCCTCCACCGTCTCGTTCGCCAGAGCGTCGTGGCAGGGAGCCATGGCCGCCTTACTACTTCCCCTACCCGCCGCCAGGTATGGGCCCTCCTTATACACCTGCTGCTGGCGCTATACCGGAGCCGCCATCCTCACAACCGAGCTCTTCAGCTCCGTCCGAGCGTGTGGATCGATTTCTTGACTGGTGTGCTGAGCGTGACAGCTGGCGTGGTTTTAGGGCCGATTTGGACCGTATGCGGCTTGAATAGAGCGATAATGGATAGGATCTTGATGGAATCAAAGGTATAACGGCAGCTCAGTGGAAGGATATGGGGTTGAAGGCCGGTCAGATGGATAAGGTGAAGCAGAGCCTGAGGAAGTGGAAGAGGCAGTGACATCATCACGACTTTCGAGCTGGCGAGGCGATTCACCTTCGAGCGTCTATTACACCACAACCACTGAACCGATTTTTGCTCCTTCACTTGGAAACAATGGAGATAGATAGGTAGAATGAACCACCAACTGCGTGTCCTCAAACATGGTGTTGTTGTAGAGATATAACGTCCATCCGGCGACGAGCCTCGCAAGCTTGAAGCCGTGCCAAGCCTTCTCAAACACCTTCAAACAACTTTAACACCTTCAACACCTTCAACACCTTTAACACCTTCAACAACCTCATACCCACAGTGCCTGAAGTAGCCGCGAGCGTCAGAGCTAACGGCGTGCTCTATAGCCTCACGGATGAAGCGACCAAAGTCCGGATATGCTGCAGCCTCGCCCTAGTGTGTCCGCATCCACTGCTTAAGAGCGTGAAAGGTGAGCTCGATAGGGTTGAAATCCGGTGAGTACGGCGGTAGGTATTCAATCCGAATGCCTTGATCAGCTAACATCTCTTCAACGCCTAGATTGTGGTGAATTGAAGCGTTGTCCATAACAATGATATGGCTAGGCGACAGATATGGCGCTACACGGTTAAGAAGCCACCACTGAAACACCTCCTTCGACACCGAGCCTTGAAACACAAGCGGCTGAGGCAGGTAGCCATTGATTGTAAGAGCAGGCAAGATTGACCACCTCTCCGAGCGAGCGAGCGTCCGGATCACTAAGCAGCTGAGCCCCTTTGGCGACCACCCCCTCCTGCGAGTAGCTGTCTTCTCATTTGCTCCGCTCTTATCCACAAAGACGAGTTTATCCGCAGGCCAGTGAGCTGATCTTGTTCGCCACACAGCTCTTAACTCGTCGCTGCGCTGAGTAGCAGTCTCCTTACACACCTTACGCGTCCAACTAGCCTGTAGTAGGTACCGGTAGATCGATCGCTCCGCCACATCTATACCAAACTCGTCGTATACAGCGAGGGAGATCTCGTCCGCGTAGGAGCAAGGGCGATCGTCGAGGAAATCGAGCATCCACTGCAGTAGACGCGTCAGCGAGCTAACGAGCAGTAGGAGCGGATATATACACACCTTCGTCTGCTCTGCCGTGAGAGCGCGTGGACGACCAACACGGCTCGCAGGCGGTGGATATGGAGCACCAAACAGCTCGAAGGACAACCTCATTCGCTTAATCGTCCGTCTGCTAACACCAACGCGTGTGGCAATGGCTGTAGGTGGAAGTTTAGTGTCCTTAAGCAGAGCCTGCACCTGCCTACACACCGGCGGCGGTAGCTGTGTAGGCATCAGACGCTAGCAACACCTTGGATTGACGATATAGCACGTGTTTGAGGCGCGACAGCGAGGTGAGTGGCAAAAGATGAGGTTATAATGCATGAGACGAATGGTTTTGGTGAGAATCGCTAATGGAAGCTTCCCCACACGCATAGCCCCTCGGCGCGCGACAACAGTTTTGGCGAGCATGTTACTAGGCCCTGCAGCAACTACACACGCAGCAATGCAGAAGCTTGATTCGCGCACGATTGGGCCAGCGTTGCGGTCAGCTACGCCGTGCCGGGTGCCGAGTGCGGTGTGATGAGTTTGTGGAGGGATACAGTACTTTGAATGTGATGGAAGGGAAGCTTGACGCGAACGCGCACATGATCAGATCCATCCGATCCACAACCCGGTCCCCTGTCTCTCCCGACAAGCCGCGCCCAATCACGCAGTCGGGCGATTTACGACAGTGACACACAAGCCAGCACGGCAAGGGTTGTGTACTCTACCAAGATTTGTGATGTGTCCTTGCATGCCTACATCTCTACAGGGAGTCGCATGCACGATGTGTGATGAACAGATGCGTATCTTGGCTCGCCGGGCATCGCAGCAAGTCCACAAGGGGCAAGCGTGACCGGCGTGGCATGCAGTGACGTTGGATCGGCCATTTTCTGGCGCGGGCAAGTGCGTCCCGACGCCGCGGACAGAGAATGGCAAAGAGCGGCGCCTTCTCAAACCAACAAGTCCAGGGGGGCAAGTGCAAGGGGGGAAGGGACGGGTCAGCACACTGCGCGCCAAATCGGCAGAAGATCCCCCAAGCTCTTTCCCCATTGGCTGCCCTGCAACTTAGCATCTCGCGATCCTGCTGCATGAGACTAGCGGCTCGCATGGAAGCAGGCAGCCTTGAAGCGAAGACGACAGTTGAAGCTCCGGACCGCACGGCTCGCAGTCGTCTGCCACGTCGTATGAAAGACGCGAGTGCGGTGGAAATACTAATGCATTTGGAATTGGCTGCACCCCGGTGTGACAGTCGGAGAGGTGTGCCCAGATGACGAAGCACGTCGAGATTTGAGATTGTTTGACGACTGCCCCCCGGATCTAGGTTGGCTCCGGCTTGCATCCCGGAAGGCCGCGCCAGACAAACACCAGCAAGCCGGCCGAACAAAGGCGAGCCCAACCTTGCATCCGCCCGTCTGTGAGAGTTTCAGGAGGTGGCCCGACTCTGAGATGACGGCACGGCATCACCACCCTGGCCATTCACCGCTCTTTGGAGGTTGCAGATCTGACTCGTCACGGTGGCGACGACCCATCTCACACGTGTGACGTGCTCTACGCTTTGCGCGTGACCTTTGCGGATGATTGATGCGCTTCTGCCTCACACACACGGCATATGTGTAGGGCTGGCGCATTGCCTTGTACTTGCAGACAGCCAGATCTCGCCAGCAGCCCGCCAGCGTGCAGCGTGCAGCCAGCAGCAGCGCAGCGGAGACAGCACCGCCCTGCGAGGGATCCACCTGCCCTTCATCCCGGAAGGCCAAGCGGCTTGCCGAAGTGACACCCCCGGCCCCTAACGAACGACTCCCGCATGCCGCGCGCGAATCACAGGCCTTTCCGGCTCGCTGGTTTGCCTTGCTGCATGCGCGCGCCGTCTTTTCGGTGACCGCGGCACGACTGGAAACTTCTCCATCACTTCCTCCCGTCTTTCCTACCGTTTTACGTCTCCCATCGTCCCACCCCACTGGCCGCGCCTGTCTTCCCCGTCTCGTGGTCAGGGGCGCCCGCGCCTCTGTCTCCAGAAAACTGCCTTTCGACGGCCTCCGGCTTCTCTTGCCGGTGGAGCATCGTCCTCGTGTCCTCCCACTCGGCTGCCCTCCCTGGCCGCCATTTGGTCTCAATCCACGCGACGCGCGCTCTAATGATGTATGTATGTCTCGCCAGCGAACAGAGCCCGGAATTACCTCCTACGTATAGGATGGTCGTCGCTCTTCGCTTGTCTCTTTACCATCCGTCCTGCGCTCTCCGTCTTTCGTCATCTTTCCCCTCCATTCCTCTCCATTTCCCACTCCACCCATATGCTGCTGTGCAACATTCGCTGTCATCCCTCCCTCCCCCACCTACCTTGACCGCTCCTCCAACACAATCTCTCCTACTTGACCGCCGCCAGCGCATATGTGCCACCGCCTCTCCACTTCTACACCGCTTTAATTCATCATCTCGCCCCGACCCCGCGCATCCTCTGGTCATTGTCGCAACCTGCTGGTCCCTGTCCACATCTCATCCGCGATCACCGCCCTTCTCACACATTGATGATCAACCATGCGACCAACGAGCCCCCAAAGTCTATCACACTCCGAACCCTTTCCGTACCGTCAATTGACCATTCTTGGTGAGTTCCCCATGCGGTTGAATCGCTATGAACACAACTAACCCCCTGCGCGATAGCAATATGTCGACTCTCCGAACCCATTGCGTTCATGTCCATCTTCCCCTACATCTACTACATGATCAAATCCTTCCACATCACCGACAATGAAGAGAGCATCGCGTTATACATGGGCATGGTCATCTCCGCCTTCGCCTTGGCGGAAGCCATGTCAAGTTGTCTCTGGGGCCGTCTAAGCGACAAGCTGGGCCGCAAGCTCATCCTCCTGTGCGGCCTCGCGGGTACCGGGGTGAGCATGCTCGTCTTCGGCTTCGCCACGAACATCTACGTCGCCCTCCTCGCAAGAGCGCTTGGCGGTCTGCTGAACGGCAATATCGGCGTGCTGCAAACTACAATCTCGGAAGTGGTCAAGAATGATGCACACAAGGGATTTGGCTTCGCCCTCATGCCGGCTGTCTGGTGCGTTGGAGCTGCCATTGGCTCCGCTCTTGGAGGCGCCCTCGCGGATCCGGTCAGAAGCTACCCGGGCGTCTTCAAGCCGGGCTCGTACTTGGATGAATACCCATATCTGTTGCCGAACCTGGTCTGCGTGGTGGTTGTGATTGTCGCCATTCTGGTCGGAATCTTCTACCTCGAAGAGACGCATGAAGACTTGAAGGACCGCAGAGACTATGGCCTGGAAATGGGCAAATGGGTCGAGTTCAAATTACGGCCCTCGAAATTGGCACACCTTATGGGCTCCAAGGGCCGGCCAACGGACGAAACGCTCTCCCTTCTGAGCGAGGAGGATGCACCTCCAGGCTACCAGAGCACGGCAGGTTCTCCGGATCTCCGAGCCACGTCAATCGGACTGCCTCCTCCATATCAGAGCATCGAAGGCGCCTCCTTGACATCCACCAAACCCCACTCTTCCGCAATCGAACCGTCCGACCCCCGCCCTCTACGCTCCAAGCGCAGCTCGAGCGTCTGGCACACCCTAACGAAACAGCTCATGCTGAACGTCGTCGGCCTCGGCATCCTCGCCTACCACACCATCTCCGCCGAGCAACTGCTCCCCGTCCTCTTCAGCATGCCCGAGTCCGACGCGCCTCCCGCCCTCCCCTTCCGCTTCACCGGCGGCTTCGCCCTCTCCACCAAATCCATCGGCGGCATCCTCTCTCTCCAAGGCGTGCTGCAAATGTTCGCGACAATGGTCATCTTCCCCACCATCCAGCTGCGCCTCGGCACGCTGTCCACCTACCGCCTCGCCGTCCTCACCTACCCCTTCCTCTACCTCCTCGTCCCCTACCTCACCCTCGTCCCCGGCAACCTCCGCATGCCCGCCGTATACGTCATCCTAGTCTGGAAAGTGACGGCGCAAGCCTTCTCTTTCCCCGCGAATAACATGATGCTCAGCAACGCCACGCCTCGCACACAGCGCGGCACTTTCAACGGCGTCGCCCAATCCTCCGCAAGCCTTGCGCGAGCCATCGGCCCCTCTGTCTCCGGCCTCCTACAGGCCGCCGGCCTCTCAAAACACATGCTCGGCCTGCCCTGGTGGGTGAACGCGCTGGTCGCGACGCTAGGCGCCGTCATGAGCCTCATGATGGTCGAGCAGGCCTCGACCAGCTCGCACGACGAAAAAGAGGATGCCGAGGACGAAGAAGCGGCCATTGAAGCCCTGATTGCCCCCATGGTCACCGATTCCGCAGACGACGATGTGGCCATGATCGCCGCCCGGTCGCCGCCGGAAGTCATTTCGATTGCGCGCCCAACGTCGCCCCTGCTTACGCGGCTGAGTCTGGATCTTCGGCGGAACACCTCGTCGTCTGCGTTCGATGTGCGAGGTTGAGGTGCGCGGACTGCGGTGCTCTTCTTTTGCTTGGGGGCGTTTCGTTACATCATTTTGGAGGGTTACTTGTTTTGCAAAGCGATGTACGAACTTGGGGGTGGATATTTGCTATTTGTGCCGCTTGTTGCGATTTTCCTTCTGTGTTTTTGGGAGGGGATTTGGGTCAACATTGCATTATACCCCATTGGCGGCCGGAGTAATTGATTTGACTGGCTCGCTGGCTTCACCGTGGTATTGTAACATTAGTGAAAAGATAGACGAGGACAATAGAAGTGTGCAAGTGTGTGAGGTGTTTGAGCATTCGTTTCCTCTCTCTCTCTATGAAGTGTGAACAAACAGATCGTCCATCTAAACAGAGCAAGAAAGCTCTCGACACCACAACTCATCCCAGCTCATTCTGCTATCGCTCAAATAAGAACTCGCTTCAACTTCCGCGCCAGCATGATCCACAAAGCCCCCAGCAGCAAAACACTGAAAAGCAACATGCTCCCACTCCACACCTGCGCCCCCAAGAAATCCGCAGTGCCGACATCAATCACCGCCCCCGCAATCGGGCTCCCGATCAGAAACGCAACGGCCGTCGACGTCCAACTGATTCCCAGCCTGCTGCCGAGCTTGCTCGGATCGGGACAAATGGAAGGGAACAAACTTGGCGGCAACGCAACCAGAGCACCAGAGAAGAAGCCATAAAGGACCGCGAAAGCGATGAAGCCTGATTGCTCCGTGATAGCGATCCAGGCGAAGCATAGGATGCCTGAGGCACAGCAGCAGCCTGCCCAGGGGACCATCACGCCTACGTATCGCACTACATACGTGGCTGCCAGACGGCCGAAGAGCGAGGCTCCTTGCGATCCGATGAGGATGTAGAGGGCTGTCGACTGCGACGTGTGCAGCGCCACTTGCGCGAAGGTGGGGATGTAGAAGAGCGGGACCAGGTAGCCCAGGAAGACGAAGAATTGCGCCAGGGTGAAGAGGAGGAAGGGCACGTCGGTCAGGGCTGCGCGGTCGAAGAGTTTCCTGCTCGTGCCTGCGCGTCGCTTGCCGAGGCGGAGGGTTGGAGCGGCGATGGCGAAGGCTGCTAGGCTTACGAAGCCGATGACGCGCACCATCCAGCCGAAGCCTAGGGTGTTGAGGAGGTAGAGGTAGATGAGGGTGTACATGATGCCGCCTAGGGCAATGCCGGAGGTGATGACGCCCATTGCTAGCGCGCGCTGCTTTTTGAAGGCCGCGCCGATCAGGGTCAGGACGGGGATGTAGAGGAGGCCGGACCCGATGCCGATACAGAAGCCCTGGGATAGCATGACCTGGTAGTACTCGGTGGACAGACTCAGCATCATCAGGCCGAAGACACACATGAACGCGCCAGTGGCGTAGAGGAGGCGCCAGTATCCGAGGTCGTACAGTGGGCCCGACAGGAGGCCGACGGCTACCAGGAGCGCGCCTTGCACCGTTCCAATCCATGCGATTGCCGATGCTGGATACGTGGAGAGGTAATGCAGCGTGTAGAAGTCTTGGAACGCGCCGAAGGAGATGGGAAGGCCCCAGATGACGAAGAAGATTAGGAAGCCGCCTAGCACTTGCCACCATGCTCCTCTCAAGTCGAACTTGTCCACCTCAGCCTCGGGAGCTGGCTCTGGACTGGCTTGCTTCTGCTCTTGCTCTGGATTCTCTGTCATTTCGGGCTTGGATCAATGGTTGAATGGTAGGGATCTAGCCTCGCGGTTAGCAGTCAATACGACAATCTCGATTTGAGATCATGGAGAGTTGGAAGACGTCTACCGATGACAAAATGGTTGTACCAAGGTTGCTAGCTGCTTCGTCCGACCAGGTCTCGTGTTGATCGATACTAATCGATTACATCTGCCGACGACGAGGGGTTCTTGAGGCGACACCAAGAGTGCCGCAAGTAGAGAGGGAAAGGAAAGAGGGATTGCTGCCAGATGCCAGAAAATCGATGCAAGATCGACAAGAGACGAAGAGAGATGTAAAGAGTATTAGCCTTGAGATTGTCGAAGAGAGATGAGGGTAAGGAAGAGAAAGAGAAAGAGGAGAGAAAGATCGATAAGCGGTGTTAAAACGCAAGGCTGAGTGGTGGGCGGGTATACCCGATGCCGTCTTCCGACCATTTCCCCTCCTCCATGGCATGCTCACTGGGAAGTTCGTAAGTACCTCCGTACCGGCCGCTGCAGTACTCTGATTCGTTGCATTTCCGGCCGTGATCGACACGAGTCGAGATTTCTAATCCGAACTTAGTTTCCATAGGAATATCTGCAAAAGTGTGAACGGGGATGAAAGCGAAAGCGGACTCACGTTCCAGGCAGACCATCGAGCGTTCCTAGTGCTTTCGCTTGGTCTATCAGGTAAACTCGAGGGAAGTTTGAACAGCAAGTCTCCGCGAGGAGATGAGCTGGGCCGCCTCGATGGCCACGCAAGGCTACAAGTCGACGATCCGATCGCCTTTCCCAGCCGCACGCATTTCGATGTCGAATAATGTCGACAGGCTGATGATGCTCTCATTGTCCGCCAGTCTAGATGGGCATTCAGCTGGTGGAACAAGAAAGGCATTCGTCCATCGTACACCGCTGATGGCGTTGAGAAACAGGTGCAGCCAGCCCGAGACTTGCCCAATCCAGCAATACGCTAGCCTGATTCGGCCGTGGGCTGCGAATAGAGCCAAACGACGACTCGCGAGCATCTTCATACAGCTCCCGTTCCCGAATGGCGACGTGAGTGTTTTCAATTATCCCCTACGACGCGAAATTGGGTCATTAGAAATACCTTCATGAATCACTCGGTGAATGCAAAAATGCCGTGCTAGAAACACAATGCCAGGCAAAAAAGTCCAACGTCGCTCGTCCTTCCAGCTCAATCACGGCAACAACTTCGACGCCGGCTCCGCAAGCAGCCGATACGGCTCGAGCGGAATCGACAGCGGGCCAGAATATCCCACGTCGCCCTGCGCCTGCTCCAGCTTCGCGGCAATCTTGCCGACCATCTTCGCAATCCACCCGTCATTCACCAGCCCCTGCACGGCAGCCTTCTTCATCCCTTCCTTGGTCGTGTGCCGCAATTCGCGCGCCAGGTCTTTCAGACTCTCCCCCGTGCGCCCGTCTTTCATGTCCTGCCGCAGGCCGCTGGCGAAGGATTTGAACGTCGTGGGGGTGCGCGGGGCGGCGGCGTCTTCGTTGGAACTGGACGTCGCGGCCGATTTGCTGTCGGTTTCTAGCTCGGCTTCCTCGTCTTTGCTCGCCGTCTCCATGTCGATGACTTTGCTCGCTTTCACGAGCGCGGCGATGAAGTTGAGCAGCGACTGGTCGAACCATGCGGGCAGGCGGACGTGCACGCTGATGTGGATGTCCACTTCGTCCTGCTTCATTTTCTTGAGTTCCTTTTCCGCTTGCACGGTCTTGGGCTTGCCGTCGGCGAGATCGGCTTCTTCTTGTTGATCTTGTAGGTCGCGCATGTCGGGCCGAGCGGGGAGGAGATGCTCGTGATGCGGGAGGAGGAAAGAGGGGACGGAGACGGAGGCGTCGGCCCCGCCTAGGCGGATGATGGATTCCACCGTGTCGGTGTCGGGCTCGATGCGGTGGGCGTTGATGTCGTTGAATTGCAGGTAGTTATTGATGTCGAAAGCGGCGCTCAGCGGGACTTGCCCGATGGCGTCGACTTCGGTGAGCTGCAGGCAGAGGTTGGCGGAGGCGAGGTAGGAGGAGACTTTTTGTTGCAGTTTGCGGATTTGCGAGTCCTCCGAGCCGTGGTGCTTGAAGAGGTGCTCTTGGAGGACGTTGGTCATCCAACCGCCTGAGCCGGCGATGCAAATGGAGCTGATGCGGATGGGGTGCAGGTGGCTTAGCGGCATGAGCAAGAGTCGGAGCAAGAAGGGTAAGCGATGGAGGAAGCGACGTAGCCAAGGTGGAGAGATTTGTTGGAGAGTTGTGACGCGGATGGACTGTGATGCGGGGTGGGGGACTGAAGGGACTTTTTGAAGGTGTGCGCAAACGAGAGCCCGCTCATCATTGTCACTGCCAGTCCAGGTATTTTGAATGTGCTGGCGAGCTTCATAGATGGCACTGCCGGTTCGGATCTGCTTCAACATGTCCTCGTACTGCTCATCTGCTTTGGCATCCGCAGGATTGACGGTGGTGACGTCGTTGAGGGTCTGCTTAACGGAAGAGTCCCTCATGTACGAACCACCCGTCATATGACTTTTCATTTGACTGAGGTTCGGGCGGGAACGATGTCCAGCGGCCTGCAGAAAGGCGGTGTCGGCCTGGAACATCGAGTCGTTGTCGTCCGTTTTGGATGCCTCCATGTCACCAAAGGTCATTTCATCTTTACCGCCTTTGATGCTGCCAAACACCTCACCGATGTCGATTCGGCGGAAGAGACGAATGTCCACTTCATCGGTGTAGAGAGCCAACTCGATGTCGTTGGTGAGAAGTAGGCCTATCAGATGTCAGAAGGGCGTTGATAAGATTGCACAGAACATACGCACCAAGCTCCACTCCATGCGCCACGATGCGCAGACTTGAAAATGAAATGGACAATCCCCGCACGACGAACAATCCCGACACATCAGTGTCAATCTCCAATGCAGGCAGATTAAACAACGCGATAGTGTCCTTGGTGAAATGCAAGCCAAGCAACCCCTTGCGAAGCCATTTGCGCGCCTGGGCCGACAAAACAGGATACTCAAAGAGAGCAGTGAAAAGGATGAGGGGATAGCAAGCAGCAGCAAACAGAGCATGCAGTAGCCATGAGGTAGAGGAAACAGCATAGACGAGATTGAACGTGGCCAAGAGCGTCCACAGGGGCACGTGGGCGAAGATGCGGGAGGGAGCGCAGACGACGAGCAGGGATTCAATGCCGGCGCCGTAGAGGAACCACCATTTCATCCACGGCGTGACGGCGGCGAGGCCGAGGGCGAGCAGACACGCGCATGCTGCTAGGGCGGGGGAGAAGTGCGGTTGGATGCGCGGCTGCTGTTGCTGTTGCTGCTGCTTGACGGGTGGAGGACCCATGGTGTTGATGTGAGTGCTTGCGCATGCATTTTCCTCGGACTTGGGATTGCAGGGTTGATGGTAAAGTAGCGTGGCAGTGGCGCTGGGGGGAGACGAGCCGACGTGACGTGAAGTTGGAAGTGGGAGGGCGGGTTTGGGTTGGTGGTGACACGCAATTACGACATTGGCGGGGCTGGAATTCTCCCACGAGAAACATGCCGCCTTCTAACGACCAATGCAGCAGAGCTCACGCTTGACTCGTCAAAAAGGTTGACACCACCTGCGTAAACTTCTCACGATCCTCCCACATGGCCGTGTGACTGCAGTTCGCCAGTGTAATCCATTTCACCTTGGGGATCTTCTCGAAAAAGGGCGCCACCGCCACCTCCTGCGCCTCGTCGAACTCGCCGTTGATCAGTAGTGTTGGACTGGTGATTTGATGGGCAGTGGGAATGGCAGTCCACGTCTTCAACACCCCGTTGCACGTAATCTCCGACGGCCCATACCTGTCGTCGCCTCGTCAGCCCAAGCATCAAGACACACAATCTCCCCATCGACTCACATCGTCCCGTAGACAGTAGCATCCTCCTCGAGCGCATTCATGCTCGCATCCAGCTCCTCCGGCCACGGATCATACCTGCACAAGTGGCGCGTGTAGAACAGCATACACGCCGCCTTGTACTCCGGGGCGTCAAAGTTGCCCTCGGCCTCGTAGCGTTTGAAGTCCTCCCGTTCCTTCTCCGGGATGCGTTCCAGCAGCGAATACACGCTCTGCAGCCACGTCTGCAGACTCGCCGGCGAACTCACGATTACGAGTTTGCGGAGGCCCGGGGGCTTCTTCGCCGCATATACACTGCCTAGCATCCCGCCCCAGCTGTGGCCGAGGAGGTCGAATTGCTTGATGCCGAGGTGCTGGACGAGGTTATCGAGTTCGCGCTCGAACAGCTCGACGGTCCAGAAGGTGTGGTCGCCGTTCTTGTGTGCTAGGCGCGTGGAGTTGCCGCAGCCAACCTGATCGTATAGCACGACGGGGATGTTGTGATGAGATGCCAGGTCGGCCAGCGGCGCCATGTACGAAGAGTGAATGCCCGGCCCTCCATGTAGTGCGATCAAGGCCACTTGCGAGCCAGTCAAGTCCCCAAATACTTTGTACCACGTCTGGACATCCTTTCCCGCATCGGGGACATGGAAAGGCGCCATGCCTTCGAGGCATGCCATGTTGGATTAGATGGAATAATTGAAAAAGCGATTGAAGCTGAATCGGCCGAAACCATTGATGAGCTGTTGTGCGTGTAATGCATGTTAACACTAGCAGCCTTGCGGCAAAGCTTGTCCCTCCACCCCCGTCCCTTGGCCGAACTTGGAAGGTACAGTACATTCACCCAGCAAACATTCCCTCACATCCTGTACTTCATCCTCTTCGCCCGCAAATCGCGCGTTCGCTGCACATAGCTCCGCATAGCCACCAGCGTCCTTCCCCCCTCCGGAAACCGCACACAGAACGCCTCCCACAGCGTTTTAATGGGAATGCGGCCTCCGTCCCACACACCCGCGTACGCGTCGATGGCCCACGACACCCAGGCGTGCTCTTCGATCGTCCAGTACTCCCGGAGTTTGCGAAAGTAAAGGATGCCGACGGTGGTGTTTGTCCAGGGGATGTGCAGTGGGTCCTGGCCGAAGTTGGGCTCGTTCCGTTAGTTTGGGACCTCATGCTTCATGGTGTGGGATGGGATACTGACGTGGTCCAACCAATTCCACACTTTGTTGATTGCGCGAGCGTGGCGAGGTACAAGGACGCAGAACTGGCATCCGTCTGTGTGCTCGTCGGTAACTCCGTCTGCGAATTCCGCTGTGAATTCGGCCGTGAGTTGGAGTTGTTCGAGTTCGAGTTTGATTTCGGCTAGGGTCTCGTCAGCCATTTGGTCGAGGGAAGCCATGTTGACGCTAAATAGTGTGAGAGTGAGCGGGTTGGTGAGGACGGTTGGACTTAGGCCGGGCGAAATGGGATTCCTTTATACCTTACTTGGCCGTCTATTGTCGTTATGGAATGATGGCTAGATGGCCGCAAGGCTGGAGTGAATAGGGATGGAACACGGCGTCTAGACTCGCCACAAGGCTGAAGTGAGTACGAACGACAGCGATTTGTACGATCCACAGAGACGAACACGGCGTCTGAGATCCACCCAAGTCTCACGCGAGGAGGAACGACATGATTGTTTACAGTCAATACAGACAACATCCCTAAATTAGACACCAGGCTGCAGTTAATGTGAACGACATGTGCAATTTTGCTGTACCCCGTGCTCATAATTCGTCAGCCTCGACTCTCTGCACGACAATCCCGCTCGCCGCTCCGCCGCCATTACATATCGCCGCACACCCGTACTCGCCCACCTCCAGCTGGTGCAGTAAGGTGGTGATGATTCTCGAGCCAGAGCTTCCCAAAGCGTGGCCGAGAGCAATTGCGCCGCCTCGCTTGTTGACGTTTTCCATGGGGATGTTCAAAATCTGTAGCATCATTAGCGCCCAAATTCCCGCAACGTTTACATTCAATGACTGACCTGGCCGTTGGCAATGATGACCGCCGCGAATGCCTCGTTGAACTCCCAGACTTTGATCTGATCTTGTGACACGCCCGCTCGAGCCAAAGCCAGGGGAACGACCTTGGCAGGAGCGATGGGGAAATCGATGGGCTCCATCGCGGCGTCTGCGAAGCCGCATATCCGTGCCAGCACCTTCTTCCCTCCACCGTGCTTCTTCGCCAACTCACGATTCGCGAGCACGAGCGCAGACGCACCGTCATTGAATGATGAGCTGTTTGCTGCAGTCACACTCCCCGAGCCCGAGCGGTCAAAAGCAGGTTTGAGAGTGGGCACGCGATCCAGTTTGAGTCGGTTGTACCCCTCATCCTCCGCCACAAGAGTCTCATTCCCTTTCCTGTCCTTGACGGGAACACCGACGATCTCATCCGCAAACAGCCCATTCTTCCAGCTCTCCTGCGCGCGTTTGTAGGACAAGATGGCAAAGTCGTCCTGCGCCTGCCGGCTAATCTTGAACTTCTTCACCGTGTTCTCCGCGCAGTTGCCCATGTGCACCTGGTTGTACACGTCCCACAGGCCGTCCTTGATCAGGCCGTCGTCAAGCGAGACATTGCCGAACGGCGGCTGCTGGCTGGCGCGCTTGTGGTAGTACGGGACTTGCGTCATGCTTTCCATCCCACCTGCTACGAGCGCCTTGTCTTGCCCGAGAGCGATTTGCTGCGCGCCAATCATGACGGCCTTCATCCCCGACGAGCACACTTTATTCACCGTCGTCGCTTCCACGCTCGGATCCAGGCCGGCGAAGATGGCCGCTTGGCGCGCGGGTGCTTGTCCCACGCCGGCGGAGAGGACATTACCCATGTAGACGTGAGTGATGCTTTCGGTCGGGAGGGACGAGCGTTTGATGGCTTCGCGGATGGCGACGGCGCCGAGCTGCGGGGCGGAGAGGGATGCGAGGCCGCCGTTGAAGACGCCGCAGGGCGTGCGGACGGCGGAGAGGATGTAGGCGTCTTGCACGACTTGTTGCGGGCGGGGGGAGGAGGTCGTAAACTGGCGCTGCAGCACGCCGAGGCGCTGTTGGGCGGACATGGCGGAGTACAGTGACCGGCGGACGGGAGGGGAGGAGAGCATTGTTGCTGGAGCGGGAGGGGAATGAGGGGTTGGATGGGCGAGGTAGATGTGGCTTTCTTCTGCAGCCGCGGCATGTGAAGATTGGATTTTTATTGGCAGCCTGAGGCCAGCGAGCCTCCTTTGACCTCATCTTCTCTCTGCCGCATCTAACCACCTGCCACCTCCACACTTGTCTCGTTTTGCCGCCTTCCTCTGCTATCGGAGCCAATGCCGCCATCATGGTGTCCTGGAAAACGTGAGCCAAACACCTCTCCGATACCAACAACCCACTAACACCCTCAGCATCCAATCCATTGTCATCTTCTTCGGCCCCATCCTCGTGCCTCGTCTAATCGCCTACTACCGCTCCCTACGCTCAACCCCGGCATCGCAAATCCGTCCCCTACCCCCAGCAACCTCCTACGCCCTAGCAGTCCTCTTCGCCTCCGCCCTCACCGCCTTCGCCTCGACGCTCCCCCTCTTCCACCCAACCAACATCTTCCGCCAAACGCAATCCCGGCTTCAAACCCCAGCGGGCGTCCTTCTAACCCGGCTAGCCTCTATTCGCCCCCTAACCTCCTCAGATGAGACTCTTCGCCGCGTCCTCGACACCGGCGGCCTAGACGCTCGTCTCCTGTACGCCCGCTTCGGGCCCAGCGTACTAATCAACTGCCCCTTCGCGGCCCCAGGCGCCATCGATTCCAGCAGGAACTACCTCCTATACGCCGCGCCAACACTCCTAGCTCCGCACCTCTTGCACCTCCTCGTCCTCGGAATCGCGACTTCACGCTTCCTAAGCGGCGCGGAGGGCGCTCGCTGGCGCACCATCGCCACTATAGCCGGCTTGCTGCTTCCCATTTTCGAATTGTGGCTAGTAGCGAACTACGATGACCGAGCGAACGCGCGCAGCACGCGACTTGGCGAGGTGGATTTCGTGTACTGGAAGGCCCTCGTGTGGCGTGGGTTAGCGATTGCGGGCACGGATGCGGTGTTGGGATGGGTAATGTGGCTTCAGGCGACGCATCGGGCGTTCCTCACGCCTGTTTCGAATGGGGAAAGGGTGGGGGAGAGTACGCGGATGGTGGAGATGGTGCTGGGGAAGGTGAGGGGATTGGGCATGGTGCGGAATGGGAGTGCGAGGGATGCGGGCTTGCGGCGGAAAGTGGAGAGCTACTGGGTGAAGGAAGGGGAGGTGATGAAGGATGTCTTTGAGCAGCCGGAAGTGCTGCAAGCGCAGAGGAATGCGTTGGCGCGAGTGGACATCAACAGGATCGGGACGGAGGCGGATGCGTACATTGATTCCATCCTCGGACGGGCAATGTGAACGAAGTGTCTAAAAGTGGAGTGTAGTGTGTTCTATCAGAGCGAAGTAGCCAATTTTCTGCTTTTGTGCTGCCCTCTTTCTTCAACGCTTTGCTTTGCCTAGCTTGCGCGGGGTATTTTTCGCTTCCTCCCTGCGGATGATAACACGCCCGGCGCCATCGACACCATGCTCATCATCCCCGGCCACGTCAATCTCCACGTTCACGTTGTCCGAACATGTACCACCTGCAACGGGGAACGCGCGTTGTGAGTACTCCGCATCCTCGTCATCCTCCGATACCGAGGCGTGGTCGTCGTCATCGTCTTCACGGTCACTAACCAGGCCCGGATTGCTGTCAGCAGTATGCGGGCTGTAGTTCGCAGCGCTGCTGGGGGGATATTGAGGAGACTCGAGAGCCTCACTGCCGTCGAATCCCATGGACGTCAGAGGAGCCGGTCGCGGCTGACGTTGAGTGTGCCGGATGCCCTTGTTGCTTGCCGAACGCGCCATGGTCATCATGGAAGCACGTTCATCCATAGACTCCAACGGGGACTGTTGGCCGGGAGCGTCCGGAGAGTCGTCGTCCAGACCGAGGTCGAGTTTGTCGCTCGCGCCAGCCACCGCAGAAGCCAGATCACCACCAAAACCGTGCTTGGCAAAGTACGCTGAGAGACGTGGAGCTTGTGCAGAAGCGGTGAGTGGTTGAGTGGGCGCATGATTCCCAATAGCCAGATCAGGAACCGGCGCACGCGTGGCTGTAGCCTTCTGTCTGCTCGAGGCGGATGGAGGAGGTGCTGCTGGACCATTGAAAGGATGGACAAGACCTCCACGCGGAGGAGCTGGGTATGAAGTCGAGAGACGACTCAAGCTGGGCTTGTGGGACGGTGTGGGTTGAGGGTCCGAGGGCAAAGTCGCGACCTCACTCTCGTCGAGTATTCGACCACAGTCAATCGCAGCAGCGTCGTGTGATTTGTAGTCGACTTTGTGTGCGATTCGGCAGTGGTTGAGGAAGCCCTGGATACTGGAGAAGTTGCCACGCAGGCAGTTGTTGCAGATGAGCTTGACAAATTGATTGTCCGTAGAGCGCTTCAGCACGAGAGGGTTGGATTTGTCCTTGATCGTAGGCGCAGGGTAGTTGGGGATACTCTGCAGAGTCTCACTCTGAGGCGCAGGGAAGACAAACGACGTGCTCATGGACTTTCGAGCCGAGCCACTGTTGCGAGTTGATCGGCCAGCAGAATCGTCAAGATAGACGGGTGGCGGAAGGCCGGACTCGAAAAGAGGGTCATGCAGGAGCCACTGGTTGTAATGACTGGTGTAGGGGCCATCAGTCACGCCATAAGCAGCCGGATAAGGCGGATCGAACGAAGTCGGCGAGATGCCTTCCGGGAGTGCCGTACTGTCTGCGCAAGGGCGTAGCTCCACCCTCCTCAGCTGTTCAAGGGCAATATGACACTTGGCCAGCTCTTGATCAATCAAACGAAGTTCGTTGTGCTTCATAAGAATTTGGACGTTGAACTCGTTCTCGATGACCTCTTGTGCCCTGGACAGCATATTGTCGAGGCTGAGGTGCTCCACGTCGAGCATGTCGGCATCGGGGGAGACGGAAGCGTTGAAGTCTAGGCTGAGAGGTGAAGCAGGCGCTGCTGGTTCGCTCTTGTCCTCGCTGGGCCGAGAGTTGACTGGTCGCTGCTTCTTGCTCGGCCGTGCACGGGGCGACATGCCCTCGCTCGCGCGCTTCCTCTTGAACTTGGCCAAGACAGGAATCTCCACTACGGGCTCGGGGCGCATTCTTTCCAGCGCATCGGGCTCGGCCATTTTGGGAGGCACCGGTTCACTGCACCAGGGGAGGCGGAAGATGCTATGCATCGTGGAGGTGTCAGGCGTCAGTGGAGCGCACAGAGTTGCCTAGAATGCCTAGACTCCATGTAGCAGTCCAAGAGCAATCCGAGATCGGAAATGTGACGGCCGCCCTTCTCCTTCTCTTATCGCCGTCTCATGCGGTCAGGGGGAAGGATGTAGGAAGTGGCGAAGGTGGCGGAAACTCCGCGCCGGTCGATTTGGGGGTGGTGAAGGCCGAAGTGACAGTCGTGAATGTTGCTTGAGGTGGCCGGAGATAAGGCGGACCAGGTGACTAATGGAGAGGCGGCAGTGAGTGGAAGGGAGGAGACGGGTATTACAACAAGGCGCTAATAAGGAAACAAAGAGGAGCGAGAAGAAGGGGAGGAAAGGAAACGAAGAGGGAAGAAAGGGAAAGAGGAATGGGGGAGGTGGTGTTTGTAGGTGTGGATGAAGAAGGGGAAGAGGTGCTGGGGGAGGTGGTAAGCGCAACGCAACAAGGGAGGGAAGGAACTCGCCCCGGCAGACCACGAATCGTTGATGCAGCCACCAGGGCCACCCATGCGAAACGGCTACCTGGCATGCGAGCTGTCTTCCTATTGGTCAAGCCCAGGATCCACTCTGCATGACGAAACTCTATTCGTCGACTCTCGTGGAATGTTGGATGGTGTTGTCGACGTGTATCCTCACGGTTTGATGCAGAGATGGGCCTGTAAACCGCTCGCATATACGTTCGTCTGCCATACACTGTTGGTGTTTTGTAAAACCCCCCGGTTTGTCGGATCTCTCCCCGCCTCCGATGCCGTGATATCATAGCTTTTATTGTGCATCTAATCATCACATCATCCAATCGTCAAGTCCAAACCTTCTAGCGAAACTCTAATCTTCATACGTTTCCGGTCTTGGCATATTGACGGCCGCAATCACGTGAAGCTCTACACCTCAAACCCATCTCCAACCTCATCCCGACCATCACCACCACCTCTTGACCGCCGCCGCCATGGCGGAAGGAATGTTTTACAATGTCACCGGTGGCTATGTCGAAGTACAACGCCTCCTTGTCCCTTCACACTCCCCGCCGAGGCTAATTCCATGATCAGGGCATTGTCAGAGGCTATCGCAATCAGCTCCTCACCAGCCAGAACTATGGCAATTTGACCCAGTGCGAGACTATCGATGGTAGCGCTACCCATCAATCCTGCTCTTTACTTCCACTGACCTCCCGCAGATGTCAAACTCCAGCTCGGTCCCGCCTACGGCGATTTCCTCGCCAGTCTCGCCCCCAATCCTTCCACCTCCGCCCTCGCCGACAAAACCATGGACAAGCTGGTAGCGGAATTCCGCTACCTCCAAGCCAACGCGGTGGGAAGTCTGGCGAAGTTCATGGACTACCTGACCTACGCCTACATGATTGACAACGTCGCGCTCCTCATCACCGGCACACTACACGAAAGAGACACAAGGGAGCTGCTGGAGCGATGCCATCCCCTAGGCTGGTTCGAGACGATGCCCGTGCTATGCGTGGCGACCAACATCGAAGAACTCTACAACTCCGTCCTCATCGAAACCCCACTCGCCCCCTACTTCAAAGGCAGCATCTCCCACCATGACCTCGACGAGCTCAACATCGAAATCATCCGCAACACCCTCTACAAAAACTACCTCGAAGACTTTTACAAATTCGTGAATGAAGAGCCAGGCATCGCGGGCACTCCCACCGCCACGGTCATGCGGGAGGTCCTCGAGTTTGAGGCGGATCGGAGAAGCATCAACATCACCCTCAACTCGTTTGGCACGGATCTCAGCAAGGCGGATCGGAAGAAGTTGTACCCCAACTTCGGCAGATTGCATCCCGAAGGCACTCTCATGCTTTCCCGCGCAGACGATCCGGAAGGCGTGCGAATAGCAGTGGACGGTGTGCATGACTATCGCACAATGATGGATCAGACGGGTATGGGCGGTGGAGGAGGAGGCGGAGTGGGCAATCAGTCTGGCGGGATCGGTGATGAGGGAAAGAGCTTGGAGGACTTGTTCTATCAAAAAGAGATGGAGATTTCGAAGTTGGCCTTTACATATCAGTTCACCCATGCGGTGGTGTATGCGTGGGTGAAATTGAAGGAGCAGGTGAGTAGATTGCCCCGCGATTACATGACAGCACTGACATCTTGCAGGAGATCCGCAACATCACATGGATTGCCGAGTGCATTGCTCAGCAACAAAAGGATAGAATTGGTAATTACATTAGTGTGTTTTGATGGAATTGAATGCGATGATCACGGCAGACTTCTTCCGGCTTCACTAAGTTTCCTTTATGACTCAGTGAGGACATTGTGATTTGGCATAGCATGGAAGAACGACGGGCTCTGTAATATGACGGAACGCATCACCCCTCCCCATGATATCTCGTGTCGATCATCACCTCGTAAACCACCCCCACCGCTCAATCACCCGTATCCAACTCCAAGTCCAGCTGCACCCCATTACTCACTCCATAATCCTGTAGCGTGAGCTGGTCCTTGAACGGCCTCTCGCCCTGCCGCTTCAGCATAATCTCGTGTGGCTGTCGGCCGATATGCGCCGCCACCACGGCTTTGAACGCCTTGATACTGTCGGATGCTAGGCACGGAATGGCGGCTTTGGTTCCTAGGCGGTCGTTGATATTGACGATGATCATCGGTTCCGTGATGGGAGGTGGTTTCGATTTCTTCTCTTTCTTGGGCTTCTTCGACTTGTCGGCGTCTTTGCTGGCGTCCTTGGGTGGTGGTGGTGGTGGTTGCGCATCGCTGGCTTCGCGCGATCGCTCCGGTTCTCGCTTGCCCTCGCGGCCTCCGAACTTGTCTTCATATCGATCTCGTCGTGGCGAACGATCGCGTTGTGCAGCATCCCCTTGCTCCCGCTCGCGATAGCTGTCTCTCTTCGGCGATCGGTTTCTGTATCCTCGCTCCAACACCCCACTGCTTCCCGTCTCCCCAGCATCTTTCGGCTTCTTTTCCTTCCACTTGAAGCCGCCAGTCTTCTGCTTCTTAGATTGCGGTGCTTCACGCGTCGGCGACGCCGAGCGCGATCGTGTCTCTGTCATGGTTGTGTGGGGTTAGAGTGAAGAAACAGAAGTCGTGATTTCTTGAAGTAAACTGTCGCAGCTTCCAAATTCAGTTAGCGCCACTTTTCTACGTCAACCTCCAGAACTTTTTGGCCGTTTCCTCTTGTCCTCATACGACCACATCACTTCACACCGCCTCCATGGTCACCATGGACGACGACCTCTTTGACGTTTTTGACGAGAAGCCCGCTCCGGCGACGGCAGGTGGTAAAGGACAGGATGACAAGAAGGAAAAGAAAAGCAAGAAGCGCTCGTTGAACGGACAAGTGAAGGATGAACAACCTGCAGAGGATGCTGCAATGACGGAGAATGGGCAAGAGAACGGGACATTCAAACGCCATCGACAGGATGAGCCCGACCCCGTCGTCACAGACACCTTTGAAACCGAACAGTCTCGTGAAGTCGCGGCCTCCGCGGGTCTTCAACCTCAAAAGGACGACAAGTCCGCCGTCATCCTTTCCCATCAAGTCCGCCATCAGGTCGCCCTTCCGCCCGACTTCGACTACGTTCCGATTTCCCAGCACAAGCGACCGGAGAAGCCCGCGCGAGAGTGGCCCTTTACCCTCGATCCTTTCCAAGAGGTCTCGATTGCTTCCATTGAGCGCAATGAATCCGTCCTCGTCTCCGCCCACACCAGCGCTGGCAAGACTGTTGTCGCCGAATATGCTATCGCGCAGTGTCTGCAAAACAACCAGCGAGTCATCTACACCAGCCCGATCAAGGCGCTCAGCAATCAGAAATACCGCGAGTTTCAAGCCGACTTCAAGGACGTAGGATTGATGACGGGTGATGTCACCATCAACCCTACCGCGACATGCCTCGTCATGACGACCGAGATTCTACGCTCTATGCTGTACCGTGGCAGTGAAATCATGCGAGAAGTCGCGTGGGTGGTGTTTGATGAAGTACACTACCTGCGTGACCCCTCGCGAGGCGTTGTTTGGGAGGAGACAATCATTCTACTCCCCGACAAAGTGCGCTACGTCTTCCTGTCCGCCACCATTCCCAACGCCATGCAGTTCGCCGAATGGATCACCAAGACGCACAACCAACCCTGCCACGTTGTCTACACCGACTTCCGACCTACTCCCCTCCAACACTACTTCTTCCCTGCCGGAGCTGATGGCATCCACTTGGTCGTTGACGAAAAGGGCGTATTCCGGGAGGAGAACTTTGCCAAAGCCATTGCATCCATCGCAGACAAAGCCGGCGACGATGGCACCGATCCCATGGCAAAACGCAAAGGCAAAGGCAAGGACAAAAAGACGAATAAGGGAGGGCGGAAAGAAGGTCCCTCCGACATCTACAAGATCGTCAAAATGATCATGATGAAGAACTACAATCCCGTCATCGTCTTCTCTTTCTCCAAACGCGACTGCGAAAACTACGCCCTGCAGATGAGCCAGCTCGCATTCAACGACGACTCCGAAAAGGCCATGGTCACCAAAGTCTTCAACTCGGCCATCGAGATGCTGTCTGAGGAAGACAAGGAGCTGCCGCAGATTCAACACATCCTCCCCCTCCTCCGCCGTGGTATCGGCATCCATCATTCCGGCCTTCTCCCCATCCTCAAGGAAACCATCGAGATCCTCTTCCAAGAAGGCTTGATCAAAGTCCTCTTCGCCACCGAAACCTTTTCCATCGGCCTCAACATGCCCGCCAAGACGGTCGTCTTCACATCAGTCCGCAAATTCGACGGTAAGTCCCAGCGATGGGTCACGCCTAGCGAATTCATCCAAATGTCTGGCCGTGCGGGTCGTAGAGGAATCGACGAGCGAGGTATCGTCATCATGATGATAGATGAGCAGATGGAGCCGACTGTGGCCAAGACGATCGTCCGCGGCGAGCAAGACAAACTCAACAGCGCCTTCCACCTCGGCTACAACATGATTCTCAACCTCATGCGTGTCGAAGGCATCAATCCGGAGTTCATGCTCGAACGATGCTTCTTCCAATTCCAGAATGCTGCTTCTGTCTCAGGCCTGCAGAAGCAGCTGGAACAACTCGAGCAAAAGCGACATGACATGTTCATTGAGAACGAGGATGAGATTAAGGAGTATTATGACCTCCGTCAGAACATCACGCAATATACCGCGCAGATGAAGGCCGTCATCACCGATCCGCAGTATCTATGCAAGTTTCTACAAGCCGGTCGGTTAGTCAGGGTGAAGTACAAGGATTACGATTTCGGCTGGGGCTGCGCCGTCAACTTCATGAAAGTCCGACCAGGCAAGCACCAAAAGGAAGAAGACATTCCGCGGGGTCAGAGTGTGATGATTGACGTGTGCATCAACGTCGCCAGTGATGTCGCCTTGCCCCCGCCGGGTGCAAAGCTGCAAGACGATCTGCCCCCTGGCATCCGACCTCCGCAACCGGGCGAGAAGGGAAAGATGGAAATCGTCCCAGTCCTCAACGGCTCCATCGACTCCGTCGCACACGTGCGCGTCTTCCTGCCCGCCGAACTCCGAACCCCCGAACAACGAAACCAAGTGCGGAAGAGCATCGAAGAAGTGCGCAAGCGCTTCCCCGACGGCATCGCCATCCTCGACCCCATCGAAAACATGGGCATCCGCGACGACGGTTTCAAAAAGATTCTCCGCAAAATCGAAGTCCTCGAGCACCGCCTGCTCTCCCACGGCCTGCACGGCTCCGACGAACTGCCCGCGCTGTACGACAAGTACGCCGAGAAGGTCGAGCTGGGCAACGAGATCAAAGGCGTGCGGAAGAAGATTACGGACGCGCTGTCCGTGCTGCAGCTCGACGAGCTGAAGAATCGCAAGCGCGTGCTGCGCCGTTTGGGGTTTGTTAATGAGGCCGATGTCGTGCAGGTTAAGGCGCGAGTGGCGTGCGAAATCAGCACAGGCGATGAACTCGTGCTGTCGGAGTTGCTGTTCAATCGCTTCTTCAATGAACTCACGCCCGAGCAGTGCGCCGCGGTTCTATCGTGTTTCATCTTTGAAGATCGCACGGAGGAAACGCCTGCGCTGAAGGAGGAGCTCGCTAAGCCGTATCGCGAGGTGCTGGCAGAGGCGAGGCGGGTGGCAAAAGTCAGTGGGGAGTGTAAGGTGCTCGTCGATGAGGAGGAGTACGTGCAGGGATTCAAGTACCAGCTCATGGAGGTGGTGTACGCGTGGACGCATGGCGCGAGTTTCGCCACCATCTGGTACGTATTATTCACTTCTGCATTCGATAAGTCTGAGACTGACTTGTTCCGCTAGCAAAATGACCGACGTCTACGAGGGGTCTTTGATCCGCTTATTCCGACGACTGGAAGAACTCTTGAGGCAAATGGCACAGGCAGGAAAAGTGATGGGGAGCGAAGATTTGGAGAAGAAGTTCGAAGAGGCGTTGTTGAAAGTCAGGCGAGACATTGTCGCCGCGCAGTCGCTGTATTTGTAGACGTTCGAGCAAGCGGGCATTTCTTCGGTGCTCAAAGTCTCTGTGCTCATCTGTTCAAACTCAATAATCCCTCCACGTACTTCCGCGCATCAATCCCAATCCCGCCGGCGAGCGCAGCAGGGCCCCAACCCGCGCTTGCGCCGCCCGTACTGTCTTGCTCTCGACTCGTCATGCCCAACGACATGACTTCTAGCATTGAACTGACTGCTCGTGATCCGGTAGACGTCGACTTCTGCGTGGCAGGGGAATCAAATGCTTTGCGAACGAGGAATGCCACTCGATCAAAATCTGCCTCTGCTTCTTCCTCGCCGTCGTCTGACTGCTTGCTCGACTTCTTCTGGTCGCCTGATGGGCGGATCCGCATCCACACCACCCACCAACCGCGCGCGGTCTTGCTGCTTCGCTCCAGCTCTCCTCGTCTCCTCTGCGTGCTGGCGAGGGTGTTGAGGATTTGAGTGTGCACGTTGATGGCGTCGACTCGTGTGAATGCGGGCGTTACTTCTTGGCCACTGCTGAAGAAGCCCTCCGCAGCGAGCGTGCCGGGTTCGGGGATATTGGGGATGCTGGTGTGTACTGTCAATCGTCGCGGGTCGTAGATAAGGTCATAGATGGGTGAGGAGGTGGTGTCGCCTTCCGATGGTGTGGTGTCAGAACTTGCAATGCGCTGGGCCACCTTTGATGCGCTTGTAGAAGACAACAGCGGTCTGTAGATAGGTACCAGGTTCCGATGGAGGGAGCGGTAGAATTTATCCAGCTGTAGCGATGGCGTCCGATCCTCGAATAAGAAGCAGTACATGAATGGCCGATGGACGTAGATGAGTACTCGCATTCGACGGAAGTGCTTGAAGGTCTCCTGCGATTGGAAGTTGTCGGTGCTCTGTGCCGCGTCAACGAGGTTGCTCAGTTCCACCTGGACAGTGCGTAGGACGATTCTAGAGCCTCCCGTGTCGTCTCCGAAACTGTCGTCTGACAGCTCTGTTTGGTCATCGTCGGACAGCTCGTCCAGTTCTAGCAGGTCGCCTTTCAGACCGATGACGAAATGGCCGCAGTTCTCTTGGCGCTTTTGCGTTGCGATTTTTGCTCTCAATGCGTCGCCTTCCGGAAGCGGATCCATATGGGTGAGCATGGGAGCTTCCTCTCCTCGAGCCTTATTCGGCCTAGGACTTTTGGCGGATGTCGACTTGGCTTGGCCCGGACTTGTGGAGGACGCCGATCTGACCTGCGCGGGTCTCACAGAAGACGGCGGCTTGGCTTGTCCAGGACTTGTGGGTGGTGTTGGCTTGGACTTCGCAAATGTACTGAGTCCGAATGTGAGGTACTTCATGTAATTATCGGGGATCCCCAGTGTTGTGCCAGTGTCGGCTTCTGGCACATCCTGTTGATCAACTCGCTGGGTCGCGTCTTCCAAAGCCCGTTCCGCGGCTGTGACGATTGGTGGCGGTATGTTCGGTCGGCCATCATCAACAGCGACACTTTCGGACGTGGTATTGGAGTGCTGTGAAGCCTGTGGTCGCTGGTCGGTACTTGGTTGGATGTCGTTCTTCGGCTTTCCCTCCGACGGTTTACCGTTGACGTCTCTCACTGATTCCGATTCGCCGGGCGTATATCTTCGTCGCTTTCGGGATTCCCGCAGAGCGTTATCCTTGACCCCGTAGGCATGCTCGCCGTACGTGTAGATCAGCCGCATCCATTGTGACACAGTTCTCAGAGACGGCCTCTGCATGCCACCAATACCTCCAAAGATCACCCCGTCTGCCGCATTTGCCTCGTTGCCACTGCCCATCCAAGGCATGTCGTCATCATCCGTAGACGAAGTGGACGCATCCCGCGGAGAAGCGGGCTCGCCATATCTCGCAACAACCAGGTCAATCAGGCCTTCGGTGCGATGAGCAAGGTCTTCGAGTACCTCTCGCTCTCCACTCCCCCATTCCTCCTCGCCAACACCAAAGCCAAGCTCACCTCCACTGGCGAGCTTGACGCCGTTGAACACATCGGCTGCGGGATTGCCATGCAGCAAGACGTCCCAGCTTCGGGCGAAACGGGACCAGAAGCGATCGAGGGTGCCACAGAATTTCTCTCTGCTCAAGCGGACGAAGAGCTCGTTCAAGGATGGCCCGTGATGCAGGGAAAATAGTTGATGGCCTTGCACCAACTGCTGGATTAACAATGCCGGCGGGCTGATCTCTCTTGAGGAGTACTCCACGGCAGGAGCGGCTTGCTCTGCATCGGTCGTAGTCTTCGCAGTTTCCGATGCGGATGATGAAATGCCGGGCAGCCTTGTGAGATCAATCGACTGTGAATCCATTGTCAATCATGAACGTGACGGAGGGTAGGCGGGTGGACATACCGCCAAAATCCACCAGCCCTGCTCCAACTCATGCAACACGATTCGGCTCTTCTCCGTCTCAATCGAATCAACTGGCTCGCCAGCAGAGAAACTCCTTCATCCGGTGTTAGTAAACAGGACTTCCATTTCGAAAGCGGTGATCTCACTTTGCGAAATCAACCATGCCTTGCGCCAGGCCAATTTGCCTCAGCCGCTCGTTCTCCGCCTCGCGCGATGGATCACCGCTCGTCGCCTCATTGCGGGCATTCTTGCGTGTCGTACTACGCGCTTCCCGGGAGTAGTAGAAGACCAATTGATCCTTGAACGTTTCATCGGTGAAGCCCAGCAGAGGACTGTAGATGGCGAGAAAAGACAGTTGCCCCGGCACGACGGTGGAGGTTTGCCATTGCGGCGGGGGTTTGCGCGCTCGGCTCATCTCATTGGACTCATTTCCGCATCAATGCAATGACATTATCCGAAGTATTGACAAGCATGCGTGAATCACGAATCTTGAAACTCGAGATGAGGTAGAGATTCGCCCCAAAGGGTTAGGGTTGGTGAAAGTGGGGCTCGACTACATCAATGATGGTAAACAACGCGGACAATGCATGCAATCTGACGACCAATGCAAATCCGTCTAAATCAAATGCCGATCATATCATGCAAATAACGACCCTTGAGAAGGCCGCTGTATCTCATCGGTCTCCCCAAACGCCAGCTTATGCCCTTTACCTGGCTCCCGCGCCACCTTGGAACCATACTTTACCCGCATATTCACGCACTCGTTTGCAATCTCGAGAGCGGACGAGTTAGAATTGACGTCTTGCAATATCGGCGCTTCAAATGCCTGTGTTTTGGTCAACGACCGCTTCAATGCTCCTCGCGGACCCGCACATACCTTTGCCAACTCGAGCGGCGAAAACGAAACGGGCCGGCCAATCTTCCACCATCCCCAATACGTCGGCGCTACGAGAGCAATGCATACTAACTCCACCAACGCTGCTCCAAAGAGATACCAGTAATTTGTTCGATAAATGGTATGATACCCCGTTACCTGGCGCTTGACCGTGGTGTCGACCTTGACGCCAGGATCGAGCGTGGTGAGATTCGGCTGTGCGACATTGTTCAACGCAAGCCAGCCCAGGTAGATCATCGCTCGATTCATATCGGACAGCAAATCGGGCAAGGGGTCTTCGAACGAGGCGCAGGCCGATCCGTCCTGTGTATTGTACAGAAGCGACGTCTGCGGGCCGTAGATCCACGGGATGATCCCTTGCCCGTTCCCATCCATGTATACGACGTAGGACGTCCATTCTGCCACCAGCATCATCACTATCGCCGCCAGCGTCGACGAGTGGCTGCCGTCGATCGCGGTGTGGTTGACCGGTGCGTTCTCGGCCACGGTGACAATGCTGGGCTCGGCCGTGTCGGAGAGGAAGACGAGATCGTTCTCAATCTGAACGTCGTACTCGCCCACGGCCGACCGGAGAGTACACACAGTTTGATTTAGAGACCCTACGCAGCCCTTGGTATGCGAGACTGCAGTAATGATGTCGATCGTTTCCTGTTCGTCATCCACCACCAGGTCCAGGTTCACCTTGAAGGCTTGATTGGTAAGGGGGAACGGCGTGTCCGCGGTGACATTGAAGTTGGTGATGACGACATTATAATCCACCGGGATGACTTGCGACTTGCAGTCCACGACGGCCAAAGCGGGAGCAAGCAGTTTTGCTTTGCAGCTTCCGGGGCAGCCTTGAGCGATACCCGGGAGAGATTGGTTGTGATACCACAATTTCGTGAGTTGGCCAAGCAGCCCGGCTGGACACGTGGTTTCAATCATGTTCGACACTGGACCATTCGTTGATGGCGACGTCTTGTGGGCAAATACGCTGTTGTACGGCTGGGTGGCGCCCAAGACGGATTGAGGGGCCCAGAATCCTCCATAGCCTGGGGTCGGTCAGTGAGGTGTGGAAGCAGATGCCTTGCAATATAACTCACCAGTTGGAATCTCAGGCACCATGCTCATCTTCAACTCCGCCGTGCGATCCACGATCGGCGCTGACATAACACTGGACGCTCGCTGGAGAAGCGGGCCATCAATGACCACAACGGTGGCGAAGATCTGTCGTGCGATGTCAGCTAAAGCTTGCGCGAGAGCGATGTAGCACCCACACAAGCGAGCCCCAACCATCCCATATTTCGTCCTGCCGTGAGTGCGCCTCGAATACTGGTCCCAGCACGCCAGTCCCAGTGCAGTTTGACAAGACTCTCTCCCCGTAACGAGCGTCTCCACCACATCACTATCACTCCCTGAAAGGCGGCGTATCTCATGGAGAGATTGGCTATGGCTGTACAAACGGCGATATAGGCTGAAGGCGGAGCCGCCCAATTTCCGACGAGTTGCTTGTCCGAGCCGGCAAGGATACCGAGAGAGGCTGTGGTGCTCAAGGCCGCGACGAAAAGACACAAGATGCCAGACAACGGCCCAATCCGTAGCTGTGGTCCACACGTCAGTGCAAGACAAGGCAAGATTCAGACGAGTTAAACCTACGAATGTCTCTTTCCATGGTCGTGGCGTCTGCGCCTGGCCGGGTCTGTAATCCGCCTCGCGGGTTGTGAATAGCAAGCCAACGCGCTTCAAGAGTCCAACAACTCGAGATATCCAGCTCGTCTCTTGATGGCCATGCGCCAGCTCTCTTTCGGCCGGAGAACTGTCATCCACAACGATTGTAGCGGTGCTCTCTTTACCTCGCATCGACTCATTCAACTTTATGGAAAGGTCGTCGTCCTCGCTCGATGAAGTCCGCGTGACCGGCGAATCGCATGGATCGGAACGCTCCGGATCGTGCGTTGGAGTGTGCCGCGACATCATTGCTGGGTGGCAACATGTAGGGACATGCGGAGCGAAAGACGAGGGGAAAGCATGGCTTTTGTTCAATCTGTAGGCACGGTCGTTGAGCATGTGTCTCGCACGCGGGCATGACTACGCAGCCCTGCCAGCGTCGCCCTACGCCCAACCATTCTCTCGACGCCGAGCCTAGGCCAGGATCTGCTGAGCAATCTCATGGCTGACTACGGATTAGGTGATGTGAGGCTATCCGCCCTCAATGTGGCTGGGTTGAATCTGCACATCAAACGCCACGAGAGGGCACGCGGTAGCCATGCATTGAAACTCATCGCAATCGATCGATCAAAGCGGCTGCTTTTGCTGAGCGGCAATGCTGAATGTCGTCCGGTGGAGGAGGAGTCGGGTTGCTCGTGTCTGCCGTGTCGAGGCTGCTCGGGAGAATGCGGTATCCGGAGCCTAATGAAAATGCTTGGCTTGGGCTCGACCGGATTCGCTCTATACCGTTGTGGATGTACCAAGCAGTCGGGCGCATGGTGTCGTCAATGTTGCGGGTAGAGTTACGATAGAGCTCTCCTTGGCTATTACTCGGTGGCGGCAAGCATGTAATTGTTGCAGTCGACTGCATTGACGGCAACGGGAACCCGAGGCGAAGCGCTTACTCAATTATGTGAGACGCATCGGCTGGTTTTGTGTCGGCTCGAGCTTCCTCATAGTCCAAGCAGTCGCAAAGAAGGCGAGGTTGAGGGCCGGAAGGCGGAATGGTTTGCGATGCGATACCCTGCGCTACAAGGATACTCGTGCAGGCAATGACCGGGCGCGGAGTGTAAAAGCCCTATGTTGTCCGTTTGAAACATTGTTGCAATGACGCAAGCAAAGCTGCGAGTCATTGTACAATAATGCACCGGAACCTGCACACCAAGAGGCTTAATATTCTTGCCTATGCTCACTCGATCCGCGGCTCTCAAGTACCATGGCTAACAATCGAATCAGCAAAGTTGCAATTGTCGGAGTGAGTCACTGAGACTCACACCTTATGCACGGTTGCAATGTAGCTGACATTGGCATTTTATGCTGGCGGAAATGTCGGTAGTTTCATTACCCGTGCTCTGCTGCAGACTGGGAAGCACAATGTAACTGCTCTTACACGAGCGGAAAGCAACGCATCGTTCCCTGATGGCGTTGCGACAAAACAAGTCGACTATGATCAACCCGAAACTCTGGTGGAAGCGTTGCGTGGTCAAGATGCTTTGGTCATTACAATCAGTGGCATGGCGCCCATGAAGCAGATTGAGGAGAAGCTCATAAGAGCCGCGGGCGAAGCAGGGGTGTCGTGGATGTAGGCTGTAAGGACGCGGCGACTCGCGTGGTTGGACACTGACATATGCCCAGCCTGCCGAACGAATGGAGCCCGGACTCGACCCACGATGGTATCGTTGAGGACATTTTCCTCTTTCAATGGAAAGGTAATCAACTCACTTGGCAAGCTCCAGGTCCGTGGTGCTGACAGCCACTTGCCTAGTCGCGGCTCGCCGCCTGATTGAGGAAATTGGCAGGAGCTCGTACGTTGCAGTGGTAACTGGGTTCTGGTATGGATCCATTGTGAATGTCGCCAGCTCCTAGCGTGCTGACCATTGCGTAGGTACGAATACAGCCTTGCGGTCCCAAACAACTACGGCTTCGATTTTGCCAATCGAATGGCGACATTCTACGATGAAGGCGATATCGAGATCTCGACCTCGACATGGCCACAGGTAGGGACTGAATTCCATACATTACTCGTTCGGTTGACTGACGTTCGGAAGGTTGGCCGTGCGGTCGCAGCCTTGCTCAGCTTGCCCCTGCAAGCTGAAGCTGGTCATGGAGGACAGTGTCTGTCACAGTTCAAGAATCAAGTGGTATTCGTCAATTCGTTTGTTGTCAGCCAGAAGGACATGCTCGCCTCCGCCCTTCGCGTGACACAAAGCAAGGAGTCCGACTGGACCATTAGCAAGAAGGCCTCCCGGGAGCAATTCACCATTGGGATGGCGGATATGAAGGAAGGGCGAAAGCCATCGGCAAACTTCCTCTACGCTCGTATCTTCTTCCCGGGGCCTGATGGAGGAGGCGACTTTGAGCACAAAGGCACCGTCAACGGCTTACTGGACTTGCCACGTGAGGATCTTGACGATGCGACCAAGACTGCCATGGAGCGACAGATGGCTGGTGGCGCACGCTGATGGCGCCACGTTGTCTTGGCGTGGTTGCGATGTTCGGTTAGGTGTATGGGTACATGATGTAGTTGCTGTTCGTCTGTCAAGGCTACCGGAGAGATATTTCCCGCCGAGAAGGGTGCCAGCATCTCTCGGAGAGAATACTGTCAGCAGCGCTCTTGGAAGATCCACTGGATGAGGGCTGCGGAAGCAGAAACGGCCGCGGAAGGAATTGTTTTTGCGTCATGTTTCCAGCGCGCGAAGAGTTGCCGTGAAAGTTTTGCACAACCGAACATAATTTACATAAACCCACCCGGAACGCCACGTTCGGAACGGCATTTCACGCATCCGCGCTCGTCTCAACGTCACGACTCTTGGCCGTTTCTTGAGTAAATAACATTCGCGTGCGCGCGCCCTTTCACTAAGGATACGCCACCAAAATCGGCCTTCCGTCACTGCCTTTCATAAAAAACTGTAAAGACATCTTATAATAAAGGGCCAGCCGCGCCCCCTGCGCCCTATTTCCTCACCACTCACCCCCCCTCTCGCCTCTCTGCCCGACAAGCCATGTCTCTCTTCGGCTACTTGTCTCTCGGCAGCAACGACAGAACAGCAGAGGCAACGGGCCCCAGCTCCCCCGGCGCCCGCCCACAGCAGCCCGACTGGGAACAGTCAAATGTCACTGCGCAAGAACGCCGCCAAAGTCAAAGCGGGCGGCGCGCGTCGTTATTATCAAAGGACAGCTCCGGGCGCCCTTCGCCGTCGGAGAAGGATGCCGTCGCGGAGAAGCTAGAAGCCTACGAAACTCCTTCAGACTCGGACAAGGACAGAGACGCGTATACCGATGCTCAGATCACCCAACTCGCCCGATCCTACACCCAACAATCCACCTGGAGCAACATCCCGGACTCTCCCTTCAATCCGGAAGCGGGGAGCGCGCTCGATCCCAACACCAACAACTTCAAGCCTCGACAATGGGTCAAGTCCATCATTAAATTACGGGATGCCGAGAACGTGAACCCCGGCCGCACAGCCGGTGTGGCATTCAAGAATCTGAACGTCCACGGCTTTGGCGCTGCCACCGACTACCAAAAGGATGTCGGCAATGTCTGGCTGGAAGCCATTGGAATGGTAAGGGGACTGCTCGGACTCGCGAAGCCACGCAGAATCGACATCCTGCGCGATTTCGAGGGTGTCGTGAATCATGGCGAGATGCTCGTCGTCCTCGGCCCTCCCGGCTCCGGTTGCTCCACCTTCCTCAAGGCCATATCCGGCGAGTCGCACGGATTCTTCATCGATGAAAGCTCTTACCTCAACTACAAAGGCATCCCGCCCGAGAAGATGCACAAGTACTTCCGTGGTGAAGCCATCTACACAGCAGAGGTGGACGTCCACTTTCCCCAGCTCAGCGTTGGCGATACCCTTCATTTTGCTGCCCGTGCAAGAGCACCAAAGAAGATCCCCGGCGGCCTGAGCGTCGACGAATGGGCAAACACCCTGCGGGATGTGGTGATGGCTACGTTCGGCATCAGTCACACCAAGAACACCCGCGTGGGCAATGATTTCGTGCGTGGAGTCTCGGGTGGTGAACGAAAGCGGGTCACCATCGCAGAGGCCACTCTCGCTGGCGCTCCGTTGCAATGCTGGGACAACTCCACCAGAGGTCTGGACAGCGCTAACGCCATTGAGTTTTGCAAGACCGTCCGACTGAGCACGGAGCTCGCCGGCACCACCGCCTGCGTTGCCATCTACCAAAGCCCGCAAGCCGCGTTTGACGTCTTCGACAAGGCCATTCTCCTTTACGAGGGCCGGCAAATCTTCTTTGGCCCCGCGGTTAAAGCTCGTGGCTATTTCGAAGCCTTGGGATTCGATTGCCCCGAGCGTGCCACCACGGCCGATTTCCTGACGTCCATGACGTCTCCGCAAGAACGACAGGTACGGCCAGGGTTCGAGGGTAAAGTCCCTCGCACCCCCGACGATTTCGCCGCCCGATGGAAGGCGAGTCCGGAGCGAGCGGCCCTCATGAAGGAGATTGACGCGTACGACAAGGAGTATTCTTTCGAGGGCGAGCACTACAACCAATTCGTCGAAAGTCGAGTTGCCCAACAAGCCAAGCGCCAGCGCATGAAGTCCCCCTTCACCCTCTCCTACGGCCAACAAGTTCGCCTCTGTCTTCGCAGAGGTTTCTGGCGCCTCCGTGGTGACCCGTCTCTGCTCTACACTCAGCTCTTCGGCAACGCAGCCATCGCGCTCATCTTGGGATCGGTCTTCTACAACATGGCTCCCACTGTTGACACCTTCTTCCAACGAGGCGCCGTGCTGTTCTTCGCTGTCCTCCTCAACGCATTCGGCTCCGCCCTCGAAATCTTGACCCTCTACGCCCAACGCCCAATCATCGAGAAGCACAATCAATACGCCTTCTACCACCCTTCTGCCGAAGCTTTCGCCTCCATGTTGACGGATGTTCCCTACAAGCTGGCCAATTCGGTCATCTTCAACATCATCCTCTACTTCTTGGCAGGCCTTCGGAGGACTCCCGGCGCCTTCTTCTTTTTCTGGTTCATCTCCCTCATCTTGACCTTCACCATGAGCATGCTTTTCCGTACGATTGCCTCCGTCTCTCGTACCCTCTCGCAAGCTCTGGCGCCCGCGGCTATCATCATCCTCGCCATCATCATCTTCACCGGCTTTGCGATTCCCGTGCAATACATGCTGGGATGGTGTCGCTGGATCAACTACATCGACCCTGTCGCCTACGGATTCGAAAGTTTGATGGTCAACGAGTTCCACGATCGAAACTTCTCCTGCACTGCCAGCTACTACGTTCCTCCTTACGGCAATCTCGCACTGGGCCAGAAAGTCTGCAACGTCGTTGGAGCCCGAGCGGGAGAGGACTACGTCTCTGGTGATGCCTATATCAATTCTTCTTACTCCTACTACTTCAAGGACAAGTACCGCAACATTGGCATCATCTTTGCCTTTATGGTCTTCTTGGGATGCGTCTACCTTGGCGCAACGGAGCTGATCAGCGCGAAGAAGTCGAAAGGCGAGGTGTTGGTGTTCCGCCGCGGTCACACTCCCGCCTCCCTCAAGGAACAGAAGGCTGATGAGGAGGCTGCGGATGAGCATGCTGGAGGGGCCGCGCTCGCCAAGCAGGAAAGCTACACGGAAGCCACGGACATCATTCAGAAGCAGACGGCCATCTTCAGCTGGAGAGACGTCTGCTACGACATCAAGATCAAGAAAGAGGAGCGACGCATCCTGGATCATGTCGACGGCTGGGTCAAGCCTGGAACTCTGACTGCCCTCATGGGAGTGTCAGGAGCTGGCAAGACCACTCTCCTCGACGTATTGGCCACGCGTGTTACCATGGGTGTTATCTCGGGTGACATCTGGGTCGACGGCCGCCAACGTGACTCTTCTTTCCAACGCAAGACGGGCTACGTGCAGCAGCAGGATCTCCATCTTCAAACCAGCACCGTCCGCGAAGCTCTTCGCTTCAGCGCTGTGCTCCGTCAACCCGCACACATCCCCCAGAAGGAGAAGGTGGCGTATGTGGATGAAGTCATCAAGCTTCTCGACATGCAAGAGTACGCCGACGCCGTTGTCGGTGTGCCGGGTGAAGGTCTCAACGTGGAACAAAGGAAGCGCTTGACCATTGGCGTCGAATTGGCCGCCAAGCCGGAGCTGCTTCTCTTCCTCGACGAGCCGACTTCCGGTCTCGACTCCCAGACCTCCTACGCCATTCTCGATCTCCTGGAGAAGCTCAAGAACTCCGGCCAGGCCATCTTGTGTACCATCCATCAACCCTCTGCAATCCTCTTCCAACGCTTTGACCGTCTGCTCTTCCTGGCTGCCGGCGGGAAGACTGTGTACTTTGGCAAGATCGGAGAGAACAGCCAAACGTTGATCGACTACTTCCAAGCCAACGGCGCCCACAAATGTCCCCCTGACGGCAACCCGGCAGAATGGATGTTGGAGGTCATTGGTGCCGCTCCCGGTAGCCATACCGACATCGACTGGCGTGAAACCTGGCGGAACAGCAAGGAGTACAAAGAAGTTCACGAAGAGCTGGACCATTTAGAGAACGTTCGTCCACAGGAAACCGCTCCGGTCGACAAGAAGCAGAATGCAGAGGCCTACCGCGAGTTTGCCGCTCGATTCCCCACGCAACTTTGGGAGGTGCAGAAGCGGGTGTTTTCCCAGTACTGGTTCGTCTTCTCCCCTCCAACATTCCTCCTCATTCACAGACTAACATTGCTCCCAGGCGCACACCCAGCTACATCTACTCCAAGTTCGCCCTTTGTCTCTTGTCCTCCCTCTTCATCGGATTCATCTTCTTCAAGGCCCCCCTCTCCCACCAGGGCTTGCAGAACCAGCTCTTCTCCATCTTCACGCTCTTCACGATCTTCGGCCAGCTGGTGCAGCAAATCATGCCTCACTTCGTCACCCAGCGCGCACTGTACGAAGTGCGAGAGCGCCCGAGCAAGACGTACAGCTGGAAGGCATTCATGTTTGCAAACATCTTTGTCGAACTGCCGTGGAACAGCTTGATGGCGGTCATCATCTTCTTCTGCTTCTACTACCCCATCGGCCTGTACAACAACGCCATCCCGACGAACGCGGTCACGCTGCGCGGCGCGCAGTTCTTCCTCTTCACCTGGCAGTTCCTGCTCTTCGCCTCCTCCTTCACCAACATGATCATCGCCGGCATCCCGGATGCGGAGACGGGAGGCAACATTGCCAATCTGCTCTTCTCCCTCTCCCTCATCTTCTGCGGCGTCTTGCAAACCCCGCAAGGCCTCCCGGGCTTCTGGATCTTCATGTACCGCGTGTCGCCCTTCACCTACCTCGTCGAAGGCATGCTCACCACCGGCATCGCGAATCAAAAGACCTACTGCGCGCCCAACGAGTTCGTCACCTTCCAGCCTCCTTCCGGAGAGACGTGCTACAACTACGTGGCGGCCTACATGGCCGAGACGAGCGGGTATCTGCAGAACAACAACGCAACGCGCGACTGTCAGTACTGCAGCTACAGCGAGACGAACCTCTTCTTGAGCGGCGTGTCGCTGCACTACAAGAACGCGTGGCGCGATTTTGGCATCCTTTGGGCGTACATTATTTTCAACATCTTTGCTGCGGTCGGGATTTATTGGTTGGCGAGAGTGCCTAAGGGTGCTGGGAAAAAGAAGCAGGAGAAGAGTGGGCAGAAGCAGGAGGTGCAGGCTCAGAAGGAGTAATTACAGTGTATAGGAAGATTAATAGATGAATAGATTCGGTAGATTTTGGGTTTTGATTGGAAGTTGTAATGCGAATGAATGTTCTGGATGTCCTCTGCCTTGCCATCCTGCGGATATGAGTGGAGTGGAGCGAGGCAGCATATGAGACTGCGGAAACATCCGTTAGCGCGTGACGCGGTTCGCCAATGAAATCACCCGCCTCGAGCTCTCACATCAATATCTCATCCTCACTCCACCACCTCCCCGCAATCCTCGCCGTCACCACCTTCATCACCTCCGTCCGCGAGGCCTCGTGCCTTACTAACATCCATTGTTAGTCATCTCACACATCACATCACCATGTCGGACCCCCCGAAAAAGCCGCTCTCCCTCTACGGCCATCTCCTCCACCCAGAGCAAGCCAACCCGGGCACCACCATCTCCAGCGCCCCAGTGCTCTACAACACCACCCACGCCAACAGCGCCAGCGAGACGCAAAAGAAGAAAGACGGTACCGTTTCGCCACCCCTCCCTCGTTTAGTTAGAGGAAGGCGCGCCCAGCTCACATGACGTCCAAGCCTCGCTCAAGTTCCAGCCTATCAAGCGCCCGCAAGCCCAGCAGAAGAACAAGCCCAAGGGCCCGTCGTTTGCGTCGCACAAATCTTCTTCTTCCTCCGGCGCGGTAAATGCCGCTAGCTCGCCGCCTCAGTCTCTGCCTGGTAGCACGCCGCTGCAACCGCCTAGCGTGCAGAGGTCGAATTTTGAGGATTGGGTGGGCGATGAAGATGAGGGGGATTATTACCAGCATCTTGCGAGGCAGAATAAGAAGAATCAGAGCAAGAGGAATAAGAAGGGGAAGAAGGGGAATTCCAAGGAGCAGGAGCTGGACATGCCTGCGTGGGACGACGTCTACGATCCGACGAAGCCCAATGTGTATGCCCAGTACAAGGGGTCTGAGGAGCAGATGCGAGCGGCGCGCGATTGGAAGCTCCGCTTGTACCATGGTCAGTCGAAAGTGAGCACGAAGCACGGCGGTAGGAATGGTAAGGAAGACAGCGATGATGACGAGGATGTGGCGTGGACGCGGAGAAGTATGGCCATCTCCCTTGAAGCTCATCGCATGACTGATTCATCGATAGATATGTTCGCTCCACCAGCCAATCCGCAATTCGCGCCGCCCACCTTCGACGATGACGCTCCACGATCACGCGCAGGCGATGGTGGTCACGACTATAATGACTACGCCGCCGATCGACGTGATTCTGACATGGCTGACCTTCCTGTCCCCGCTTCAGCTTCCGTACCCAACGATCTCGCTGAAGACGACCCCTACTTGCGTCGCATGCAGATGAGTGGAGATCATGCTGATCAAGCCGCAATGCCTGTCACTACTCCACCTGCTCAACCCACGGTCGATGACGCGGCAAAGAAAGCGGACGCCCAAATTGCCGCCTTCAAAGCCAGACTCGCCAAACAACAGGCCGACAAAGCTTCTCAGTCACCGAGTGTTGCGCCAGCAAGTATTCCGTCCGCTGGCGATGTCAGTGCGGTCAACACGGAAGTACCCTCACCACCTCAACAGCCTGGTGCAATCATCTCCCGCCCTGCCGTACGCTACGAGGTGCCTGCCCCCCCGCCATCTGCACCGGCCGAAATTAAAGACACGACCGCTGAATTCGATTTGCCTTCTACCGAGCAATCTCAACCTACCCAATCTAAGAGAAAGGGTTATGCCGAACGCATCCTCCAGAAAATGGGATGGGAGAAGGGGCAAGGGCTGGGAGCGTCGGGCGAGGGCATCACGACAGCACTCAAGGTCAAAGCAGAGAAGCGCAAGAAGCTCTCTGACGCAGAAGGCGGTGGATGGGCGGTGCCGGCCAACATGGGCAAGATTGTGGGTGGGAAGAAGCGCAAGATCGAAAGCGACTCTCCTTCGCAGGAAGCCGAGGTCGCCACGTCTACGGTGATCAAGCTGGAAGGCATGCTCAACGGCCTCGACGTCAAGCAGGAGATTGAAGAGGGGAACTTGATGCAAGAAATCGGCGAGGAGATGGGCAAGTCGTATGGGAATGTGGAGAGGGTGTTCATCTGGCGCGAGGAGATGGGCGGCGCCGACGACGTGTTTGTCAAGTTCACCTCGGAGTTGTCTGCTTTGCGCGCCAAAAATGGGATGGATGGGTCGGAGTTTGCGGATAATGTTGTTACTGCTAAGCTCTGGGATGGGGAGAAGTTTGAGAAGGGCGAGTACGCTTGATGAGATGCGTTTTCGTCCATGTGCATGACGGACTCGGGATTTGGAGGTGGAGGCGCAGCGTGCTTTACTATGATACCCCGCGACGGCTCACTCGTAGCTAGTCGGCATTGCAAACTACTGTTCAAAATGGCCGGTGCTGGATGATCAGACAGGCCATGATGAAAGCAAAAGTCGTGACGCCATTGGCCCGAACTCTGTCTACCTTCCACATCCAGCCTTCACATGTCCACCTCACTTCCTCCCGTAGCATGCCCACCCTATGTCTATCCACGCCGCGACTGCTCTAGCAATCACCAATCCGCTGGTAAAATACCGTGCACTCGTCGCCACCAAAGCCATCGCCCCGGACAACGGACAGTTACGACTGGCCTTGCATCTCCAGAAACTCTACGATCGCTTGAAAGACTACGAACCGGAAGTAGAGTACAGCCGGCGCCTCGATCAAATCTCCCGCGCTGTGCGCTCAGAGGATGCAGCGAGCAATAATGGCGCTCAGCAGCAATCCCCACCGCCATCCCCGCGGAGTACCTGGCGAGGTTTCCTCTCCGCCAAACAAAAGCGCGATACCCTCGCTCTAACCCGTCGCCTGACGTCCCACGAATCCGCGCTGCAATTGAACACGCCCAAAGGACTGATGCTGCACGGCGAAGTCGGCACGGGCAAATCCATGCTCATCGATCTGTTCGCCGAATGCCTCCCGAACCGCAAGAAGCGGCGCTGGCATTTCAACACATTCATGCTGGAGACGTTTTCGAAGCTGGAGGCTTTCCGTCGAGATGGCGCGATTCGCTCCGTCGATGGAGTGGAGGATTACTCTTTAATGTGGCTGGCCAAGGACATGATTCAGACCTCGCCGATTCTCTTTCTGGATGAATTCCAAATGCCGGACCGAGTGGCGTCGAAAATCCTCACGAATCTCATGACTTCCTTCTTCCACCTTGGAGGCGTGCTGGTCGCCACTTCAAACCGCATGCCAGAAGAGTTGGACAAGGCTTCTGGCATCGAGTTCCAGCCGCCTCCGTCGCGCTTGGAGTCTTTGGGTTGGCAGTTTGGGTTTCGGCGGAAGCCGAGTGGGCATGCGGGGCGGAATGAGTTTGCTGCTTTTCTGGAGGTGTTGAAGGCGAGGTGTGAGGTTTGGGAGATGGAGGGCGGGAGGGATTATAGGCGGGTGGAGAGTGGGTCGTTGCCTGTGATGGAAGTTGGGGATGATGTGGGGGATGAGTGGAGTTTGGATGGGCAGGATGATCTTGTTGCTCTTCGGGAGGTGGCTACAGGTGGCACTCCGAAGATGCCGCAGTTTTATCACGTTGTCTATGAAAGTGATGAGGATCATCGCGAGGTATACGAGACGGCGCTGCGACTGGCGACTGGCGAAGACCAAGTCGACACCATCGTCTTCTCCCCCGATACAATGCGAATATACGGCAGAACGATCGTCGTCCCTCGAACATACCGCGGCGTCGCCGACTGGACATTCGACGAACTATGCAAAACCACTCTCGGACCCGCAGACTACACAACCCTCGCCTCAACGTACCACACCATCATCCTGCGCCAAGTCCCAATCCTAACCTCACTAATGAAAAACGAAGCCCGCCGCTTCATCACCCTCCTCGACGCCCTCTACGAATGCCGCTGCAAACTCCTCCTCACCGCCTCCGCAGGCCCAGACGACCTCTTCTTCCCCGACCGCAAAGACGCCTCCCCCGACGAAGGAGACGCAATCCAATCCGAGACATTCTCAGAAGCATACCAAGACGCCACCGCGCCCTTCCGCCCCAACATCCTCACCGACAACCCCAACTACGCAGAACCAGACCCAGAACCAAATTACACCCACGCTCGCTTCGCCGGCCTCCTAAAAGCCGACGCCCTCGAAGACGATCCGCCTAACAAACCGCACAATCCCCAACGTCCCTTCGGCCGCTCTTTCGGCCGGACGGATGCTGAAATCGAACGCAGCCCCATTGATCCCGACGAGGAGAGATGCACCGCGCGCCGCGGTCCCGATTTCGGCAAAGCGGGCGCTTTCGTGGGCGAGGATGAGCGCTTTGCGTATAAGCGGGCGCAAAGCCGATTGTGGGAAATGTGTGGTGCGAAGTGGTGGGCGCGCAGCGAGGAGGGGTGGCATCGGCCTTTACCGGCTGATGTTAGAAGGTGGGAGCGGCCTTTTGGTGAGGTGAGGTCGGCGGAAAAGATGTTCGAGTCTGGACCTGCTGTTCCTGCTGGAGATGTGCAGATTGGTGATGCTATTGTGGATGAGACGAGGGATGAGCGGTCTTTTCGGCATGTGAGTGCCAGTCCTTTTCGCTCGACGACGGAGCCGCCGCCTAAGATTTCTTGGACGCATGCTTGGGGGATGATGAAGTGGGGGCGCAAGGCTGGCGCTTGGGGGCAGGGAGTTGATGGTCTGAAGGACCGGGGGAAATGAGAGGTCAATGGCACACGTGACCACCCTCAATGTTGCGTGGTCCCGGAGGTCGCACTTGCTCTCTGCAAGTCGCGCTTACCTCACTTCCACTCACCACCTCCTTGCCACAGCTTCTGCACACCACCGCACCTTCTGCAAACCACCACAGCTTTTGCAAACCACCGCAGCGTCTGCAAACTACCACAACTTCTGCAAGTCAACCAAAAATCATCGACCTCGTTGGCTGCAAAATGGACGTCATATTAGGCGATAACCGTTACTGGACATGGGAACCAGACCACCATCCTGATCACGCAGAGCTCCACAAACGTGCGAACGAACTCGGCTGCACCCGAGATATCGGCGACTGGACAAAAGAGAAACTGACCTCCTGGCTACGACGTCGCAAACGAGAGCTCCCCATCTACGAGCAATGTTCGGATGCTGAACTAGCCACATTCATCAGACAGCGAAATCTTGCCATATCTCCTCCAGCAAAGGAAACCGCCCTCGAGACACAGACTTGGTCGCTCCGGACTGGCGCCATCGAAGTACTTGAGGCCGCTGATGATGCAATGGCCTTCCACCGCTTTCTCGATCTGCCTCCAGAGCTCCGCAAACTCGTCTACGAATGGCACGTCAAAGGCTTTCCGGAAGCGATAATCCTGCCTGCAAAGCCTCCAATAGCACAAACCTGCCACCTCATTCGTGAGGAGGTACTACCGGTCTTCTATTCGCAGCTTTCTATTGAGATCTTTTTCGAACTCCAGACGAACGACAAGGGCAACCGTATACGTCAACGGAACGAGACAAACTTGTTTCTCCTCTACATGCGACCAAAGGATTATCAATACCTCAACATGATCGACATAGCGGTCATGGACGAGGATTCGGGATCGATTGAGGTGGACTGCTCGGTAGCCTTGATGAAAACTACCAGCTCTTATCGTGTCGCAGTCGGAAATGTTGATCGAGATGCGGCTGGCGTCCTGGGAACCACTGACGATTGTCCACATAAAGACATCCTGGAGCGGCGGCTTAAAGAGGTATTGGACGGAATGGTTGCACGGGGCGGGACGCTGCAGTTCACTGCCTATGACATCTACTCGATGCGGTACGCGATCGAACGTGGCTGGCGTGAATTCGATGACTGGCGCAAATAGGGGTGTCTTTGCAACATCTCTCGATGTGCCTTCAACGACTAGAACGAGCAGGGATCGAATCGACGGCCGTGGAGCGATCGGTAGAAGGCAGAAAGGAACGGGAGGAGTGAGGATTGCACGTGGGTGTCGACGACTGAGGTCGATCACTGAGCAAACGGAGGCGGTAATGAATAAGTTAAGTGAAAAGGTCATCACTGGTGACACAACATGGTCTGCGCACCACATGATTTTTCACATGCTGCTTGCTCCAATCACTTTCACTCGTGGCCACTTTTTGACAGCGGCGCAAATCGTCAACGCTGCCACACATCTTCTTCCGGCGACGCGAATCGGCAACACCAAAGCGCACATCTTCCTCCGGCAGTAAGAGTCGTCAAAACCAATCGAACGTCATCTTTCGGCGGTGTGAGTCGTCAAAGCCAGCTACACATCATCCTCCGGCTGTTGCAGCAGAATGGAGGCACCCACGCGCACCAACAGGTACCTGGAATGGCAGGAAAACCACGATCTTACCAAAATCCGACTCCATGAGCAGGCGAAAGCATTCGGCTCTACCAAAGCCATCGAGGACTGGAAGACCATCGAAGGACTGCGGTACTGGGTGCAACGTCGCGAACTCAAACTCCTCGACTACGAGGCTTGCTCGGACGCGGAACTCTCTGCCTTCATCGTCCAGCGGAAGCTCGCCATCTGCCCCGATGCAATGCAGGAGCCCTACTCTGAAGGAAAGCCGTGGGCGCTTCGGGCTTGCGCGATCGAAGCTTTAGGCGCAGCCGACAGGGCCCCGATGTTCCATCACTTCCTTGATCTAGTTCCTGAGCTCCGCCAGAGAATCTACGAGATCGACATGCAGGACTTCAAGGCTTCCTCACTCCCTGCCAAGCCGCCGATTGCATCGACCTGCCGCCTCATCCGACAAGAAGCCCTCCCATTACTCTACGTCAACCACACCGTTATTCTGTCTTATGACATGAAGCAGCTGAGCAAAGTCAGCTGGATACTCGCGACCGATGGCGTCGTCATCGCGCCTGGTCAGACAAAGCCGCCCGGAATGACGTTCACCGAGATCAAGAATGAGCTCGAGCAGGAGACGACTTGGGGATCGATATTCGCTCGCGCTTCAATCGAAAACTACCGCACCACGCAACTTCTGTTCCACATGCCTCCCGAACACTTCCAGTACCTCCGGCAAATTCACTTGGTCTTCAATCGTGAACGATTTTCAGCCTGGCACAAAGCAGCGGCAATCAGCGTGACGTTGGGCAAATCTGCGCAAACATACCGCGTCAAGGTCGAGCGGCTAGACACCGATTTACGCATCAACCGTAAGCTGGTCGTTCAGCCTGAGAACATGGTGGAGCGTCGAGTGATTGAGGTATTGGACCAGGTCGCGACCAGAGGGGGCATGATGAAGCTTACCGCCGAAGATTTTTGCGCGTTAAAGCACGCCATCACGCGCGGTTGGTGTGACTATTCTGAGTGGCACAAAGAGACAACCGGGGAGTTTGCATACTGATGGCTGCCAATATCCCTTCCACGCGAAGGACGGGCATGAATCGACCCGAACATCGAGCAGCGAGCGAGAGTTCCGAAGGGGTACGGGGGAAGCATGGAGGATTGGGAGAAGTGAGGTTTCTAAGATGAGTATCGACGACTGAGATAGATCACTGGGCAATCGAAATACTTGACTAACAAACGAACTCACGAACAAACAAACGCGGTCTTTGGCGAGCAAACAAAACTTGTTAGCGCGCAAACGAGGCAAAGGAGTGTGACACAAGGTGTGGCGTGTGGTCGGATTACGGCCAGGGATGTTGCCTTCACCCCCCTATACCTTCACCTTCCTACCTTCACCGATTCTACCTTCACCGATTCTACCTTCACCTCGTTGTTCTTGCCAATTTTTCTACATCCCTCACCAACTCCCTCTTCTTCCCTACACTTCGTCATTCCAGCCGACTCTTCATCACTTGAGCCTGGCGAATCTCACAACATGGCCCGCCAATCGAACTCCTACTGGGAGCTGGAAGAGTACAGCCTTCTCGGGCCCAACACAACCCTCTACATGCGGGCGAGAGCACTCGGCTGCGGACCAGAAGCCAAGGACTGGACGGTGGAAGACTTGAGTGCGTGGCTGCGCCGCCGCGACCTACAGCTCGCCGATTACGACAACTGCCTCAACGACGAGCTGGCCACCTTCATCCGCGACCGTCTAATCCCCATCTTCCCAGCAACGCCGCAAGAACCTATCAGGGAGAAGAAGAAACCGTGCGTCTTTCGCCGTCGTGCAATCGAAGCACTAGAAGACGCCGACCATGCCTTGTCGTTCCATCGCTTCCTCGACCTGCCTCCCGAGCTCCGCAACAGGGTCTACGAGCTTCACTTCGAAGACTTCCCGCGCGCCCTGAAACTTCCAGCGAAGCCACCGATTGCGTGCACATCACACTTCGTCCAACAAGAGGCCTTGCCAGTATTGTACGCAAACCACGAGATCATCCTTCCCTTCAAGATGGTGGCAAACCGGACGCACGGCGACAGATGGAAGTACGAAGGCAGTAGCGTTCCCTCGCAGCACAAGCACCGTAACACAAAGTCCGTGATCGAAACCGCGCACACCGCGCTGTTCCTACAGCAAATGCGACCCGAGCACTTCCAATATCTTCGCAGGATTACCATACGCATTCCCAACGAAGAATCGTCGACCCTGAGCGACGAAGAAGAAGAAGACTTCCAAGAACTGATCATCAGGATTACGCTGGGCAAAGCCGCGGGGTCGTACTGTGTTACAGTCGTAGACCACGATCCAGCCTTCGACGACGACGCAGAATGGACCGGCTCATACGAAGACAAAGTGAAGAGCGAAGTCGAGGCGGTGCTGGACAAGGTGGCAGCTAGAGGCGGCATGTTAAGGCTCACTGCTAACGACATTCACTCGATAAGGCCTGCCATCACGCGTGGCTACGAGAAGTTCAACGACTGGGTTGGGTCGACATACTGGCCATATTAACCATCGGTTCCAAGAGTAGCACAAGTCGGATGGAGGGTAGGCGAGGGGAAAGCAGGAGGTATCTTGAGCGGAACGCACGCTGGCAGTGGAAACGAATATCCACGATACGCTCCAGTGCTTCTACAGCTTTAAGTGTGGCAGAGACGAGCAACACACACTTTTAGTAATCCCCAGATAACACAACACTCAATTGAAAAGTAGAACATACTCTACACAAAATCGCCCTTTCATCGCACAAACGCTGCTCCAAAATTCATAATGAAAGCAAGAACCACCCATCAAACGCCCGACAGAAATGCCACCTTCCCATCTTCTTGCCTTGCCCTTGCATCTAGTAGCTTTTTGCACTACGCATTACCCGGCTTCTCCTCCGTATCAATATGCCACACGACGTAATTCGGCAAGCCGTACACGCCGTAGCCCGCGCGCTTGGCCATTTTCGCGAAGCCTTCCGTCTCGGCTTGGTTTTCGAAGGCGTAGCAGGGGAAGTTGATGCCTGAACATGCCTCGAGTCAGTAGATGTTATTGGGGGAGATGATGACGAGCAACACTCACCTGATCGATGCACGTCCGCTTTGACGAGGATGTTGACGCCGCCGATGCCGTCGAGGGGGATTTCGATGTCCTTGTTGTCGCGCCAGTTGCCCATGCGCGCCATGTATGTGCGGTCTGTTTTGTATTCTTTGTAGCCTGTGTACAGTCAGCACGGACGGTTTAGAGGAATGACGAGGATGGACACTCACCCTCAGCTAGCACGATATCCTTGTCAAGCGTGGAAGCAAGCTTGAGTGCTGTCTCGGATTCTTGCCAGGAGTTGTAGTCGAAGCGCCCTTCGATGTCGAAGCCGTCTTCGTAGCGGTGGAACCAGATGTCTGTGGAGTCTGTTAGAATCTCCTCTCCTGCTATGTGGTGATGCTGAATACGTACTCGGCACCAGCACATCCCTATCGTGCGCGATAAAGTCCTCAATAATCTTGCTCGGGCTGTCGACAATGTCCACGTCCCGCCAGTACACCCAGCTATGCTCGGGCTTGAGCGCTGCAGACAGCAGGTAATTCCTCGCTCTTCCCATCGCCTTCCTTCGCGGTCCTTGTGCCGCGAAACCGTGTCTGTCCTCCACATTTTGACTCAGCGTCACGCCGAAATCCTTCTCGATGATGGTGGCGCTGCGGAAGGGGATGTTGTCCGTGCGCGACTGTATTCTCTCCAACTCGATGGACAACACGGCGAGGGTATCATCGGTGCTGTCGCCAACGAGGAAGGCGAGATCTATTAGGTTGTGGGGGTAGGTGAGCTGGGTGAGGAGGTCGAAGGACTTTTCGATGTAGGGGGCGGCGTTGCGGAGCGGGGTGAGGATGAGGATGCGCTCTTCGTTCGACACGGGTTTGGTGGTGGAGTGGATGGGGTTGAGATCGACTCGTTGGATTGTCGGGCTGTTGATTTCTATCGGGGCGTGGTGGTTGAAGATGACGGGCGTTTGGAGCCGTCCCGACCACTCCGCTTGTTCGTTGGGCGTCATGTCTCGGGGGGATTTGGCGGGGCCCCAGCAGTAGAATCTAGAAAATTACTTCTTGTCAGTCGCAGGTCTTGCGGCACACAGAGGTGGATGGAACGTACTTTTGCACCTCGCCGGCGGTGCCTCGTAATCCGTTCCATAATAATAATACAATGCCGGCAACGGCGACGAAAAGGAGGAAGCGGGTGCGGATGAGGAGGTTCAAGACGGTGCGCGAGGGCGGGAGTCTGGCCCGCGCACTCTTCCAAGTCATGCCGCCACCTTTGTTCGCTGGTAGAAGCATGTTGGGCGAGGAGTCGGGGGAGGGGGGAAGATGGCGAAAGGATGGCTGTCGGGATGGAATCGCCTCCACCGGCGCTCAGGGGAGTCTCGTATCGCCGTCCAGCGTGGCTGTGAACGAATGGGAGGGGACAGACGAGATGCGACAGAGGCTCAGAGAGCGATGATGAAGTGGAACGTGCGAGTGGGCGGTCGAGGGCGGTGGTGGAGATGTGTGGTTCCGTAGTTGAGGCTGCGCTGCACACTTTGTCTCAATGCCACGAATTATACTTTAAGCTTTTCGGCTTCCCCTTTTGGCCTTCCGGCTTGCGCGCCTGAGGCAGAAAGCCAGCGCAACGACACCCGACGCCAGGCTTGGGGTGACGGCGAGGATCAGGTGTCTAGATGACCACTGCACGAGCGTGATTGCTCTAGAATAGTACCTGGCTCACTGAGAACCATCATGCTGTCCTCCGGTGACTTACCCTCGCCACCGTCTCCGCACCGAACGATGCGGCGGGTGCGTTGAGCAACCCTCATCCCCTCATCAACCACCCCTCTTGTACGACATACCAACCATTACTCATACACTCAACAACTAGCAATCAATAAGCAGCCTCGATCCAGGCATCAAACGCGAGCGGGGTTTCCCAAACGACCACGCACACCCCACCGAATCATACTTTGCTACCTGTCGCAACCCGGAGCTAATGCATATGCCTCTCGCCCATCACGCTTCGTACGCAAAGCTGCATCTCCCAACCCCTGCAACAACATGCACGCAAAGCTCACGCGCAAGCTTAAATGCACTTCAAGCGTGATTCTTTATCGCTGAGTGGCTGGCTTGCTACCCACAGCAATGGGACCCCCTGCTCGAGCACGCATGCCTTCTTTGTCGTGGCTTACTTCTGCTTCCCATGATGTGGAATCGGATGGGAGACAAGAGACGGACATGTACCGTATGCTTCTGTACCGATGGCTACGTATTCGTCATAGTTGTACATGGTTTGCCGAAAGTTCGTAAAAGCCTTCCAAGCCATTCCCCCATCCGACCGCGGACCAGAGGGACACCGAAATGTTTTGGGCATTGCTGCCGACCGAAACAGACACCGAAAATGTGAGCCGCCACCTGCCAGTACCGCACCAACGGAACGTGCAGCGTCATAAACACCCCACCTCACAACCTGCATCCAGTGGGGCGCCGCGTCTTCGTCACGCCCGTCGGCTTGCGGGCCTTCCGGGTGAGCGCCTTCGTGTTTCGCTCCATCGCCGCCGTGAGTCTTTTGTCCCTGCACTCGGTGCAAGGCGACACAACGCCATACTCATCCTTGCACCGCCTGCACCCCGGCGTCCTCTTGTTCAAGCTCGCCCCCTCCAGCAACGTACCAGCCATCGGATCGCCGGAGCGCATCGCAGGTTCAAGCTCAGCAGCAAGTTCCTCAAACCACTCTGACGCATCTCGACTAGCTTCCAACGTCTCCGTCAACCCTTTGTTGAGGAAGTGCGCGGCAAAGCAGTTCACGACGCGCATAATCTCCTCTTTCTTGTATCGCAGACCGCAGCCGCGCCCGTTGCCGCTGCTCTGCGCCGTGCGCCCTTTGTAGTTGGCGAGATACAGAAGAAGGTCCTCGGAATTCTGGAGTGCCTTCGCCTGGTGACGGCGTGCGATCTTCTCCGCAATCTTCTTCCCGTGCACTGGGAGTCGCTCATCGTCGGAGTCCTCGTGTGGGTGCACCGCGTCGGGGACGTCGTGATCTTCCGGGGTGTTGCGGGTGGACAGAGGAAGGGAGATGTCACGGTATGGATCGATCATCTCCAGAGGCGAGACTTGGCTGAGATTCGAAAAGGTGGACGTGCTTTCGGTGCGATGCATGGAAGGAAGTCTGTCCGTCATGTCCAACAGCAGAGGCGTGTACGAGAGAGCCGGCCGCAAAGGCATGATGTGATGATGCGTTGGACGGGCAAAGGCCTCGTTGGAGTGGATGGAGAAGCACTCGGCACACATGCTCGGGAATTGTAGGCTTTCGATGAGGTGCGCGGAGTGGACGAGCTTGTCGCACTGCTGGCACTTCTTAATTGTCGGAATGAGTGTACAGATCGAGGGGAGTTGATTGCTGGGGTGTGTCAGTCGAATGGACGCAAAGCAGAGCTCGCGTCTTGCATGCAACGCACCCAGTATTCACACGCCGAGAGTCGGCGGAATCTTCACACGACATTTTGGGCTCAGGAGTGTCAATTCAAGGTAATCACAATTCAGATGAACAGAGAAGTTGGAGATTTCGCAGCGAAAGCAGACAGAAGATGATGAGAAGCAAAGAAGAACGCGCAAAGGGAAGTCTGGCTTGTTTTTGAACCCGCCACTCAAATACTCATCGCAGTCGAAGATCAGGGGTACGGCCAGGATCTCAAATCTGGGACAACTGCGCAAGGAGGGCGGGGTGAAGCAGCGACTATTGACGAGTAGAGTAAACAGCAGGAGTGTGTTGCAGGCCATCTGCAGTTGCGGGACGGGGTTGGCGGCGGCAACGAAGCCGGGCCCATTGCATCTTGTGCGACGCAAAGAGTCCTGAACGGGACGGCCAGAAGTGGAGAAGCGTGAACGGTACAATTCGAGTCGTGCAAGAAGCCAGCATGTATCGCAGCTGATGCTCGCGCTCGGCCACAGCTTGGGTTCATGGTGGATCGTAGATCAGAGTATCTTCGTAGTGCAGCTCACCGCAAGCTCCAAGACGTTGAGGCTGTGAAGTACTTTAGCCAGCGGCTGGGGAGGTGAGTTGACAGCGGCAGATCTGAAGCTAACGGAGCTTGAGCCTGCGTGACAGGCCGGGGAATCCTTGTCCTGTGAGGTGATGCTGCGCTGCAAGCCCAGATTGGAATCGAACGGCGAGAATCGAGAAATCAGTGGCGGGGGCCAACTTGGAGCGTCATCCATCGTAGCATCAAACACGCCCCAGTAAAGTGGCTCTAAACTCCAGCAGAGTCTCCACTCGACCACAAGAAACTCATCGAAACAGAGTGCAGGAAAGGGCTGGTAAAGCTTCAAAAAGTGACAGAGTGAAAACCAGAAAGCAGCAGGCAAGTAAAAACAGTCCCTCGACTTCGGGCGTGCCGCAAGCACAGCAGTCCCTCAGCTTCGGGCGTGCCGCATCGACCTGCAGCTACGAGGTTGTGCCGTGCCGCGCTGCAGAGGCAGGGCCGGCCGAAGCAAGGGAGCGGCACAGTTGCGGAGAGAAATGGAAACTCTCCAACCTTTTACTTCGTGAGAGTGAGGTATCTAATGACGAGAACATGTGAGGATGCAAGATTGTTCGGTCGAACGTGAAGTGCGATCTTCTCCCAAGCAGAGGGGAGTGACAGAGACAAGACGTCGAAAGACGGGATGCCCAAGAGAAGGTGCGGCTATAAGTGGGGAATTCCGGCATCACGTGATGTCTCCCACTCGCTCGGGATTGTAGTCCAGAGAACGTGGTACGTACACAGTCGATGAGACGGGAAAAGCACGCATCGTTATATTGTATGGAATGATTGAATTCGGTGATTAGTCTGTGCATAAGCCCTCCCCCTCATCCTTCCTTTTGTGCCCTGCTGCAAACCGGTTCAAACTATCAAAACAACATGCGCCCCAGATGCATGTTCGAAAGGAGGGACAGAGGCGGAACGGACAGGCTCTCGCGCGGCCGGGACCCCAAAGTGCACACACGCGAGGAAAGGCAGAAGATGGGTAACGCCGCCGCAGTTGCAATCGCACTGTAGAAAATACAGCCATAACTCGCTCAAAACGTGCACGCGTTTGCGTCTCTTAAAGCATGCCAAAGATGGCTGCCACCACGCCGATGAAGCCGGTCGTGTATGGGATGATGAGCGAGGTGGCGCCAGAGTGACCGCTGCTGCTGCTGCTGCTGCTGCCGCCGCTGGTGCTGTTGCCATCGGATCCGCCCTTGGTGGAGGCACCGGCTTGGCCGCCCTGGCACTCGTATGACCCACGGATAGCCGAGCTGCTGTGGAGGCTATCAAAGCGGGTGCAGGAGTTGCCGAGGTCGCCCGACGAGAGGAGGTAGAAGGCGCCCTTGACGTAGTTCAGGGCGGGCAATGCTACACTACACGGGGGGTCAGCGGAATGAAAATATCACAAAAGGCTAATTTCGCACTCACCTCGTGAACGTGCCGAACATGTCAACCGCACCAAAGACCTTGGAAAGCTTCTTGAATCCGTCGACGTTGGTGAGGGCGGTGTTGTTGGCAATCTGAACACCACCGCCAACAGCGGTGAGCAGGGGGAAGCTGGCGGAGGTCAAATGCGGGTTGCCCACGACGGCCAAGGTCATGGCGACGGTGCTGAGGTTGGCAGCCGAGAGGGTGGTGAAGTAGCTGCTGTAGAAACCCAGCGAGCCGGTCACTTGGGAGAGAGAAGGAATGCTGACGGACGAGACGTTTCGGAAGGCAACGTTGTTGGCGGCCTTCAAATTGGGCAGGGAAATTTCCAGTTGAGGCCCGTTGTTGGCGAACCCCAGAGCGTTGGTGACGTTGGTGAGCTTCATGTTCACCGAGTTGAGGAAAGTGTTGTCGGCGAGAATGAGGATGGCGGCCTCGTTGAGGTCGATGCCATCCAGCGACGAGAGCTGGGTGTTGACGATTTGCACATTCGTAGCCTTTTGCACCGATTGCGTGAATTGCAATCCCTGCAGACTGGACAAGCCCTGCCAGTTGATGGTGTCCACCGCCACAAGCGAGGGGAAGGTCAGGGTGGTCAAGGCGGTGACATCGATCATCTGGAAGGTGTCGGAGATGGTGGAAAGGCTGTCGGCGGTGAAGGTGGTCAACTTTCCAATGTTCTTGGCGATGAGGGAGCCATCTATCCGCTGGAGGCCGTTGAGGTCGATTTCCCCGGCGGCGGAGCCGGCAATGACAATGTCGCCCGTCCACTGCTGGCAAGAGGACAGCTGGGTTGCTTGGGCTTGGTTGGTGATGGTGGTGGTGCCGCTGCAAGTTGCAGCAACCGCTGAGCCGGCGAGGGCCAGGGCGGGGAGGAGGAATCGTGCGGCCATTGCGGGCGTGGGTCGTGAGGTCAACTGATGGGGAACAGCGAGGTCAGTGAGGGATGTACGGGCGGTGTGATCCAACGAACTCACTAAGACTGCTGGGCGCAAATTACAAGAGTCGAAGAGCTCGAGCTAAGCAATTCGTGTCGATGGATGAATGTGTTGGGGATGCAGCGAGCGAGGGGGGAGAAGGCGGACGGAGGGCGACTTTCACGATGAACCCAACGAGAGAAGGCGCAGCGCGTGAATGGAAGAAGAGGAGAAGAGCAGGAAGGAGGCTGGAATGGCCGTGGTTGGAGAGTGCAAGTGTGAAATGTGAAGATGGAATGGCGCGCGCAGGGAGAAGGAGCAAGCAAGACAGACAAGGAGGCCTTGCCCCAAAGAAAAAACGCGCGGCCAGAGCTTTCCCTGCCTTTCGCCAATCTCGGCACGCTAACCCCATTGGGCATTGACGGTTTGATGCAACGGCGCTCTTTCATCAGGCCTCTCCCCAACACTGGAGATCCTTATTGGTCGATGATGGGCAATCCTGTCTCTATCTACCGCCATCACGACATGCATGACAATTCCAGTGCTCATCAACCATCGGAAGGCGTCTCGAGCAGTGTAGATACGGTGTTGCTTCGGGAAGATGCTTCGTCTGGCCCCCCCAACCCAATCCGACGCTTCTACGGCCGCGCTTTTGCCACCGGCCCCCCAATATACGTGTAGACCGACGCGAATTGATAAAGCACAGACACACCTACAAGCATCGCCACTTCGAGATCTTGGAGATTGGGAATTTCCATGTGCCACAACACGCAACGTCTTCAGTGCCCACCCCTGTGTCGAGCCTCATCTCCAAGCCTCATCCGTCGCCGCATCAACAATCGTGTCAAACATGTCTTCACGTCTCTCCCACATGCAGTGTCCATCATTCCCCGACGCGGTAGAGAGCCCCTCAAGCAGAGGATTCAACCCTTTCAGGGACCGCCAGCAGCGCGTCCCCCCACTTTTCCATTGTTTCCGGCTCCGCGCTAAACTCCATCGAGGAGGCGCGAAGGCTGTCGCACCCCCAAAAATACTCGTGGCCGTGTGTCCGCCACTGGTTGAGCGCAAGCTCCTCCACACGAAACGCGCCGCAGCCTTTGGCTGGCTCGTCGCTAGAGCATTCGGCCTGCAGGATCTTGCATGCACGCCGGATGCACGCTCGGCAGGCTGGGCGATCTTCTCCGCGTTTCGTGAGAGATCTCGCCACCCGAGCTTGTAAGCGCTTGCTGCTGCTGGAATGTGGCAGGCAGCCGGCCCTCCACCCTCCGCGTAGGGTGATGATGAGCGATGCATTAATACATCCAGCCTGCCGCATCTCCTTTGCTAAGTTTCTCAACCAGCCTCGGATTTGTTACGTGCATGCCGACAAGCCGCGTCCAGGTCGTGAAACGCTGCAACATCCTGAAACGTGCTGACGAAGATCGGCAAGCCTGATCCGCCTCGGCGACGTCTGGCCTTCTCCCAAGGCGCCAATAACCTATTCTTGTTACATTCTTGATCCTCACGCCAAGGAAACGCCTTGGATCAAGATAGACCTGCATCGCTATTCATGTCACGCTGAGATTGGAGTGTGAGTACGCCGTAATGGTTTCGATCTCTCTTATCACAATTGCAAGAGGCTGCTTGGAAAGTATCAGTCTGCTTAGCTATCTCTTTCTCTCCTTTCCATCAGCTCCCAGCTCTCCTCTGATTGAATTCATTCCACGCATGCCATTGCCTTCGTTGTTGTCATCCTCTTTGGGGTTCGTCCAGCACCGTTGCTCTGCCCGTTCTACTTATACCAATGGCCCGCCCTGACTTCCTCGCGCAAAGCGAAGAAATGCCCCATATTCAGCTTCCCGCCCTCTCCTGGTGCCGCTACGACATCCCCGAGCGCTTGCTCCAGCTTCCGCTTCATGAGTGGGCCGATCTGCTGGTCAGGCGCCCACCCTGTGACCTCGTCAGACGCTTCGAAACTCTTTCGCAACTCGATGCTGAAGAGCGCGTGGACCTTGTTCGGCGACTGTAATTGCACGGCAAGACGTCGAATTCGCGGAAGGTACTTCGTGTTGCAGCTCACGAGCCAGAGAAGACATTCGTGGGTGATTGTCGTTTCCACCAGTCTCTTCCATTTCCGCAGGCTCAATGCGAAGATGCAAGATGCGTAGAAGACGGGCAGAGCCTCTGTCCGAATCAAGCTGGATGTTCGTGTGATCGGCGGCTGCACAGGAGCATCGAGCGGTTCTTTGAAGCCGGCGAAGTACCACTCGTAAACCATGTTGCGCAACTCGGGCGGTAGACTGGTGAACTTTTCGAACCGGAGGTTTTTGTCTGCGTTCTCGAGCGCCTGGAGCAGCTCCCATCGCAAGCCCTTCTTACGCCGGTCGCTCGCCATCTCGATGCCACGGTCACGGATGAACTTCCGCAGCTCGTTGTTCTTGCAGCCGACGTACGACATGAGACCACGGTCGCTGCGCTTCATGTATCTGTTGCATGGCGATAGTAAGTCAGCTTCGTTTGCATCCGCTACTTGGTGCTGAATGAAACGTACCCTTCCAGCATCTCTCTGTCTTTGGCGCGAGGAGCTTTGAAGTTCCGTTTGGCAAGCACTCGTTGCATACGCGCCATGGGCTCGTTACTGTAGTCGCCAATCTTCCAGTAGTCGTGGCTTCTGTTGTACCGGGAGGGTGCCATGTTTGCTGTGTTCGTTTGTGGCGTCGGATGAAATAAAGTGAGGGTTGAACGGTGAGAGCAGAGGTGTTGGAGATCCTTCGTGGTCTTGCGGAGGATGAAGTGATCTCAATTGATGCTGCTCGTTACCAAGCAGAGCAGAGAGGTCGGAGCCCCTGCATGGTCTCGAAGAAGGACGATGCGAAGAGTGTCGATGAAGCAGGAAGCAGAAAGGTGGAGGTTGAGTGGACAAACAAGAAGCAAAGTTGGGTGGGTGAAGTATGTCTGCCTGGGCGTCACGTGGCGTCACGTGCGTGTGCATTCACTTCTCGCCCAGAAGGCTCTCTTCGCGTCAGTCACCTCTGTGACGTTTATGAGTTACGGTCATTATTCACTATCTCGCACTTATCCTTCTCCCACTTCACTGCCAGCCGTGATTTTGTCCTGATGCCAGGTCAAATTTCAAACTACTCCCAACGCATCGGGCTTAAATGCTCATTACCCGTCCTTTCGTGCATGTTCGATGCCTCCCCAAGATCAGTCACCGTAGAATCTGTCCTCCTTCCACCAAGCCATATATACCACGAAGCCTCCTTAGGCCCACCGCTGGCGCTCATACGGGCTTGTGTCTTTCAGCCCACCCCTCTTCGAGGGCGGTCCCGATAGCTTTGATGTCGCTCATCCTGAAGGTTTTGCGGCCATCACTCTCTTCCGTCTTCTTCAGCATTTGCTCGAGATGCTTAAGCATAGCATGGGTTGACAAATTTTTTGTACTTGCGGTCAATGTGCACTTCGAGTTACCTGCCGGTCTCGATAGGTTGACGTTGAACATAATCGAGCCAGCTTGTAGAATCCCAAGTTCAGAAGGGAACTCAAGAGTGGAGAAGCCTATACGCAGGTGTCGGAGGTTTGCAACCTGCCCAATGGGTATACTGTGTAGAAACAGCCGCGTATCAATCGTGGGGCGGATGTGTGTCATGGGGCGGATGTGTGCCCACCCACGACCAGGGTGGGTGTAGCGTAGCTCAAAAGTGTGGTGGCCGTAGAAAATCGGAAGGACTTCGTTCCTGATGAGGTTACAGGTACGAGCCAATGGAGGCTGAGACGGACAGCTCAGTACTGCTGGCAAACTGCCGACGTAGAATTTGTAGACACGACTCCTGAGCTCAGGGGGGAGGTCCAGGAATTTGCCGAATCCAGTCGCATCGGCGTCCTCTAATTTCTTAATCATTCCGTCATGCCACCACTTCCTCAGGTCCACAATGTCGTGCCTTGGTAGACCACAGGCTTTGTAGGCAGATTCCATAGGTTGCAGAAGCCTGCGTCTCACGAGCTGTTGAAGCTCTTCATCGGTGCAGTTCTCGTATAAGAGCAGGCCACGGTCAAGCCTGACTTTTCTTGCGATGAGTTCAGGCTTCGATTCTAGTGCGATCGTGGCCGAACAACCAGCAGTAATGAGTGTAGATATGAGATCGCTCTGTGATAGGTGATCATACTGGTCAAAGCGCCAGTAGAAGTCGTAGGCAGCTTGGATGGTCATTGCGTCGACCTGTGTCGATGAATATGTGGAAGATGACTTTGGCTGTCGTGTAGATTGATGGTAGACGTCCGTCAGGTCGGAGGAGAATTCTCGATGAGTCTTAAGGAGTCGACTGACGTGGCGAGCGCACACCAGTTGTTCGGTGAGGTGCAGTTCACTTGGAAAGTGAGAGGTGGACTGAGTGTCTTGGTAAGACTTCGGCGGAGAGATTGATGGGAAAGTTGAATATTGTGGTGAGGCCAGTTCTTGGAGGCTGGCAGTGAGGTGGTATGTGAGTGTCGTGATGAGATCTCGCTCTAGCAGGCAGACCAGGAGTTGATGTCTGGAAGAGAAAGAAGAGTATCGAGCAAGACATGCGGTGGAAAAAGAAACAGGCTAACGCGCAGGACCCACCCTCACGTGCCACTCTCACGTGCGCACCATCAAGTGAAGTGAACTTCTTGCATTGAAGTGAGTTTACTCAAAACATTTGAATCATCGCAGGGATGCACATACTACCAAGGGTTCCCGAGCCTCCCCCATCAGCGCAATGCACACATCCACCTCTTACTCAGTACGCCGGAAAACGCTCAATCATCCATCAACCCAGCGTGCTGCATATGCTCCAAATGCAAAGGGCCGAAAATGTCCATCATGCATGCGTCGTTCCGCCGATTCCCGCCGCCGTCACAGGTTCTCGTCCGGAAAAGTCAAAGTTCACAGTTTCTCTTCATGACCACTTCCTGTTCTCAGGTTGTCGCGCCCAACTTTCTTCCTCTTCTCGCATGAGCATCTTTCCTTCGTCTTGTAATCCGCCAATCGCGCCCTTGACACTCTCGAACGTCAGCATCGTCGTCATGGCCGCGGGCACGGCGCGGATCATATTTGTGCCCATGCCGTTGTAGAATGCATGCCATCCTTCTTCCCGCAGGATGACTTTGAATGTGCGGATGACGCCTTTGTAGCGCGGTTCGTAGCGGAGGCCGTCGGAAGAGCCGACAGGCCGAGTTGGGAGGCGTTGAGAGTGGTGTGAGCCTTGGACACCGTTAGATGATTCCGGCTGCACGTAGCGCTGTTGCGTCTGGAGGCGGGTGCGTAGGACTTCGTGTGGGTAGGTGGCGCTTGTTGCGCAGACTTTGGACAGTAGGGTGGCGGTGAGGATGCCGAAGATGTTAGTCCAGGATTTGCCTGATTCGGCTGGGGCTTCGCCCATTTCGTAGCCGGTGATTCGCTGCTTGAAGTACTCGTATAGGGGGAATTGAATTGCAACGTGGGTGAGGCCAAGGAGGGCTGGGGCTAGGCCGGAGTAGAATGCGCCAAGGCCTTCTGCTCTGTACATCTTCCGCGCGGCATCTATAGTGCTAGTGTAGTTCCAGGGAGTACGTGCGCCGTCCGTGGCAGTACGCGAGACTTGTGACATCAGTCGAGTCTTGATAACCCAGATGGGATTTGTGGCAATGGTGCTGAAGGCGCCGGCGAGGAGAGACGCATATACGCGAGGCAGCCATTTGTCGTTCTCGGTGATGCCATAATGGTGGGTATAGAACCAATCCTTGCTGCTGTCATATACAGACATGTACACGGCCCAGGTGGGAAGATAGCCCAGAAGCATTGGCCCGAGACCGCGATACATGCCCTTGTAACCATCTTGTCGCAGGATCGTTCGCGCTGTTCCGAACAGCCCTCGATATATTATTGCCGTGGACGGGGTCTTGCCCGGAACGCCGGCGGTAGCAAAGGAACCTTGAGCTTGCAGCTTGGTCTTGATGACATCGAGCGGGCAGGTGACGATGCCGCTAGCCATACCGGCCATGGCACCGGAGAAGGAGTTGATGGTCGGGGTGGAGAGGTTGGCGCACCATCTTGCCACCGTGGGGAACGAAGTGTTCGGCTTGAGCCTCTCTTTCACCGGCGGCGAGCCATGTTCGGTGGACATGATCCTCAAGCCATGCAAACGTTATCGCGGTCGCTGCGGCATGCTCGGAAGAATGGAGATGAGGGGTGTAGGTGGGAGTTGGTAGAGGGATGACGTGGGAAGAAGATTCATGCGGTGGAAGAGGATTGCAGTCGAGAATGCTGTCCTCGTGCCTTCTTTCCGAGATCAAGCTGCTCTTGCTGATGTGAGGGTGTGAAGGGCCCCGCAGGACCGTCGGGGATGACTGCGCTATGTCATCCGTCCACAACAATAGTCAGGAAGGGGCGAGGCGGTGTCGGAGAGGTGGACATGCGCAGGTGCAGGTTGAAGGGCAGGCAATGGAGGCTCACAATCTCACGTCCTTCCAGTGCCCCGAGAAATGGCGGGCAGCGGTGGTGAAGAGAAGCTCGGACGTGTGGGGTGACGGAAGCCGCAAACTCTAATTCCCGGGTGTTTCCGCCGTTGCAAAGCAAAGCATAATCCTGAGCTCAAGACTCTCGACCTCCTACCTCTCAAGGTACTGGAAGACACTCCATTGCTCCACGACATCGTCACCCCCCACCCGTCAAGATGTCGCAGCCGTCGCTCGCCCCCTTCATCATCAAGCGTCCCTGGCTGCGGAGGTGGATGCAGCCGCTGTCGAACTGGTACATGGACAGCGCCGGATATCGCAAATTGGGATTGAGGTAGGCACCACGGGCATTGCGCATGCCTTCTCGCACTACAAGGCATGCCTGAGAGGGACTCCACGCTGATGATTCGCCGCCTGCAGAGTCGATGATCTGATCCCCGAAGAGAGCGAGGTGGTGCAGCTGGCCCTCAAGCGTTTGAGCCCCAAGGAGGCGTATGACCGGGTCTTCCGCATGCGAAGGGCCTTCCAGGTATGCTGAGGAAGAGGCAGATTTGGACGAGGAGAGGAATGGACGGAGCTAACGTTGGACAACAGTGCTCCTTGACACATCAGCTGCTTCCGAAGACCGAGTGGACAAAGCCAGATGAGGTATGCCCCACACGGAAGCCATGGCTCCTGCATCTGTTGTACAGTGACTGACATCTATTGCTATACAGGACTCCGCCTACCTCTCCCCCATCATCCGAGAAATCGAAAAGGAGCGCGCCGAGAGGGAGGACTTGGACTCCTTGACCATCAGGAAGAAGCCGGAGCCCGGTAGCAGACGGCATTGAGTGGTGTCGAGTGGATATACGCACTGCCAGACCCGACCGAGCAATATGTATATATGAACGCAAGGTTTACAATCAATGGCGCTCGTGTATCTTATAGAAGTGGCGTGCCATCGGCAGTGTATTGAATGGAGCATTCGCGAATGGTCAGCAAGCAGCAGACGGTCTCTTTCAACGCGTGAATGCATTGCTATGGCTATTTGATGCTTGTACGCGGCGCGTGCTCGTGTGTGCTTCAGACTGTATCCAGCAGACTCGGCAGCTGCTGTGTACGTATCATTCACATCTTGTGGACAGCTCAAGTACTCGCCCAAGCCGCCGCATATCGCCGGCCGACAATCTCTTACCAGCCAGGACGGGTTTCGGATCAAAATAAAAGGGCTTGGACTGCACCTGATGTTTTGGGGTCAGTAAGACACAACCGTGCTAGCATGTAGATATATCTTCCAGTCCTCACGTGATGTCGCTCCTCTCTCGTAGCGCGCCAAGCAGGCATCGATCGCGTAACTCTCCGTGCTGCTGACATCACATCCACGCTCATGTGCGACTCATCCCATCGTCAACTGCTTCCTTCAACACCAACTACTCAGAATATACAATCGATTAGAATCAACTCAAGCGGACAAGCCTTGACAACACTGGCTGCAGTTTTCGCCCGGAATCTCCTCGGGTTTCGGTTTACATTGAAAAAGGGGCATCTCCTCCATCACCAACACTTGCTCCATACCAGCTGTACTTCCCGCCCAAGCTTCCCGAGTACACAACAACGAGATATGTCTCTACGACGCTCATCCCGTGGGAAGTCTCTCGGCGAACAAAATGGGGGACAGCTGTCAGTGCCTCCGACGCCAAACGACGCTCCAACCAAAAAGCGTGGCCGGCAAAGCAAAGGCGCTGAAGCCGTCGTATCAACCAATGGCACTGCCGATGAGGCAAAAGCAGCAATGCCGCCTCCTCCAAGTACGCCCAACAAGCGACGCAAAGTAGTGAAGACGGAGCAGCCACCTCCCTTCACCCCTACCCCTTCGGCTGTCGGATTGATCGGGGCGCCAGGCGGCAACTATAGCACCGGCGACATCGACGACGTAACTCCGCCGCCTCCAACGAGGAGAGCCGAACCGCGCCACACGAATGCCCCACTTCTCACACCCAGGGGAACGCAAGTCGAACCGACATACAGCAACTTTGAAGAATCGCCCTCGAAAGCCGGGTCGAAGTCTCTAACGACCAACAAGTCTCTCCTGGAAGATGCATGCGCACATCTAACCAGCACAGACGCGAAGCTGGAACCCGTCGTCAACGCGCACCACTGCCGCGTCTTCTCCCCCGAAGGCCTGGCGGAGACCATCGATCCCTTCCGCTCCCTTGCGTCCGGCATTATGGCGCAACAGGTCTCGGGTGCAGCAGCTCGGAGCATTAAGAACAAATTCATCGGCCTGTTCCCGCCCGAATCGTGTCCGAACGGCTTCCCCACCGTAGCCGTCGTCTCGCAAACCTCCATCCCCCGACTGCGAGAAGCAGGGCTGTCGCAGCGGAAAGCAGAGTACATCCAAGGCCTCGCGCAGAAATTCCACGACCGCGAATTGACCGTCGACATGCTCATGAACGGCACGGACGAGGAAGTGATGGAGAAGCTCGTCGCGGTGCGCGGACTCGGGCGATGGAGTGTGGAGATGTTCATGTGCTTTGGTCTGAAGAGGATGGACGTCTTTTCCACCGGCGACTTGGGCGTGCAGAGGGGCATGGCGGCGTATGTGGGGCGAGATGTCGCCAAGTTGAAGACGAAGGGAGGAGGGAAGTGGAAGTATATGAGTGAGAAGGACATGCTGGACATTTCGGAGAAGTTCAGGCCGTATAGGAGTTTGTTTATGTGGGTGAGTGGAGTCCTATGTCCTCCCTTTATCTTTGAGATCGACGCTGATATGCTCGACAGTACATGTGGCGGATCGAAGACGTGGACGTTGCTGCGGTGGAAGATAACTAGGGTCGAGCTTGGGATGTACCTGCTATCTCCCGTACGGTTGCGACCATATCAATACATTTCTTCAGCTGGGACAATGCCGTTCCGCCTCAGATCTCGAACTTCTCGTCTCATGTTCGAGCGCGGCTACGATATTTCACAGCTGCATTTCGGCCTCGCCGAGCCTTGCAGAGGGGTGGAGAGACCAGCAGCGCAGCGCATCGCACGCGTGCTGCGACTCGACTCATAGGTCGTCGCACGGCCCGCTCACATCAATGAGATCTGCACGCTCTGATGACAGCATGCCATGGGCCAAAAGTAGGCGAGAAGATCGTGTTGTCGAAGCGTCGTGCGCAGATTGTTGGCGAGCGGCTCGGTCGGGAATCGTAATGTTCGTATGCACCGCCGCTGTTGCACAGTTGGATGGCGAGTGAAGCACACGTCCCAAGCGCAAACCCTCACCCTTCCCTCGACCTCCCTCCCCTTCCCTGAATAGTCCTAAGCCTCTCCTCAACCTCACTCCTCCCACTCCCCTTCCCACCTCCACCATCCCCCTTCTCAACGTCCTCGCCTTCGACCCCCCTCCCCATCAACCTTCCCCTCACCTCCCCAACCAACTCCCCCACCGTCCCTCCGCGCTGAGAACCCCCCACCCGCCCCTCAAACCCATGCCGGCGCCGACTCTCATTCAGCAAACTCAACCCTTCGCCCCCCGTGTCGGCGTCGCGGTGCCGTTGCGCGTTCGATTTCGCTGCTTGGATGCTGGTGACGCCGTAGATGAATAAGAGGGTGGCGAGGCTGGGGAGGATGAAGTATTTTTTCGAGAGGGGCATTTTTGATTCTTCTTCTTTTCGTTGATTTTGAATGCGGGGCGTTTGGATGTGTTTGTTTTGGGTTGATGACTTGGGAATTGAGGGCAGTGTAGTGGTGATGTCAGGGTTGTTTGGGAGGTGAGCTGCGAAAGTGGAGCTTGGGCCTTACGTGCAAGGTGGTGGATGAATGGATACATGTATGCAATGCCATTGAGCAAACCTGTATGATCCTCGGAATAAATGTATCAGAGTAATGTACTGCTATATACGCTCTGCATCACAGCTACTGCTGCTTCCAGCCCGCCGCCTGCAGACCCTCCTTGAGCGCATCCAACGCCCGCTCGATATCGTCCTTCTTGCCATCCATCACGCTCACACCCATATGTCCAAAGCGCACGTACTTCGTCGCGCACTCCTTGTGCAGGCCACCAGCAAATACGACACCCTTCTTGAGCACATGGGGCAGGACATCGGTAGGCTTCAGCCCATCCGGCAGCCAGATGGCCGTCATGCCTGAAGCCTGGTTCTCCGGCTTGGTGGCGAGTTGTTTGAGGCCCCACGACTCCACCGTCTTCTTGACGTGCTGGCTCACTTCCTTGTGGCGCTTGAAGCGGTCTTGCAGCGGGATGGAGAGGATTTGGTTGAGGGAGGTGTGCAGCGCGTGGATCAGCTGGGGCGACGGGGTGGCGAAGTAGGAGGGTTTCTTGGCCTCGTAGTTCCGGAGGATGGGGAGCCAGTTCTTCCAGCTGGCAAAGTAGCTGCCGGGGGGATGTGTTCGCTTTTCAAATGCTTCTATCGCACGACCGGATACCATGAGGATAGACAGACCGGCTGGACAGCCGATGGCTTTCTGCGAGGCGGACAAGACGACATCGAGATCCCAATCGTCGAAACGGATTTCCTCGCAGCCAACGCTGCATACGCCGTCGATGATGATGAGAGTGTCAGGGCTCACTTTCCGCACCAGCTTGGCGACGGCTTCGATTTCGGAGAGGACGCCGGTGGAGGTGTCGGTGTGGGTGATGGTGATGACCTTGTACTTCTTCTCTTTCAGCGCCTTCTCCACCGCATCCAGCTGCGGCCGGTCGCCAATGGGCGCCTTGAGCTGCGTCGCCTTGACGCCGTACGTCTCGAAGCAGTCGGCGAAGCTGTCGGCAAAGTAGCCGGTGTGCAGGACCAATGCCTCGTCGCCGGGCTCGGTGACGTTGGCCGCGACTTGGTCCCAGCCTAGAGTGCCGGAGCCGGAGATGACGATCGGTTGGCTCTTGGGGTTGGTGGTTTGGAAGAGTTTGCGCAGCTGGGCGAGCACGTCGCCGAAGACGTTGACGAAGGGCTGGCCGACGTGGGATTCGCTGTAGTGCGACATGCTCTGCAGCACCTCATCGGAGAACTCGACGGGGCCGGGGATGAGGATGGCGGGATGGGGCGGCTGCTGGGAGGCGGTGGCAGCGCCATTGGGAGCGGGTTCGGCCATTTCGATTTGTTTTTGCAGGGGGGACGTTTGGGCGCCGAGGGTTCGTCTCTGGTCGGTGACGATTTGGGGCGTGTTTCGAGAAGCGGATTTCCAGTTGCGGTCGGGAGAGGCGGTCAGTTGGGTGGGAGGTTGGGAGGAGAAGTGACGAGAAAGCAGCGCGAGTCGTTCATGAGGGGGCGCCAGCTTGGGAGAAAATGGAATGACGAGCCTTGGTGGGGCTCGAAAATGGCGAGCGATGCGCGGGGCGGCCAGGATGACGGATGGCACTTCCGAGGGGATTTGATTGAAGATGACTCGTGACATGCAATTGTACAGCACGGTCGTGTTTGGATGGAACGTCAAGTGGTCCTCGCAAGAAAATCAGTCAATGGTGTGGCGCTTGGCAACGTGTAATGATTCACATCCAAACGCCAACCTTTTGCCTTTGGAGCGTTGAGATGATCCCATCCGCCGGCAGTCCACACCGGCTCCGGGATTGCCCGCAGAGCCGCATTCCAATGATGGCCTTCGGAGCCTTCCTTCCAGCGTTTGCCTACTGCCTACACCAGCATCACCGTCTATCTCATCTTCCCAAACAACCATCGGGGTAGGCAGCAAGATGGCGTCGAGACTCATCCTCGTCATCGGCGACCTCTTCATCCCCGACCGCGCAATAGTCTGTCCTCTCCATGCCTCCCGCACATCCTCAAGAAAGAACATAAAGGCAGCAGGCTGACCGACTGGCTAGGACATACCCGCAAAGGTGCGCTCGTCACACAAGCGTCAACCCGTCACCACCTCATACTGAACCACCGCTGCAGTTCAAGAAACTCCTCACCCCCGGCAAAATCGGCCAAGTGCTGTGTCTAGGCAACCTGACCGCACCCTCCGTCTACTCCTTCCTCCGCAACCTCGCCCCCGACGTGCAGCTCGTCAAAGGCGACTACGATCTCCCTCTCACCTCCTCCAACCCCGCCGCACCCGCCGGTGCAAGCGCAGCACCAGAGAGCGGCTATGCTGTCACTACTGCATTATCAAAAGTCGTCACACACGGTAGCCTGCGCATAGGCTTCACCCATGCAGACGCCATCATACCCCCAGGCGACCCCGACGCCTTACTCATCTACGCACGTCAAATGGATGTGGATGTATTATGTTGGGGAGGGACATGTCGGTTCGAAGCATACGAGATGGAGGGCAAGTTCTTCGTCAATCCCGGTAGCGCAACAGGCGCAGTGAGCTGGGTGGACGAAGGACTGGGTGGCATGGGCGGAGGGGAGGAAGGCGCAAACGATGCGAGTGAAGAGGATGGGAATGTCCCGAGTTTCGTGCTCATGGATGTGCAAGGCGATGTGTTGGTGTTGTACGTGTATCAGTTGCGGAAAGACAAGGAGGGCAATGAGAGTGTGGGAGTGGAGAAGGTCAGTTTTCGGAAGGGTGTTGCTGGGGGTTGAATGAATGACATTTTCGTCTACACGAAGCGACCAGAGCTGTCTTCGATTCATGTCGGTGTTGTTGCACGTCTGCAGCAGCGACCTTGCGCGGCGTAAGATGACCTCACGTGCTCCACTTGCCAAGGGCCATGATGAAGCACATTCGAAGACCACTTCCTCTATCATGAAAAAGAAGAAGTAGAGGAAATGTATGCGCCCTCCCGTACCTTCTATCCATCTTATACATGCCTGCCTAATCCGGCCCCGTCGGCTGCAAGCACCAACCTGCCCGATGCAGACGCGATGCGGGGAAGGAGGCGGAGGGGAGGAGCTCGATCTTGGATGAGATGAGCAGATGCGATGCCACGCCACGCCCCAGACTCTCGGCGGGACCACAATTTGCCCGCATCGTTTTGCCCCATCATCATCCACCAGTGATGCGCGGGTACACGCCGGCGTACCGACTAATCCACCGTAGCGTGGCAGGCTAGACGGCGAAAAAAGGGCCGTCTCCATCACCTGCCCTTCCCGACTGCATCCCATCTTCCTATTAGCAATCTCACCTGGCCTCTGTCGTATATTCTTGGTGCTTGCGGTCTTTCTGCTTTCTCATCATTCACGTCACCATCCGAGTCTGTCCGAGTCCTTCACTGCATCACCACCTCGAGTCCTCTCCGATGCCTACAACATGCGCGCGCCACCGCGTCTGACCATCTCTAATACTCCTACATCTCCAACTGACTCACACCTACTCGGCATGCTGTAATGCGCAAACATGGGCGTGCACACCCATGACACCTGAAAATGTCCGACAACCATGATCACTTCCAAGGCCGCAGCCCCGCCGTCCTCTCCGTCACCCTCCTCTTCGCCACCCTCTCCACCATCTTCGTCGCCTTGCGCCTCATCTCGCGCGCCGCGATTGTGAAGAAAGTCGCCATCGATGACTACTTCATCGTCCTGGCCTGGCTCATTGCCGCCGGCATTACCTCCGCCATCTGCTATGGCTGCGCGTGGGGTCTCGGGCGGCATGAGACCAGCATCCCTCCCGACTGGCAGGAGAATCTGAGAAAGGCGGACTACGCTTTCAGCATCATGTACCAGCCTGCGCTCATGGCGTTCAAGACGTCCATCCTCGCCTTCTACCTCTCCCTGCCAACGATGAATCGACAGTTCAAATGGGCGTGCATCACCACTCTCTTCGCCGTCAACGCCGGAGGTCTGGCGCTATGTCTGGTCACCGTGTTCCAGTGCAGTCCAGTCGGAGCGGCCTTCCAAGTCCCCGAACCAGCCAACTCGCACTGCACCGACGTCATCACCATCTACCTCTCCTCTGTTCCGCTCAACATGATCACCGACCTGGCCCTGCTCTTCCTGCCCATGCCTCTGCTAACCGAACTGCGCCTCCCGCGAAAGCAAAAGATCATCCTCATCATCACCTTCAGCTTCGGCGCCTTTGTCACCATCGTCGATGTCATCCGCATCGTCTACCTGCAATCCGCCGCGCAGACTCGACTGCGTGAGATCTTCGACGGCACCCATAATACTTCGAGCTCCACCGAACACACCGACTTTAGCTGGTACGCAGCCCTGAGCTACATGTGGTCCGCCATAGAGGTCAACGTAGGAATCATGGTCGCTTGCGTCCCCGCCTTGAAACCGCTCGTGTCGCGATTTCTGCCGCACATGCTACGGGATCGGGGCGATGCGCGGGGGTCATTCGAAGCCCCAGGGAAAGCACCCTCGCCTCTTCATCTTTCGGCGCCGGAGGCGGAGAATGAAGCGCGGGAGGATTCTGGCGTATCAGACGGTGCTGATGATGGGCCGATGGGCATGCTCGACTTTCTCACCACACCGGAAATGACGGAGCTTCCAATGGCCACGCAGACCATGACCAGGCAGGCAAACAGCAGCCGCGACACCCGCCGACCCTCGGTCAATTTTTTCGATTTCGTGGATATGGGCAACAAGAAGAGTCTAGTGGAGTTGAGCGTGCGGGAGTCCGTCTTCCCTATCGCCATGGTCACCGTGCTGTTCTTCATCTGGGGCTTCGAATATGGGCTCCTCGATGTCTTGAATCAGCAATTCCAGCGGGTTGCCCATATGACGCCTACGCAGAGCACGGGTATTCACAGCGCCTACTGGGTGGGCTATTTCTTCGGACCGATACTCGTTGGCCGGCTGGTGTTGAAGCACTGGGGTTTCAAAGCCTGCTACCCCGTCGGCCTAGCAATCTACGGCTGCGGAACGCTCATCTTCTGGCCCGCCGCCGTCCTCACCTCCTTCCCCGCCTTCATCATCACCAACTTCATCGTCGCCTTCGGCCTGTCCATCCTAGAAGTCTCCGCAAACCCCTTCATCATCCTTTGCGGTCCGACAGAGTACAGCGAAATCCGGCTAAACTTCAGCCAAGGCGTGCAAGCAATCGGCAGCGTCGTCGCACCCCTAATCGCAGAGAAAGCCTTCTTCCGCCAAAGCCTGCACGCCCCTTCCCTCGTTGACACCCAATGGGCCTACCTCGGCATCTCCCTCTTCACCATCTCCCTCGCCGTCGCATACTACTACATCCCCCTGCCGGAAGTGAGCGACGTCGAGCTAGCCAACGCCGCCGAGCGCCTCGACGGCGCCAATCACGCCAAAATCCGCGGCTACAGCGTCATCTGGCTCACCCTGGCCGTCGGCGTCTTCGCCCAGTTCTGCTACGTCGGCGCGCAGGAGGTCAACGGCACCACCTTCGACGCCTACCTCACGCTCATCGCGCCCACACGCAATACGGCCAACTACATGGCGATAGCGCACACGGCCTTTGCCGTCTCGCGCTTCATGGCGGCGGGTTTGGGCTTCTGGGTGAAACCGCGCGTCCTCATCCTCACCTGCTTCCTCGCCTGTATTGTCTTCGAAGCCCTGGCCATGAACTTCTCCGGCGACACGGGGACCGCGATGATCATGCTCGTCTTCTTCTTTGAGGGTCCGCTGTTCTCGTTGATTTTCGCGCAGGCGCTGCGCGGCATGGGCCGCTACACGAAGATTGCGAGCGTGTGCATCACCGCCGCGGCCAGCGGGGGGGCAGTCTTCTCTCCTATTTCCAATCACCTCACCAACACCAGAGGAAGCGGAGGCGGCGGCGCCATGTTCGCTCTCGTCGTCGGCACCGCGGTCTTCGCTGCAGGCACCCTCTTCCCCCTTTGGCTAAACGGGAGTCCGCAGGCGAGGAAGCAGTGCGATCCCGTTATGAACTCTTCGTCAGCATCGGCGCCGACAGCCGCCGGCCCCGCTTCCGAGAAGGCGAGCGGCCTCTTCGCGTCCCTGCATGTGGGTAGGCAACGAGGCGGCGAGGGCAGGAGGAGTGTGGAGTCCAAGGAGGAATCGGGTAATGAATGATGACAAACACGACGAGGAGAGTAGGCTCCGGAGAGTCCGGGATTGGTGTTTTTTGCAGCGTTCCGAGCGAGTGTGCGTTTCGGGGTTTTTTTGTTGACGCGATCACGGTCGGTCTGCTTTTGTGTGCGCGGATATGTACAGCTCGACCTAGCCCTCTGTACATCCTCACGTCTTCGCTGAGCACTCACAGCACCTTCCTTCTTGTCTTCCTGCTATATCCCATAGCATACACTCCACCCCATAACAAAAGCCCATCGAACACTTCCCCCGACGCCCGCCAACCAGCCTGCATGCAGCACCACTCAGTCCCCAAAAGCCAAAATAAACGAGAGCCGCGCGGTCACACGCTTACATGATGAAGACCGATTCCCCGACGCGGTATGAGACGGGCCTTGAGTTTTGCGCGCTGAATCAGAAATTGTGGCTTTTGCTCACATGCACGGAAAGGCGTAGGGTGTAGTCAGCTGTAGGCTGTTGTTGCCTTTTTGTGCGGTTAGCCGGGATGGGCGCGGCGCGGCGTGGCTTTCCCGCGTGAGATGGAAATAGAATTGGCGAGGCTGCTGGATGTGACTAGGTGAGTGAGAAAGTGGATGGAGGAGGAGAAATCGGGAAGTTTGAGAGGGATAGAAAGCGCGGAATTCTAGATCTACAGGATCGGTGAACGCTCGCTTTCATTAGATTACGTCTAGTACAGTATATACGCGCGCCGAACTGCAGATTTCGAGGAGGAGGATGAGAAGGTCGAGGAGGAGGAGGAGGGAGAGGAGGAGGTTGTCGATGAGGATGGTGCGGATGATGTGAGTGAGCGCGCGGGTGCGTTCGCGTGCGCTGCTTTGTTCACCACGTGTCGATTTAGGAGGTAAGGGGAGTGGTGGGCCAGACGGCCATGCCCTGGAAGTTCTCGCGCGTGCCGAGAGACGTCAGGTCGAAGTACTGCGACTGCTTGGAGGTCTTGAGGTCGACGACGACGATTCCATCCGGATCCGCGAGCGAGTAGCTGTAGTTGTCGAGGATGGCGGTGTCGTAGAGGCCGCCTTCGGTGCCGTTGTTGCCGGGGGTGTGCACCTCGATGGGCGTCAAGAGCTTGCCGGTCGTGCCGTCGACGACGCTGATGCGCGTGCGGCCGGCGTCGTAGAGGTAGCCGTTCTTTTGCAGCGGGTTGTACGCGGTCCAGCACACGGCCGCCTCGCCGACGACGGTGATATTGTCGACTTGCCTCGGGGTGTTGCCTTGGGTGTCCACGAGGGCGCCGCCGGCGACGCCGAAGACGGGCGAGGAGATGAGGAAGGTTTCGTCGTTGATCCACGAGGCGCCGAAGTTGAAGATGAGGTCGCTGATTGAGCTGATTTTGGGCTTGGAGGAGACGACGCCGTTGCTGATGGTGTACTCGAGGAATTTGCCGGGGGTGGGGTTGGGCTTGGTGACCTGCGTGGAAGATTAGTATTTGCTGGTAGGTTAGGTCGTGGATCTCGGACTTACCGGGTTGCCCTTCACAATGACCCAGAGAGAGGTGGAGGCGGGGTTGAAAGAGATTTGAGTGACGGTGTCGACGGGGCCAGTGGGAGGGTTGGTCTGCTTGAAGCCGCTGTAGAGCGGGAGGGCCTTGCCGTGCTTGGTCAAGCCGCTGGCGGCAACCTTGAAGCACTGCACGCTGCCCTTGCTGCCGCCATTGAGGGCGCACACCAACTCAAGATCGGGAGAGTAGGCGACGGAGGTGGGAAAGTCGCCGTTGGTGGACTTGGTGTCGACGAGTTTCACGTCGGTGGGATCGGCGGTGTTGATGGTGAACATGACAATGGTGCCGGCGCCGGGGTTGACGGTGAAGAGGTACTGGAGTTGGGTTTAGTGGTGGACAACGAGGGTGAGTGATGCGAGACATGGTACTCACGTTGCCTCCGACGGTCACGATGCTCTGGGAGAAGAAGATACCAGCGGGGGTGGCGAGGGTGGAGATGGGGAAGGCGCCCTTGCCGCCGGTAGAGGTGAGGACGGGCTTGCCGAGGGAGCCATCCGAGGCAATGGCCATGGAGACGAGCTGGTTGTCGGAGGTGTTGGTGTTCTTGAGGAAGTAGGCGGCCGCGCCCTTGGCGGGAGGCTTGCCACTACCACCACCGCCGCCGCCTCCAGATGGAGGACCCCATGGGAAGGGAGAGGCGAGGACGGCCGGCAGGAGGGCGGCGAGGGAGAGGAAGCTGCGCATGTTGGTGGGTTGTGACGAGGGGTGTGAGAAGAGAAGAAGAGTGAGAGGAGGAGATGGGGTGGGATGAGATGAACGAAACAAGACTTTGGCAGGGAAACCAAGCTTTTTTATACCTGCTCCCAAGCTTTGTGGCGGGCATGGCAAGGCAGCACAGTAGGATGCATGATGCCGTCGCGCGCACGTCCGTGTACCAAATGCCAATAGCACGGTAACGTAACACCAGGCGTGCGCGGTATATTGCGTTGGCGCGTGAATAAGCGGGAGAGACGGAGGGCATTTGTCAGGATGTGAAGAAGTCACCAATATATCGGGCACCGCGAGGCTAGATGTGGAGAGAGTAGGCTACGGGTGAGGAATTATCTCAGCCTGATGAGCGGTAGGATAGGGCAGGGCCGGAAGGGGCGGGAACGATGCACGACACGTGCGAGGCAGTGCGGCTGGCGCGACGCGTTGGCCCTAGCGCGCCGTTTCACCGGTGGAGGGAGAGGAGGGCGTAAGCCGAGCGGCGCCGGGCGGTCACAGCCTTGTTTAGAGAGCGAAGACTGGCGTGGGTACATGTACCGAGTGAAGTCTGTCGGTGTCCAAAATTGGCAACAGCGCTAGTCCGTGCCAGGCAGGGGGAGGATGACAGAGCGGAGCGGGGGATGGTGCACGTGGAATCAGGCATTGTTCGACGTGGGTGTTGGGCCAGGAACCGACGTTGCATGGGAAGGTCGAGGCGGATGGGAGTGCGGCGCGGTGATGCTGAATCATGTTCTGTCATCCCGTCGCTGACAGATCATTTACCCGCAAGCACCCCACGGTCTCGTCCCGATTCCGCTGTCCCGATATTGCTGCGCGCCCAATTCATGTCATCTCGCTTGGAGGCTGCGGAACGATGTAGCAGGGCGGAAATGATGGAAGAAGGGGAAATGATGGAAGAAGTCGAGGATAGTGCAACAATGCGAGTGAGGTGGAGACGGACGAGAGATGGCGTCGCTCGGAAGACCTTCTCCGCCGCCAACCACGGCAGTGATCGCCCTCCACCCTCTCCCCAGCATACGTCATTGCAAACGACATTGATGATCGCAAATGGAAGTTTCTCAATGCCTCTAGCTGCCATAGCCGGAGTTAACGACGTATCCGCGTGCTCTTTTGCACTTTCTTCTTCTTCTTCTCCTTCTCCAACTTTTCATTCTCCTCACACCCACACTTCACTCACCCAATCAATCCGCACAAGTCTCATCACACCACCACCCATCATGCAAAAGGCACAAGAAGTCCTGGCGAAAGCCACCGACGGCAAGATTGGTCATAAACTTCCCACGGCTAAGTTGGGTAGACACGGGCCTGAGGTGACGAGGTTAGGCTTTGGAGCAATGGGCCTCGTAAGCAATACGGAATCACAACGCACAGTCATCAAAGCTACCACTCACTGACCCTCGTCCCCACTAACTAGAGCGCCTTCTACGGCACGCCCAAGCCCGATCCCGAGCGTTTCGCCGTGCTGGACAAGGTCTACGAGGAGGGCGAGCTGTTTTGGGACACGGCTGATGCCTACATGGACAATGAGGATCTAATTGGTTGGCACTTCCCTTCCCACCTGCTTGCACATGCTCCCACTGACTCCCCTCCCCCAGGCCAATGGTTCAAGAAGAACCCCGGCGCGCGCGAGAAGATCTTCCTCGCCTCCAAATTCGCCCTCACCATCGACGCAGATGGCAACCGCGGTCTCCGCAGCGACCCTGAGTACGTGCACGAGGCGTGTGCCAAATCCCTCCGCCGCCTCGGTGTCGACCACATCGACCTCTACTACTGCCATCGTCTCGATGGCAAGACGCCCGTGGAGAAGACGGTCGAGGCCATGAAGCAGCTCAAGCACGAGGGCAAGATCAAGCACATTGGCTTGTCCGAGTGCAGCTCCGACTCTCTGCGCCGTGCTTCCAAGATTGCACATATCGATGCTATCCAGATCGAGTACTCGTATGTTCTCCTCTGTCCACTTCTCCGCTCACCATGCTAACACGCCCCGCAGTCCCTTCTCCCTCGACATCGAGAGCGACCAGATTGGCCTCTTGAAGACTGCCCGTGAGCTTGGCGTGGCCATTGTTGCCTACTCACCCATCGGCAGAGGAATGTTGGGCGGAAACATCAAGGGTCCCCAGGACTTCGAGGAGGGAGACTTCCGCAAGTTCGCCCCGCGCTTCAGCGAGGAGAACTTCCCCAAGAACCTCGCGCTCGTCGACAAGCTCAACGCCATCGCCAAGAAGAAGAACGTGACAGCCAGCCAGCTGACCCTGGCCTGGGAGCTGGCCCAGGGCGACGACTTCTTCCCCATCCCGGGCACGACCAATGTCAACCGCGTCACGGAGAACATCAACTCGCTGAAGATCAAGCTCACCAAGGAGGAGGAGAGGGAGATTCGCCAGGCGTGCGAGTCGGCGCAAGTCTCTGGACACAGATACCCCGAGGCCTTCTCTGCCGGTCTGTTCGCCGACACCCCGCCTCTTTGAACATGAGATGCAGACGATTAGATAAAAGAGCGTGTGTTGCTATGCTTCCACGTTTCTAGATCAGACAGCAACCTCCTCAAATGAACGTTTGTCAGCTGCACCTTCTCGTGTAAGTGTGTCACGTGAGGCAACAGCACTTGAAGTGTTGTCAGTGTTGTAAGCCCTTTCTTCCATTCTACAACACTCCTTCCACATACAATGAGCCCGTGGTAAGCAGGTGCCCAAGTGGCAGAGGTAATCATAGCACTTCCTCTCCCCTCGACTCTCCCTCACTCTTCACTCCCCCCCACTCAACTGCTCACCACGATTCCAACAACTCATCTCTCCAACTCCATCCCAAATCAAACAGCAATACCAGCATCCCCAATCAAATCAATAACCATGCATATCCCAACCCTCACCACCCTCCTCACAGCAATCGCCCTCCCCCTCCTCGCAGTCCCAAATCCCCAAACAACCTACCTTCCCCCCTCAGGCTGCGGAACCGCAATCGACCTGTGCGTCCCCCATCCCCTCCACCAATCCCCAAAAAATAACCACTAACGCAAAAGCAAAACCCCCCAGCATAATCCAAGCCTGCCTCACCCTCGAACAACCCCGCCTAACCCTCTGCGCCCCAACAGACTAGCAGTGCCTCTGCGCGCAAACAACGGCCATCGCGACCTGCTTCGACGCCTGTCCTGCCGCCGGGGAAGCGTGGGGCGCGAAGCAGAGGGTCGTGGCGTTTTGCGAGGCGGCGATGGCGTGAGGTTTCCCCACCTTCTTCCCATCTCGACTTGATGGTTTTTGTTGTTGCGAGGTGATAGGCTGATTGTGAGTGAGGGGGATAGGTATCCTTCTTCCACCACTTCGGGGGTTGTGAATGGGTGGACAGCCATGCCTACGCTTACGACGTCGGTTTCTTCTACGGACTCGTGGGCTTCATACACAGCTTCGGCATCGATTCCCATCGATTCCACGCAGCCAGTCATGCCGGGGAATAAAACGACTCCATACCCGGTCATGCAACCTGCTACCAGCGTGGCGAGCGTAGTCTCTGCTTCAACTGTGTACGGCTTGGTCGCACTCTTCGTTGGCGTCTTGGGGTTTGTGATGGTTTGAAGTGTACGTGTGCGAGGAGCGGGCTGGGTTTGAAGGGGAAGAGAGCGTTGATGGTATCGGACTCGGAGAAGAGCGATGAGTAGCAAGAGGGGAGTTCATTGTTTATGTTCATTAATGGAAAGCAAAACATCACCGCGTCGATACTCACTCTCAGCTCATCGGGCAGGCAAGCAGAGTAGGGAAGAAGCATGTGGAATGACGATCAAACCACTCATTCATTTCACGCCTCTACTTGACTCCACAGGTAAACTCTTCATGTACACCATTGACCATGTGTCGAAAGGAAAACAAGGGAAAAGGGAAAAGAGAAAAGTAGGTTACCATTCCATAGTGTCTTGCACTCATAATCATCGTCGCCATCCCTCTGATCCCGATCAGACAACCGCATCCACACCCCCTTCTCCCCATCCATGCAACCCCCTACTCCTGCCCAAAGCCCACAGTCTCCTCAACAGCCCACGTAAGCTTCTGCTGCAACTGCTCAAAGGACTTGTAAGGCGGCAGATCCAAGCGATTGAAGCAAGTATGCGACTTGGGCAGCTGCGCCTCTTCGCCCGACTTTTCGATCGTGAAGCGCCGCGGCCCGTCGGAGCCTTGCAAGTCTTTGAAGCCGTTGACGGGGATGCGCGACGTGCCGGTGGCGAATTGCAGGAGGCGCGATTTCTGCTCGGCGTCCCAGCCGCGGATGCACTGTTGATCGTTCTTGATTAGCGTCTCTCGTTACGAAAGGGGGAAGATGATTGCTTACCTTCCAGAAGTTCTGCACCACGGCGTCACTTTCCGTGTAGCCACGGTAATCCGTGTGCTTCTTCCAGTCCTCGACGTCAATATCCGCAATACCACCAATCAGCAACTCCAGCTCCCTCTCATCAAACACATTGACCAGATCGGCCGGGATCAACTCGTGGAAGCCAGCGACGAAAGCACTGAATTGCTCCTCCACTCGCTTCTGGATCCGCCACTCGGTGATGAGCTCGACGTACTCCCGCTTGTTCTCGTTCGTCACCTCAATGTCCTGCCCACCAGGCTTGAGGTCGACCGTCACCTTCTCGCCGAAGCGTTCGTCTTCCACGGAAAAGGTGGAGTAGATGACGTCCGTGATGTCGTTCTCCATCGCCCAGCTGAGCGTGCGGTGGAACTCGGCGTCGACACCTTCCATGTCGGACAGGGCGACCTTCTTCTTGAGAATCATCTTGTAGAAGGCTCCGATGAAGAAGGCGTCCAGGAAGCGGCGGTGGAAGATGGCCAGACCGACCACCCTACCGATGAACTTGAAGTAGCCCAGATGCTCCGGGTTGATGCCGGAGTGCGGGTTGATCTGCAGCGTGTAGTTGTCGTGGGCCGAGTACTCAAACAAGCAGTAGAAGGGGTTGAACATCTCGTGGGACAGCAGGAAGAAGAATTCTCGCGACAGTCCACCGTAATCCAAGCCGTCCTCGCCATCGAACTTGATCATCAGGCGCTTCTTGAGATCGTTCGGGCTCTGCCGCATGATTTCGGCATACGAGTCTTCGAAGATATGCGTACGTCGCACTTTGACGTGGCATTGTCCGGAGAGGATTCGCAGCGCGGGCTGCGATCGGAAGTAGATCAGCTTTCTCCTGAAGTCACGCTTGTATTGCGGCACGTTCTGGTCGAGCGATGACGGCAGTCGCGGGTCGTCCCAGGTAGTCGTCTTGGTGTTGTGGTCGACAAAGTACACGCGGGCGGTGTTGGTCAGACGCATCTCCCATCCACTCGGGAGGGGGCCAAGCTGAGACACGGGCTGCTGCTGGATGGTGCTATTTCCAGCCCCAGCATTCTGTCCGTACATCCTAATGTATTGCTGGCGGCGGGGGTCCACCCAGGTGGTGGTGCGAGTGTTGTGATCGACAAAGTACGCACGCCCTTCGGCGGTGTGTCGCTGCTCCCAACCGGCGGGCAACTCTCCAGTTCCTGCGGTAGTAGCGCCGGTGGCAACCATTTGAGCGGCACTGGCTTGGTTGGCAGCAGCCGCTGGCGGCGGCGATGGCGCTGCCGCTTGACTGTCGGGCGACCCGGTGCCAGTCCGGTCTTCCGGCAACATACGGGCCTGATGACGCGAGCGCTCAGCGGACTGCTGCTGCTCCATCGCCACTCGCTGCTCGCCGGCGTTAAAGTTGGCCGTGGGTCTGATCCACGTGGTTTGACGGTGATTATGATCGACATAGTAGGTTCTGCCCAAGTTGTCTTCACGTCTTTCCCAGCCTGGAGGCAATCTCCCCTGTGCATCTTCAAATGCACTGAAGCCCGACTCGGTGTTGCGTCGGGAAGAGGTGTTGGCACCATTGAGAGCTGGTGGGCCCGAAGTGGTGTTGGTGGGGACTCGGCTGGCAGGAACCGATCCAGCGGTACTCGAGGGTCGGTCGTTTTGCAGCGAAGAAGTGGATTGAGCGGGATTGGGGGTGGATGTGCCGTTCTGAGATGCCCCTGCAGAAGACAATGGAGGGCGTTGAACCGCGTTACCGTTCGCGATGGGCGTCCTCAAGTTGGTGGAGAGGCTGAGGATGAGTTTGCCGTTGACGACGAGGTTGTCGTTTGATTTACGCAAATCACGGGTGAGCATTTCTACTTCAGTCAGTACCCGTAGGAGGAAGAAAAGAGGGAGAAAGGATGGATGGTGCTCACCATCGCCACCGGCATCCAAGTCGAGCACGCTTCCGACGCGTACATTGACGACTCCCAAGAAGCCTTGATCCTTCTTCTTGAACTTCTTCTGGTCAAAGATTTGTACCGCAAGAATACTCTCTTCCGTCACTCGCCTGGGGGAATGGTTAGAGGAAGCAGGTGATGGATGGGAAGTGGGGAAGACGGACATGTCAAAGCTCTCGTTCCAGTAGGGATTCAGAGTCTTCTTGATGACTCCGGTCGTCTTGGTCTGCTCGCCGCTAATGGTAGCGACCGCAAAAGGGTCGGGGAACCCTGGGAGGAGTGTTAGTGGTGCGGTCTGGTGGGAGCGTGATGGGGTGATGCCACATACTGAAGACATCTCGCTTGTACAGGCCGTCGGCGGCAATGACTACAAATGGTGTCAGTCCCTTCTTGTGGTATGTCACCCCTACCCTTGCAACTCTTTGACGTACTCGTGACCCTCAAATTAGGCTGCTGAGGGGGATCCATGGCGGATACGGTATATGCCTCAATTCAGATGCGGGCGACCAAAGAGCACCACCATGCAGCGCCAAGCGATGCGCTCAGCTACAGGTGCAGAGTGGGAAGGCGGATGCAGAGGGGTCGGCGGGGGGTGCGGTGGTGGTGAAGGTGGATGAGAAAGGGTGGAATAGGATAGAGGATGGAAGAGTGCCGGGCGGGAGCGGTGTTTCTGCCGCTGGTCTGACGCAAACGTGGCTGTGTAGCGGTGTTGGTAATGACCTGCCGCCGGTAGGTCGTGTGCTCGCCGGCTCAGTCGCCTGTACCGGGTGTCGATGGGCCTGCGATGCTGCGAGATGGATGGGAGAGATGGGCTCACGCGACACGGGGCGGCGAGAGGGCGGATGCGGGCAATTGGAGGGAGTGGAGGGCGTGGTGGGAGCAAGCGTCGTCGTCGCCCGTCTTGCCGGCCTCTTCGGGCTGCCCCAGAAAAAGCCAAAGCCCCGCCCTGATGACTGCCCGCCGCGACTTTTAGCCGCCCGCTCTTTCCCCACGCCATGCCCTTTGGAATCGAGTCAAGCCACCATGCCATGGAGTGGTAAATGCAAACATCAATGTATTTATTCGAGGAAGCCCGTTCTATCCACTCATCGCTTCTTCCCTCGTCAAAATGCACTGCATCGGCCACTCTATCCATTGATGCCACTGAGCCTCCAAATCCCCCACAACATCCTGCAACAGCCGCGTCGACCATCCACGAATCCACCACCGATCATCCAAAACATTGATCAGAACCGCATAGTAGGCCAGCATGACGAGTGCTTGCGGCACGCGTTTCTTCACCAGCTCGCAGAAATTGCTCGACGCCTGCTTGGGGAAGCAGAGAATGGTGGCGACGCTGCACATATCTCGCCCCGTGACCACCTGATCGTACACCTTCTTCATCTCTGCCAGCACGAGATAGCATGTGCGTCGCTCGTCGGGCAGCATGGTGTCGACGCCCAGCATAAAGTCCAAATGGCCCAACCCAAAGTCCATTCCTTGAGGCAAGATAGATCTGCTTTCCACACTTAGTGCTCTCGTTTCTTCTTGACGTGCTCGCAGTCGAGATCCTACCCTTCCGATAGTGGGGGAATTGCTTCTTGAAAGCCCCTCATTAGTATCGGGGCGAACGGGCCCTGCGCCACCCAGAACCACGTCTCCGCCATGGATGAATCGACTTCCTTGGCCAGCGTGAGGAGCTCCACCATCGCATCGATCGGCGGTAGGTTGGGAAGGACGGCAAACGAGGTGAGCGTGACGAGCCATGGGAAGAGGAATCGCGCGTTTGCGTTCTCCTCATTGACCGGCTCGGTATTGGAGCGGTGCAGTGTAAATGCGTGGTCGAGGTGCTGCACAGCACTGTGTCGTAATTGTTGGTGCACGTTTCCGGGATCCACGCGGAGCTTGTGCAATGCGGAGAAGGCCAGGAGGGCATGCAGCACGTATTCGCATTGAAATGCTACCTTGGGCGTATCGATTTGCCAGATGGCGAGGATGGCTTCCTCGGTGCGATGGTTGGTCATGACGGCATTGGTACAAGCCATATAATGGTGCATGAGTTGGAGATCCAAGGCGCGTTGTTGCTCGTCTTGCATGAAGGGCGGGAGGGCGTCAATGGCCGATCGCTGACGGGCATCTCGCCGTGCACCACGGGATCCAGGGAGGGCAGTCTGAGCATCGGAGGCTTGATCCGCTCGTGTCGCCTTGCCTGCTGTACTTGTTGCCGACGAGGAGGCCGATGCCCGGCGCCCCTTCGCGTCATCTCGAGTCACGTATGGCCCGCCAGCGCGAGAGCAAGCCACGCCATGTCTTACGCAGTTCGAGCACGGCGCTCCTTCATCGCACTGCGGAGCTGGTGAGGCTCTGGACACCCAGCTTCGCACGACATTTGATCATGTCAGGGATGACTAACCTTGACGTGTCGTCGCTTGCACTGTGCGCAGCCTTTCCGCGACTTTTTGTGTCCGAGTCGAGGCGCTCTATTTGCCTCCATGACTAAGATTAGCCACGCGCATGGACGTGGGACAGCACGCAAGGCTGCGTTGCGCTTCTTGGCTTTTTGTTCCTGTACACTTACGGCACTGGAGGCGGCGAGAGCGACTCTGAGCTCCGCGGACGAGGGTGAGTGGCGGGCGTCGGCATCAAAGGCCGCGAGCCCATGTCCACGTCGGCGACCGCAAAACCCGGGGGGCCGGCGAAAGCGAGGAGGCCGGCAATGCGAATGGTGAAGATAGATGTGAGCACAACAGAGGGCGGGTTTCAATCATAATTGGAGCTGCGTGCGTGCGTGCCAGGCTGCCCGGGGGTTGGTGGAGCACATGTATAATAAGATAGCGAGGAGGTGGAAAGGCTGGCCCCGTGGAGCTTATCATGTCGTGACTGCCGCAGCGCTCGGAGGCGGATGCTAGGGTTCCATTCCGCTATGTCGCTTCGTGCACATATGCGGGCAACGGGCTGGACTAAGAGGCGTGCCCTACAGCAGCTAGCTGAGGCCGGGGCGAGTTGCAGGTGGGGCGACACGCTTCACGTGGAACGGGTGAGGTGTGCGGTCCCGCTTTGTCGTTGGAATCATTCCAGGTTCCACGCCAGGCTCGACTGCGCCGCCAGCACAGGGTCCGTTGATCAATCCTCCGGCGGGCTGGTGAGAGAGCTCGGCAGGGAACGGAGATAAATCAAACGAGACGAGCGTGCTGACGTCGCTGTCACGGGCTTTTAAATCGCATGTGTCTGCCTGCTTGCCCTAATCGTTGCCATCCTCGACTCCACTATTGCGAGCCTAGTACTGATCCTGCTCCCCAATGCAGTCAGTGGTGACTGAAAGTACAGTTACAGACAGCTAATCCATTGTCGCATTTCACGCCTGTCGATGGTGGCAGCATCACTCCATCACGATTAATATCAAGGAGCACCAAGATCTTTCCAGCGATCAGTACAACACTGGAACGCCAGAGGCATGTCCCGACGGATCGTGATGCTCTTGCTCGCTCGTGGCTCGGAGCCGGCTCTTGCTCCTGTGCCGCAGGCGTCATCCAGAGCAGGAGCGCATAGAACATCTGGGCATCTTAGCTTGGTCTAATTCACGCAGTCAACCTTCGGGACGCCCAGATGCGCGCTATCTCTCACACGCGCTCAGTCAGAATGCCAGCAAAATCACAAGACTCAACGAGTTACACAGCCGTCTCGGGCAGCATCGATTTGCGGAAAGATGACATAGATCTCTTCGACCAACCGCCTCATTGCACAAGTCCTCAAACCACCTAACATTCTTCAAATCCTCTTGCACGCGTCTACCTCTTGTCACACGTCGCATCTCTCCTTCACACATCTACCTCTTCATGGGAGTGCAGCCGCTTTTCTTCGCAGCAAAATGGCTCTTTTCGGCATTGAAGCCGTTTGGGAATTCTTGTGGCTTCTTTCTGTCACCTTCTTTTTGAATGTTTCTAATTAGATCCGAAGGTGTCTTGCTTTCATTCCCACTCCCTATTCCTTCTTCCGATCATCCTCGCGAGTATCGTCAAGCCAATCATAGCCAGACGATAGAGAGGCCTGGTGATCTGCCGTGACATCGGGAGACGAACGTTACACACAGACGGAGACGCCATCATGCAGTCTCAGTATGGGTTGAAGCCGCGTCCACGGCCGCGATAGCCCCCACGATACCTGCGCACGGTCAGCAAGAGGCTGCAAATATGAGGAAAGACCTAGACGTACCCGCCGCGCGGGGGTGGAGCACCATATCCCCCTCTTCCGTACGACGCAGGACCACCATACGGCCCACCGCGACCACGAGGACCGCCGCCACCACGACCACCACCTCTGCCACCACGGTTCATGCCTGGAAGATTGGTGCGTTTCGGCACAACCTGTTGCAATCGTGAGTGAGTCGCACCAAAAGCGCGAGTGATGACTGCATACCTTGATATTGCGGCCGCGAAAGACGCTCTCGTTGAGCACCAGAGCTTGCGTGACGAGATTCGGCTCGGAAAACTCCACATACGCGTAGCCCTTGGGATGCCCGGTGAACTTGTCCAGCAGGATAGTGACGCGATTGATCGAGCCGCAGCTCTGGAAGTGCGCCTGGATCTCCTCCGGGCTGGCGCCGTAGTCGACATTGCCCACGAAGATGGACCGCGCATCAATGTCCTCCTTGTTCTCCCGCAGATTGTCGGTCTGCGAGTCGATGCTGGCTTGCATCTCGCGCAGCTTGGCCGCCTCCGCTTCCATCTCTTCCACGCGCTTCTTCATCGCGGCGATTTCCTCTTCATCCCCCGCATCGTCGTCGTCTACTTGGTGGTCTAGCTGCTCATTCTCGACCTGATCCTCCTCTTCTGCCGCCATCTTGCTGGGTGCGCGTAGTCTTTTAGACTGTCGTGTCGCGTAGTGAATCGAATCTGCCTCGCCAACGAAGTCGTCGGAGAGGGTGCAAAGGAGACCCGGGTGGATGTAAGGTTCACTTTCGGATTCCGAAGCGAAAGTGAAGCTGCCTATGAATGAAAGGTTGTAGGGTTCAACAAACAACAACGAAGACCGGAGATCGGAGGTGAAGCTGCGCGGAAAAGTTATGGGAAGGATCCAAAGCGCGAACTCTAAATGCGCTCGCGGGTTGCTGAGTCAGACAACGGCCCACGAGGCTTGAAACCCCTCCTGATATGATCGGCCCTGCCAAGCTCCCATTGCCCTCCGCCAAGTAGCATTCAGTCCGTCTGGAGCGTCGCAAGCCATGAATAACAACGAGCATCGCCCCCTGCTGGCATCCGACCACAAGCGGCTGGGAAGCGTCCGCTTCCCGGAGGAGCGGTCCTTCATTTCAAAGTGCAGGCACAACACCAAGCGCTATCTCACCGTGAGCAGTACACCATCCCGACAAAACCACGACACAAACACTAACTTCCAATCCCAGTCCAAATATGGACACTACAGCGTGCTGGGGCTCGTGTCTCTCGACATCAGCTCCATCTTCGCCGACCTCATCCTGCAACTCCTCATCTGCGAAGGGCGCGTGCCGGCCAAAGACGGCAATAAGGCGTCGGATGTGCTGGGGATTGTCAGCCTGGTGTTTTCCTGCTTGTTCATGGTATGCTCCTCCCAAGTGGTCTTTTTTGTCCTCCCCCTACAGTACTGACGACCTCTGGCTAGGTGGAACTGATAGCTTCAATCTGGGCATTTGGTTGGCGCTTCTTCCACTCCTGGTTTCACTGTCTGGACGCGACCGTCATCACCGCCGGCTTTGTGATTGACGTGCTGTTGAAGGGGCAGTTGGAGGAGATTGGCTCGTTGGTAGTGGTGTTGCGTTTGTGGCGAGTTTTCAAGGTGAGGACAATCATGTCAAACTCTACACGCACATACTAACGACGCAGCAGATCATCGAAGAGCTTAGTGCCGGTGCGGAAGAGGAAATGGAACCGCTGCAAGAGCGCCTCGAAGATCTGGAGTCGGAGAACCAAGAGCTGAAGCGAGAAATTGAGGAGCTGAAGAGCGGAAATGGCTCGTCGCAGGTTTGAGGTGAATCTACCGAAACGATCTAGGGGCTGCGATCTCTTGGACGCTGCCTAGCATCTCCGAAAGAATCATCGGGTATAGTAATCGGTCTTGTAGATAGCCTTTGCTCTCGGCAAGCTGCCATCCACCCCTCTCGTCCCGTCCCTGTACGCAAGGTTTCCATCGTGAATAATGGCCATCGGATTGTTGGGCAGGTTGAACAACTCCTGCAGGCTGTTGCACTGTACCAAAACTCCTTCCGTATTCTCCCAGGGGTACAGCGTGGCAAGCGTGGCCTCACTTGCCGTGTTTTCATTCGTGGCACGGCGCTCATTCGCTTTCCCTATTGCTTTGTTCTCCTCGACTAGCTCAAACTCCGCCAGCGGGGTCTGCCTCCCAAATCTCTCCTTCCTGGTAGGCCGTTGCTTGATCTCGGCGATTTTGGCACTTCGATCAAAGTCGAGGGACTTGAGCTCGGGCCATTCACCGAAGAGATCTTTGGCGTTGAAGTTGGTGTTCATTTCGGTCATCTCCACCATTTTCTCAATCATTGGTAGATTTGTACGCTGGCTCAATGCGGGTCGAGTCTCACTGTTCCGCGCTCGAGCTGGCTGCAGGGGGGAAGCCACCAACTCGACTGCTCGCTCTTCAGCCGGAGGCGGAGGCGGATGCCCATGGGTGAGAGGCAAAGCCGCCGGCTCACTTGCATCGACATCCATCACGTCAGGCGTTGGCACATTCTCGTCAACATCCATCATTTCAGCAACAGCGTCTTCCAAAGCCGCGGCTGGTAGAACTTCCTTCAGCGGCTGGAGCTGGTAAGATCGTCTCCGTTCTTGCGTTAGAAGCGGCTCTTCGTCAGACGAGTCATCAATCACGACTGTCTGGGTCTTGATCGATCTCTTGGGGAGCGGTTGACTAGTAGTCTCTGCTGCCAGCGGCTCCGCATCTGACAGTGTAGAGCGACGGCGTCGACGCTTCTTACTACTGCTGGCCTCGACCTTCGCTGCTGCAGATCGTACTGGCGTGGCAATGTTCGGCGGTGACTTCTTCTGCTTTCCAGTCGTCACCTCCTCCGTTCGTCGCACGCTCGGTATCTTGAGCCAGACTTTCGGCGGTGAGACGGGCTGCTTGAGCACAGGATCCCAACGCACGAGTTTCTCTGCTTGGCCTGGCAGCAACTCCCACAGACACGCCTCATTCAGCTTCAAACCCACTTCCACTTTCCGCCACAGCCCTGGCTTCCCAAGCTCGTAGCCCTCTCGTTTCAACGTCAATGTCGCTCGCAGGGAGTTCTCCCATTTACCTTCACCGTGCTTGTAGCCTGGGATGTTCTTCACGACCCAAGCAGTGATATCAGTCGCTTTCAAACGGTGATTCGGTGCCGCACAGAGAGCCATCCCGATCAGCTTCTCGTAGGCGCCTTTCGGACGGGTGTATGAATCTCCAAGGTCGTGCTCATGATTGGCCGGCCGGGTTTGAGTCCGGCGCTTGATGGCGGGTGATTCTTCGTTCTCGTTACTAGTCGGATGGCCAACGTCCCTTTCAGACTCGGAATCAGATGAGCTGTCGACGTCATTGGATTCTGGGGGAGATGATAGGTCGTCGTTTGTAGTCTCTTCCTCCCTCTGCGGAGGGTTCGCCGCGGTATCGAGATCTCCACTACGCGATACGGGCGCTGCTATTGTTTCTGTGGCGACTGTGAGAGCTGGGATTGGCGTCACTGGTGAGGTCACTGTTGGTGCCGAGATCGCCACCGGCGCCGTAGTCTCTATTGAAAGCCTCTCTGCTGTTCGTGCTGGGTTCACGCCCGAATCCGGCATCATTGTCAGCGGAACAACAGGCTCTCCCGTACCCTTGTCCGTCCGGGCTGATTGGTGCAGCCCTGGTGAGCTTGAGGGCGGCCTTTCTGTCCGCTGAACAGTGTTGATCTGAGGAGAACCAGAAGCTTGCCGTGCAACACCATCACTCTTGCAGCGTGAGCACAGTTTGTTAGAGCCAGAGGGTCCCGAAGAAGTAGTCTTTCCGCATCGAACACACTTTGCAAAGCTGGGCGCACCTGGCCGTATTCTTTTCATCTTCGCCTTAGGGATCTGGCCCTGGGAAGTATTTGAACGGCTTTGCGCGGTGTCGACATGTGCAATTCCAGTTGGCCCGGGCTCTTGAGTGGCCACCTTGGTGTGCGAAATCTTTGATTTGACCATGTCTTTGGAAGTGACCTGTTCATCTCTGTCTTGTGTTCGCTGTTCGTCCGGTGACTCTGGGATTTCAACGACCGTTGCCGCAGCTCGTTGAGTGGTGGCATCAGTCATCTCGACGTCTCCGTTCCCGTTCGCTCGATTTGACACAAACAAGTTGGGACTGGTGTCTGTGTTGCCCCCATGCGTGCTTGAGCAAGACTCGTCTTTCCCTGCAGCATCATCGCCGTTCGATTGCCCGCTTACTGGTGCTACACCAGTACCGCTGGACGTTTGCGCAATCGAAGTGTGAGCCAGTGGTGAGCCGGGAATGCCAACAAAGTGGGACGAGTCATGCGCAGGTGATGCAGCATCGACGATTTTCTTGCGCACAAGCCTCAGTTTTAGAGGCTGAGATGGGCGAGGTGAATGCGAATGTCCGTGTGGGCGCGGAAGATCGAAGCTCTTGGCAACCAGATCAATAGCCTCCGTGAGACCGATATTATCGGGCGGGGAGTATTCTGAGCTCGAGTCGGTGACATCGAGAGCTGGACTCTGTTCTCTTTTGTTGCTCAAGTTGTCCGGCGGCTGTTCTGCATTGGTGTCTGCAACATCGAGAGCTGAAATCTGTTCTCTTTCGTTGTTCGGGGTTGGGGCTTTTGCAGAGTTGGTCAGAGAGTTCAAATCTAAGCTCACGACTGGCTGAAAAGGACTTTCAAGTCTCATCATCTTCGTCGGCCGCTCTTCTGACGACATGCCGGCTTTTTCACGGGATCGCTTCAATACAGGTGAGGACCGTGTCAGCCTAGTCCCAGATGTAATGCCATCCTTCCGGATACAGCGACGGCATCGCCAGGTGTGATCTTCGTCGAGTTGAAAAGGTATCGGAGGTCGGTCATGGCACCGACGGTGATATCGTCTAGGACATGAAGAGCAACAGACCAGCGGTTCCACGTCAATGTTCGTGCCCTTCTGGCACACGTGGCACTTAAGACGACGTGAGCTGGAGACGTCAGAGCCGGTGAAACCACTAATACATGAAAGCGCATCGTCTCTGTCCTGACGACTCGGTACACGGAGGGGCGACGACTGTCGAGCCGGCACCGCCGCTGAGTCTAGCGGGATGTCAATGCTGGCCTCCGCAGCGGGAGCCGATTGCTGATCTGTTGTCTTGCCGTTTATGGATTGAGGAGGTTGGTGGAGCACACTCTTCTCGAGACGAGATACTTGCGGAGATGTCTCAATGCGATCTGGCCGCGTACCAGTACCCGGAACGTCTTCCTCCGACGGAAGAGGTCGTAATCTGCGCGCCGCTGGCTGACCATGCGGATAATAGTGCATCTCCAAGGTATACGTGCTGAACATCTTGGCTCCATTTTTTGCATCATAGCACTCTTTGAGGGTATGCCTGCTGGCCTCCGAATCCCCAAGACAGATATACCAGCCGTCTTCGTCAAGATGGATGTTGCTCTCCTTGCGCGTATGTGGCCGAAGGAACCCATGCAGATGCTTGATCATGCCGCGCTTAGCAGGCAGAGATCTCCATGGGATGAAGATGTGTGGAGAGATCTTGGCTGCGGTGAGACCACTCGCGGGCACGACGTGCGGGGCGGCTTTTGGGCCGGTTGGTACGCCTTTTATCCCTCCCCATTCCATGTTGCGGACTGTGTGAACAGGGAGAGTTTCATCAACGACAGGCGAACGTGCGCCGAGCGGCCGGGCAGGTTGTTTGACGGAGTGTCTTGGCCCGGAATGCAAATGAGGCGCAATCCACTTTTTGTTCTGGAAGAGGCCAGATTCAGCACCGTCACCATTGCTGGATTCACGTCGTATAGCATTCTCTGGACCGGACGTAGAGAAGTGCAGCGGGGAGACTGAGGTCTGATTGCGTGGAGGTGAAGCTCTGCGTCCAAAAGAGGCTCGCCGCGGAGATGCTGTGTCAACAGGGGACCAACGTCTCGGAGGAGGCTCCCATCGACCACCCCGCCTGCGAGACCAGATGTCGTCGGGAGACGAGCCGGGGCTGTTGGACGTGCGATTCCTTGGCGAACTCCAGTCATCCCGGCGATCGGCTCTGAACGTCTGTCGAAGATTGGGGGGTGATATCGGTCTCTGTCGAGATGCCAAGGTGGAAGAGGACAGACTAGGGCGGCCATCATAGCCGATATCTTCGTGAGATCGACCCATCCTGGCTGTGTGTCGCGTGCCAGACGGTGTTGTCATGTCTGAAGCATTCGCTTCACGTGCCCACTAACACATCAATTAGTCACTGTAATCACAGGCATCGTGAACTGACGTTGAGGTAAAGCAGGTGGATGTCAGATCTTTTCAGTTTTCTTTCTGTCGTCAGTCCCAGCCATCGGAGGTTGAGAGTCCACAAGTGAACCAAAACCATCACGAGGCGTTTGCGGGTACGACCTTTTACCAGAGTTGCATCATTCGGATGGTAAGGTGGGTGAAAGGTTGTAGGAGAGTCTCACCTTTAGTAACGTTGGATCTGAGCTGCCGCTCACTTCAGCGTCGTGTTTCGTTTGGGCATGCTTGCTGGCCTCTGTTCCTATTGTTGTAGACGCTCCCATGCCTGCGGAAGAGTGCAGTTGAGCTCATAGAGAGGATGGGAGAACCCGCAGTCGTTGTTGAGGCTCACATGAAGGGCGTCGAAACATGTAAGCCGCGATATTCATTCAGTTTGCACTGAACGGTTCAACGCCCCTCCAGAAATGTGACCTGTCACTTCTTGGCGGATATGCGGGAGGCCGCGTTTCATTCGCAGGCCAATGGCATGGTGAGGAGAGATATCGTTGTAGAGAAGAAGTGATGAGACAAGAGAAGGACCGCGTAGCCAGGACTTCTTCGTCAGTGCCTTCCCGACTGTTCACGCCGTCTCCCCATCCCCACATCTGGTCGAAGTAGTGAAGGAAGGCGCGAGATGCGCCGCTTTCCCGCGCCGTGGTTGCACAGGCTCAGGGTCTGGTGTCGCGGCCCGTCCCGCAGGCCCTCCGATCTTGCCGTCGAGACGTTCAACCTATCGCAACGAGACGTTCCCCTCTGTTGAGGCAAATATTGTTCGCGAACCCTCTCTTCCCCCTTCACCGTCTTCATCGACCGCGTCCACGGCACGGAATGGACTTTCTCAAATCCGCCGTAGCATCCATCGCGAAAGGTCCGGCATTTCCTTATTCATTTGGCGACAAAGTTGGGAATGATCAATCCATATGGACACTCTACAATGGCACAAAAAGGGTAATGCCCAACCTGCTTCTCCGATACGCCCCGCCATCTAACATTCATGCAGGAGGACAATTCAAAATGTAGCATTTTCACCTTCGACATCAATACCCATCGATCACGACTCCCCCTGGCGAGGAATGCGCTGCGCAAGTTCCGTACCCTAAGACACCCTGGCATCCTTCGAGTACTGGACACGCTTGAGGTGAGCAATCGCCGCCCTGCGGTCAACCACCTCCGAGCTCACTAGATGACAAGATAGACAGACACCTTGATCTACATTGCCACCGAACGCGTCACTCCCTTGTCCTGGTCGACGAAGCGCAAAGCCGCCTCGGAGCAGAGTCTCATCTGGGGCCTACACAGCGTCGCCAAAACCTTGAAATTCATCAACGATGAAGCCAGCTCGGTGCATGGCAACATCCGCGCCTCCTCCATCTTCGTCAGCGACAGCGGCGAGTGGAAGATTGGGGGGCTGGAGATTCTCAGCTCCATGAAAGAGGATGACGCTATAATATTTGCCCATGGAAGCCTTGTGCCGGATATCGCACGATATGCACCTCCAGAGATTGCAAAGAGTGGGTGGGATGGCGTGCGGAACAACCCTGTTCATGCAGTGGATGCGTACGACTACGGTATCCTGATAACAGAGGTGTTTAATGGTTCTTTTACCGGATCCGAGCAAGTGGGATCGACGAAGAACATCCCTTTGACTATGCACGCCAGCTACAAGAGATTGACTCATGCGGCGCCAAAGATGCGGCTCAGTGTCGCACATTTCCTCGAGCAAGGCAGCAGGAGTGGTGGCTTCTTCGACACTCCCTTGATCGAACTTACCGAGGGAATTGATAATCTGGGCCTGAAAGACGACATGGAACGAGAAGCATTCCTTGGGTGAGACTGTCCTGAGTAACGGTGTCGTTGTCGTTCCATTGCTAACGTCTCGTAGTGAACTGGAAAAGGTGACCGAATCCGACGACTTTCCCGAGCAATTCTTCCAAGTCAAGGTTCTGCCCGAGCTGCTGAAAGCCGTCGAGTTTGGAGGTGGAGGTCCTCAGGCATTGACACTGGTGATGAAAATCTCCACCAAGCTCTCGGAAGACGAGTACGACGCGCAACTCACCCCGGTCATCATTCGCCTCTTTGGCAACCCCGATCGAGCGTTGCGAGTCTGTCTGCTAAACAACCTCCCGCTGATGATTGATCATTTGAGTCAGAAGGTTGTGTCGGACAAAATCTTTCCCCAAATGGTCACGGGGTTCGGAGATCTGGCCCCCGTGGTGCGAGAGCAGACTGTCAAAGCCGTACTGGTCGTCGTTCCCAAGCTTTCCGAGAGAGTCATCAATGGCGAGCTGCTACGCCATCTCGCCAAGACGGCCAACGATGAGCAGCCTGGGATCAGGACGAACACGACGATATGTCTTGGAAAGATTGCTCGAAACCTTGGAGCCAATTCCAGGGCAAAAGTCCTTACTGCCGCCTTCTCGCGAGCCCTGCGAGATCCTTTCGTTCACGCACGCAATGCTGCGCTACTGGCACTCGCAGCTACCGCCGACATCTTCGGCGAGGACGACTGTGCCAACAAGATGCTTCCGGCAATATGTCCATCATTGGTGGACAAGGAAAAGATGATCCGAGACCAAGCCAACAAGACCCTGAACATCTATCTGGAGCGCGTACGAAAGTACAGCGCGAGTCTTCCCGACACCGTCCTCCCACCACCCGAAAGCACCTCCGCGCCGAATACCCGAATGCCCACGCCGCAGCCGGGTGCGGGCAGCCAGTTGATGGGCTGGGCAATCTCCTCCTTCACCAACAAGATCAGCTCGGCAAGTGGAGAGATTCAACCGAGCAGTAATGGGGTTAAGCCGTCGGCGGTGGCGGCGGCGGCGGCGACGGCGGCAGCGGCACGATCCCACTCCACTCCGACCGCCAACGGGTCTGCCCGGCCGGCAAATGCACAGCATGTATCCACTTCCAGTGTCCCGCAAGTGACGACTGGATTGCGGACAGCTACTGTTGCGCCAGATAGCGAAGCGGAAGCGGAAGATTTCGACGAAGGCTGGGGCGACATGAACGATATTGCCGGCACATGGGGCGACGCAGAGGAACAACCATGGGCCGGGATGTCCTCGTCCACCACACGCACAGCCGCACCGGCCAGCACAGTCCCCTTTGACGACGGGGGAGAGCCGGACTTTGAGGGTTGGCTGAACGCACAGGCACAAGCCAAGTCTCAAGGCGGCGGCCGGAAAGCCTTGCCTAAAGGCCTGGCGAAGAAAACGACCGTGCCATTGCGGCCAGCCGCGGCTGCTGCAACGACTGCTGCTGCAAAAGGCAACTCCGCCGCGGCTCGGAAGAAGGTGGTATCAGCGGCGGCTCCACCGCCCCCTACTGCCGCTGCTGCTACTACCAAGGCGGCGGAAGAAGAGGATGAGGGTTGGGGTGACGCTTGGGGGTAGGATTGGGTGGTGTGCACTTGTGTTAAATTTCCGATGCTGTCTCGATAGAAGTATGATACCCACACACGACTCTGCCGGCCGGCATAACGATGATGGTTGTTTCGCAAGGAATTTTTTTCTTCATCCGCGGAGTCTGTGCTGGTCTAGTCTCGTCTCGCTTCGCCTCGGCCCTGCATTACGATGCGGTGCGTGAGTAGCACAACAGACTGCGAAAGCCGTGTGATACGTAATGCGTGCGATGATGCACGAGAACGATTTGAAGACACGGTCCGGTCGATCTACCGGGTACACTGTCGTTAGCGGGTGGCGGGCAGCCCTATTCTGCTCAGCTTCGCATTGGGAGGGGCACAGATCATACGTTGGAGCCGAAGATTCGACGGGGCTTCCATGCATGTTCTAGCGCGGAGGGCGGGTGCGGATTACATCATGTCCATCGTTTACCTTACGGGATGGCAAGTGAGGGTCCTCAGGATTTTGCATGTAACAGCGTTTCGCCTTTCGCATGACGGACGCCGGAAGTTTGACACATTCTTCACTGTCATGAACAGTCATTTTCCCTGCTTGTGGCTTCGTAATCGCTTGCGGCGATGACCCTTGCGATGCGGAGATGGGACGGAGTGCGATGTCGCAATGCCGTAGAGGGCAAGTCCGTCCAACCAGGGCGGTCGGGTGACGGAGGATTTACCAGAACGAGCGGCGGCGGTTACCAGAACGAGGGGCAGCGGAGTTGGGTCGAGTAGCCTGCCCACTGTCCCATATGAGTGGATAACAGAAGTGCTGAAAAGGATTGCCGAACGGACTACTGTGTGAATGGTGGTGATCGGCGATGTGTGTTGTGTGTCCATGGGATCAATGCGCCGTTCTTGCACAGGGGCCAAAGAGGCTACGTGTGCGTACGGAGTGCATGTGATGATACCCCCCCAGCACCCCAGGAGCTCCAACCCCGACCAAAGGATTCCGTCTCACAGGTGGGAACGCCGCAGAGACTTGGCGGCGAGGTTTGGCACCGGAGAAGCACAGGTGATCACACCCTGCAGGAAGGCCGGGCGGCGAATGGGGTTGGAGGGACGGGCGCTAGCGCCCCTTGGCCCTCGATCTGCTCGATGAGAGTGGGGCGTTTCACTGCTTGTTTGCTTGGCCGGGCGGGCGCCTGATTGGCGTGGAAGGGAGGGAATGGAAGGAATGGAAGAAGTCAAAACGGCGCCTGCTGAGGCTGCCTCCTTCCTCTTTGCGTAAATGATTGCCCCCCCCGTCGCTCCTGCCAGCCGTAAGGCGCGTGAAACTCTGATGACTCCGCCTGCTGATGATGACCTGAGTTTGTGATCAACGAGCGTAGCCGGACGATCATCTACGCTCGCTCGCTCGGCCTCCTCCATCATTCTTTGTGCTGGCATTCTCCTCCATCCCTCTCAGGCCATCCCCCATCTCGCCCTTCTTGTCGGCGCTACTTCTGCACGCCACGCAGACCTTCGCCGCCCGACTTGCCCATTCCTCGTCGGTTCCACGTCACGACACCACCCACGGCGCCGCTGCTGCCCCCGCCCACGCTCCTTGCTTCTCTGACACATTCAGCCCGTCATCCGGCAGCGCACCTCCGACCTCACTCTTCTTACTCTCTCCCCTTCCTCTCCCTCTCTGCGACACGCCCTCTCTGCCGCCGCGTCGCCCGACGCCGTCCACCCCCACCCTCTACCCTGCGCGGGACACCGCATCAGCACCACCAGCACCACCTCTGCACCCCACCCGACGAGCCCTCCATCTCGCTTCCATCCTGGCGCTGTTTCTGCCGCGAACACGGCCTCCGCTGTGTCAAATCCTCAGCCTTCGGCGCCAGGCTGACCCGCCGCGCTCCCACAAACCGGCGGCGCAGGCCGTGATGCTGCGCAAGCCGCCATCGCCCTCATCACTCTCCACCTCCACCACCGCCTCCAAATCCTCCTCCTTCAAAACCTACCCCCCCTCCGTGCTGTCCTTCGGCTCCGACGCCGACGACGAGCACGACCCCATGGAGACCGTCGACGAGGACTCGGCTTCCCCGCGCCTCCATGCCGCCTCCATCGCCCATCCCTCCACAACCGTACATGGCCCTTGCTGTCCGCGACGGCCGAACCTCCGCGAAATCCTCGCCAACACCTCCGAGGCCCCGTGGACCCTGGCCGCCTTCATGGCCTATCTCTCCAGCAACCACTGCTTGGAAACATTGGAATTCACCATGGACGCCGACCGATACAAGCAGCATTACATGAAGATGATGGCGAACGCGGGCCCGACGGGCGTGCCGTCGCCGAAAGACCGGGACTTCGTGCAGGAGCTGTGGGAGCGACTGGTCGAGGCGTACATCCGGCCCAGCGGGTCGCGAGAAGTCAACATCCCCTCCAATGTCCGCGACCCCATCCTGCGAAAGCGACCCGACGAGCTACCCCCCGCCCCGGAGACGCTCGATCCCGCAGTAGACAAGATCCACGAGCTCATGGACGAGTCGCTTCTGGTGCCTTTCTTGAACAGCGTGTACCCGCATTCCGGCAGCCCCACCACCGGCTCACGGCCATTCAACGCATCGCAGGAGAGCATCACGCGACTGTCACAGAGCCACGATGACCGGCAGCATCGCGCACGAGACGCCTCCACCCGCAACTCCTCCCCGCCCTATGCAGCCGCCGAGCAGACGGGTTCCCGCTCATACTCACCCACCTCCAACCTCCACCGCAAATCCACCCCTACTTCTTCTTCCGCGCGGCAGAGTAAGCCTCACATCGGCTCCAATCTATTCCACGCCACCTCCAACCCCGCCCAATCGTCGTCAGGAAGACTAACGGAGGCCATTTCTGAGAACTCGACGAGTGCTTACCCCGGCATGACGGATGACAGCGGCGACAGCCCAATGCATGACAGCCCGACCACGCCGCCTACCTCTCCGCCTCTGAGCGACTTGAACCACCCTCTCGGCGTGAAGCGGGATTCGGGCATGTGGAAGCGACTCGGGAAGCTGTCGGGGATGAACAAGACGGTGAAGAAGAGGCCCGATGGTGGCTTTCGGGAGGGCTAATGGAGTCTGCATTTGCGGCTGTTGGAGCGAATCCAAGCAGGCAGTCAGGACGGGATCTGCATCATTTTCAACATCTTATCAAGCATGGCGTTTATGGAGTCGCACAGGGAGGCCTCGAAACGAATCTGCACTTCCGCGTGCAAGGAAGGCAGGATTTCATTCGACACAATCTGAGAATCGGAGACAGTTTGACGACATAGAGGCGGGGAGGAAAGGGAAACAACAACGGCCGGTAACTTTTTCAGTCTTAACGATGTTTGACGATATGAGGGGGAAGCAGTAGCGGGGTGTGATCGGGTTTCTCTCTTGCTAATGTGTATGTCTATACATATGAATGAATTGTCGGTGGGTCAGAGATGGCCGGATCGATTGCATGCAGACTATGTCTTGTGTATTACTTTCGTCACTGGTGTTCTGGCCATGATGTCGATGGAGAGAGCGTCTTCACAATGGACGCAGAGATCGCCAAGAAGCACTCCCCGTTAAGCAATTGCAGCTCAGACACCGCACAAAGCACCCGATTGGCGATCTCCAGGCCACGGCGTGCATGCACCCCCGGGACAACGAGATCACGGAAGAAATAATAAAGGCAAGACCCCTGTTCCCGCCAATGTTCGGGAGGGGGTCCGCGCGATGGGTGACGACAGCCGCACCGGGACGTTTGTGGGCTCGCGCTCGGGTGCCGGCGATCGGCGCTCGATGCTCGGACGCCAACTACGCAATCGTCGTGGGAACATTGGGGATTGGTTCGTTGCTGCAACCCTGCGTCTGACCCCGAGCTGTGTGTGCCTTGCGAATACGAGGAGTGAGGGGACCTCCTCCACTTCCAGTCTCACGCCCTCTGCTTCCTCACTCTCGCTCTCATACGAGTTGGATGAGCTGAACTGCTGGCTTTGCTCGCTGGTGGTGTACCTCTGTGCGAGAGTGAGTTGTCTGCCATTGGCATTGTGCTCATTTGAGGATTATACCACCTCGACAATCGACTGCCCAGACACATCACTGAAACCTACACCGACCGGAGCAGGAAAGCAACAAAAATGTCCGACGACGGCCGGTTAAGCACCAGCACCAGCTCCTCCACCACCGGCGGCCCAACACCCAACTTCTCCCGTCCCCGCCAAACCCCGCGCCAACCCCCCTCAGCTCTGAAATCCCACTCCCACTCTGCAACCAACAAACCCTCTCGCGAACGCCACGTGCACATCCTCGACGCCTTCCACGAACCCCACCGCGCCCCGGCCGCCGTCTTCCCCGACGAACCGCGCTTCTCGGGCGAGTCGGAGCGCACCGATCACACTTCTTCCGAGCACTCGGTTGGCTCGTGGGATGGGCATGGAGGGGAGGTGGATTCGGCGAGACGGCGGCGGAGGATGGATAGTCAGCGCGCTGCTGCTGTTGCTGTGTCCGGCAGACCTGGACTACGCTCTGGGACGTCCGTGGGAAGCAACGGGGTGGTGGTGAAGAGGAACGATTCCGCCGCGAGTTCTTCCGTGGAGGGGACCCAGTCGGCGCCGCCGCCGCCGAAGATCGTCAAGCGCGTTTCCGTCGATCAGCAGAGTGAGCGCGTCGCTGCTTTCGAGGACTCGGAGAGCCATCACACCGTCTCCGAGAGCGGGGAGGAGGTCGGTGCTGTGGCTGTGGAGAGCGGCGGTTTGGGACGCTGGCAGAGTTCGGATGCGGATGTCAGTTCGTTGAGCGAGGCGCAGATTCGGCGGCTGGAGAAGAAGGGCATCAATCCTGCGTTGTGGGTGGAGATGCAGGCGGCGAAGAAGGGGAAGAAGAAGTGGATGCCACATTTGTTGGGGAATGGGTTTATTAATTGATTGAGTTGATGGCGTTTGGACTGGTTTGGATACCCATTTTGATCGACTTGGATCGAGGTTATTTGGTGGGGAGAGGGCGGGACGGAGGGGTTGGAGGGGTGAGATGGTGTTGATCCAGAGGATTGAAGTCATTGCACCTTGTCATTACTACATCACGACCATGTGTAACGACCATCAATCAAAAGCCAACTCCAAGTAATCATCCGGATCAATCGGCCGCCCAAGCGTAACGCCCGCCCGTCTAGCCTTCAAATCCATCACGATATTGAACAGCGTCGCCGACGTACTATGCCCCTTCTGAATCCGACAAATCGCCCCCGGCGCATTCGTCTCGTCCTTGAATACCTCAAACAGCGCCTCAGCACTCGGCTCCCCACGCACCAGACCCCCAGCCAACTCCTCAATCCTCGCCACACGAAAGGTAGAGTCCGCCAACCAGTTCGTGTCCGGGCCGGTACTCGGGTGTTTTTGCAAGTAGTGGTTCGAATGGAACACCTGGCCCGCAGCATTCATCTCGCACTTCTGCACGTCGGCCGAACTCCACTCGAGTCCTATCCCGCCCGACGCATCGGCGATGAGCATGTGGCATGAGGACGCCACACCAAACGCCTCCAACTGCCGCACAGCAGCCTCGCGACTCTCGGAATCCAGCACCATCCGCAAGCCCAAATGGCAAGGCAGACGCCCGGGATCCGCACCTTTCATCTTGATCGCGTTCAGACACACGCCCACTCCCGCAAAGTTGAGGCCGATCTTGCCTATCAGCCCGGCTTCCGTGATCATTTTGATCGTCGGCTTGCGCGCGGCGGACTGGTCGATGGTCAGGGCTACGAGGTTCGCTTTCTGCGCTTCGTTCCAGTCCCAGTTTTGCGCGAGGAAGCTCGACGCCGCCGTGTGCCAGGAGAGGGCGGTGCAGCCGTCGGAGAAGAGGCCGAAGGTGATTTCCGTGCGGACGTTGCAGGCGATTATATCGGCGAGGGCAACGCGGGCGCCTTCTGCTACGCCTGATTACGGTATCAGCAAGGGAGGAACGTGGGTTTGTATGAATTCAAGCGGACCTCTCATCTCCTCGTGATAATGCGGCCACTTCTGCCGAATGACAGGCTCGTAGTCGTCCATGGCCAACTCGCGCACCTGCGCCCAGTCCATCTTCGCCGTGTCTTTGAACATGCCCGTGTAGAATTCAATGGTCCGAGAGACTTGATGTCGGGCTTCGCTGCCATGTTGGAATCCGATCTATCCGTACTTTTCGTAAGAGAAGGTTTAATGGCGTCGGGGTTGGGGACGGGGGTGTACCTCGTATGGACTACCGGAGCAGTGGATTTGGCGCAGTTTAGGCCTCTCCTGCTGTTCGTCGGGACTGCCGAGATAAGGTGCCATGATTATGTCTGAATGGTTTAGATCTTTGATGTGATGAGAGCAGAGTTGTGAGGTCAAGATACTGAGGTGATGTTGTTGGCGGCGAGAGCGAAGTCGGCGAAGCAGATGATGACGATGCGGGGTGAGGACGTTGTGAGGAGGTGCATGGATATAACGGCATGCCTGGAGAAGATGAAAACTTGAAGACCCGTTGGTATTCCTTTACTTACAAAATGCCAAAGAAACGAGTTCTCGTGGGCTACGGCAGTACGTCTCGTGTCGTCCGCACATCTCCCTTCAATCCGCAGTACTGACAATCCCCACCAGTCGACGTCGATGCAGTAGCAAACTGGATCAACACCGGGGATGGATCGCCTCAGAATCCCACCAACGTCTCCCGCGGCATCTTCGGCGCAACAGTGGGCATTGACAGGCTGCTGAAGCTCTACGAAAAGTACAACATCAAATGTAAGACCGTCCTTCCACTTGGGATGAGTGATGGAAACTCAAGCTACACAACAGGCACATTCTTCACCCCGGCGCACACACTAGAATCCTTCCCGGAGCAATTGGCCAAAGTGCGCGACGCAGGCCACGAGCTAGGCCTTCACGGCTACACGCACGAGTACATTTCCGACCTCCCTGCGAAAGAGCAGCAAGCCGTGCTCACGAAATCCATCGACGTGCTGACGCAGTTTTGCGGCAAGAAGCCGCAGGGCTACACCGCACCGGCGTGGACGACATCCAAGGAGCTCATTCCGCAGTTGGAGCAGGCGGGCATCGTGTATGACCATTCGTTTATGCATCATGATGTGCAGCCCTACTGGGCGCCGGATAGTAGCCATACGTGGGTCGAGACGGATGTGAAGAAGGAGGCCGTGCAGTGGATGTCGCCTATGACGAAGTTGATGCCGTCGAAGGTGGTGGAGATTCCGGCTAATTGGCACGTTGACGATTGGCCTCCGTTGCAACCCAAGGGGCCTTATGGATACGTCGACACTCATGTGGTGGAGAGGATGTGGAGAGAGCAGTTCGACTTTGCGTACAGGGAGTACGATACCTTCATCTTCCCGATGAGCATTCATCCGCAAGTCAGCGGGAAGCCGCAGGTCATCTTGATGCACGAGAGGTAGGTGTTGATGTTGTGAGATCGCGTTCCCGCGAATGCTGATCCACTTCCTAGATTGATCGAGCATATCAACTCCCACGAAGGAGTGGAATGGATGCCACTCGGCGAGATGGCGGAGGAGTTTCGCAGCGGTCGTTTCCCCGGCGTGAGCGTTGAAGGCGGGGCGGATGTGAAGCGGTGATTGTAGCGAGCACGCCTCTCATGAACTACCCTTCCCTCCCAGATCGATGTCTTCGGTGCGATAATGATCCGCCACGATCCTGTAGAGAAAGCTAGGCGCACAGCCCCCGAGATTGGTGATGTACAGATCCACGCAGTCCGCATCCACCCAGTCGTACAGCGGGTTGATGACGTCCACCTTGTCCATGAATTCGCCTTCTTCGTACGACACCACCTTGCCCGGATCGCCGTATTCGATTAGCTCGTGCGTGTCGAAGGGGTAGATGGGGCTGAGCTTGTAGACACCGGAAAGCACCACCACCGGTACTCTATGCGACTTGGCCGCCAGGGCTATGGTAGATGCGCCGGCAGCTGCGAGCAGACTGCCGTTCGCCAGGACAGAGTGAGGGGCTAGGATGACTTTGTTGATGCGCGACATCAAGGCGAAGACGGCGGTGTCGGGAATGAGGATGACGGTGATGCCCATGCTGGTTAATGGTTTCCATCGCTCATCTACTTCTTCCTCATCACCAGTGCCCTTCTTTCCCCCGTTGACAATGGTGGCGTGGGTTTCATCGTGGTTGTTGGGGTAGGCCTCGGCATGCACGACTGTGAATTTGCGCTTGCGAGCGGCGGTCATGAGGAATTTCTGGACCGTCTGGGAGGAGGTATGGGTGAGGATGATTTCGTTGCTGTGGATGTGATCGAGCGCATTCTCCGCAATCTGGTTGTCGACGACTTCCAGTTCGTCGAGAAGTTCTTTGATGCCATCGATGACTTCGGCCTTGACGTCGATCTTTTCCTTGCTTTCCGTTATCTTGCCCATGGGCTGGATGCGGGGTGATGAGCCCGGTGGGGGTGTGGGGATGGGAGAGCGCGCCAGGGGGTCTTCGAGCAGACTCAGCAGAGAAGAGACGGGCGGAAGACCAGCATAAGAAGCAGAGCTCGGCAATACCGGCCTCTTCACTTCTCGCTCGGCGCTTGCATCGAATCCTGGCGGTGATGTATATTCTATCATCGGTGTTTTGACTCGTGGGTGGAAGTCGTGAGGCACGGTGACACTCTGCCCGAGCGGAGACATGCCCGAGAAGGTCTTTGTGAGAAATGGGCGTCTGGCTTCGCTGGGATCAGGACTGGCGGCACCACTAACGCGGCCACTGCCCAGACTGCCATCACGTTCATCCTCCTCTGCTACTTCTCGGACGACGCCGAGGATCCGGCGGACGATGTTGCCCACAGCCATTTCACGTGGTTGCGCCGCCACCAATCGCCGCCCCACCTCGGAAATGCGGTCGATGAGCTGCTGGACATCGCGAATGCGCGTTGCTGCCACCACTCGCAGGAGCAGTTGGGCGGTGGCGAGGGCGCATGGTCGGGAGTTTTTGATTTGTCGTCGTTTGAGCAGGGAGATGAAGAGGTCGATGCTGCTCTCTACATCGGTGGATTTGAGGGATTTGAGGAAGGTGGAGAGGGAGGGCGTCTCGCCCACGATTGCCGCCGGCATGATGGTCACCTGGTTGGCTCACAACCGGATGGTGCTTTGAATTTGGTTTCAATGGATGATGCACCGTCAAGGGATGGACCTTTTGCAGCCTGAGTCACGCTCTAGGGTCCAGTAGGCGCGGTCGACGCGGACGAGATGCGAATGGCTTGGAGAGGATGGAATTCGAGTGGCCTGAACAGTATCCGCGTGCTGTCTCCTTCTTTTCGCGACTGGAATGGCGAAGTGTGGGCGAGTGAATGAAGCATGAAAGCAGGGATGGATTCATGAAAATGGAGGAAAGTTTGATAGCCGTGCGGTGCGGAGTGGGGCGGGTCTAGTTAAGTTTAGGTAACGTTAGCTCGAGGCGTAGCTTCGGGGCCCCGCCGTCAGCCACCTCATGAGACCTGTCGTCAAAACATCCCTCCACGTCGCCCGCCCTTCTTCCTCCCCTCCGAGCCTCGTGTGCGTCCTCCTCGACCGTGTCCGACCGTCTCTCCCGCTTCCGCGCAGTCCCATTGGCCTGGACGTGGAAGGGCGACTACCCCAGGCCTCTTCCCCCTCCCCGACCCCATCTCGCCTCGGCCGAAACACTTTGACCACTCCCGCCGTCCTCGCCCGCTCTCCGACCCGCGCATTGCCCGACATGTTGGCGAAGTGCTGAGCGTAATGAACAGCCTCAATATTGTTAGCAGATTCACCGCTGCTCCGCCCACCGCTACTCCTCCCCGATCCCGGACCGGCAGTGCAGCGGAGGTCGGGCTGGAAGATGACTCGGGGCGAGAAGGTCAATCTTCTGGTGATGATCAGACGGCCCACCCGTCCGATACGGTAGAGGAAGACGGGGTGACGCAGGAAGACTACAGCGAGACTAAGATCAAGGTGGAAGATGCGGACGAAAAGACCCCGCTGCGATCCCACGAGGATCATTCCGGATTCAAACCACGCCCGGGCAGTCATGTGTGGGACCTACCCTATCGCATTGCTCATGCCATATTCCGCGGCGTCCAAGCCCTTCTCTCCACCATTGGCGCCCCTGGACGCTACATCATCGCCTGCTTCTACGACCAACAAGGCCATTTCTCCCCCGTCCTCCCCTTCCGCAATCTCACATCCCTCGCGTCTCGACGGAGAAGAAAGTCGGCGGCGCAGGCGGTGGGCATTGGTGCTGCGGCAAGTTCGAGCGAAAAGTTGGACCGAAAAAGGTCGAGTAAGCGGTCCACCTCGGTAGACAGCCAGAACTCGTCAAGCACGTTGGGTTCGTCTGACGGCGAGGGTGAGCATGACGGACGAGAAGACAGTCCGGCGCGGCATACCCGTTCCCGAACTGCCGCCGCAGCCCAGCAGGATGAGGCGCCGCTGCGCAAGAGCATCCAGATCAAGCCGCAGACCGACGAGGCCCTTCGCAAGCGCCGAGCCGCGAAAGCGCTGCAAAGAAAGGCCGGCGCCAGCGCGGAAGATGTCGAAGCTGTAGCCGCCGCCTTGAAGTCTCCCTCGTCGCCCTCCACTGCATCCGCCCGACTGACTCGCTATCCTCGTGCGCCTGCTCCCCCTCGACCACTCGTACCTCGCCGGCAACCTTCGTACACCCTTTCTTACTCCACCGAAACCCCCAAAAAGACGCTCATCATCGACCTCGACGAGACACTAATCCACTCCCTCGCCAAAGGCGGCCGCATGAGCACCGGCCACATGGTCGAAGTCCGACTCGGCGGCCCTGTCCCCACCTCGCAACCCGGCACCGCCGGCCCCTCCAACGTCTCCATCGGCCACGGAGTTCCAATCCTCTACTACGTCCACGAACGCCCGGGGTGCCACGAATTCCTGCGCAAAGTGTCGAAGTGGTACAACCTGATTGTCTTCACGGCGTCGGTGCAGGAATACGCCGATCCCGTGATTGACTGGCTGGAGCGCGAAAGGCGGTATTTCGGCGGAAGGTATTATCGCCAGCACTGCACGCTGCGGAATGGCGCGTACATCAAGGACCTCGCGCAGGTCGAGCCGGATTTGAGTCGTGTGATGATTTTGGACAATAGTCCTATGAGCTATATCTTTCATGAAGGTGAGTTGGTGACAGTCACGTGCGTGAGAAGGTGTTCCTAAGCTGACATGGATGTGTTGAAGATAATGCGATTCCTATCGAAGGCTGGATCAGTGATCCCACCGACAACGACCTGCTGCATCTCATCCCTCTTCTCGAGGGCCTGCAGTATGTGACGGATGTGCGCGCGTTGCTGGCGTTAAGGCAAGGGCAAGCGCAGCAGGCCTGATCAACTGCTATATTCGATGTGGTACGCGTTGATAGAAGCTTAGAGATTCGTATGGAACACGAAGAGAGATGTCATAAACTCACGCCACTAAGCCAAGCCCGCTCTGCGCAGCCTTCTTTGAATCGCCATTGCATTCTGAGGCCAATAGCGATGTTGGCGCTGCTCGGAGTCCTCAACGCGTACAGAGGTGTGAATCAGCACGACAAGCTGCGGCCATTCAGGTGCTATTCGAGAATCAGCAGGTCGATACCCAAATAGATGACTATATGCCACTTACGGTCGGAACAAGGGGATGGAGACCGTTCTCCGTCATTAGGACCGATGATCCGGGGGAATTCGCTCTCCTCGTCGCTCATATCCCTGTCGTGTGCGTACGCCTCAATCTGAAGCGCTCGTCTAACGCGTTTGAATTGCTCCACCCTCTCCTCCTGCCGATCGAGAAGGCCTTTTAGATTCACGAAATAGGGCTGCAGCCCACAGAAATCATATCCCTCGGATGACTGGGGACAACCGTATGGCGGGGGTTCCTGTGTGTAGTTGGGCACGGTGAGGTAGCACATGGTAGTTCGCTGCGTGTCCCTCCAGCCGAACCTGCCACCTGCCAGGCGCCGCCAGTATGGCGACCGGCCCTCCCACTTGTAGTCGATTTCGTTTTTCCTGATGTATGCCTCGAGTCCAAAGTCTTTGCGAAGAAGCTGGGAGGGGGTCAGTCTATGGAGCGAGGATCACGCTTGTTGGAATCGTCTTACCTCATCGTACTTTGCAAACTCGCCTTCCTGGTCGATAATTTCCCTCCACCGCTGTGCCATCCTTTCACAGTCTGCTACTATCTCGGCACTGTCTTTGAGCCGATGGTTCACACTATCCTCTACCTTTTTCTTGCATTTGCACAATTGCGGCGTCCAGCGCAGGTCCACATTAGCCGCGAGATCCGCCAGACACTTCTCACACATCTCGAGCCTAGATCTACCTTGCACATCCAACGCAAAATATGCGTACCTCTCGGGAGTCAGATGGTCCACGGGCTTGCACTTGTTCTCGAAATGTTAGAATGCGTTCGCCGCTTCGACACCTGCTTCTGATTTCGATTCCGTGACCAGATTCTCGATAAGCAGTCTGACTTCGAGCGGCAGTTTGCTGATATGGGCATCGGGACCACGACCGAAGAGATGGCAGAGCCGGAGTGTCCGGATCTGAGCGTACTTTTGTAGCTGTTGGACCAGCACGTCCGCCTTCACTGGCATGCCCCATGTGACGCCGGAGTCTACGAATGCGAATGCCTCCATCTTGATCCGCTTTGAGTCCGAATTGTCGACGGGATCGAGGAAGAAGAGCGCTGAGATAGAGGCACAGCTATCCTCAGCCGCGGGTTGTACATGGACCGTCAGGCTACGTGCCAGACGATGCGAGTCACTGTCGGGTGTGGGAAGCCACTACATAGCCTGACGTCTGGTATCTGGAAAGATCCCGTGCAGCTTACGTAAAGTTCTCGATGAACGTGCTTTGAACCTCACCTCCTTCATGCAATGTAATTGAAAACAACCACGATTCTCCCAGCAGCGCAACGACAACCTTCATACGAATATGCGACACTCCTCAGTGAAATCTCTGAACACCGGAGAAATCCCTACAGCTCCAAGCCGGTAACAACCAACCATTCTCTTCACCAACATGGCCATCCTCCTCCTCGCAATCCTCCTCACCCTCACTATAACATCACTAGCCGCATACCGACTCTACACAATCCTACAACCACGAAGCAAACCCAACAAACAATGGTCACCACAGCGAAAACGCGGCGAACGCACCCACCTCCTCATCGTCCTCGGCAGCGGAGGCCACACAGCCGAAATGCTCTCCATGCTCTCCCGCGCCACTTCCGAAACCACCCCCTCCCACCGCCTAAACTGGAGCGATTACCAATTCCGAACGTGGGTGGTGGGCGCAGGCGATAGTATCTCCGCGCAGCGAGCCAAAGACTTCGAAACGAGCCTTGCCGTCAAAGCGAAAACTGAAACCGCAGGGGCAGTCATTTCCACCGTTCCTCGAGCACGAAAGATTCATCAGCCGATTCTCACTGCGCCTTTGTCCTCTCTGCGCTGCATGCTCGCTTGCTGCGTCGTTTTGTTCCAGCATTCGCGGACGGAGCGAGGCTTTCCGGATCTGATATTGTGCAATGGGCCTGCGACGGCGACGATTCTGATCTTCGCTTCCCTCCTTTTGCGCTTCCTTGATGTTGGGGGTTGTCAGAGGGAGGGCAAGATGCGGACTGTCTATGTGGAGAGTTGGGCGCGGGTGAAGCGGTTGAGTTTGTCGGGACGGTTGCTGGTGTGGGTTGTGGATCGGTTTTTGGTGCAGTGGCCGCAGCTGCTTGAGGAGGGGGTGTGCAAGGCGGCAGGGAAGGGGGAGTATTTGGGGGTGCTTGTTTGAGGTTATATACGACTTCGGACTTGAGCCTTGAGAGAGGTATTCAAACAGTTCAAAGGCAAGCGGATTCATTCTGATTTCAATATACAATTTCCACATCACAACTCAACGAAGCATCCCCAGCAGCGAGGTACGGCGTCGACATTTAGTCGAACTCGATATTCATCTTCAGCGCCTTCGTCTCCGCCGCACGGCCGAAGGTGTCGTAGGCCTTTTCGATCTCGCTAAACTTGAAGTCTGGACGATGACATGTTAACGGTGAGCGCAAAGCGAAAGGGTTTACAGACAGCTTACCATGTGTGATCAGCTCGTTGGTGTTGATTTTCCCGGCCTTGTTCAGCTCGAGGAGCAAGGGGATCGTATGGGATGAGACTAGAGCCATGCTGATGGCTACAGGGAGAGTCATGTGTCAGTCAGTGTTTCGTAAGTTGGGTTTGGGAGGAGAACTTGACGTACACGTCGATCGAGGCCACAGCCTGTCAATGGCAAGGTTGACGCCCGTACCATGCACTCCCACGTTAGCAATGTGAGATCCGATGCCGACAAGCTCCTGGCACATGTCCCAGGTCTGCGGAACACCAACAGCCTCAATCACAACGTCGAAGCCGTCAATGTCTCCGTGATGCTCCTTGCTCGCCTCCCGAGCTTCCTTTGCATTGCTGATCTTGTAGGTCGCCGTGGCGCCAATCTTCTTGGCAACTTCCAGGCGGTATTCATCCTTGTCGAAGAACACCAGAGACTTTGGGGCGTAGAATTGGGCGCAGATGCCTGCCGCGAGACCTACGGGACCCGCGCCGACGATGGCGACGGTGCTTCCTGGCTTGACGTGCCCACGCAGGACGCCGACTTCGAGGCCGGTGGGCAGGATGTCGGAGTAGACTAGCAAGCTCCTTTCGTCTGCGCCTTTGGGAACCGGGTACAAGCAGCTGTCGGCGAAGGGCATCAAGATGTACTCCGCTTGGGTGCCGTCGTGTAGATGGCCGAGGCGCCAGCCGCCCTTCTTGCAGGCGTCGTACAGGCTGTGGGGGTGAAGAGAGTAATGGTCAGCGACCATGCAACTTCAAAGCACATTCGAACTTCACTCACCTCCTCTTGCAAAAGCTGCAAGTGGCACAAGAAGTAATGCAAGCGATGAGAACGCGATCGCCCTTTTTGAAGTTCTTCACCTCGTTACCCACCTCCTCGATAATGCCAATGCCCTCGTGTCCTAGAGTACGGCCTCGGTCGACGGTGGGAACGTCGCCCTTGATGATGTGCAGATCTGTGCCGCAGATGGTGGTGCGCACCATCTTCACCAACGCTTGGGTTTGCTCTTGGATCTTGGGGACGTCTTTGTCGACGACCTTGATCTTGCCGACGCCATCGTAGACTAGAGCTTTCATATTGGCGGGCTGGAATGATAGGAAATGCTGTGGAGTGGAAGGTCTCGATCAATGGGAGCTTGGGAAGAATGACTTCGGCAGTCTTGGAAAAAGGTGGCAGCAGCGTCCGATCGACGTTTTAACGTGCCGACTCCCCCGCTCCAACGGAAGTGCAAGGATGGAGCTCCAGAGCATGTTGCTGCTGTGTTTCGAGGTTCCCCGCAATGTGAGGGAGGTGTGGTGTGGGAGGTAGAGAGGTACCTGCATCGGCGAGGAGCTCCCCCGCCTTGCGCGGTAATCAGGGTCCTGCTTCACCAGATGAGGCGGTAATGGCCACAAGCACTGGAAAAGTGAGCCAGAGGGCGCGAAAGGTGGACGTACAGATTGTGGAGGGGTGGTGAGGTGCCGTGAAGACGTGGCAAGTGCAGGCGAGGTCCATAGAGGGGTCGATGGGAGAGTCGATCGACGCAATGAAGCAGGCTCTTGTTGTGTGTAGCTGCAAAGAATCAAACAAAAGAGAGACGGATGAACAACGAAAAGGACGCGGATCCAAGCAAGGACTCCATTCGAAGGAGAGTCATTGGTCGAATACACCTACAGACGTTGTTCCTGCGTCTTCTTTCCTACGTACCAGGTTGGTCTCGTTTCAGACGGGTTTCTCTTTGCAAAAGGAGTCTGCCCAGATAACAGAATAGGAAACAAAGACTGAAGAGAAGACATAGGAGGGAGATGATCCTCGGAGTGATGTCTGTCTCTACATTCAAAGTCAACCTTGATGTCTTGAAAGCAATGCTGAAGCACGACTTGCTCTACGAGGCCGCGACTTTTGACCAGATACAGGCAGTCGAGTTGTCCCACCAATTTTGCAACTCACCCTTCAGCGAACGGCCGCACGCGACGACTGTCAAGCTCGGACGCGACATTTTTCCGATGCACTTTTTGGAAAACGAACAGGAAGTGCCGGTGTCGACAACTCTCACATTACACCCTCTACTTCTCGCCATAACGATTTCGAGTGTTTTTTGATCCTAGCCCACTCACTTTTCAACAACTTCAACACTCCCAGCGCCCAGGTGCGCTGCAAGACTCGCCAATATGCAGGCCCCGGTGGTGGTGATGAGTATGGCCTTCCCCTGCCTCTTACTGCAGACTCGTCGCTAAAACGTAGGACAGACACACAGAATGGCGACCGCCAGACAGGACGACAAGCACAGCTATCCAACATTACCGCTGCAAAGACCGTCGCCGACATCATCCGATCATGTCTAGGCCCGAAAGCCATGTTGAAGATGCTGCTCGATCCCATGGGCGGCATCGTCCTCACCAACGACGGCCACGCCATCCTGCGCGAGATCGAAGTCGCCCATCCTGCGGCTAAGAGCATGATTGAATTGGCACGCACACAAGATGAAGAGGTGGGCGATGGCACTACAACCGTCATCATTCTCGCTGGCGAGATCCTGGCCCTCAGTCTGCCGCAGCTCGACCGACACATCCATCCCGTCGTCATCATCTCCGCCTTCAAGCGAGCGCTGAGCGATGCGCTGGAGATTATCCAAGACGTCAGCATACCCGTCAACATCAACGACGACGAGCAGATGCGCGGCCTCATCTCCACCTCCATCGGCACCAAATTCACCTCGAGATACTCCGATCTGATGTGCGATCTGGCTCTCACCGCCGTGCGCACCGTCAGCCACGATGCAGGAGGAGGGCAGCAGGAAGTGGACATCAAGCGGTACGCGCGAGTGGAGAAGGTGCCGGGAGGGGAGATTGAAGACAGCACCGTGCTGGATGGAGTGATGCTGAGCAAGGACATCACTCATCCCAAGATGCGGCGGCGGATAGAGAACCCACGAATTGTCTTGTTGGACTGCACGCTCGAATACAAGAAGGGCGAGTCGGCGACGAACGTGGAGATTAGTAAGGAGGAGGACTGGAATCGGATCTTGCAGATTGAGGAGGAGCAGGTGCGGGCCATGTGCGATGCCATCATCGCCGTCAAACCCGACTTGGTCATTACGGAGAAGGGGGTTTCGGATCTGGCGCAGCATTTTCTGCTCAAAGCCAACATCACCGCACTCCGACGAGTGCGAAAGACGGACAACAACCGCGTTTCCCGTGCGACTGGCGCCACCATTGTCAACTCCGTGCAAGAGCTGACGGAGCGCGACGTCGGCACGCAGTGCGGCCTTTTTGAGATCAGCAAGATTGGCGACGAGTACTTCACCTTCCTCACCAAATGCAAGAATCCCAAGGCATGCACCATCCTGCTCCGCGGGCCGTCGAAAGACATCTTGAACGAGATTGACCGCAATCTGCTGGACGCCATGAGCGTGGCGCGGAACGTCATCTTCCACCCCTACCTGTCACCCGGCGGTGGTGCGACGGAAATGGCAGTGGCGGTGCGGCTGGACCAAAAGTCGAAATCGATCGAAGGAGTGCAGCAATGGCCCTACCGCGCTATCGCCGAGGCAATGGAGGTGATTCCGCGGACACTCATTCAGAACGCGGGCAACTCGCCCATTCGTGAACTCACGAACCTGCGCGCGAAGCACGCAGAGGATGCCAGCCAGGGCAAGGGCGGGAAAGAGGGAGGGGCTACGTGGGGGATTGATGGAGACGCGGGCAAGGTGGTGGACATGAAGACGTTTGGGATTTGGGAGCCGCAGGCGGTGAAACTGCAGAGCATCAAGACGGCGGTAGAGAGTGCGTGCTTGTTGCTGCGGGTGGATGACATTGTTGGCGCGAAGAGCAAGAAGGATGGCGGTGGGGGAGGGCGGGAGGAGGACTGAGGCTGATAATCGTAGATGGCGTAGTTGATACAACCAGCCTCAGCATGCCCCCATTGTGATCGTCAATGCTCAGTGCACGCTTGCGTCGTTTGATCAGTGATCTGGTCTCGTCCATCCCCCGATCGGCACGGCTGTCGCGGCAGCGTTGCAATGGTTCTGGCGCGCGGAACGTGCCGCGTAGAAAGTCGCCCACGCCCGCGCCCCCGGATTGGTGCCGCCCGCCGCCTGCACCCCCATCCATCCTGAACACCCCCAACCCTGATCGGCGTCTCAGCTTTCCAAATACCCACCACGCAGCACGCCTTGGTGTAACCCTGGCATTGTTGTCCATCGTCGACCACCTCTCACCTCCCCTTCATCCCCGGACCACTGGACTCACGACGGGAGAGATAGAGACAGCGACCAGGAGACATGGCGTGCAGCTTCATCTCCTACCAGCCCGGCGGCGACAGCAAGAAGCAGTCGCCGAGGGCCCTGCATCAAGACCCCGTCCAACTGGCCTCCACCACCGCGCATCAACCCCGGCACTCGCCGACAAATTCAAACAACATCCCCAACTCATTCGTCTTCGTCGACCCCGCCTCCGCCGGATCCAAGGGAACCGCCGTGGACGCGCGGAGAAGTATTCGTCGCCACGCGTCCAAGGCATGTGCGGCGCAACGCCTGGCCACCCTGGCTGCGCGGCGGAAACACCGCGACGTGCCTACCAAACGCGAACGGCAGAAGCAGGCCGCTGAGGAACGACTGCAGGCTGCTTTGCGAGTGCACGCGGCCAAGTTGGCGGAGGCCGAGGCGGACGAGGTGGTTGTGCGCGGCGGCCCCTCGGATCCCAACTGGAGCTATGTCGCGACCGCCGAGGATTCCAGCACATCGGATGACTGGAGTCGGCGAACATCCAGCTCTTCTTCCCTCGCTACTGTGCCAAGCGGCTCTCAGCTGCAGCACTCCCCGCCAGACCTCCATCAATCCACAACTCCCCTTTCCATCGCCTCCCAAGAAGTCTTCTCCACCCGGATCGACCCCTTCTCCACCACACTCGTCGACATCGAGCATGATGGCTCCCTCGGCCCGCTCTTTGGCCTCCTCGACACCTCCGTCTTCCCCCTCATGGACCTCCGCCTCCCTCTCAAACACGACCGCCTGTACGGCACCCGCTTCGCCCACTCCCGTGAACTCCCCCACTGGGTCTCCCGCAGCGAACCTCTCTTCTGGACCATGGCCTTCTGCGCCGCCACCATCCGCACCCTGCACAATCGCCAACGCCCCGGCGCCGAGCCGATTACAATGGGCTACCGCTACATGGCGATCCGCAGCGTGAACGCGCGCATCGCCGCGCTCGGCGAGGACAGCGTGTACGACGCCGCGCTCATCTACGCCATCGCCTCGCTCGGCGTCTGGGAGCGCGAAAAGGGCAGCAAGGAGGCGTGGCACTCGCACATGCAGGGCATGAAGATGATCATGCACAAGCTGCAGCAGGAGTCGCAGAGCGCGATGCTCGAAATCATCGTCAACGTGTGCCAGGAGCCTGGGTCCGTGCCCATTGAATACCACCACTCCGAAGGGTACCGACGGATAGGCGACAACGGCGCCCTCGACCATCGTCTACTATCCCCCATCTACGACTGTGGCCGCATAGACACCATGCCCCCGGGTCCAGAGAGACAAACTCTGAACCAAAGAACCGCCACGACCATTCTCTCCTACCGCCCCGCCGACCTCGTCCCCAGAACCCTCTGCGGTAAAGACCGCAACCTCGACGGCGACCGCCGATACCTGGAAATGCACGTCCTGCTGCAAGCAGCCGCCGCGTCCCTCATCCACTGCATCACCCAACACCTCGACAGCGAGCACGTCGCCCTCCCCACCAGCCCGAGCGTCGACGAAATCGACTTCCCCGAAATGTGCCGCGAGATGGTCGCGCTGGGCCGCAACGTGTGCACGGATCCCACGTACGACGATTCCCTGTTTTGGGCTTTGTTTACCATTTTCGCGCTCAATGAGTATGATACGCTCGAAGGGGCGGAGTTGCTTGCGACGTGTGCGAGGAATTTGGGGGTCGTGGGGTGGGAGGGGGTGCAGGCTTCGCTGCGGAGGACGGTGTATTTGGAGACTGTGGATGGGGTGTATCGCCGGTTCTTCTGGCGCGTGTTGAGGCCGAAATTGGGCCTCGTGCAGGGTGGGGGTGGTTGATACATTGGCGAGACCAGATACACTGTGTACAGGCACGTTTATCTACAGTTCCCAACAAGCCTCCATCCAACGACCCCCCCCCCCCCCCCCCCCCCCCCCCCCCCCCCCCCCCCCCCCCCCCCCCCCCCCCCCCCCCCCCCCCCCCCCCCCCCCCCCCCACCCCCCCCCCCCCCCCCCCCCCCCCCCCCCCCCCCCCCCCCCCCCCCCCCCCATTCAGCTGCTTTCATCCCCCGGACACGTCGACGGCGCATCCACCCACCCCGTCAACCGATTCGCAACATCACTAACATAACACGCCGTCGCGCCCGCCGCGTCGCTCAAATCCCCGCTGGCAGCCATATACCCGCTATTATACCCGCGCGCCGCCACGTACGGATCGCCGTACAGATTCAAATTCTGCACGAGGCCCGCGCCGCTCGGCGTCCCCTGCGTGCCGTCCTGCACCATCGCTAGGATGGACTCCGCCTGGTGGGCAGGGGAGAAAGACGAGCCCGCGTGCGACTGCATGAGGCCTGGATTTGGGACGCCGGTGGAGGAGTGCGTGGTGGGCACGTGCACGCAGCCGTGGGATTCTTGCAGCACGATGGCGAGGATGAAGCGGTGGTCGACGAGCGAGGCGTTCGCGCGGCTCTGAATCGCGGTGTAGATGTCTGCTATCTGGGCGATGGTGTTGTCTTGCCCTGCGTGCAGGGCGGAGCACGATGTTTGCATGCTCGGGAGATTGGAAGTCCACATGTTTTCGAAGGAGATCCAGGTTGTGGCCGGGGGGAAGGAGGAGGCGGGCCCGCTGTAGTAGGTGTATTTGTCTTGGCCGGCGCCGATGCCGTCTTGCATGTCGTTTGCGCTGTTGTGAGTTGCGCCGCCGGTTGTGAAAGCGGTTGCGTTGGTCACTTGCGCGGAGGAGGGGGTGTAGTGAAAGGCGGTTTGTTGCTCGTGGACGACAACGGGGATGACGATGATCAAGATGAGGACGAGGGCAGCAATGGAGCAAATGACAACTTTCCGTCTCCGACTCCAGCCCTCCTTCTCTGAATCTCCAAACGTGTGACGACGTCGCGACCCCTCTGACTGTGCCCTCCACGCAGCCTTCTCCGCATACACGGAATCGGCTTCAGAGTCGAGGTACGAAGCACTCTCCACACTAACCGCCGACTCCGTCCGGCCGCGAGAACTCGCAGACTCGACATCACTCTCGGAAGCCTTGCTCACGCCAGAGTGAGACCATGGCGCCAACGAGCTGGGGCGAGAGAAACTCGGTTTGGACGACGAGTAGGATTGCAGGCGTTGGAAGTAGAGCGCCGGGTCGTCGTGGTGGGAGTAGTGGTCGATTCGCGGCATGTTTTGCCCACCGGATAAAGTGGTGTCAAGGAGGCTGATGGGGAGTTTCCATGGAACGTGCCGAGTTTGCAACCGTGGGAATGTCTTTTATTTGATGTTGAAATGCTGCAAGGCGGAGGTGAGGCTGTGGCGGTCGGTGAATTCGGAGAGTTGTTTGCGGAGGTTTTGTTGCTGGAGGAACGCCACAGCCGCGTTGGCGGGGTGGTAGACTCTGCGCAGCCTTGTCGGCGGATTTCATGCTGGGACTGCACGGCTGATGTTGTTAGTACACACTCATCGGTCAGGATTTAATATAATTCATCTGCTGGGAGTAAAAAGGTTATCTAACAGTGGCAAGTGAATATGGCGGCTATCAGGCTCGTCACGGCAGCTCGCCTTCGTTGCATTCATGGACCTGCTCGGTGAAGAACACTGAGCATGAGAACGCAAATAAATGACAGACGAAAACATCATCGATTCATGGTAGATACAGAGCATTCAGCACTTGATAAGAGCTTGTGTCTACTACGCCCGACCTTCACCACGTGATCGGGACTGAATCAGTCCTGTTCAGAAGCTAATCCAATACAATCACACGCTCCACACCCCTCAATTCCACCAAAAACTCACACTCACACTCACGCTCAAACTCTCCACATAATGCCACCAGCCGAGCGGGATATACAAACACTCCCCCGGCGCCAACACGCCCTCCACAAACGCCGCCCCCTCAAATTCCGGAAACTGCTCGCGAATGCCTCTGACAGCATCGAGGTCCGTCGTTCCCCCGAGCGAGCGCGGTCGCACGTGAGAAATATCGACTTGCGCCGTGTTGCCCATCGGCACGCCCTTTTCGTCTACGCCGCGTGGGTAGAGATGCGGGGTCTCGGTCGGGGCGTAGAGGCGGATGTACTTGTATCCCACCACTTGGCAGAGGATGTTGTGGTAGGGGTCGGTGTGGAGAGGCGTGATTGTGCCTTTTGGTCCGATCCAGGCGTTGAGCATCGGCTCGGACAGTTGAGGCGTCGTTGTCAAACCGGGGGTCTGAAGTGCTGCGCCTGTGGGTTCGGGCGGGGTGGTGTAGCAGTAGTCGGGGAAGACGATGTCTTTGCGCAGCGAGGGGATCTGTGCGAAGAGATCGTGCTGGGCGAGGTAGCCGATTTCTTTGGGATTCGTGGGAACGAGGTAGGTCTTGATGTAGTTGCCGATCGAGATGATCTCTTGCCCCCAGTCTGCATCGGTGTAGCTTTTGCCAATCTCCACTGGCACCAGACGGCGACCTCCCAGCGTTCGCCTCAGGAAGTAGTTTGGATCTTGCCATTTCTGCATTGCAGGCCAGTGGGCGAATGTGCGAGGGATGATGAGTGGGGTACTGTCTTTGTCCAGGTGGCCTTGGAACGCCTCAAAGTTGAGCGCTGTAGCCGAGCGGAAGATTGGATGCTCGGTCGTCAAAGGCTGGGGATGAACTAGCCCAAAGCGATGGGGCAGCTCTTCCGTGAGATCAACTGCAATGTGCTTCTCCAACTGCTGAAAGACTGCCTCGAATGTCGACGCCCGACCGGGAGCTCCAGAGATGGTCAGCGCTTTGTCGAGCACCATCACGATCTCCGTGACCCAGTCAGTCTCCACGGCTCGCCGCGTCAGAGCACGTGTATTGTCATCGCGGTCTTCCGAACAAGTCAGCTTTGGGTTATCCGTGTGAACGAGCAGTCCTTCCTGGAACCCACCTGATCCGACTCGGCGCTTCTTCGTCCTGCTGCGCTCGGCTTCCAGCTCTGCTTGAGTGCGCAGGATGTGCACGGCCTTGCCGAGACTGGCCTCTTCATACAATCTCCTCCAGCACGTGGGCACGTTCTGATACGGCCAAGCGTGCAGCTTCTGGTGAGCCAATTCCAGTACCTCATCCGGCTGGGTGTCGAGGAGTTTGATGGGAGCAAGTCCGCACAGCTGGATAGTTTCGTTGGGGACGATTATGTCCAGGTCTGCGCTGATCTTGTTGGCAAGATCGAAGAGGTGTGCGCTAGCCATAATTGCATCGTGGTCGTTCATAGAGTCATCGAGACTGGGCTGGAATAGGTTGGAGACCTTGCGTTTGCCCGTGTCAGACTGCAACGCTGGAAGAGCAAGTGCACGCTCTCCATGAGTGTCCTGGCTTGCTCGAGAGACGTTGGGCCGGTGCGGTGCGTCATTGGTGTCGAGGCTGGGCGTCTGATGAGTCACCCTTGAGGTATTGTTGATTCCAAAGCCAGGGCCTTGAGACGACTCCTGCGATTGTGCCTTTTTGGGGGCGGGAGGTTTGATGGTGCCATCGGCGAGAGGCTGAGAAGTGGTCAAGTCGTACCAACCAGTGCTCACAACAGCAGTTGGACCAGGACACGATGAAGGAGGGAGAGCTCTCGCATTCGCCGCCAGTGTTGGTTGGATGGCCCCATTTTGGGCAAGTCGGGCCTGTTCCATCTGCCGGCCGAGATCGGCGGTGATCTGCTTGATAGCAGCCTTGTTTCGAGTGTACCGGCGCTCATCCATCGTCATCGGCACCCTGCTGTCGTCGCGCAGGTCCTCAAGCCGGCGTTCGGGGATGCGTGAGGGATCACCGAAGACTTGCGGGACTGTACGCATCCAAGGAGGCGCACTCCATTGTCGTCCAGCAAGCCAGACCGACGTGGAGAGACGGTGCAGGAGTTCCTCATCGCTCGTGGCGAATTCGATGCGATAAGCCGGTGGGATCCGCCTGTCCTCTCCCCTCCAAGGCATCGTTGCTGCGTCGAGGGGTTGAGTTGTGGCTTGGATGGGGTTGGTGTTGTTGGGAGAAGAGTGGATGTTGCAAGAGAGCGCGGCCATGTGGTGTTTGGTCTTTCTGCCGAAATGTGAATAGGCAGACGCAAATTGGCTTTCGTCATATGCCGCGTGTGGCGTGAGCACGTGCAGATGAGCGCGTCACTTGGCGGTCTTCACGAGGAAGGAGCAACGGGCATGTGGTGCAAGAGGCAGGCGCGGCTTTGTTGGCTGGGCAGTTGCACTTTGCTTATCTTGACGGCGAGATGATCACAGATGGTCGATGGAAGAGTAAATCTCGGTCTTCCGGCATGTCGATCAACCACATGGTCGCAGTCGATTACTTGGATGTTCCACTGCCATCGTCCAACTCTGCATCATGTTTCGAGCGTTCAAGCTGGTTCTAGCCATCCCAATGCCTGTGGGAATGTCTCGTGTCAAGATGGGCGCACAAACGCCGTGCTGACGACTGTCCTCTCGTGTCTCGACGTATCTCAGCAGTCATCTGCATAAAACCAACAATTCAAAGGTCGGTCCAGTGCAACTCGAGATGGTACAAGAAAGGTGAAGTCAAATTGGAGACCAGATACGGCTGTGTGACAGAAGTCGTGGCAATGGCATCTAGACTTCCCCCGCAATCCCGCACGCACTAACAACACCCGCCATCTACAGTGTACTGTACGTAGCTCGGTGAGGGGTCCGCTCAACCACCTACCCACACACCACCGCTCACACGACCACCACGCGCCGCCGCCGCCATGCTCGACCCCTTCCCGATCCCCCCTCCACGCTTCCTCGTGGCCGCGACCCAACCCTTCGCAAACGCCCTCGGCCTCCACTCGCTCCCGCTGCACGTCCACGAGGTCCTTTTCGCCGTCGCCCTCTACACCTTCACCCAGACCGTCTTGTCCCCGTGGCTCTCGAACCTCCTGTGTCCCGACACGTATTCCAAGCTCAACCGACGCAACAAGCTGAACTGGGACGTGCACGTCGTCTCCTTCGTGCAGTCGTGTCTCATCAATGCGCTGAGCCTCTACATCATCCTCTTCGACGAGGAGCGCAAGGCATGGCGCGCGCCTGAGGCGTGGGAGCAGCGCATCTGGGGCTACCTTGGCGTTGGCGGGCTGGCGCAGAGCTTCGCTTTGGGCTACTTCCTGTGGGATCTCTACATTTGCTCCACGCATGTCGATGTCTTTGGCTGGGGTATGCTGGCTCATGCCGTCAGCGCTACTGCCGTCTTTGCCCTTGGCTACGTACGTATATGGAGTGGCATTCGGACGAGGCATCCACTGACTGACTCTGCGATGACAGCGGCCGTTCATCTACTTCTACGCGCCGGTATTCTTGCTCTATGAGCTCAGCAGTCCATTCCTCAACGTTCATTGGTACGCAGTGCCTGTTAGACTGCAGTCCAATGCTCCTTTTCCTGACCACGTCTCTAGGTTCTGCGATAAGCTCAATCTCACGGGAAGCATGCTACAAGCGATAAATGGCGTATTTCTCGTCGTCACCTTCTTTTGCTGTCGTATCGTCTGGGGCCTGTGGAGCTCATACTGGGTCTTCTCCGATGCCTTCCACCCCATCACCTCCGGTCGCGCCAACTTTGCAGCAGCGGTTCCTTTCGGCAAGGTCTACACGCACACCACCAGCGAGCTGCTCGCACTATCCAAGGCGCCCGAGGCGCAACTTGCAGCCTTCAACCGCGAGCAATACCTTCCCCTTTGGCTCCCGGCACTCTATCTCGCGTCGAATTTCGTCTTGAACTCCCTCAATGTCTTTTGGTTCGGCAAGATGATTGAGACGATCCGCACCCGCTTTGATCCGCCTTTTGGAACCAAGGGTGTTGGCGCAGACAGCAAAGCACCTGCAAAGTCTACTCACCGTCGTCGCGAGTCAGTCCCGCAGCTCACCCCCGAAGGCGGCACGGTGGAGGAGGAAGTCGGAGGGCCGAAGAAGTCTCCCTCCAAAAACGGCAAGAGCAGCCCGGTCGTAGTAGAGGGGAAACACACCCCAAAAGCAAAGAAGGGCGGCAGTGTGAGCGCTGCACGAGCGAAAGCGGAGGAGGCGCTGAATGGGCCAGTGGGACACGTGCAGGACACGAAGTTCGAGCGGCCATTAGTGGACGATGAGGTTCTGGATGCGGAGGTCACGGGGTCTGCGCCGCGTACCGTGAGAAGCAGGCGAAAGGCTTAGAGGGCGTCGTTGGACAGCCTGATGCTTCAGATGGTAGTGGAGGGGCATTAGTAGAGCGTTGTCAGAGTTGTTTAGGTGGATGTGCTTGGACTTGCACAACGATGGTTGAAGAGGTAGCGTACAGAGGAAGTGTACTTGGATACATGAAATGCGCCCAGCTCTCATGCAATCTGCAATCAAAGCAACGGCTGTGCTCAGCCGAGCACGCGGCTGACACGCGCTCACCCGCAATCCAACCGCCTCAACTAGTGGCGTCATGATCAGTCAGCAATGCGGCAACTCCACGCCTTTCGTGATTATTGTTTGCGCATCCCACGCATCGTTGACTTTTTATTCAATGGGGCTACAGCGTCGAAACACATAGCGGCATTGGACATACTGACTTCAGTCCGGGTATAGAGCCTCGTTGGCGCGGTTCTCATTGCGCAGCGTCGTCCCCAAGACGCCATACAACCGAGCAATGCCGAGCGCATCCAGGGGCTCTGCGAACGGCCATGGTGAGACGAAACGTCCCAACTCGCGCCAAAGCACCACTAACAACCTCCCAGATGGCGAAACAGCGAAAACAACCATCGCTTTCGAAGCCGGCGACCCCGAAAACCCCTACAACTGGTCGCGCGCAAAGAAACTCTGGATCGTCTTCCTAGGCACCATCACCACCCTCAACTCCACCGTCGCTTCCGCCCTCCCCAGCGGCGACTCCGATCAACTGCAACGACACTTCCACGTCACTGTCGATGCGCAACTCGTGCTGCCTAATTCCACCTTTCTCATCGGCTATGTCCTTGGGCCGTTTTTGTTTGCGCCGCTGAGCGAACAACATGGGCGCAGATATATTATCTTGTTGACGTATTCTGCTTTTACTATTTTCATGATGGCTACCGCATTGGCGCCGAATTGGACGGCGTTTCTTTTTTTCCGAATGCTGGCGGGGTTGTTTGCTAGTACGCCGATTAGCAATACTGGAGGGTAGGTCTGACCTTCATTGATGAGAGGGACGCTTGCGCTGACGAGTTGCAGGCTCTATGCGGACGTGTACGGCGATCCAGTTTATCGAGGCCGAGCGATGGCTTGGTACCTCGCCGGTATGTCGTCAGACGTTCAAATATAGCAGGAATGCTTCTGACAGAGTCGCAACAGTTGCTGGCGCTGGACCGTGCCTGGGCCCCATACCGTCAGGCTACCTCGAGCAATTCGGCTGGCGCTGGACCTTCTGGTTCGGCCTGATCCTCGCGGGATCCTGTTTGGTACCTCTCTTCTTTCTCCCAGAAACGTATGGGCCGGCCATCCTCATGCGAAAAGCCAAGAGAATGCGCAAGCAGAATCCCGGCTCCAACGTTTATGCTCCACTTGAACTGCAGCACCTCGGCGCACAGCAATTCATTTCAAAGGTCCTTGGACGTCCGTTGCGCATGCTTGTCGCCGAGCCCATCGTCTCTGCGACCTGCTTGTATCTGTCGTTGATTTACGCCGTCATTTTCATGCTCTTTCAGGCTTACCCCATTGTTTTCTCCATCTACAACTTCACCCCCGGCGAGGTGGGCCTGGCTTTCCTTCCGAGTAAGTTCCCTCGCGCGCATCATTCATCCCCATCGACTCACAAAACCTCTCAGTCGTCGTCGGCTCATTCCTAGCCCTTGTTCCCGTCATCTACTGGGACTACTACCTTCGCTCCGCGAAGCAAAAGAACAAACCCTGGTCGTCGAAAGAGGAATACCAACGCCTTCCCCTCGGCGTTCTAGGCGGACCGCTCTTCTCCATTGGCATGTTCTGGATAGGCTGGGGCACAAAGCAAGACCACTGGATCGTGCCCATGCTCGGCGGCATCCCGCTCGGCTTCGGCTTCGTCCTCATCTTCATCGCCCTCTTCAACTACCTCGTCGACAGCTACAAAATCTACTCCGCGAGCGCGCTGGGCGCGACGAGTATTTCGCGAAGCACGTTTGGCGTTGTTTTGCCGTTTGCGGCCAAGCCGATGTTCAGGACTCTGGGTGTTGCTTGGGCCGCTAGTTTGTTGGGCTTTTTGTCGTTGGTGATGTGTTTGATCCCGCCGCTCTTTATTCGGTTTGGCGAGGGATTAAGAGGTAGAAGTCCTATCTGCCAGGAATTGGCAAAGGGCAGTGGAGCGAAGCAGCCGGAGAAGGAGGCGGCGGACGAAGAGATGAATTCTCGAGAGATGACTGATGAAGAGAAAAGCGACGAGGGGAAGAATGAAGAGGACAAGAGCTAGAGCTAGATGCGAGCACATTACATAGACCGCGATCCGACAATTTTGTTCGGCAGCAGCGCTGTCCACAGCACACAACCCAACGTCACCCCGCCCGCCAAATATAGCAAAACGTCGTACGAGCTTCCTGGACTTCCTTGTGGAGGTACCAGGCCCGCGGCGGTCAAAGGTGCAATCAGCCCTGCTATCCGCCCCAGACAACTCGCAAACCCGCACGCCGTTCCACGAATCGGAGCGGGAAACGCCTCGGGCGTCCAGCCGTACAGAACGGCATTGAACATGCTCTGCATCAAGTACTCCAGCAAGCTCAACCCGATATTCGAAGCTTGCGAGTTGATCTCGGCGAAGATGAACAGCGACGCGCCCATCAGTCCCGAACTAATGACCATCGTCCACTTCCGCCCGAACCCCGGGATGTCGTAGCACAGCACGCCGATCAGCACGCCTACGATCCCCGGGAGGTAGATGTAGATGTAGTCTCGGTAGCTCTCCTTCAGCCCGACAGAGATGTCTGCGTTCTTCGCTGCGATGACAGTCGGCAGGTAGTATCCCGCTAGCGTGAAGCCGAAGAAATCGCAGATGTACGTCAGCCAGACGAGGATGGTGAGGCGCGCCATGCGCGAGTTGTTCCAGTATCTCGCCACGCCGCCAAAGGCCTTGTCGTTGAAGGTCGAGGCGTTTTCCACGCGCTCGGATTGGAAGAGCATTTTGAAACGGTCCAATTCCAGCAGGATCTTTTCCTTCCACGTGCTTTTCAGCTGGAGCACGCCGCCGCCGAGCATTGCTGCACGGCTGTGGAGCGATTCGTGTTCGCTGGTCAACTCCTCGAACATCTGCAAAGTGAGGTTACACTTCTGCCCATTGAAGGCGCGCACATTCTGCAGCACTTGCACCGCTTTGGCATCTTGGCCCCGCGAAATGAGGAATTTCGGACTCTCCTGGAAGCGGAAGACGAAGAAGCGCAGCACGAAGACGGCCAGGGTCATTGCGCCGACGGTGAAGAGGAGGTAGCGCCAGCCCATGTTGTTCTTCATCCCGCAGCACGGCACGCCGGCCGCGACGTTGTTGCAGGACGGAAGGGCGTCGGGAGAGGTGAAGTTAGGGGTGCAGCTGTATGCGGGGATGTAGGCGTAGGCGAGCGCGGAACAGATTACGACGCCTAGCGGTTGGAAGATGGAGAGGAAGGGTAAGAGTCGGCGGCGGTTTTGAGGCACAAACTCGAGGAAGAGGGTGGTGTCGAGGGGGATGTTGCCGCCAACTGTTTGGGTTAGCTGAAGTTCCAGTGAAATTGCGAACGTGAACGACTTACTGCCGAATCCGACAAATGCAGTCAGAATCAGAAAGGTTTCGTAGTTGTTCGAACCACCCAATGCCAGTCCGAAAATAGTGGCCGTCAGTACAGTCAGGTTGAATGCCCACTGTCTGCCCACGATATCGGCCAGGATACCCCAGAAGCCGGCTCCAGCAGTGAGGCCGGCCGAGAAGCAGACGGAGATGTTGCTCGTCTTGTCAGACGCGAAGCCAAACTCCTGCTGCAGCGGGCTGAGCACGAGACCAAATGCCTCCGCCCATAGGAGGTCTAGGAAGTAGCCGAAACCACACAGTACCCATAGATACCATTGGTATTTTCCCATGGCCATGTCGTCCACCTCGGCGTTGATCAGTGCGCATTTCTTCTCGAACAGCGTCCCCTCGAGGCCGTAGATTTCCGTCGTCGATTGAGTACGGTCATCTGTTGGCGAGATCTCGCGATCTGACCCGCCCTCCAAGTTCTTGTCATGACCTACGAGAGCTTCATCCTTGTGGTATGCTTCCATAGGGTCTTTGGTGCGGTTGAGGAAAGCCATTATCACGTGACCACACCCCGCGTGACCTCTTGCCTAGTAAAGGAAAGCGTGCAGATGTAGACAAATGAGGGTACCAGGAGACTGAAAGGCAAAAAGGATGAAAGCAGGAAGAAAGTCGAGGAAAGGCGGCGGTGTCGAGCAAGGTTGTCTTGCATCATGATTCAGTCACTTTCCCGTCTTCGAACTGCGAACCATGCCTCCCACAAGTAAGACCCGCACTGCTAGACACAGACTGTGACGCTTCTGGAATAGGCGGTGGTGGAAATGCACCATTTCAAGGAACAGACCGTAAGGCGGCATGCCAGCATCATAGACTTGGCCCTGCCTAACCCGTCAACCAGGTACCACGTCAGGCGTACAAACGCGCACAAAGCATTATGAGGTGCGTTAGACGTATTGATTTTACTACTGGCGAAACCACCAGGCCGGGTAACGCGAGTTTGTTGCTACTGTCTTATTTTGAGACGTTCTTTCGATGGAGTGCTGTTGGGAAGCAGAGCATCTTCGGACTCATCTCCGACCAGATTGAGTTTGAGGCTAGGATCGATCAACGATAGCGTGGAGTTATTCCTCTCTCACGCGGAGACCGCCCATGTATGACCTCACCAATGGCCTGTCGTTTGTCGTTGGAGACGCCCATGGCCATTGCGCGAGTTCTTGGATTGGAAAAAATGGGGGCATATTGGCGGTTAACACATATCTCTACTCGTACCCATACAGCGCACTATGCCAGGACCTGATCCCAATGCTCCCGCGGTAGACCCATCCTCTCGTGCATACATCTCACTCATCACTCGAGGCTCATATCTACCCGGACTCGCCCTTCTTATCCATACTCTCGACAAGCAGGAGTCGAAACACGCAATCGTTGTGCAATACACCGAGTCCTTGGAACCAGATTGCGTCCAGTGCCTGCGAAATCTGACATCCATTTATCCCCTGCTTCACACGCAGCGTGTAGAACCACTCGCTTTGCCGAAGGGTCTCAGTCCTATTGCAGAACGCTTTGACGCCACTTTGACCAAACTCCGAGCATTCGCACCACTCGACTGCCAGAAATGGGCCGCGGAACCACCACTATCACGGATCCCAGAGGAAGTCTGCTTTCTCGATGCAGACATTATGATCTTCCGATCGGTCGATGAGGTTTTTGACATTCCGCGTCCGGACTCCAATTGGATAACAGCCCACCATGCGTGCTGCTGCAATATCGACTCTGACCCCTGGGCGCCTGCCGAGTGGAAGCCGGAAAACTGCCCGTTGACTCCTCTCCGACATCCCGAGGCGCTGGAAGCAAAGGTACCGGCTAGCAGTGCCGACGGTGCGCGCGAAACGTACAAGGCGCTCAATTCCGGGGTGTTTGTTTGCACGCCATCCAAGGAACTCTGGAGTCGCATGGACCATTTCCGTCTGCACGACGAGCGAGTGAAAACATTCACCTTTCCAGACCAGAACTTCTTGGATGTCTTCTTTGAGGATCACTGGGTGCCGATGCCGTATACGTTCAACGCTCTCAAAACGCACCGATACTGGCACGCGGATGCCTGGCGGGATGAAGAAGTGCGCGCTCTGCATTACATTGTTGACAAGCCGTGGGAGGCACGTGTTGCGGAAGATGGTACGGCGGGGTATAAAAGTCGGGATGGAGAGACGCATAATTGGTGGTGGAAGGAGTATGATGCTTGGGAGAAGCGAATGAAGAAGGATGGACAGCAGAGCGTGCTGGAGTGTGTACAGAAATACATGTGCGTGGACTCTGGGCTCGGAAAGACTCGATTCCAGGGGGAGTGAATTACTCCGCATCGCAACAGTATTTAGATGAATATGTATCGAGATCTCCAGTGTGTTTTGTCATGAAAGGAAGGCTGCATAGTGCGAGTGAGGCTACAGCCCGCTTCCCAAAGAGGAAACGCGGCTCCACCTTGAATCTAACGCGTACGACTGGAACAACCAAACCCTTCGTAATAGTCATCTACACTCCAGACAATGCACTTCTGACAGCACTGTTGACCCTGCGCTTTCTCAACACCGCCATCGAGGCCTCTCACCACACCTCCACCGCCCACCATGCGCCTTATCCATCTCCCCTCCGCCCTCCTGGCGCTCCTCAGTCTCCCCCTCCTGACTCCCGCTACCCACACCTCCAACTGGGCAGTGCTGGTCTCGACGTCGCGCTTCTGGTTCAACTACCGCCACCTCGCCAATGTTCTCTCCCTCTACCGCACCGTCAAGCGCCTTGGCATCCCCGACAACCAAATCATCCTAATGCTGCCCGACGACATGGCATGTAACCCGCGCAACTCCTTCCCCGGCAGCGTCTTCAACGACAAGAGCCGCGGCCTCGACCTCTACGATGACAAGAGCGGTGCGTTGGGAGGGGATGACAACCTCGACATGGGCGGAATAGAAGTGGACTACCGCGGCAACGAAGTGACCGTTGAGAACTTCATCCGCCTGCTGACCGATCGCTGGCCGGCATCACACCCGCACAGCAAGCGCCTCATGACCGGCCCACAATCCAACATCCTCATCTACATGACCGGCCATGGGGGGAACGAGTTCCTCAAATTCCAAGACAGCGAGGAGATTTCCTCCTTCGATCTGGCCGATGCCTTTGAGCAGATGTACGAGAAGAAGCGCTACCACGAGATGCTATTCATGATCGACACGTGTCAGGCGAACACCATGTACTCGGCCTTCTACAGCCCCGGAATTATAGCCACCGGGAGCTCGGCGAAAGACCAGAGCAGCTATAGTCATCACGCTGACCAGGATGTCGGCGTGGCAGTCATTGACCGCTGGACCTACTTCTACCTCGAGTTTCTCGAGTCACGCCTCAACAGTACCAGTTCCGACGTGCGGCTGGGCGAGCTGTTCGACTATCAGACCTTTGACCGCGTGCATTCCGACGCGGGCGTGCGGTATGATCTCATCGCGGGCGGTGAGCACGCGGCAAGGGACAAGCGCGTGCTGGATTTCTTTGGCAATGTGCAAGGGGTGGAGATCGAGCCCGGCCTGAGAGCCGCTCCGGAAGACTGGAAGAAGGATTTGGAGGCGTTGCAGAAGATTCTGGAGTCGACGCAGGAGAAGCTGGATGTATTGAGCGGTGTCGACGATGCTGCTGCCAGTCTTCATGCGAAAGGAGCCGAGGCCACAGCTGCTACTGCAAGTAATGGCCAGGCGGTCAGCAGGACTGCTCTCGACATGGCACACCAGGGCGACAAGTGGCTCAAGAAGGTTGCCGGCGCCGCCTCACTACTGGTCCTTTCTGGCGTGTGGCTTGCATCGAGTGCATGGACGAAGCGAGCCGCGAGTGCATAAAGCTTGTTGCTGACGCTGCTTCCGACCTGCCTGCCTGATCCGGAACGTCGCATCGCGTGGGAATTTGTCTCCTCCTGGCAACGACGGTCTAGACATGGCGGTCACCAAATACATTTGTAACGGATTGGCCGCTTAATATCAAGCAGCCGGCAAGACATGCACACGGCAAATTCAATCCCACAAGCGACCTGCACGGAAATCACCCGCCGTCCCCGGAATGCGCGGCATTGTTTCGCTTATTCATGGTACACTAAATCCTAGCCTCGCCTTCGCCCCGGGGCTAGATGGCGCCAGCGTGCGCCGAGTGGAGACTCCATCACCAACCTCGCCAAGATACCACGGCGTCTGCCTTGCTGGAATGGCGGAGAGAGGTTGTTTGAGTTGGGAGCTTGCGAAGCATCGTAGATTGCAACGACTGCTGCTAACCTCAGGTGGGCAATGGTTTCTGTCCCCTCTGAGCATGGCCCGCGAGCCCCCCGTCTTGCTCCAAGTCCAAGCGACCCGCACGTTTTGATCACTTGAGTGATGTGATAAGATACATATAGCTATGTAGTGGCGTCTGCTTCTTCCTTCCCCTTCCAAGTAAAGATCTTCTCTCGCGCTGCGCCGGCACTCGAGCGATCAGCACCGGCACTTCCCTCCTGGGCAACTGATCTTCACAATGGCCGTCCACACCTACCAGCCCATCGGTGACACGCTGCAGCAGCAGCTCGACGATCTCAAGCTCGAGACAATCGTTACCTCCACCGAGCTGCTCGATTTCGAACCCCCGCAGCAGCAGCGACCAACACCCCTCGAACAAATCCTTGACCCCATCTTCCAATCCGCAGTAGACGCCGGCCGCATCCCCGGCGTCGCGGCCGTCGCCTACGATGTCTCGGGCGAAGTCCTCTTCAGCAAAGGCTACGGCCACCGCGTAGCAGGCGACGTGACCTCGGGCCCCATCACACCGCAGACTCCGCTGATGCTATGGTCGTGCACGAAGCTCGTGACGTGCGTTGCGGCGCTGCAGCTGGTTGAGCAAGGGAAGCTGGACCTGTACGCCGCGGCGGAGAAGTACGTCCCCGGTATCCGCGCCGTGCAGTGTTTGCGCGGCTTTGAGGAGGATGGGACGCCGAGGCTCGCGAAGCCGGAGAGGACCATCACGGTACTGAATCTTTTTACGCATACCGCGGGGTTTGGGTATGATTTTTTCGACCAGAAGTTGATGGATTGGCGGACGGCGAGCAAGAAGGCGGCGGGGAGCTCGGAGGGAGTCAAGCCCACTGCGATGGAGGAGTATTCGACGCCGCTTTTATTCGAGCCGGGTACGCGGTGGCAGTATGGGGTGGGTGTGGATTGGTTGGGGTTCATCATCGAGGCGATTTCGGGGCTGGGATTGGCGGAGTACATTGAGAGGAATGTGACGGGTCCATTGGGATTGAAGACGACGGGGAGGACGTTGACGCCCGAGCAGGATGGCGAGTTCTTCACGGTGTATGCCAAAGATCCGCAGGGGACGCTGGTGCCGACTCCGATGCGCACGGTAGATGATCCGGATGTCGTGCCTGGCGGACACTTCCTGTACAGCACGACGGAGGAGTACGCGGCATTCCTGCTCACGCTGCTGAATCACGGCAAGCATCCAAAGTCCGGCGTGAGGGTGTTGCAAGAGGAGACGGCGAAGCGATATCTGTTCAACGACATGCTGCCGGAAGTCGGCTGCTCTGCTGACGGCGTGGGCGACATGTTGGCCTGGACGGTGCCGCGGGTGACGTTGATGGGCTCCTTCTTGCCGGGCGTGAGCAAGGGCTGGAGTCTCGCCGGACTGGTGAACACTGAGGCGGCACCGAACGGTCGGAGTAAGAATAGCTTGATGTGGGCCGGTTTGGGCAACTGCTACTTGTGGGTCGATCCGACCGCTGGCAAGCTCGGCTTTGTATCCGCTGCAGTCTTGCCCTTCATGGACAAGGATGTCTTGCATCTTGCGGATGCTTTGGAGAGAGCTGTGTATGGCAATCCGGCGGCGAAGGAGATTGGGGAGATTGGGTCGAACTTCACCGGTGGAAGCTGGGAGAGTTGATGCTCATGAGGTGTGTTTTGCGGGTGTCGTGTCGTTTGGATTAGGGTGGCTGTCCTGAAGCGTTCTGCTCTGTTTGTGGGGTGTCATGGGTCTCTTCATGATTTATTTCATCATCGACGCGTCTTCTATCGTATCTAGCCTGGCATTTGCGTCTTTGTCGCCATGATTAGAATGCCATTGTTCGGACTGAGGGTCGAGAGGCCCATGCGTGATAGGGCTCTCGCGGCACCTGGTAGTCCTCCTAAAACTGTGCAAAAGCTCGTCAGCAAGATTCACCAGAGCGGTACTATCAACACTCACCATCATCCCATCCGTGCCTCAGAATCTTACGTGCAGAGAGGGAATCTTCAAGATACTCCGCCACCTCTACGCTGTCCCACAAGCCTTCCCGCCTTTGCATCCCCCTGAGAAGATGAATAGCGCGTCGCTGAATCTGCGCATTGTCCGTAGTGTCGCAGATGAAGTTGAGCGCGGGCACAATGTCCGCGGACAGAGTAAACACCGGATGATTGTCTTTCCGCCGCATTGCGAGCATTTCCGCCAAGTCCAAGACCTCGGTAAATGCCTGGTCGTCTTCCGTCACGTTGGCGAAGCGGGTGGGGGAGGGTGCACGGGTGTGAGGTCGTATGACGGATTGCCAAAGGCGACGCGAGAGGCAGAGGGAGAGGAACTCGTGCTGCTCGGCTTGCGACTTGACGGATTCGCCGAGCACTTTTCGCGATTGATCGAAGCGCGACATCCATCGGTGGACGCGATGGTGGATGGGCTGCATTTGTGGCGCGTCGACATTGCCCCCTGCACCCTCTAAGCTGTGGTTGAAGTCGACTTCGATGGCGGAGATTTGTCGACGCGCGTCGGCGAGACTTTCAAAGGGGCCTTCGAGGAGCTCGCTGGCGCCGTTGAAGCGCGAATAGAGGCTGAGATCGTCGACGACGGGCTCGTCGAGGAAGAGGGCGGCGTGGATGCCGAGGGTGGAGAAGGTCTGCGCCATTTCGCAGATGGCGTCGTCGCTGGAGAAGGAGGTGGGCGTGCTTTCTCGTGAGGGAGACGCGCCGTTGGGGGAGGCGAGGAGGCGCGAGCCGGCGCGCAGATGCTGGATGGACTCGGTGTAGCGTCCCATCATACTTTCGATGCAGAAGAAGATGAGGCAGCACGCGAGGGTGAGGTGCAGGTCTGTCGTTGCCGACTCGCCCATCCGTGCCGTCAAGTCTTGAATGGCCATGTTGTACTGTTGGAGGATGAGATGTTCGAGTTGCTGTGCTTCTGGCGTTGGCGACGCGTTCGGAATGCGCGTGAGGAAGAGCCAGTGCGCGGCTCCCAACGCGACCAAGGCATGTCGGACGGCCTCACTCGTCTGGGCAGGGGCAAGGATGAGCCGGTTCCAGAAGTCGAGACGAGTTGAGGTAAAAGTGAGATGGCTGGTGGTGTTTTGTTGGACGTGATGGAGGAAACGTCGCTCCGTTTGCGAACCGCGATCGATAAATGAAGTCGGGGTGGGCAGCCAAGGGACATAGACGGTCTTGGACTTTTTTCGGGACGAGCTGGATACAACGACGCTCTGCAAGTAGCCATCACAGGTGAAGCCGTCGTTGCGGCATCGCAGACACGTCGGCTTCTCTTCGTCGCACTTCAAATGTCGCGTCTTGCAGGTAATGCAACCCGTACGAACCTTGGGCGCGGAGGCTCTAGAGCGTTTGGGTTTGGCAGGGTTGGGGGTGGAAGTGTTGGTGGTCTTGCGGGAGAGCATGACGACTTGACAACGACGAGAGGCCGTCGACGACTGACATCGAATTGGTGAAGATGGACGGAGTAACACAGACAAGGCCAGCGGGTACAAATTCCATTGGGGGGTTGTTGCGAGGCCGTAGCCAGGTATATAAAGCGGACTGAGGCAGCATTGCAGTTGGGCGGTAGGCCATGACACACCGACCACCACCACCGCCCCACGGGTCATGCATCATCACCCGCCCTGCGCGATTAAGGCATGCCCATGGACTGCAGCAGCGTTCTGCCGACCGTGTTGGCTTCGATTCGCAGGGGCCACGGCGCGCGCGACGGGTACGGTAGCTCTGGCTCGGCCGACGCCTGCCCACTCCTCCACCGCACCGCGCCGCGCCGGGGGCAAGGCCAAAGGAAGGGCTTGCGGACGCCAGTGGAAACGCAAATCAATTTTTAGCCACGGGCCATGACGAGGAAGGGAAGGGGCAACCGTACGCGCGACAGCAGTCCGCCCTCCCAGCGTGGCCGAAATGTTGCTGCCTGGGGCCCGCCCTGCGGGTTCCGCTGCGTGCGCGTGTGGATCGCGCGGGCTTTTACGGCTTGGCCAATCACCGCGCGGCGGTGACTTGTGCCAAAACAACGTGCTCTGCCGGCCTTGCCTTGTTCCTCCGGGCCTTGCATTCTACCGGCGATCCGAGAGTGCTTGCACAGTAATGAGAGGGCTAAGCAATGGTGACATCCGAGTGCCGACGCCCCATGGCTGAAGTGAGGTAACCTTGTCACTATGTCAACTCGCGACACGTGCTGAGGGCGTCGGTGGATGCATCGGTTAATCATCAACGCTTCGACAGACGAGCAACACCTGAGTCGTGCATCACCGCTTCGAATGCCTTGACTCAATCACGTAAGCTACTTGCTGTATCATCAATGTCCTCAGCACCAAGGGCATTATTCCCATGTGTCGTAAAACGGCCATCCCTCGGCCAACTTTCGCGATCTGCCACTATCGCTCCCAGATCTGCAATGCATCGTATAGTAGCTCGCCCATTGCAGGGCCCGAGGCTACTTTCCATCATGTCCTCCAATCAACAACCAATCCGACCTCTCCAGTTCATCGGACCTCGCTCTCAATTTCCAATTTCACCATACTTCGCTGCCTCTTCCCCTGCTCCTCAGCCGCACTTCTAAACGGCCAGAAACTCCACCAACCCTTTGCCAAACAATACCCCCGCCTCAGCCTTGTATGCCTCACTAACAAAGTATCCCTGGGGCGTGCGGCCAACATCGGGGAAGACAAAGTGGGCTTGAGATCCTTCGCGCGAGATTGTATCCTTGCCTGGCGTCGGAGCGGAGATTTCCGGCTGCGCGAGTTTCACAGATGGTCGGGCGTTCTGGCTCTGCAACGGAGCAGCTGTAGGAGTTGGAGCAACGGCCGGCACCGGGTTGTTGCCTGGTTGCACAGCCTTGGCTACTGGTCGTGAGCTGGTTGGAGTTGCCGCGACGGCCGGCACCAAGTCGTTGCCTGGTTGCACAGCCTTGGCTGCTGGTCGAGAGCTGGTCGGAGTTGCCGCGACGGCCGGTGTAGTCGCAGCCGCAGGAGCCACAGGAGCTGCTTGCGAGAAGGTGATGGGCGTCGACTGTAAGTCGGACGTCAAACTCGCGCCAAACGACTTGCTCATAACCGACGCCCGCGAGTCGTCCACGCTCCTCTCCGAATCCTCAAACACGTTCGACCGCTCTTCGACGTCATCGTAGACCTCCATCTCGTCGTCGGAATCGCCTTCCGGGACCCGGAACATACCGCTGGGATCACCGGGGAGGTTGTGTGGGATGGAAACGAGTCGGTCGATCTTGACTCTCTTGAGCCGGTGGGATTGGATCTCTTTGACGTCTTCGTCTTGTTCCAGCTCGTCCAGTTCCTTCCTTAGCTGTCGCAATCGTTCCATTTTCGCTTGACGGACATCGGCATTGCTCTCCTTTGGCTTTGGCGCGGCCTTCCTCAATGATGAGAAGCCGACGGTGCTGGGGGTGCCAATATCAGAATTGGCTTCGCGCGCAGCACGCAGCATCGCCGCCCGTTGGATGGTCGGAGTGCCAAGGAAGCGAGGGGTGCGAGGCATGCGGCGCACCACGGGGGTGCCCTGCGGCACGTCAAGCAGCTTGGGCGGTTGCTGAGCGCGTGATGGCTTCGAAGGTGTGGGACTGCTCTCTTCGATCTGCGAGAGACGAGAGATGAACGAAGGCTCCGTGTATTCGGTGATGGTGGACAGAGAAGTCGGCACGTGGTGGTTCCTCGTCGACGGACCGTTACTGTGGTTGCGTGGAGACTCTCTCTGAGCAGACCTTGGGGTCTGAGCCGGCTGCATTTTGTCTGAGCGGCCTGGCGTCTGTTGTGCCGTTGTGGCGGGGATGTCTGATTCCACTCGTGACGAGGGACCAGTGTTTCCACGAGGAGAAGCAGCGAGCCTCCGCGTTGATGGCTTTGGAGTCTCAATACGGGCGCGCTTGGTGGGCGACTCTTCACTGGCGTCTTCGGCCTGGCGCTTACGAATGGAAGAGATGGGTTGGACGGAGTCAGCCGGAGGTTGCGTGGCAGGAATGGTGTTGTCTAGAAGCTGCTTCGGTGACTCTTCGATTCTGCTGCGTTTGGCAGCGGGTTGTGAATATGAATGCGTGTCGTCATCGTCTTCTGCCGATCGCTTGCGCGTGAATGGGCTGACGAAGTATCCTCCGACAGAGGCAAGCATTCTACGCCACCCCGAGTGCCCCTGCTCTTCTCCGGCGAGACGCTGGGGAGTTGTTGTCGCGGTAGTGTTCGTCGTACCTTCTTCTGTCTCGTTTGTGGTTGGGAGAGCGGTCGGTTGGAAGTTGTAATCGGGTAAGCCGGGGTGTTTCGATGGTGTGGGGTAAGGAGGTGGCATGAGCGCAAGAGGAGCCTTCTCAGTGACGTTGTTAGTGAGAGCGGACATGGATGCAGGAGAGGGCGAAGTGCTCACCGTCGTCTGTTCTTCGGCGAGACTCTCCCCGTAATCCTCGCGAATCTTCTTGAGCTTCGCCTCGCGCTGAGCCTTGGTGAACGGTCTGGGTGTTTTCGCTATCACGATTTCGGGCGATGGCGATCTCGTGGGAGCCGGCAGCGGCACCTGCGGAGCGATGATCGCCGGGACTGTCCAGGTGGTCAACAACGGCTGGATGGATGGAAGGATTGGCAGGAGCATACCATTTTCCGTCTCAACTGAGGGCTCGCGCGACTGGATGCGCGCGCTGCGCCGCGTGGGCGCGGGCGACTTCTTTGCTTTGCCCTTCTTTGGCGGCATCGTGGGTGGGTTTGCGACAGTTGGCAAGGGGTGTCTTGTGATAAAAGGGCTGCATGTAGGTGCTGGGTGATCGCGGAGGTTGTTGCAACAAGTTTATTCAAGTTTACGGGGTAACCCGGCAGGCGCGGCCCGCGTTTCGTGACTAAAGTGGGGCCGCAAGAGCCGGGACCAGATGTGTGAGGGATGTACTCAGATATTCACACCGCTGCAATGCAAAGCCACACCTCCAAGCATTCAGCCTTGCGAGGTACACGAGGGTGCCTGAGGCTACAGTCACATGAAGCGGGGTTAGCTCTTTGTCTGCTGAGATCGGTCACTGTACAGCTTCTTTGCACCGAGATGCCGTCTGTGATGAGCTGTGGCTCCATCGGGACAACCTCCCTCACCAAAGTTTTGAGTGCGTGCTCGCCACCGGCACGCAGTTCGCCAATACTGATCGACTTCTTGAGATGCTGACCGTCTTTCGGGGAAAACACTCGGGATCACAGCGCTGGTTTCACAAAGATCGTATTCATGTCGCGCAAACAGCACTGGTGTAGCTGCTGTCATGCCGAGATGCAGGTACGCGGTTGCCTCAGTCACACCGCACATCACCGGTGAAGTACATCACATCACATGACCATCACCGTGACCATCTCCTGAAGTGTGAGTGAGCTGGCTTCAGAGGCTATGGATAGCACACTCAATACTGCAAGTCGCAGGCGCAGTCACAATGGCAGCCACTTAAAAGCCTTGACAGCATTACGCAGCGCCGAGCCCGCAGCCTCATGCGCGGCTCAGCCACGCCTGCGCGTCCTCGGAGCCGCGTAGCTTTGCAGCATCTTCCCAGATCTCTGGCCAAGCACGCCGTCTTCATACTATTGCAGGAGCTACGTGGGCTTCGTGGAGCCACGTGTACACGGCCTCGTCGAAAGTTGGCAGGAGCAAGCAGCGGCGCCAACGGCATCGCAACACGCTGGTCAACACGGATCTTGGCCACGGCGGCAAGATCTGCCTCTTCCGCCAAACAATCGCGAAGCGCAAACCCTATTTCCAGCCGAGTAGCGCGCCAAACAACGTCACCCGCACGCGCCTCCCTTCACGTTCCCCCCGTTTCACCAATCACTGCGCCCAAATTCGCGTCTTTGGGTCCAAATGAAATTGCGCGCTCCGAAGGCTGGCGGTTGAGGCGTTGCTGGTGCTACGTCACTTGTGTCACCAGGCCGCAGCGTAGATAGGCAATAATAAAAGACTCGCATGTTCCCTTGCGCATTCCAGCTTCTCGTCCTCCATCCACAGTCGCTTCGTCCTCCTCACACCGTCACACTGCTTGCACCGATCCATCCTTGAGCCACTCATCAACCGTCAGAAACTGCAAGCAGAGGCTACGACATTGACAATGGGCTTCTTCCACTTGTACGCGAAATCTTCAACAACACGCTAGGCATTGTTTGCGGAGACTAACACCATTCCCAACAGCATCGGAGTCTTCCTGCTCTTCGCCGCCAGCATCCTCCTCCTCATCACCACCATCAGCGCCCCCGTTGTCAACGACATTGCGCTGCTGAGGGTCCACCTGAACAATGGCAGCACGCTAAACTTCGGAACGTTTGGCTACTGCGTGCTCAACGCCGCCCAGCCCAAGTACGCCTTCATATCTTCCTGACTCCTCTCACCCATACTGACACTCCCTCCCCCCAGTGATGGCAACGACTGGTGCAGCAAAGTGCACATCGGCTACAAGCCCGCCAACATCATCGCGTCAACAGCAGCATCGCAAGACTTTGACGAAATCACCGGCGGCACCTCCGACGCCCTCACCAGCACCATGGTCCTGCACCCCATCGAGTGCGGCCTGGCCTTCATCGCATTCGTCATCTCCGCCTTCGCCGGCATGTTCGGCTCGCTGTTCGGCGCCCTCATCGCCCTCGTCGCCTGGATCCTGACGCTCATCTCGCTCGCTATCGACTTTACTGTTTTCGGCATTGTGCACCATCACGTGTCGGATTACAGTGCTGGTCGGGAGCGGGCGACGTTTGGGGATGGGATTTGGTGTTTGGCTGCTGCGTTTGTCGCGCTCTTCTTTGGCATGTTTATTGTCTTCTTTACGTGCTGCGCTGCTAGGCGCGAGAAGAGGCGTGGTGTGGCTTCCAAGCAGGAGGTGCAGCCGGTGCAGACGAGGAGGAAGCGATTCGGCATGTTCTAGGCCGCTGAATGGCTCATCAAGCTCGCTTAACCTCCACTCTCACGCGGGGACGAGAGGGTGATGTGAGGGATGATGGTGGTATCTACCCTTTGCTTTTCTGCTTTTATGTTTTTTCTCGGCGTCAACTGAGTAATACCCGGAAGCAACAGCGTGGATAGCAAGGTGCACATTGAACCCGAATTTCATTCGATTCTTTCTCCCTCCCTGCCCACGTTCCATCATCTCTACACGGCCGTGGTAAAAGCCAGGAGCACTTCCTTTGCTAATCCGCACCTAAAAGACAACGCCCTTCTCAATCACTGCCACCTCCCATCCTGCCCAGGTCAGAGTCACCACCGATATCCATCATGACCTTGCCAATGGACATCAGTAGTGGCTGTCACCGCTACTGATATCCATCGAAACGTCGCCAGAACTGTACTCCGCCGCTCCGTCCATACCACTGCTCATCACCACATCGACATCCATCTTGGCCGCCTGCTCTCCAGGTCCATCTTCTCCATGCCGTGCAATGACCACGCGAAGACGGCGCAGCTCAGCACAAGCCTGCAGAATCCCGCTATGGACCGTGAAAGTCGGCATGCGCTTGACACCGTCCTCGTCAACCTTCTCCCATGCAATCGTTTCCAGCGGCATCCCAGTGAGGAAACCTGTTCTGGCGGTATCCTCGTCCCCCACATTGAGTGCCTTCGCATCGTCCTCAGCGGAGCGGATCATGCCAACGGCGTGCAGCAGAGCACCGCAGAACTCAGAGTGAGGGTAGCGCCGAGCAGCCAGGACGGCCTTCCAGTTTGCTTGCTCGGCGCGCGTCAGGGCCCTGCTCATGTCCATGTCGTCGAAGAGGTAATCGAGCCATTCGATCAGAGAGTCGGGTTCTTTGCTGTGGTGCTGCTGCGCTTGAGCTGCGAAAGATAACATCGGTGTGCGTGGAGGCGACGAGGAAGGCGAGTACTCGTTGTCGGCGTCCGAGGGCGGGTAGCAGACAGGGGAACCAGTAGGACGCTCCGGCGTGTTGCCGGTGGAGGGGGGCGAGGGGAGAGGGGAGGTAGTACGAAGCTCGGGTTTGTTGCCTGTGGAGTGGTGGGTGTAGGTTTCGATTTGAGCATGCGGAGCGAACAAGTCCGAGAAGTCGAGGAGCATGCGTGGCTCAGTGTTTGTCACGACATAGTCGTTTGGCTGCGAGTATTGGTCATGATTAGCATGAGGCCCGCCGGTGAACGGGTACGACATGGTGGGCTGTGCGGGTAGTGGTAAGTGGTGGTGGTTCGTAGAGTGGGAAGTGGAGAGAGCGCTTGCGGAAAGCTGCATCAAATTGACTCTTGTGGTGCGTTTGTTGTCTTAATGAAACGATGACGTTGTGGTGTCGCCGTTTGCTCGCTGATGTTTTGCAACAAGCCCTGCATGCGGTGCTCCAAATTGCGTTTTTCCAAGTCAATTCCGATTAGCATGGCAGGCGGGAATGGCAATTCGAATCATCCTACGGCCCTTGGCTCGGCGGTCTCTCAATCATCATCGTGAAACGTAATCCCTCCCTCCTCGGTAGCATCCCGATTCTCGTTGCCATCCGTTGCATCGTCCTCGTCCCGATGTCCGCCATTGCTCTGGACAGCACTCTTTGCAGGCGCCAACTTCTTCTTCTTCTTCTCCACTCCATTATCATCTTTCGCCCCATCCACTTCCATGCCCTCCCCATCCCCACCGCCCTCAATCTTCTTTCTTTCCTTCCTCAACTTTGCCTTGGCCCTCTTCAGCTGGTTCTTGCTCAGCTTCTCCTCATCCAATTTCCGCCTCTCCTCTTGCTTCTCCCTCCATTCCTTTTCCTTCTCCTCCTTCTCCACCTCCTCATCCATCAACCTCAACCTCTCGTACTCCCGCCGCCGACTAGCCTTGTAGACGTGAAACTCCCCGCTGCCCGCTCCGGCCGACGAGCCCTGCACATTTGCCACAATCTCCGGCGGCGCGGCTAGTGTCTTCGCTTGGGAGGTCGCAGATGCTGGGATGATGATCTCGCGATCGGGGTTGGCGAAGAGCGCCTCCACTTGTGCTGATTGTTGGCTTAGAGGGTCGTTGGCGCGGGCTTTCTTGACAGGGCGGTTGGAGCGGCGGTCGTTGGAGGTGGGGATGGCTTCGGGGATTGGTTCTGACATGGTTGAGGATTGAGGACGTCTGTCGACCCGCTGTTGTCCTTGGTGGGAGGCCAGGTGAGGTGCTGAGTTGCTTCGCTCTGGACGGGAAGAAAGACACCGGGGGTCGCCTGGGATGTCTCTTTTGGGGCTAGAAGTGGTGGGTCAACCCTGCCGCCACATCTTCTAGCGCGGATACCGCCGTTAGCGTTTAATGATTCCAACAAATCACAGCGAATATCTCGATACGCCTATGCAGTCGCGAACCCCTCCACTCCGATTCCGCATTGATACGACCTCCAGCATCGCACACTCCGGCGATTCGCCTTGTCCAAATCTCCATTCCAACATGGGCAAACCTCGCCTCATCATCCTCATCCGCCATGCGCAGTCCGAAGGCAACAAGAACCGCGCCATCCACCAAATGGTGCCGGATCACCGGGTGAAGCTGACGGATGAAGGCTGGAAACAGGTACATCGCAGCCTTGCTCCAACCACGCATGCCCTTTACAGACTAACCACCGACCGTAGGCAGAAGATGCAGGCCAACGACTTCGCCACCTCCTCCGCCCCGACGACAGCCTACAAATCTTTACCTCCCCGTATCGCCGCGCGCGGGAAACGACGGAAGGCATCCTCCGCACCTTGACTGCGCACAACACCTCCGACAGCCCGTCACCTTTCAGCAAACATCGCATAAAAGTGTATGAAGAGCCGCGACTGCGTGAGCAAGACTTTGGCAATTTCCAACCTGATAGCGCGGCAATGGAACGCATGTGGCAAGAGAGGGCAGACTATGGGCATTTCTTCTATCGCATACCCAATGGTGAATCCGCGGCGGATGCATATGATCGCGTGAGCGGGTTCAACGAGTCGTTGTGGAGACAATTTGGGGAGAAGGATTTTCCCAGCGTCTTGGTGCTGGTATCTGTATGTTGCTGAAAGCCGACCATGGATCCCACGGGCGTGTCTTGCTAACGAGTTGCTCTTTTGCTTCAGCATGGACTCATGTGTCGCGTCTTCCTCATGAAGTGGTACCATTGGTCGGTGGAGTACTTTGAGGACCTGCGAAACGTCAATCACTGCGAGTTCATCATCATGAAGAAGAATCCGGAATCGGGCAAATACGCATTGGAGAATAATCTGCGAACCTGGTCGGAGCTGAAGCGACAGCGACAGGAACAGGAGGCCGCTAAGAACAATCCTTCCAGACGAAACACGCTCTCTGCCTTCTTGAAGGAGCCTGAGGAACCCCCGAGTGTACCGACTCATCAATGGGCAGAGCAGAACACCAATGTCCCCTTGCTGGAACAACAGCTTCAACAGTCACAAACCCCTTCATCCCCAGCCGTCATCACAACTGCCGCCCACAGCAGTACGAACGACAGAGACGATCATCCCCTAGGCAGTGAAGCAGCGCCCACAAGTGCCTCCACAGACGGTGCAACGGATACCTCCAACTTCACCAATCCTTTCCCTTCAAAAGCTGCCCTTCCCATCCGCCCCCTCCCACCACACCTCGCTTCCGAAACTTCCAAACTTCCCCGCCCAGGACCGTCAGGGACCTCGACCCCGCACGAAATGCCCTCAGACGAGGAAAACGACTACTTCCCCGCGGCGAACAAAACACAAACGGCCGTCTCGCCCAAAGGAAGCGCTCCGAAAACGGGCCACGACATACTAGCCGCTTCCCTCCGCCAGGCTCCGGAACGTAAACCCACGCCAGAAGATATTGAGCGTTGGGTTGGGGAGAGTGGGATGGGGACGGGCAAACATGCGGATGCGCTGGGTGATGAGCCGGATCCTGAGGCGGATGAGCGAAAGGTTGAGAGGGAGTTGCGGGAGCAGCGGAGACGAGAGGAGGGAGTGAAGGGGAATGTGTATTGATGTTATGCTGGGTGTTGTGGGGAGAGTGTCGTGTGCAAGACCGTATGGCTTCAACGACTACATAGCGGTGATGTAGAGCATTAGCTGGATTATGACTAGGAGCGTGCGCTTGTTGTGCGCATGCATGCATGAATGGTTGATAGTTGCCACCGTCTCACAGCTCCTTCAATCTCTCCAGCACCTTCAGCAGCGATATCGATGCCCCTTTGGACAACACTGGCAGCGCCGCACGCTTCAAAGCCCCCTCATCTCCCTTCAACATCCCCTCCGCATCTCCCACAACCTGCTCCAGCAGCTTCAGCCCATCCTGCTGCTTATAAACCCACTGCACCACATCCTCCATCCCCTCCACACCCTCCCTGCCCCCAAGGGCAGCAACAACAAACATCCGCGCCCGCAAAAACACCCGCTCGCTATACACTTCACTCGGCCGCTTCGAGCTCTCCAACCCAACGAGCGCCTCATACCCCGCTTCGTTGAAGTACGGTTCCCGCACGAGCACCAGGCCCAGCAAGCTGACGAGCACCTGCAACAGCGTGCTGCGCCCCGCGCTCCAGCCCTCGCGCTTCCCCTCGCTGTCCCACGTGCCCAGAAGGGAGAGGCAGATCTTGCCGTCCTCGTAGAGATTCGGATTCACTCTGCCGGCTGCGCCGGTGCCGCTTTCGGCGGGCCAAGGGTGAAAGAAGGCGAGAGGGGGTTCGGCGGGGAAGGTGGGTGGGAGCCAGAAGTCGACGACGAACGGGGCGTGGATGTAGGGTGTTTCCGCGGGACCAATGAACAGGACGCGCAGGAGGTCGAGGCGGGATTCCCATGTGCGCACCCAGACGCCGGCTGGGAGGGTGTTGGACTTGCGGAGGATTTGGTGTTCCTTTGCCGTGCGTTTTGTGTGGGTTGGCGATATGGTAGAAGGACGGTTGGCGAAGGCGTGGGTTGTTGGAACAGGGGTGGATAGAATGAGGTATGGTTCTGGGTGGTTGGTGAGTTCTGAGGTTGTTGCCGGTATGGCGTCGTTCGTTCCTGAGGCTGGTAGCGACGGCGAGTCACCTTGCGGAGGGACGGCTGACTCTTCCATGTTGGCATCGGCGTTGTTCCCTTCACTTTCAGACTCCCATTCCTCATCCTCCACGTCAAGAATATCCATAGGTTCGCCATTCTCGTCCTCATACCTCACATCCATCTCATCGTCCTCGGAATCAGTGTCGGTATTGGTGTCGTCATCAGAAAAGTCGTCTTGGTCCTCCATCATATCATCGTCGTCGACATACTCCAGCTCCCCGTCGGAATTCATCTGAACGTTCATAAGATCCTCCGGCTCGTCAACAACGTCCGTCCCGTCGGACCGAACTGCGACAGCAAAATCTTCTCGTTGGAGCATCACATCTCGCACGAGCTCTGCCGCACCAAGACGAATGAGGAAGGACCCGTCGAGTTTCGTATCCACGATCTCACCGATCCAGTCACGGTCTTCCCCTTCTTCATGCGGGCTAGGCGACTTCCATCTAGTGTTGGTGATCAGAGCGAGGTCGCCTCGCCTCACGTTCAGCTCTGCAGGCGCTTCAATATCATACAAGCTGACCTCTTCTACCTCCCCGGTGGCGAGACCCACTACGCCAGTCAAGGCTTCGGGGGGGTCTGCAGAGTTCTCTTCGGGCGCTGTATACTGGATGCACCCATTTGGACACCACCGTATCCTCGCCATTCTGTCCGAAGCATCGACCGTCTGGACAATCCCGACCCGCCTTGCTTGCCGTACGTGTGGCATGTCAGGGTTGGGGATGAGATCAGGCGAGTGAGCAATTTCGCCAGGCCATACGCTGTGGTGATCGTCGATGGCCAGATCGGGTATCAGGGCGGTACTGCGTTCACGCGTGACTGTCAAATCTTGCCACTGCACGGCGACGTCTGTTTGGAAATTCATCACCTCGAACACGTTCAAATCGTAGCCCAACGTGTCTTTGCGATCGATGCGCTCGAGTTTACCGTTGCCGTCCCTTCCATCGTACTTGACGCATGCGCCTGACAGGTCCCGGAAACGCACTCGTAAGTTCAGCTGTGCATCAATCTCCGAATTCGATGTAGTTTGTTCCGCAGTAGCCCTGGAAGTGGATTTCGGCCACCGCGTGCGATCGTACACATGAAATTCTGAAGATTCCAACGCCGACCTCTCCAGCAGATTCGGTGGAGCGACTTCATCGCCTTTGCCTCCAATCCGCCGTCCCAACCACTCAACGTCGACACTCACGAGACGAACATGCACGACGGTGCCGACGGGCATGATCTTGGGATTGTATTGTCCGTAGATCCAGTTTCCCGTCCGCAATGCGCTTTTCTTGGTAGTGGCAATATCCCCCACACTGAATGTCTCGTACGCTCCCTCCAACGAGTCCGCCTGGTGGTCGCCAACCTCGACGACGCTGTTGTTAGAGAGCCGGAGCGCGACCATTGTTACCGCGTCGAGCACTCGGCCTATCCAGCCTTTGTAGATGACGATGTCCTCGTGAGTCGGCGGAGTGTGGGCATACTGTAGCTCGCCGGCTGGGACGCCGATGATCGGGGCGGGACGGACGGGTTCGCGCGCTTGCCACTGCTCGTTGAATGCGGTTGGCGCAGGGAATCCAAGGAAGGTGGCCTCTTCTTTACCGTAGTTCATGTCGACCAGTGGCACCTGACATATCGGCTGGAGGGTGCATGTGGTAAAAGCGTTGATGACGACGCCGCTCATGGCATCTTGCACGCCCTTCTTTACGACATCGCCAACGATCAGCGATCGACCCAAGACCTCCAGCTTTGATTCCGGGACGAGTTCCGGCTGTAACTTGCTTTGCCACACAACCACCACGGAGCCTGATGGAGGGATGCTGGTCTTCAGAAACTTTTTGAAAGCGGGCTTTGGGATGTCAGGGTCGCATGTAATACCCTGTCGGGAGTCGGGATGGTAGTGATGAGAGTCCACGTCGCCATGAGTGCTGTCGACCACTCCAAGCCGGGAGGGATCGGTTTTGCTCCTGATCAGATCGTCCGGGTAGAGTGGAAGAGTCATGGTTGAGCAGTGTGGAAGGCACATGCAGACGCTCGAAGAGTACGAGGACGGATGAACATCCGGTGCTGCATGAGAAGGGTCAGCAGCAGTCACCAGCACGTTTTTGAGCAGTCATGTTTGCTGTGTTGTGCAGAGGATGAAAAGGAAATCGACGGATGTGAAGAGTGCAAAGGCCAGATGAAGTTGTGGCGGCCGGAACTTTTGGCCTGCGCGGTCCGGCCCGGCGTCGAACTCCGACGTGGCGCGGGCGCGGCACTCTTTGATGACCTTGTCACTGTTGGTGAATCAACAGCAGCAACAACCACTCTGCTTGCGTCGTGGTGGTCGGTCGAAGATGCTTGGAGCACATGCTCTCACAAAGACACTAGTCCCCCTGGGCATGGCGGGTTAGACCGAGATTCACACCAGATGCCAGACAGCCAACATGGATCCCTTGTACGAACTCCTCTCCCCCTACTTCGATAGACCAGCAGCACGCCCTCCTCCAAACGACCCCCAAACGGCAAACTACCTCACCCGCCTCAGCACACTCTCCCTCTCCGAGCTCACATCCACCGAGCCGGCTTCGCTCCAGCATTCCGCCCAATCTCATCTTCGAAACCTCCAAGCCCTCTCCAAACGCTCTCACCAAGCCGTCATCGCCTCCACCTCGAATCTCGAGGATCTCACATCAATCTTGCCGTCCGTCCAATCGCTCTCAAAAGACGTACACAATGGCCTTGCACCCCTCGAGAATGCAGCAACCGCCTTTGCGAGCAAATACGACCGAAGTAGCGAGAACGCGGTATTGGATCGACGGAAGAGGAAGCTGCTGCTCTCGAGGAACGTGGACCGTGTGACGGACATGTTGGATCTGCCTGTCCTACTATCTTCCACCGTCACATCGGCACAATCCGCCTCGACAGCCTCCACTTCGACATCCTACGCCACGGCATTGGACCTCCATGCACATATCCGACGCTTAAATGCGCTATATCCCCACTCGGAGCTGGTGGGCGGCATTTCCAAGCAGGCAGACGCCGAGATACAAAATCTCGTCTCCATTCTCATTACCTCCCTGCAGAGTCCATCGCTGAAGCTCGCAGGCGCCATGCGAGCCATTGGCTGGCTGAGAAGAATTGCACCCGACCTCGCAGAGGATGGGTATATCCTCAATCGACCTCAGCCAACATCCGCAAAAGCATTGAGTGTATCCACCAACCCAAACAGCACCGATGGCGCCCTAGGCTCTCTCTTCCTCGTCTGCCGCCTCCGCACGTTGCACACCACACTTGCCGCCCTCGACCCTCTTCGAGAGCTAGCACAGCAAGAAACGACACATCGGAAGCAGGGCACTAACGGCAAACTCTCTAAGCAACAAGTCTCCGCCAGCGCGCTCGGCAGTCAAAGCGAGCGCTACCTCAAACGCTACATTGAGATCTTCCGCGAGCAGAGCTTCAGCGTGATCGGGATGTACAAGAGCATCTTTCCCTCCGGCTTACCGACGCCTGAGAAGGGCGCAGATACTGCCAGAGCAGGGCGAGACGCGGCAGCGAGAGGGAGAGATACGAAGCTATCATCACCGCTGTCCTCCTTCGCATTGCATCTCGTCAGCACGCTCACGTCCACCCTTCGCGAATATCTCCCCAATGTGACGGACACGCACGCGCGGGAGTCGTTGCTGACGCAGGTTCTCTACTGCGCGGGGAGTCTGGGAAGGCTTGGGGCGGATTTCGGCATGATGATTGCACTACTGGAGGAGGAGATGGGCGATGACGCGGACGAAAAGGATGACAGCAATGGCGGCGAAGACACGGAGGAACATGAGCCCGAATGGGCGCAGGTGATGAAGAAGCACCGCATCCAAGCCGGTAGGCTGGAAGTGCTCGCTCGCGGGGTGGGAAGCGGTGGGCGCAAGGCCAGTTCGGGCAGCGAGATGAATGCCCTGCTGTCACCGGGATAGAGCGGATAGTCCTCAGCGCCTCGCAGTATTCGAATGGATCTCCCACGGGCGTGCCAACCGCGCGTCTTTCATCAAAACTTGCTCCCGGCGTAATGTGTTCATCCGTCGTCGTGTCACAATACGGTCGTACAACTGCCCGTTGCGTCGAGAGGCCGACGACCAACATGAAGTCCGTGCGGAGTAGTCATCGGCTTAGAGGGTGATTACTGAATGCCTTACCAAGTCCCCTCCAGCCTTGCCTTTAGTTCGCTCTCGATCTAAGCATATCGCCCGAGGAGGGTGGAGGCTAGTGCTTAGGCGAGTATAGCGTAGACGTCTGGTGGAGATGGGCTTGCCGACGTGGCATGCTGTATAATCAGGTCCGGAAGACGCGGAAAACACTTTATAGTGGGAATCAGGCGATGTGATCTCGGACAGAATGAGCCGGTGGGGGGTCCTCGGAAGGCTAGACGGACGGTCTTCAGGACCCAACGGGACGCGGCGTGGGATCATTTTCGTCCGACGGGCGAGAAGTCCGAGATACAATATCCGCATACAGCTGCTGCGGCGAATCAGTCTCACGCATCGGACATTGCTGAAAGCCGTTGTTGTTATAATCAGTGTCTCGTGCCTTGTGTAATGCCGGCCTGCCGAGCTGCGCAACGGTGGACTCTCGTGGCGGATCCCAATCTCGAGCGACTGGCAACACTGAGTAGGCGCGGAGTTTCACGGATTGCGAAGTTTTGCACAGCGAGCCGTAAGTTGAGTCTGTTGGGATTGCTATGAAAATAAGGAGGCCATAGCGTGGGATTCGTGTCCCTATTGCAGCCTTCTGCTATCCGTGATCTCGTGCCCTCGTAAGAATTAGTAATAGCGAGTGCGGTGTAGCAGGTGTGGTTCGACATCGCGAGGCCGCGGTGATGTAATAATCGACGAGATCGACGATCCCCCACGTTTGGGGCTTGCCTATTGTGGATGCATCCAAAGCCGTGGACTGGACGCGTGGGTTGCTTCAATGTTGATCGCGATCGATTGTCATCCAGATATGTTTTGCTCGGTCTTTGTTTTTGCACTTGCTGCAGCGTTGTCTGTGGACAGACCCAAGCGCAGGACGGTTGGCGCACAGCTTAGCGCTGGCTGTCGTGTGAGGCCTGCCCTCGCTGTGACCGAGTCGACTTCCACAGGATCAGACTTCTTCTCCGGAAGCATGACCGACTATGGAAGGTCTATGCACCATTGTGCAGGGTCTGTGTGGTTGCCGCAAGCCGCTCTCGCGTGGAAGGCTGTGGAAAATGGCTTGGGATCTCCAGCTCAGCTGGCCTGCATACGCGAGAGGAAGGCTGGAAGCCGTCAGAAGCCGTTATACACGATGAAGGTAGGCCCGTGGCCCGGCGGCGCGGTCAAGCCACAGCAAAAAGAGAGCGCGTTGTGGCTGACACGCCTCAACGGGCAGAGTCTGGCCAATCACGATGGTGATGACGCCAAGACAGCCACAGATGATCTAGGTGTTGAGGCGGCATCTCCGAGATGCGGCGATGATTGGTCGATGACTTTTCGTTTGTGCAGCCCAGCGAGTATAATGCGGAGGAGACTGAAGGCTTTTCACGGTGCAGTCAGCGGCACGTCTCTCCGTATCTCGGAGAGCGCGAAGGGTTCCTTTTTCTTCATTGTCTCTTTTTGTCAGGAACACGCGATGGTCACACGAAGGAGACTCACGTGTGGAGTGTGCCAAGGGAAGCAACCCAGCCACAGCCCACGCCTTGCACCCGTGTGCGAGTCGACGCGTCAGTTTGTATGATCGGCGGTGGACACCGGGCAAGCGAGTGGGTGTGAGGGAATCGCCAAGGGATGTGCGCGACCGGGGCGGCTCTCCGACTCCGAAGGCTGGAGCAGGATCGAAGGCCACATCTGGACTCTCGAGTAGGAGGACGTAGAGACGGCTGCCGTATCTCGGATGCCCCATACCCGAACCCCAACTTGGCTTGGCAGAGTCTATTTTCTCTACTCAAGCGGTCTATGATCCGTATGTGCGGATGTAATATATGATCACGCGGTGCGATGTCAGTGTGGTGACGATTGGGAGTGCTCACGCACGCACCGCCACATGCACTCGTCAAGCATGGTGAACGCGTGGAAGGCACGTCGTGACCAGCCTTTCACCAAGCAAGGCATTCCAGTCCACACCAGCCGCGCCGACAGGGCCGCGGCCCGGCGGTCGAGCAGAAAAAGGCAAAGACAGGCAGGCGCTAGCGGGAGGGTGCAGCGAGTGGAAGGCAGAGGGAAGTGCGTGCACAGCCTCATGATGCGGCAGCAGCAGCGACGCCGAGGCGCTATCGCCGGATTGGGCCGCGTGACTGGGGAAATCTCAATAAAGAGTGTTGGGTGCGAGCGAAATGCAGCAGGCTTCGATCACACTATCAATTCCCTCCTCGCTCGCGCGCATTACAAAACCATCGACATATCCCCCACTGCACGCGCCTCGTATAGTGTGCACGTTGACTCATCACGTCACTCGCTTGGACGCGGCAGATTCGACATACTTTGGCCAGAAGCTTGCTCGCTACTGTATTTGCAATCCACCCGCGCTTTCGTCGCATGTGAGCGCCCGGAGCCGACTTTCCCGGTCACGTTTTTTGCGTTGGGTCCAGCGCTTCGCAGGGTCCTCGGCAGAAAAAGTCGGGGTCTAGTGATTCCAGCGCGACAATGTCGTCACAGCCTCACCCCCAGCACCCTCCTCTGCCTTCTCCCGTCTTCTTCCATCCGCACAACACCGACTTTGCATTATATCAACCCGACATTGCCACCTCCTCCACACCTTCGTCTTCCAACGCACCACACATCCCAGCCGGAGGCAATTACGACACCCCCTTCGCCCCACGCCCGCTCCCCTCACGCACCTCGACCTCGCGCGCGTCATATCCCAACCGGCCCAACCTCACCACCAATCTCCACTCCTTCCCGCCGCCACGCTCTGCCGCTTTGCCACCTGTCGACCAAAGCAGGCAAGGCGAAGCCGCACTGGGTGCCGTCCCTGCACACCACCCAACTGATCGGCCGCCGCACATGTTTCAGGGCAGTATGCCGCATGCGACCCTCGCATCACCTGCACACCCGCGACCGTTGAAAAGAGCACGCACACACGAGCGCACGCACTCGGCCAGCACAACCGCCTCCAACGGGCCCGCCACACCCTACACCAATAACAACATCACCACCTTCCCGCAGATTGCAAATGCGGAGCACTCGCCCGCACGGTATTACTTTGATCAAACCAACAACTTCGGCACTTCGCTTTTCACGCCACAACGAACCCCTGCCGATTCCTCATTCGCCAACGGCGGGTATATTCCCACCTCTCTCGCCCCACCCGCCAACGCACAGTTCGGCATGAAAGGTATCACCCCCGACTTCACCCTCCCCGACGACTTCCCTCCCGACCTGTACAACTCGTCGCGACTTTCGATGTCGAGTGGGCATGAGTCGCCTGCGACGCCCCAGTCTGGCACCGGCGACTACTACGACAACAAGATCAATCAGGCAGCGCAGAATGGTGAGCGTGGAACAAAAGACGTTGCGACTCGGAGAGCTCCAACTGACCCCGACGACGTCACAGATTACAGACAACCCAACTCGAATCCTCAACAATTTTACGCCGGAAAGTCGCATACATACGGCGAGGACGTCTACAATACTAGCTTCCCCTCAAGGCCTATGCCCGTACAGTCGCGACCGGATTTCCTCTCGCCCCATCCCAACCTAGTCAGCGATCATCTGCAGCGTGCGAACCTGGCGCGCTCCATCTCCCCGGCAAGCGCAATGTCGGGCGAGCAATCCCCCTTCCTCCCCAACTCGCCCTACGTGCAGGCTGGCACTGTTAGGACGGCGGCGGGCATCCGACAACAGCAGAAAGCCGACGCTGCGGAAGCTGAGAAGAACCGGGCGCATCTACGTCGGGAATCCACCAAGACCATCTCTCCCAAGGATGCGATGCTGGAGTACAATGACACCGAACAACAGCCGCCACTCTTCCAGGATCAGATTCCTACGGGGTACCGACAACACACCAATGGCGACTTCCCGCAATGGGGCGCGGCCGCCTTCACTGGACAAGGGGCAGCGACGTTTGGGAATCTGTCGGCGCAGCAACAGATGATGACCTACCGCGCCCCGTCCAATACCTGGGAGGCGAATGATTACGTGAATTTGCCACAGCAAATCCAGGAGCAGGCTCAAATATCCTCCATGCCCTTCCAGAACCAAGGCTACCCGGCTCCGCGGTTGCCCTACTCCGAGACGAACCCAGAGTTCCCCGCGCACCTGAACTCGATGGAGTCGTCGGTCAGCGAAGGCCGACCTCCGTTGTCGTCGCAGGAGAGCTTCACCGGCGTGCAACGACCCGCAGACACCCGCGCCAATACCGGCACGTACCCATGCTCCTACCACGGCTGCACCGAGCGCTTCGACAGCCACGTCACGCTGCAACGACACAAGCGCGACGTCCACCGCGCGCAACCGCAGCAGCCGCAGTTGGCCGTGCAGCCCCATCGACAACCTCGCTCCCAGCCTTCGCAGTCGCAAAGCGACTTCACCCCCACGCCCACCAGCGCCGACGAGGCTTCCGCCACACCAGCCTCGCGCTCCTCCGCCTCCCTCTCCCCCGGCCCGTCTGGCAGCGGCATGACATCTGCAGCCCTCCAGGCGCGCAACTCCCAAGCCGGCCCTCACAAGTGCGCGCGCATCAACCCCTCGACCGGCAAGCCTTGCAACATCGAGTTCTCCCGGCCGTACGACTTGACGCGCCACGAGGACACGATCCACAACAACCGCAAGCAGAAGGTGCGCTGCCACTTGTGTCGCGAGGAGAAGACATTCTCCCGCAACGACGCGCTCACCCGGCATATGCGTGTCGTGCACCCGGAGGTTTCGGAGAATTTCGGCCGGAGGGGAAAGAAGGGGGAGTAGTCCAGACGGACGTACTCCTCGGCCGCTGATTGTTTGTGTTTTTGCTGAGATTTTTCGCATTGCGTTCTTGGAATCGGCGTTGGATTGTATTGCTCGTATGCATGGCATTCACTTTGGCCGCATGATTCGAGGAGATATTGGCATACGTGGATACACCCTGCATGGCAATGGCGCAGCGACGACTTTTGCTTTCGATTCTTTTTTCGTTTGGAGGCTCGAGCTGGCATGTTCTGCTTTACTGTTTTGGTGTTTTATCATTGACCGAACGGCCTTGTTTGATGAGAGAAGATGAAACGGCTCGCTGATGTGGTACTGTTGTATTTCTACGTACGTACGAACTGGTCGTTTGTCTACTCACTTTGAGAATTGTGTTTTAACCTTTGACTATGCCATGCACCACTCACATGAACCCTAGATGCAAGATCTGCGCTGCGTGGGATCGAGTGATGGAGCACGCAAGGCACGTGACGAAGAATAAGCGATCAACGATGATCATGAATCAGGCAGTCGGCAGAGGCCGAGGGTGGCAATTGGGAGCTTGTGAAGGTTTGCAAGGAAGGCCCGTGGGCCCCTGCTGCTTTGTGCCGCCATACGTGCAGCATGACTTGGAGAAGGGTCTCCACTCGTGGTTGGAGAGCTCGAGTACTGTACCTTGGGCGAGGAGGCAGTTTGCCAGCGAGGTAGGCTTGGGAGCTTTGCTGTCATGTGCGGACTTTGTACCTGGGAGATGGAGAGTGGTGGAGCCATTTCAAGCCTTTGAAGGGGTCGTCTTGGGCTGCAACGAAGATTCAGAGGCTTTTCTGCTGTGGTGTAGGAGGTACCCGTACTGCCCGCAACGTCACAATGGCTGGGGTACGAGCAAAGGATCGCCGTGGTGAAGCAGCTGACCCGGAGAAAGACGACGGTGCATAAGTCGTACCCAATCTTTGGTAGAGCAGCAGCAGAGAGGGGAAGAGGAGAAGAGGAGAAGAGGGTCTGCCTTGACGACTTACTCCGCATTCTCCACAGACCCCTAGTTGTCACTCGCGCCTGCCCGGACTCTTCTCCGGCCTCAAATAACTCCAGCAATAATCACCCTTACCAAACCCATACTTCTCCCACATCGACCTACCGACTTTCAACCGTCGCACACTGAGAATTCCCTCATCCACCCCCCACTCGAGACAAAGAAGCCGCGAGAGCGTGCCAGCGAGCGCCGAGTGCTCGTGCCCCCCTCCATCGCGATCTGTGCGCCATCCGCCCCCCATTTTGGCTTTTTTCCCCACGAAAGCCAGCGCGCTTCGTCCCAACTCTCCTCCCGACGACCTGCTGGTGGCTTTTCAACCCCATACCTCAACTCTCCAACCCTCTCTGCCACCTTTGCTCTTTTGCTTTCCATCCTTCAACCCCTCCTTTGCATCACCTCGACTCTGCCGACCCCGCACATACTCGCCGCCGAAGCTTTCACGGAGACTGCGGGCGCACGCGACACCACCACTCGGCCGACTCGACTTTGAGGCGCCGTCGCTTCACGTCCTCCGTCTTGACTTCCCAAAAGCATCGGAACCTGCTCTGCGCAAGTGCCAATTCTTTCTTCATCCGGCGTTGCGAATGGGGATACGTACGTTCGTCTCGTCTCTTCGCCACTGCATCCGCTGACCGTGCCAAGGTTGAAATACCCATACAACGCCAACCATCCTTCGACATGTGATACAATCTATCCTCCGCCTTGATATTAGTATGTATCCCATGGCCCTTCACCGCTCCCTCGAAACTTCCAAATGCTGACGTGGTGCTGCTGCTTTGAAGCACTGTTACTGTAGATATAGAATAGAGCTCCGCGACGCCTGTTACGACCGACGATACATCAATTACGTGAGTTGCACCCTTTGTCCCCCTGCTCTGCTACGGATGATGCTCTTCTTCCTCTGCATATGCCTTCTATGCCACCGTGGAGCGAATGTTCATGACCAGCTCCATGCTCAAGCTGGACGATGCTTGCTGCTCGACATGCCCGCTTTCACTCCACCCGACTCGTTTCACATTATGCCATGCTCAAGTGCGAAAGCTGATCCATCACACAGATAATCCTATTCTCCCGATTAACTTCACTGGTCACTGATATGACATCTGAGTGAGCAATGAATGTGAGCTCGTCCAGACACCGCCCTGCATGCCAGAAGACTGATCGCACATGCAGTCAACACTCAGAAAAGCAACACCGGACTCGGAAGCGGTTGCTTCATCGGAAGATGAGCGGCCGTGGCCACGAGCACCATCATTCGGCACCCTCCCTCGCAAGGAGAATGGCGTGCCGGGGCTCGGCGGTGGCATCTGGTCCAACCAGAAGCGTGGCAGCTTCAGAATGGAGAAGGCCGCGCCGCGCAACGTTGTCCGCGAAGCTCGTCTAGGTGCCGTCAATCAATCGCTTGGTGGATTCCGACCCGAAAGTACGCCTTCGCCGTCTGCGAGCGATGGCTCTGGTGCGCTGCCATTCTCCATTCCCCTACAGCCAACGCCAAAGACTGGACGCTCGCTATCTCATTCGCAAGGACAGCGAGAGGCCGCATCGTCCGCACGCCTTCGCTCGGGTTCCATTGAGCGTAACATGGTGCGCTCTTTGGACTTCCTGCCCGAAGAAGGCGACACCGAGACAGAGTCAGATGTGGGCGGTGGACTCAGCCACACTGCATCACATCCTCCCATGGCCACGCTGCACCGCACATCTACCTACCCTCCCACACTTGAGGCGCTGTATGGGTCCGGCCATCCGAGAGACTCTCCAATGGCGGCCGGGGATGCTCAGCTTGGAGGCCGCAAGCTCGAGACTGCTCTTTCAAATATGAGTCTGGGTAAGGCTCTTGTCATCATGCTCTTTGTGTCTACTCGTCCTAACACCTTCTCTAGACCCTTCACATCGTCGTTCTCAATGGCAATCACACCTGGGCTGGGATGATGTGCTCCATGTAAACGAGTCTCGCCGGCACTCGCTCGCCGACATTCCAACGCGCCGCGGATCCTTGGCTGGAACAGACCTGCGACCGTCGATGACTGGCGCCTCATACTGGCACGATGGTTACCTGTATGACTGGCAAGAAGAAGAAACGGTCCCTGGTGATACCCAGGCCTTTGTAGAGAGTAAGTCCATCCTCCTCCAACCTCTGCCCGTCCCTGCCATATCCTGCGTCAATCCACCGAGCAAGCACACATATTGTCTCCACGCGCGGCCTGGTGATGTTACGCTTGTTGCGTCATACCATCAAGCCATATAATCACCTGACCGAACACGCGCGTTTGACAATGAACCTCACTTGCAAAGCTCACTTTTGCGCGTCTGTTTCAGCTCCGACCTGAAACTTCTATCCCCCATCCACTTCTCTTCCTCCGCTACCATCTTCCGCTCCGTTACGATCCATCTAACATCGTACACAGAGCAAACGTTTCCCACCTTTGGCGCGACTGGTACAGCGCTGAACAAGACAGGCGAAGGCAGCAAGCGCGCCGAGCCTGTGAGCACATTACCATACAGCGACAAAGACGAACAAACTCGACAAATCGACATACCCACCATGTACAAGGTTCCAACCATCAAGCTCGCTGAACACCAGCGTAGCGAGCAAGACAAATCCGCGGCTGCAGCCATGGCCAACGTCGGTCAGTGGGGAAATCGCCCTCGCAAGCAGCTCTACATCATCAGCTTCAAGTGCTCGCGTGTCGACGTCTTCTATCTCCTCGAAAACACCGGGCTTTTCATCAAAGAAGGTGACATTGTCATTGTGGAGGCTGATCGCGGCCAGGATCTCGGCACCGTGCAGCACGCCAACGTCACTCCCGATGAGGCGCGTCTCTACAAGCGCATGTACGGGGAGGAACAGTACAAGTGGTTGATGATGTTCAGCAAGAACAACCAGGCTGGCAACGTGAACCCCAACGCGCAACTCTTCGGCGAGAACAATTCCGCTGGTGGTCGCGGCGGTGGGAACAACAGCAACAACAATCTAATCGCCAACGCAGCGCCGACCATGCAAGGCTCGCCACGCGACAACTTTGCCAACCTCAAGCCAAAGGCCATCAAACGCCTCGCAAACACTCACGAAATCCACATGCTGAGTGAGAAGGAAGGCAATGAAGCCAAGGCCAAGCGCGCCTGCCAGCAGAAAGTCGCGCACCTTCAACTGGACATGGAGATTCTGGACGCCGAGTGGCAGTGGGACTTTCAAAAGCTCATCTTCTACTACTACGCCGACCACTACATCAACTTCAAAGACCTCATCACCGAGCTGTACCGCATCTACAAGACGCGCATCTGGCTGTCCGCCATCAACCCCGCCTCTTTCTCGCAACACGCTCTCGGCCAGCCGCCCACTGCCATCACCCCTGGCGCCGTTCCGGGCTTCGGCTCGCCGCTCAACAACACCTACACGATGATGTATGGTGCCGACCCTGATCCCTATGGGGCAGTGCCGCCGTATCGTATCGGGTACGAGACCTACACGCCCAACTACCCCGGCATTCCCGGCGTGTCCAACAGCTTCGCTCCGGGCGCAAACGCAATGCCGGGTGGCGGTGGTGGAAGTCACTTCCAGCCCTACACAGGTGGAGGTGCGGATGTGCACGTGCCTCCTCAGAGCGGCGGCACGCCGGCGGGAGGACCATCCATCGATTACAACTATTACGGCGGTGGACGCGGAGGCGCCGGTGGTGGCAGCGGAAGTGAGCAGCAAACGCCAAAAGCCTTCCCTCCGCACGCGCCGTTCGCTGGATCCGCGACCCCTACTGGCCCCATGTTCAATCCGATGTACGCCATGCCACCTCCTGGTACGGATCCCAACGAGCCCGGGGCTTTCGGCTTCGGTGCGTACCCTCCTCCTCCTTTCGGCGGCGGCCCTGCAGCAGCATTCGGCAATTCGCCCTTCGGTCAAAGCGGACCCGGTTTTGGTCGTGCGACTAACCTACCTGCTCCCATTGGCACGCGTCCCACCGACGCCCCCCCTCAGTCTCCCTCCTCTTACGCGCCTCTGGGGCAGAACCTCCCTCCGGGTAGACGTGGCTTTCCCGCCGCGCGTGCCGTGTCAGACTTCGTGCCTGGTCAGCAACAGCAGCAACAGCAGCGCGTACAGATGAACCCAGCTCACCTTTCGCTGGTCTTGGGGGTATGAGCTTCGGTGCGATGTCGCCTCCACTCCGTGGAGAACAAGCGAGGCAAGAGCGGGTCGAGACGCGTGGGAACTGGGCGAGATTGAGTGGCGGAGACGGGAGCAAGGCGGACTTGATGAGGAGTTATCTCGATGGGTTGGCAGAGAAGGAAGGCAGTGGTCGTCGTGGCTCTGGTGGTGAGGGGGAGGGCGGTAAGGGTGCCGGATCGTCTGGCGCTGCTCGTTGAGCGAAGAAGACGCGCGTGTGGAACGTGCACTCTGGTGTTGACGGGCGATCACGATGGGGTGAGGGGAGGAAAACGTGGACACAAGACTGGTACTGGCTGGCGTTCGATGGACGAGAGGTGTCGTGCGGAAAGGGCAGGATACCACTTCGGAAAAGAGATGGCCAAAAAAAGGATCGGTGGCGTGATCGGCGACGCGGTTTCAAGCAGGCTTTCTTTCTCTTTGCTTCCGCTTTTCTTTATGACGCGACGATGAACTCAAGGATACGAGCCGGTGGGCGAGCGAAGTAGATGGACTTTGATGATATGGGTGGGGTTTGGGATCTGAGGGTGAGTGAGAGATGGGTATTCTACTAGGTATGATAGCTTTTAATCACTTTTCTTCTGATGCCATTGATGAGTGAGGAGATGGGCGCGCCGGAGGCGAAGGTGGAGGCATTGGCTGCGGCGAGGATGTTTGTCTGCGTGCGTGCTTGCTCTTTTCTCTTGCCATGTTTGTTGTGAGGTGTTTGACTGCAGATAGCGCGTGCCTGCGGACATGGGGAGGAGGGAGTGTTGACAGGGACCAATCTGGAAGCCAGAAAGCGAAGCAGTGGCGGAAAAAGCAATGCAGCGCGGCCAATTCAGTCCGGGGAGTGCTGTGCCCATCAATCACCGTTGTATCACCGGAAAAAACAGGTAAAGGAGACGGGAACGGTGCTGAGGCTCAGGGTCAGGCTGACGCAAAGCACCGTCAGTCGTGCCTTCCTCATCGAGTCCAATTGCTTGCTGAAAGGGGCGGGCCGTCATGCGAGCGAGATCAGTCGTTGCGAGAGGAAGGCACGACCTTGCCACTCGCGCTCTTGCCTTTCCTTCGTTTCTTCGAACGCGTAACGCGCTTGCTCCTCACCATCCTCTCCTTCCCTCCTCGTCGTTCCAGCGCACGCACGCACGCGCAAATCCGCACCGCATTTCGACGACTCGTTCATCGCATCGCAGCGCAGGTCTATGGGCAGAGAGCAGAGCAACAGTGGTGAAGAGGAAGAAGAAGAAGACAACGGCCATCATAGCAGCGAGTGAGTGTGCATCCCTTCCCTTTTCACCTGCGATTGACGTCCATCACCTTGCTCACCTCCTCGCCCCTTTTCCTGTTTGCTTGATCAGTTCAACTCCATGCTGTGCTTGGAGTGAGCAACTTACGCGAAAGCAAACGACAGGCAAATCGATCTTCAACGCTCTTCCAAGTCCACCTACCTCCTCACCGCCATGTCCTCTTCCGACAGTGAGTACGATGATGTGCTGGAGATGATGGAGAGGGAGAAGATGGGAATGTACGTTTTACCTTGTCTCACTTCACTCGCCACCCCGTCTCTCCTGGCGTTATGCCTGTTCCAGCAGCCAGAAGAAAGAGGAAGCTAACACGTCTTTTTCACAGCGACAATGCCAGCTCCGGCTACATGCACGCGCTCGACATGAGTGTGCACTCCAAGCTGTACGACCGCTACGACCACGTCACCTCAAAGTCCGACGTCAAGTACAAGCACCACAGCAACAACCTCCCCAACAAGTCCAGCGACAAAGCACGCGTCGACTCCCTGCTCTCGGCATCCGACAAACTCGTACAAACTCATCGCAAAGCCGACGCCGCAGTGCGTGACGCCGCCAATGCCACCAATGACGCTGCTGCATCTCCGACGACGGCCAAGGGCAGCAAGGGGGAGAGCGCGTCTGCTGCTCTCGAAGCGAACATTGCCAAGGACAAGTCGCGTGTCAAGGGGATTCTGGCTGCTGGGATGAGGCTGTTTGGCTGGGGGGCTGAGACTTCTGCTGTTGCCCCTGCTGCAGCCAACGGGGACAAGACGTCGAAAGCCACAACCACGAAGGCCGCGAATGGGGGAAAGGCAGGAGCTGCGGGAGCTGAGGCCGAGGATGCAGACGAGATTGCGACGCAGACTCAGGCGGTGTTCGACGGCCAGTCGTCGACGAAGAAGGACCTCGACGCCGCCGATGCGAAGGTGGAGCTCGCGTTGAAGTATGCGGAGCGTGGAGTGAAGAAGCTGGGGAAGGGCGCTGACTCTGGCGCTTGAACTGCCGCCCCTTCCCCTGCCAGCGCGTGAGAACGACGTTGCTGGGTGTTGCTGTTACTCGCTCAATGGCTTGCTGAAGAAGACAAGTAAGAGACAAGGGTCGTGCCGTGAGACTAGCTCGCGCAGACGGAGATAGGTCGTAAGATGAGCACAATCGAGATTCAACCGAGAGAAACGTGAGAGAGGTGTGATTGCAATGGTTTGGAAGGGGTTTCTTGAGCAAACCCGCCTCGAGAGGACCAACAACAAAGGGTGAAAGTCACACAAACACCTACTCCAGATTTCTCCAACACCCGGCTGCCAGTCCTCACTCCTCGCCATTCTCCTCGTATATCGAGTGCCACCAAACAAAGGCAAGCATGAGCTCCTCGAGTACTCCATCCAACAGCCTCGACAAAGCAGTACGGAATTCGGCATCGCCATCACCAATAACGCCAGCCATAACCCCAAGAGATCGATCAATCCAGTCGAGAAGACGCCCTACCACAGCGAACGGTTGTTGCTCGACAAAAGTCTCCGCACGGTAAACGTCGTGCCCAACACCACCGCCGCAAGCGAGCCGCCGTAGACGGTGTAGCGGAACAAGCCATTCAGCATCTGCATACGGTTCCTCTTCCGGCAGCGGCCCACGAAGCCGTCGGTGTCGTTGGTGCGCGGGAACTTCTTCGAGGGCACGGGGACTTCGAGGAAGTCGCACAGCGGCTTCCACCCTTCGCCCATCTTGTACTCGAGCAGGTTCTCCGCGGGCACGAGCGAGCGCACCTCGGCGTAGTATTCTTTGAAGCGGCGCTTGCCGTTCTTTTCAAAGTCGCCTTCCCAGAAGTTTTGCCAGAATTCTGGGCATTGCGTGTTAGTTGCTGGCGAATGGCTGCTGAAGGGATGTGAGGGACTCACTGGAAATCATCGGCTGGTACATGCTCGCCGCCCAATCCACCTTGGCCGCCAGCTTCAACTCCGGCTCGGTGGCACGCCAATGCACCGTCTTCATCGTGCTCGCATGCCAGCTGTCCACCTCGCGCGTCGTCAAAATGATTTTGGCCTCCGGGTACGCCTCAATCAACTCCTTGGCAAAAGCGACGCAAGGCCAATCGCAAATGGCCTGGCAATGCCCAAACAGCTGGTCCCACTGCTCACGGCCAAAAGTGCCCACGCCATCGTACTTGGCCGCCAGGGCGTCGGACCACATCAGGCAGTCCGGCGGGTTCTCGACCGACGCGGACATCATGTGGTAGCAGTCTTTGAAGCCGAGCTCTTGCAGGGCGTCGCGCAGGGAGGCGGTGCCGGTGCGGCCGAGGCCGAGGGCGAGCACGCGCATGGGGACGACGCGGCGGCATTCGCGGCGGTTGATGTCGGTTTCGTAGGTGGTGAAGATGTCCGTGGCGGGCTTGGGGGTGTAGGGTTGGAAGGCCATTTTGGCGGGGTAGGGAGGGGGAGGGAGTGTGGGGGAGGATGGAGGGCAAGGAGCGTGCGAGTGGATGGTGCAGAGGGAGAAGAAACGACTGGATGGATATGTAGAAGCGGTGAAGGAGGGAGGAGGTACAGCAGCGGTGTGTGTGTGTGTGTGGTGTCTCGCAGTAATGAGCGGCCGGGGGAGAAGTATCAGGTCGGCATGCGCTGCACGAGAGATGCAAGGCCAAGCAGTGGATCAACGCGAGCTAGGCCAGGAAAGGAGTCCGAAGCATCGGCTCGCGCTTTCTCTTCAGCTTCGCGGTGCGTGGAATTGCTTGGTAGAGATCAGGCTGGTGTGGTCGGAACGCACCAACTCTCGTGTCTCCTGATGCCCGCGCGTGCAAAAAGTGGATACTCACTTGGGCCGCGCTCGCTAAAACGACACAAGGATAGAGGGACCCCTCGCTCGTTCAGGTAGGGATGTGCCAAGCCCGGCCACGCTTCATTTTACCTTTTCTTGCCCTTTCCCCGATCGTCCAACGGCCCGCGAGGGGGAGTTTAGCGGCCCCGTGTTCGGGGGGGTTCTCGCTCTTGTTCGGCGCGGCGAGTAGCGGCAGTCCAGCTACAGCCTTGGCGATATGTAGAACAACGTTTGCTGGGTGACACGCGTGGTCTTCAAACCCGAGGACAGTGGGCTGCTCAATGCAGTAGAGTAGACACCTGCATGTCAATCAATTATCCACGCTGAATCATCCTCATCAAATCGTCATGCACGCAACTCCTGTTCATGCTCCTTTCGGAAGGATTGCCAAACTCTCCTTCGTATCTCGCTAAACAGCAAAAAGGTGGGCGGCCGACATCATCACCGCACGGCACGTCACACGAGTGCACGTGAATGCCCAGGGCAAACATTTTCCCACTCGACGACGACGATCAGAATATCTGTAGCGGGGGTAGATGGGAATCGAAATTATCGCTCCTTCGACACCACCCCCCAGTCCCCCAATGCATCCGCTCTGCCCGTCTGCAGCCGCGTCTGCGTTTCCTGCAGTCGTCGCACCCGTCTCACCAGCACTCCGACGGCCAAGGGGCCAAGAAGCGTACAGATTAGAATTGCCCAATTGACGACGAGGAACAGGTCTGATGTGTTGCTGCCGCCGTATACACCTTTCGCTGCCGCGATGGAGCTGATGAGGAAGCCGATTTCTCCTCGCGATACCATGGCACAGCCTATGATGGCTGCTGGGTAAAGGGAGCGAGGGGGACGGACGGGGTTTGGGGGTTTGGTAGTTGCGGAGGCCGCAGCATCCTTCGGCTTAGGTGGTGGTGTTGCAGCTTGCACGGCTGTCGGACTGCTTGCATTGCTCTTCGTTGCATCTTCTCTCCTTTGTTCAGGCTGTTTGCGTGAGATGAAGCATGTCCGCACTCTTGCAGGTAAAGTACTCTTCAGCAGCTTTGAGAGTGCCGAGCCGATGGTCCAGGATGGAGATGGCCGTGGAAGCAAGCAGAGTCCGCAGACTGTCTTGGCCACTGTCATCAATGCGGCATACACGATGCCCTTCCAGACCACTTCGCCACGGAACATGTCTCGAATGGGGATGGCGAAGCCAATGGAGGCGAAAAACATGGGCTGCAACACGTAGTCCACCACTTGGCTGTAGTAGCGAGTGTATACTGCCGTGCCAGAGAGGTCGTTTGTGCGTTCTTCATTCTGTTCTTTCGCTGTTGCCGGAGGCGTTGTATCTCCTGCAGCTACCGTGGAGCCTTGCGTGCGAGCTGCAGGCTTCGAAGTAGTAGTTGTTGCCGCTGGCTTCATACGAGTCGAGTAGAGATCGCCGCCCCAGGTAATCACTGCGCCCGCAATGTAGGCCGCAAACAAGTTGGAAGTACCGGCGTAAGTAGCACCGGTGACCGATGCCAGAAGAAGCACGGTTTGGATCATGAACAGCGCCTGGCGGGAAGAAAGTAAATGTCGTAGCCTACCGGCTTCCCCAGGTCCCTCAGCCGGACGAATGCGGAATCGCAGCAGCATCGGCTTGGCTACGTAAAGACATACCAGCGGTATGATGACTGCAAAGGCGATCGAAACGAGCACCGGCCGAACGATGGTGATGGCATTAAGATCGGAACTCGATCCGCCCAAGTTAGAAATGACCTGGACCATGATCAGGCCGACAACATCATCCATCATTGCTGCGGAGGAGAGTACGACACCAAGTCGAGTGTCGCTCAAGCCCGATGCGGCCAGGACGGTAAAGGTGGTGCCGAGAGAGGTGGAGCAGAGGGCGGCACCGGCTGCGAAGGCCTGTAACGGGGTGGCGTTGAGCAGTGGTTGGAGGAGGAATGAAAGAGCAATGGGACAGGCGATGCCAAGCAATGCAACGGCGGCGGACAGATACAGGTTGCTCTTCAATGCGCGGAGATTGGTGGATAGTCCACCTGGATGGCCATAGCAATTAGCGGGGAAGATGCAACGGGGGAGTGCAAGCTGGGCAATCATACCGTGATATACAATCAAGATCAGACCTAAGTAGCCCAGAGATGTGACGGCATCCTCAAAGTCTCGCGTCAACCAGTCAGCTCCGGGAGTGCCCCATGCAACGCCGATGAGTATCTGACCGACGAGTCCACAATACACGAGACGATTGAATAGATGGTTGATGATGTTGAGGAGGAGGAGAAAGGAGGAGAGGATGAGGATGGAGACAATGCCAGGCTCACGATACGGGATTGCAGCTCGGTCGTCCATCATCGATGCAGAAGACACGCGCAGGTGGCTTGGTCATCTGCAGTCACGCAAGGCTGGCTCCCATCATAGTCGAGGGGGCGATGACAGCCTTGCGACGGACATGAGGTACCTGTTCTCGGAAGTCCGGCAGCTTGCTGGTGAGATCATTGGCCCCTTGGGAGTGGTGTCGAGATGGAGACTGGGATTTAGTCAGAGTCCGCGTAATGGGCGTGCATCAGCCGTGCGCGTCACATCAGGACAACGACGTATGCACGTCTTGGCAGTGTGATAACGATCGGAGGGAGGTCGGAGCACGGGACCTAAAATTCAGGGACGAGTGAATAGACAGATTAAGCGAAAGTACAGGCCCCGGTGGCGCTAGTGTTCGCGGCAAGAACGGGCCCAGTAATCTGCGGCACGCGAGGGGTGGAGACAAGCTGCCGTGTCTGTGCTGGTCGGGGGAGTTCGCAGGGAAAGAGCAAGCAGCCCAGCAGCGGCAGGAGCAGGCCAGCACCACCACTTCGCCGACCGCACCGCATTCGCTCTCTCTCGGCTCCCGGCCCTGTCCTCCTTTCCACACGTCGCTTGGCGGTCGCTTCTCCAATGTCCCTCCACGCGCTTGGCTCATGAGCGGCCGGCCGAAGATGGTTCGGCCGCCCTCTCCTTTGTCCTGCTGCGTGTGTCGTCCAGTCAAGCCTCTCACCTTTCCATGAAGCCCGTCTACCATCTCCCCCTCCTCCTCCACCGCCGGGGTATTTTAGTCGCTGCTAGCAAGCTATCTTCCACCATTCTATCATTCGAATCACAGTAAGAGAAGGACTACACATAGACGACCAGCGAAGACCTCAAAGCCATCCATCAGTCGGTCCCGCCAAAACTCAAACCCCACTCCATCTTCTGGAGCTTCTGGGCTGGCCTGACGCGCCACGCCACCAACTTCTCCCATAGCTACTGCTAAAGAGCACACCTACATATCCACCTCCGTGAATGGCGCCGCCGCGAAGAAAACCGCCGCCAGGCCTTCGCCACCCCTCCATCGACTCCCCTTCCATTCTCAACACCAATCCCTCCTCCTCCACCCTCCACGACCATCACATGCCCCGCGAGCTCGACTCTCCCGACTCCGATGCGGCGAATTGGGAGCCGGCCACGGTCGAGAATGGCCATGCACAGAAGCCCCGGCATCTGCAGCTCCCCAACCCCCGCGTCTCCTCCCTCAATCTCCCCGATGGCGCAAACACTCCCCTCATGGATACCACTTCCCAGGGCCTTCCCGTCGCAACATACCCCCCGCCGCCGGCAACATGGAGCAACATGCCCAACAAGGTCCAGCTCGCCATCCTCGCCGCATCCCGCTTTGTCGATTTCTTCCAAATGGCCGCGTTGCAAACATTCATGGTCTATCAATTGAAGAGTTTCGACCGCAATTTGGAAGAGGACGTGATTGCACATCAAGCAGGCGTGCTACAGGGCGCATTTACTGCCTCACAAATCGCTTCGAGTATCATATGGGGACGGATAGCAGATCACCCATCGGTGGGCAGGAAAATGGTCTTACAGATTGGCTTGGTGGGGACGGCATTCGGCTGCGTAGGCGTGGCATTCAGTAGGTCTTACGCGGAGGCCGTCTTCTGGCGCTTGATGTGCGGCGCGGTGAACGGCACCGTCGGCTCCGCTCGCACAATGGTCGCCGAATGCACCCCCAAGCCCTGGCATCCTCGCGCCTTTCTCCTCCTACCAGCGGCGTTCAACGTCGCCAACGTCTTTGGTCCCATTCTCGCCGGTTTCCTCTCCGACCCCGTTGCGCAATACCCCTACCTCTTTGGCGAGAAGAGCACCTTTGGCGGCGAGACGGGCGTGCTATGGCTGAAGACGTATCCCTACGCCTTGTCGAATCTCATCAGCACCATACTATTATTGGTGGAGGCCGTGATTGTGCATTTCTTCTGCAAGGAAACCCTCAAAGGCAAGCGGCCGATGGAATTGTCCAAATTCGATCCCATTAGCATCTACAAGGCCATCACGGGCGGGATCGAGAGCGTACGGAATCGTGGATCCCGCGGGTCGCGTGAACAGCGGCAGGGTTTGCTCAACCGCTCCCCTCGCACATCCCTCGAGCTGGATCAGATGAATGCGCGTGGGGAAAAGATCGAAGAACGCCCGCCGCAAGTCCTTCCGTTCAGCCGAATCTGGACGTCGAATGTGCTGTGGGTGCTCGTCAGTGTGGCCATTTTCGACTTTCACATGGGCGCATTCAACAACCTCCTCATGCTCTTCCTCGCCACCAAACGACAGTTTCTTCCCAACAACCAACCCGCCCTCGGCGCCGCAGCTCCCATCCCCGCCGCCATTCCCGCCGATATGCCCAATATCAAACCTGGCGCACCGGCCCTCTTATTCCCTCGAGCAGCCGATGCCCTGCTGCAACCCCGCGGCCTCTTCAAATTCGCAGCCGGTCTTGCCTTTTCGCCGCCAGCCATTGGATTCGCAATGGCAATTATTGGCTTCATCGGCATTGGGCTGCAATTCATCCTCTACCCCTGGGCGAATGCGCGCTTCGGCCTTATGCGCTCCTTCCAAGGCGCCCTCTTCCTCTTTCCCGCCGCTTACTTCCTGGCTCCCTACATTGCGCTGCTTCCTTCATCTGCCCCTCCTCCGGACCCCGCATCAGGCTGGGCAATCTGGCTCGGCATCTCCTTTGTGCTATTCCTGCAAGTCGGCGCGCGCACCTTTGCCCTGCCAGCCACCATCATCCTCATCAACAACTCCTCCCCACATCCCAGCGTGCTCGGCACCATCCACGGACTAGGTCAAGCAACGTCCGCCACTTTCCGCACTCTCGGACCCATGCTCGCGGGGTATTGGTATGGTGTGTGGACGAAGCGGGGCTACGTCGGCATGGCGTGGTGGATTGTGGCGCTCGTCGCTGCTATCGGCTGCGTGGCGTCTTTTTGGGTGAGGAATGGATCGGGGCATGAGATTTTCTTGCCGGGCGAGGAGGCGGAGATGAAGGATAGTGAGACTGCGGGCGGCAGTGGAGATGGTCGGTGATTTGAATCGTCACTCACTCGTGACGTGAGCTGTCGTTTTGCAATGGGCATTGCGTTGAGCGAGCGGTGTTGGATCTTGTGTGGATTGGATAGAGGTGATGGCCGGGCGGCCTGACTGCTCTGTTTCATCGGGGCGCTGCTCGTCTGATTTGGTATGGCTTCTGAGCGTCATGTTGCATAGAATCGGGAGGAGAACTCCAGACAGGCCATTTGCAGTCGCTCGAATTGAAAATCTTCATCCCTTTGTTGCCTCTCAAGGCTCGGGAGTGTCTAACCTCGGCGCGAAGGGAAGGACGGGTTTGATCCCCCCTTTCCATCGCTGACAGCGAAGAAGAAACAAGCATTTGTGGTGCGCAATACGAGAGGACCCCTTCCCTTGCTGCTGACGAACGTTTGACGTGTTGGGATGTCATACGATGGGCTGCGTCCGATTGGGCACACGAGGCGGCGGAGATGGCAGGATATGTGATTGCTTGTGATGCGCAATGGACGAGGCCGTTGGAGGGTCTACTTATAGCTACGTCCACTGCGAGACGGAGAGCAAGTTAGATGGAGGAATGAGCAAGGCTGAGGACCATATCCAGGGTAAAGATCAGAGCAACGCATCATACTTTCATGCTGTTAGCGATATGCATTCAACGCGGCACCAGCAGTGCCTTTATAACAATCCCGCGGTAGTGCCCATGTCCAAACAACGCCTCATACAATTCATAACGATAGTCTTGAAGCCTCAAAGCCTCACTTCAACCCAAACCCCTCACTCTCCTCCACCGCCCGCCACAACTTCTCCTCCAACTGCCTCTGACTCGCGTAAGGCCACAAAACTAGCATATTGAAGCAAGTCCTCGCGATGGGGAATCGTGCGAGTTCCTCCTCGCCTCCTCCACCCCATCCGTCGCCTCCAGCGACAATCCTCAAAATCAGACTCGTAGCCCCGACAGCTGGGATGCGATCCGTCCCCGTGACGAACGTGAGTAGTTGCCGCTGCTTCTCCGGTGACGCCTCGGAAAACAGTTCCCAAAACCATTGGATGACGGGCACTATGTCTGCGGGTCGAGGTACGGGAGCGTGCTGCGGTGTGTCATCCCGCCAATTCTCGTACACGGCTACAGCACGCAGCGAGTCGATGTCGAGCGCTTCATCGCTGCCGCGCACCAGAAGTTCGATTTCCTCGGCGCGGAAGAGAGAGAGGGCATTGCCAGCGCAGACCTGGAAGAAACCGCGCTTGAATGGCTCAAACTGCTTGGCCACCGCGGTGTCGAGGAGATAGCGCACGTATGCGTCGACGAATTCCTGGCGGTTGGTGTTGGTCACGGGGATACGGGCGCCGTTGGGAACGAGCGGGACATTGGTGTGCACGCCGTAGCGCTCCACTGGGGCCACGAAGTCGCGGCAGTAGGTCTCCTGCACATCGCCTTCAAAGTCGAGCAGTTGCTGTAGACCTGCGGCGAGTGAGGGGTGGAGTTCTGCGAGGTCCGCGAGGGTGTAGGTCATCTGGCCCTTGGTGCCGGTAAGAGAGGCGATGCTAGCTGCTCCGTTGGTGGTGGAAGCTGGCGCAGCGGCGAGAAGTTTGCGGAAGGCGAATGGCGGTAGAGCGATGTCCAGGATGGTGCTGTTGTAGATTGCCAGGCCTAGTAGTGCGCCGACGAGATAGTACTGGTCCGATGTCTCGAATGAATTGGGGTTGAAATAGCAGAGGCGTGACTCGTCATCGTATACGAAGAGGCCGTGGTTCGGGTCGAAGATGTCGCGTACAAGCATCAGGAACCACTCCTTTCGCAGCCCGCCCGCATCGACACCTTCTTCGCCGGTGAACTGGACGCGGAGCCCTTTCTTCAATTCCTCCTGGCCAGCGCCGACGGCCTCGCTGATTTGTCGCAGGCTGTCCTCAACCATGCAATCCCTCCGGACTCGGAGGTGAAAGTAGCCGTCCAACGCACGAAAGCGGATGACAGAGTCAAAGTAGGCCTCTCGTGCTTTGATCTCCATCTGTCTGCGTGCATCGTATTCTAGGATCTTGATCTTGTTGCCCATGGATAGGAAGAGGGGATACTGGCAAAAAGCAAACTTCTCCTTCTTCGACTCCCACACTTTGAAGTCTACAATCATGTCCTGATAATCGAGAAGGGTGTTGTAGAAACTGGATGTGTGCAGAAGTTGTCCGCTTCGCTTTGCTGGGGTCTGATGAGACATGCTGACGCCAGAGTCTATCCGATCGGTTTTGCTTCTCCGTTGACCTTGCCAGATGTTGTTGGCCGCGAACAGCAGTAACATGACTTTGGCAGCGGCTTTGATCTGCCAATCGGTAGCGTATGCGGGTTCTTGATCAGGGTCATCGCTGCGCTTCTTTAGCGATCCGCTCAATCCCATTGCGGAATGTAATTGAGCGGAGGTGTTCATGGCAGATCCGGACAAATCGGGGATCAGACCGCCGTCACCGAGGATGCCCTTGTTTTGAGGACGACTGCCCCGGCGAGAGATTCGGTGAGTGACGAAGCTGGCGACAAGATCCACAATCCTGGTGAAGTGCACCTCATCGAAGCGGGAGAACCAGCCGATCATATATCGATGACAGATGTCGGTGGATCCTGCCAACAAGCCAAAGATGCGCTTGAGAATTCCCGTATGTTGGCTTCCTTGCCTTTCGCTTGGCTTTCGGGGTAAGGGCCACTTTGGACTCTCCCGCTTGTCGGATGGTGATCTTCCCGGCCGATCAAGGTCATTAGAAAAGACTCGACGGTGTCTGGGGGCGGAGGGGTAGAGGGAGGGATTGGCGAGGATGATGAGCAAGAACCTCAGATCTTCCGCTTCCTTGAGCGGTCTCGTCGGTCGCTTGAGAAGATTCTCCGTGACTTTGAGCAATGCACGAATGGCGTGCTCTCGAGCTTCGCCCAGATCGTATTCAATCTCGTCGAAGTTGTTTGGGCCTTGCAGTCTTTCTCTCGAGCCGTCTACGGTGATGGAATCGAGCTTGCTCTGCCAATCGCTTCCAGCAGAGTGGATGAGTCCGTACCATTTGCTGACATCGGACCAGTGAATGTCGGGTGACTTTGAAGAGATGGCTTTCCTTGGGCCTTCGCCAACTCGTTTCCGCTTGACGCCCGAGTCGTATCGGCCCAGCTTGCCCGTCCACCAGGTACCATTCTCTCCGATATCGCCGAGGAGAAGAGTCTTTGCGTCGAGCTCGGACATGTTGACCGGGGTTAGGGCTTTGTCTGTTGCCCGTTCAGGGGGTGGGGTGACAATATGGCTTTCACTCCTCGCACGTTCTGGGGGTGCAGGTTTGAACGTGCTGAAGGAGGTGTTGAGGGTTTGGAAGGTGCCAAAGGAGGAGACGATGTGATCTTCCAAAGGCCGGAAGATGGTCTTGACTCGATCGTAGCGTCGTCGTCGCTCCGCTTCTTGAGGCGTCATGTTGGGGCTTGACGCGTGTCCCGAGTGGTGTGGAATTGGATCGCTTTTGCCAAAAGTAGGTGGAGGCGGCGGCTTTCGCTTTGGGGGTCTGACGGGCCCCGTCCTTGCAACATGAGGAGGAGTATCTGCTCTTGAGTAGCCGAATGTGTTGAAGTCGGTAAGATTCTTGATTGCAGCACTGGAAGGTCGGGCAGAGTCGTCGAACAAGGGGCGGTCCGGAGGAGAGCTCGATAAGGGAGCATCGACCAGCTGTCGTAGGGTGGGATTCTGTTTTCCTCGTATCGGTATGGAGTTCAGAGGGTTTCCCTTTTCCTCGGGTGTCTGTAAAGGCGATGAGACTGCGCGTGTCGGCCTGACCTCGTGCTCCTTGCGACATCTCGAGTCCAAATATGCCACAACACATCGATCAATGATTCCTTTTGCACGCTCCACCGACAATGGCAACGGCTTGCCCACAGAATCCGCCTTGTCCTTTTCTGATCCATGCTGCTGCTCTTCAACCGGGGCCAAGTCGTTGATTGTCAGACAGCACATGCACCGGAACTTTTCCAGCTCGCGCGGCACCTTGACCCGACTGTCGCAGCACATGCATCGCCGGGATGTCTTGTTCGCATCGTCATCCTGCTGTGGCTTCTTCCCAGAGCCTTTTCGATTTGGGGAGGGGGTGGGGTCGTCGAGGACAGGGACGAGGTCTTCATCCAAGGGAACATCGGTGTCGTTGTAGCCGTGGAGGTTTCCAGCGCTCTTCATCTTGCTGAATAGCTTCGGGAGTGGGTGACTGGAGGATCGAGCATGTTGATGGCGGGGAGGGTGGGTCGGGGTGGCCATGGATCTTTCGCCATCTCTTCCAATCAACGCGGGAGGGGTAGGTGTGTCTGAAGTGCTGGAGGGGAGGGTGGGGAGGGGCTTGTCGCGGGAGTTGGAGCGTGCATCTCGAGTCGGGGGAGTGCTGGCGGGGGCAGGATTGGGCAGGAAACGCTGGGTCCAGGACGGAGGCATCACTCATCCGGGTTGAAGAAGTGTCGTGCGTTCCATCCCATGCATGCGCATGGTGAGGCGATGAAGAAGTCCGAGGGTGGAGTGGAGGTGGTGTGATGATGCATGCAGGCGCGGAGAATTTACATGGAGGGAGGGGGAAAGGGCAACATTCAACATTCCCTCCTTCCTCTCAGGAGCTCGTAAGTGGCGACGTAGGAGGAGGGCATCGGCCTCGTATCTTATTTTAGGCTGTAGACCCACAGACCCTGGGATTCAGGATTTAGTCCGCTGCCTGTTTTGGCACAGCATTTTCCCGATGGAGAGCACAGATGATTGATACTGAAAGAACACGCTGATTTTGGACGGGCTGAACTACACTGTCGTAATGCCATTGTCCCTTTGACCACCACCACCTCACACCGTCTACCTGTAACGCCACAGCTGCAGGGTGTTTTGCAACTTCCACGTGTGCCGTCGGCCCTTCTTCGTGTTGTTGTAGCGATGGCCCTTGTTCAACCCTCTGCTCTTCTTGCCCGTCGCCGTCAATCCACGAGCCTCGCGATGCTTGTGGACGGGGTTGACGATCCAGTTGATGCGCGAGTCCTTGCGAATGGCCTTGTGCTGGGGATCGACGAGGATGACCTCGTAGTACTTGTAGGTGCTGTCTTGGTTGACCCAGTAGCTGTTGAGCACGCGCAAGTTGGCGCAGCGGCGGCCCACACGCTCTTCGGCAGTGGACTTGAGGGAGCGTTGGTATTTGAGTTGGTTGACACCCTGGTTGGTGGGTTTGCCTGGAGGATGTTAGATGGTTGTGTTTGACGGAGGCGATGGACTCGACTCACCGTATGTGGCACCCTTGGGCACAGGCCTCTTCCTTCCACCTCTCCTCACACGCACGCGGTAGATGACATAGCCCTGCTTGGCCTTGTATCCCAGGCGTCTGGCCTTGTCGGGTCGCGAGGGGCGGGATGCGCGGTGGATGACGTTCAATTGACGGAGCTAGAATTGATTGTACTCTCAGCCAATGTTTCAACAAGTACAACCAAAGCACAGGCGGGAAGGCCTTATGCCGCTCGGACAATCATACCTCCCAGCAGCGCACGCGGAGCAGGAAGCGAATGACATCGCTCTGCTTCTTCTTTTGAAGCTCCTCGAGGTATTTGTGGGCGCCCATCTGTGGGGGGTTAGTTGGGTGAGAGGATGGGGGTGTGTAGAGGTGACATACCTTGACTGTCGTGGTGTCGTGAGGAGAATGTGTTTGTGCATTCGAGATGTGTGCAAATTTGGATTTCGTGGGTTGTGCCAAGAGTTGCGATTGGGTGGTCGAAAGTCGGCGTGAGTGACAGAAGTCGCGGTGGTGACCGCACCTCAGCCTCGGCGGCCGAATACGGTAGTGGTTGCGACGAGCTGAGGCTGTGTCTCGGGAGTCATATATAGGCAGTTAGATGCTACAATAGAGAATCTGCAACATCTCATCACCTCTCCATGCCATGGTGTATCGTGGAAAGCCCAGTCCAGGGTGTGAGAACTGTCGCAAGGCGAAGAAGCGATGCGGCCTCGAGCGACCAGCCTGTCAAAGATGTGTGCAGCTGAGAAAGGCCTGCTCGGGGTATCGAGATACGACGGGCTTGCAGATCCAAGATGAGACCTGGAACGTCCAGCAGAAAGCGCAACGACAGAGTGCAAAAGCTCGGCGCACCGCTTCCATCGAGACTACTCCAGAGTGGAGCGATGGGGATTCATCTGCCCCGGAGGAGCTCATTCCTACGACGGAGATTGCTACATATGCGGACCTGGCCTCTGTCAGTCTTCTCCTATCCATCAAGCCGAAACCGGGAGATGTCGCCACCAGCTACTTCTTCCACCAATTCACATCACCATCGCACTGGCCATTCCTACGAGATTTGCAACAAACGACCAAAGATCCGTGTCTGGAGCTCGCCATCAAAGCATGTGGCATGGCAGCGCTGGACAATGTGGAGAGTGTGGTAATGGGCAGGCAGTATGCCCAGTCAATGTATGGAGAAGCATTGGGCCAGCTGAACGATCGCCTCCGAGATCCAAAGCGCTGTCGTTCAGACGCAAGTCTCATGGCGGTGAGTATGCTCGGCTTCTACGAAAACCTCACCTGTGATGGCCGCGAGTCCTTTCGGTCTTGGAAGGCACATATTCGCGGCGCAACGCAGCTCCTCCGGATTAGAGGGACGGGGCAGTTTGAGTCCAAGGCGGGACGTGCTCTCTTCCGAGGGACTCGCTCTCAGATCTTGGTCCTCTCCCTGTGGACCGACTTTGCCCCTCCGGCCTTCCTCCAAGAATACCAGCAAGCACTGGAAGATATGTCGCCAGAACAAGCCACGGTGCAGCCGATGGACGATTTGATGCAACTCTTTTCCGATTTTGCCAAACTGCGCAACACGGTTGTCCGCCGGGATGTCGTGAATCAAGCCGCTGCCGACGAAGCTGCAGAGTTGGAGAGGAAGTTTTTAAAGTGGCAAGAGGATGTGGTTGCCGCGAGACCCATCTGGCGATATCGTGAGGTCGAAGTCGCCGAGTCAGAAGACGTCTGGAACGGGAGGGTACTCGCCTACTCTGCGGCCATGATCCCTACTGCATACAATACTTGGCGAGCGGTGCGCATTATGCTGTCTCGAACGCGAGAATGGTTATGCCGGCGCTTGCCTTTTGCCGAAGATGAGCGAGAGGAGCAAATGCAACTCTTTCGCCGTACTCGAAGGCAATTGACCGACGACATTTGTGCGACCATTCCCGTATCGCTGGGCCATGTTAAGATCGAGGAAAGCTCTCTGTGCGTGCTCTCCTCTGCCTACAGTGCGGTATGGCCTCTGTTTTTCGCCGCCACGGCCGTGTTTGAGCGCATCACATCCGATTCGATTGTCGTGCAACACGGCGTGCCTCAATTTACCAGAGCGACCTCGTCCGCCGTAGCGCAAGCTTCTTGGATTCTGGGACGACTAGAGTACATCTCCAAGAAGGTGGGATTGAGGTGGGCCGATGGCGTTGCAGCGACGTTGCGAGGGGATTTGCGCGCATACGAACAGTGGGTTTCTTGACGATGCTGAAGAAGGCAATCACTAACAGCCGTTGCAGACAAATGGCCGACAACAGTCCCGTGGAGTCAGCGCCCCGCTGGATCAAAGACGTTGAACGATCGGGTCGCGGCCCGGAATATCTCATCGAAGACCGGACTCCGCTCGGCGAGGCTTTGACCCAGGAGATTTCGCGGCAGAGAACGGCAAGAGGTCCGATTTGGCTGGGACGACAGGCAGATGAGTCGGTTGGGAGACTGTTTGCCGCCAGAGCCCTTGCGGAAGTCTTTGACGAGCGGCTGATGGGATGAACGTCTATATCCGGGTATACCTCAAGTACGGCTTGAGCTCCCTCACCTCGCCAAACTTCTTCTTCGCATCCTCCGTGCTCACACTCGGCGGCACAATCACATCATCCCCCACCTGCCAGTCAATTGGCGTGGTCACACCCTTCTTGTCTCCTGTTTGAAGACTGTCCAATACTCGCACCACTTCGGAGGTGTTGCGCCCGACGCTCGCAGGATACATCATGGTCAGGCGGATCTTCTTGGCTGGGTCGATGACGAAGACGGAGCGCACGGTAAAGATGATTTCTTTCTTGTCGAGGTCACGCTGGTCGACCATGCCGTAGAGAAAAGCAATCTTGCGGTCGGCGTCGGCGATGATCGGGAAGGAGAGGTTGGTGGAGTAGAGGGAGTTGATGTCGTCGACCCAGCGGTCGTGCGAGTCGAGGTCGTTGGCGCTCTGAGGGAGTGTTAGACGGGAGGGGATGAATGAGGAGAGAGTCGTACAAGTCCAATCAATTTGGTGTCCCGTCTGTCAAACTCTTCTTTGATCTTTGAGAAGGCGCCGAGTTCCGTTGTGCAGCTATGATCTATCAGTCGGTGTCGTTATTCCTGATGCATAGGGTACTGACACTGGCGTGAAATCCGCGGGATGCGAGAACAGAATCGCCCATTTCCCACCCAGCCATTTGTGGAAGTCGATGTCGCCTTGCGTCGTTTTGGCGGTAAAGTTGGGCGCTTCCGATCCGAGGAGCAGTCGTGGTTTGTCGGATGGAGTCGCGAGGAATCGGCGGAAGACGGGCGAGGCGTGCCGGCTGGTGAAGGTGGTTTGGCGGGCGGCAGCGAGGGAGGAGAGGCGGAGGGCGGGGCGGAGCGTGGCCATGTTGTGTCAATGGAATGTGAGCTAGAATTGGGTAGATGAAATATGTGGTAGATGGATGGAATGGCGAAATATTATTTGGAGCTGTTGCGATGCGAGCTTGAGCTTGGGGGAGGTATGGCGTCACCACACCCACAAGACAGTATGAATTTGACGGCTGGGCACACTCTGCCAAAGGTGAATATCGCTACGGGTTGAAGAGCACGGTGCTGTGGTAGCTCGAGTTGAATACGGCTGGGAAGGACTCGTCCGGCTGTTGGTAGAAGAGGCCTAGCTCGCCAGGTCACTTCCACTGTCGCTCTGCTTCCCTGTGGAATGCAATACGTAGGAGTCTCATATGTTGCTCAATGAATCTATCTCTTGAGAACTGGGTGTCGTGAAGTGCGATGTCGAGGTCACAGCGGGCCCGTGGGAAACGGTGAGGTCGGACTGATGGTGCCGCATCCGTGGTGGTAGCCCGCAACCTTGCTGCATCGCGGGCATCAAGTCAAAGGAGTGCACAAGTTCCTGCAGTGTGATTACCAGTATTTTCTACTGCAGAGGTGTGGTGTCGTCGAGGTCGGGCCAAGCTCTTGCGATAAAATGGTGAAGCGGCCACGCTTCACCATCGCCCACCATGGTGTTCCGGATTGTCGTGCACCACGCACCCCGAGTATCTCTCCGCCCGCAGCATCTGCTTTTCCATCGATTGCTGCGTTCGTGATTATTGAGAGCGGGGAGGGAGATCGTCTACTTGTCATACTGGTCGTCCGCGTGCTCTGGCAACAGGCCCTTGATGGGCGTGCTTTCGACGCGTTATCTTCGATGGAATGACGGATACATCGTTCCTTTGGTCTTGTGGACGGCTGACTGCTGTCCAGCAGTAGACACAACACGATCCCGACGCGTCGTTGTTGTGTGGTATTGTCCAGCCTTGTCCCATGCTCTTCAACATCCGTCGCGTTGTTCGATGCCACAACTAATTCAAGCTCTTGCCCGGACGTACCATCGACGCCGGCGGTCCCCCGGCGCGTTGTGGGCAGCGTTGCACGGGCTGCTGGCCGTAGGGAGGACGGTCCATCGACGGATAGCCTGACCGAAGCCCGTCAATCGAGTTCGTTGATAGATCGATAGGAGGATCCTTCTCCAGGTCCCAGCGCTGATGCTGTGGACGACTGATGAAAGAAGAGCATGGGTGACCATCAAAAATTGCTCCTGTAAGGCCCCCGAAGGAGACTTATGCTAGGAGCTCTCCGACGATGTGCAATGCAGGAGTCCCGGCAGGCGAACGGTATTCGTGAGCGCCGTTGCCCAGAAAAGGTAAGTATACGATCTCAGAGCAGTTTGAAAGAGACAGAGGCTTTTTATACCCAATTGTTGTCGAGCACAGATCCTTCTGTGCAACTTGTTCGTATTCTGCAGGCTGAGGTCACGTGGGGCCTCGTCCGCCAATCAGCCTTGCGCACTGGCGCCCGACTTCTACGCTAGCCGGATTGGGACTGCACCCCACGGCTGGCACATCGAAGTATTTCTGCTACGTGATAGCTGTGGACGTACGGAAAATTGGGGGAGAGTCGGTAGAAAAGCTAAGGAGGCTTATGCATCGACAGCAACAAAGAGACGTGGGGGTCCGCGGTTTCTACGACTGAAAAGCTGGAAATTAAAGTTCCGCCCCTTTGATGAGAGGTCTTGGGGTGTGGGTCAGTTATCAAATTGCTGCGCTCGGTACGACGTCTCCGCAGCTATCGATTCCGATCCAGCGGCCAAGGGCCACCAATAACGTAAGCACCGACCGTAAGGCTACACCTCATCTCCAAGCATTCCAGAGTTCTACTGCTCCACCACCGCTCGATGGACCAAAAGATAGTCTACTGACCCAGGTCTACTGACCAGCTCCCTCGACCTCGTCTTCGGTCTCGCCATTGTCAGCCATCTCAGCCTCCCCCGCCTCCTCGTCATCGTCTCCATCGCTTTCGAGAGCCTCGCCATACCGCTCGTAGAGGTCCCTCCACATCTTCTGGTTGTCGTCTAACAAGAGCTGGGTGGCGCGCGACTCGGGATCTCCGTCCATCAAGATGCTGTTGGCTTCCTGAAGACAGCTCTTGGCACCGGCGGGCGAAAGGAGCGTGGAGACCATCTGGAGGATCTGCACGCGGGTGTAGCGTGGCACGCGCGGTTCCATGAGCATATCGAGACTTCCCTCGCGGCAGTAGTCGTAGCGACCCTCGTCGTGTGCTTGGGAGAGCTCGGCGTATCTGGCGTGGTAGACGCGGGCTTCGTTGGAGTATTGTGCGGAACCTTGAGCTTGGCCTGCGTGGCCGACGTCGACGGTCGCGTCGCCTGGAGCATGCGTCTCTTCTTCTTCGTCTTTGGGAATGTCGGTGGGCTTGAGGTCGCTTGAGTGGGCTTCGTCTTGAGTGGAAGTCTCGGCGTCGTGCATGGCGGATGCGGGGAGGTTGACGGGGCCTGTCTCGTCGCTGCTCTGGGGCTCATTCATCGTAGTTCCTGGCGCATCGGTGACACTGGCAAGATTGTCAACGATGTGCGTCGGTTTCACGCCTTATATGGGAACTTACATTGCCTTGCTGGAGCTCTGAGGAACTGCGGATGAAGCGCTCGACATGACTGCCTGGTTCAACGACAAGCTTTGGGTCGCTTTTTGCGCGCGCCGAAGTCTTCCTCGCTTTGCTGTAGTCTGGAAGATGACCGGGGTGCAGGAAGTCGCAATCTGGCTCTTTGTTGATGATGTTGACGGTCGTGGTCCGGCGATGAGAAGTTGCGATGAACGGCGTTGTTTGTTGGCGAAGAGGACGACAAGTTTGTAAGTGAGAGCACACGGTGACAAACGCCGATGTGTGTTGTCCCTTTGTCCAGTGGCAACGACAAACTGCAGGCCAGCGACGAGCGAAGAACCTGGAATATTTGTGAAGATGCAGAAGTAATGGAATGCGATGCGAGATGCAAGAGAAGGCTTGTTCCAAGCAAGCAGGTTGCGTGGAGGTTGTTGGTGTAGTGTGCATTCACGTGGTGACGTTGAAGTGATTGCTTGGCACGCAAGCGCACGCGCACTCAAGGCTGCCATGCGTCTGTGCGCCGCGAATGTCCAAGAAGGTTGGCGGCGTCATCTCATCGTCCTCGGCTTTGTCCTGCATTGCCCATATATCTCCTCTTCCCCTCCTTCATCTTCTGCATCCTCTGCATGACTCCCAACATCTTCCTCTCCTACGTCTCACCTTATCGGCTGTTGATTCACCTCCTCTGCACAGCATCGTCAAGCTCAACGTCCAATGACCGCAAGCTATATCATCATCCGAGTTCGCTATATATCATGCATGAGGCAGAGATGATGGGTGTGGGTTCCAACGATGACCCCTCTCCAGAGCTGGGACCGACGAATCCCTTCACGGCGGGAGAAACAGCGTTCTCGGCTTCTCCCTGATTTCAATTGTCGTCGAAGAATACACGCAACATCACGAGCAATCCATCACGATATTCCAGCATTCCAACTCGCACGGGTTATCAACCCCACGCAGAGCGCGGACCTGGATCCACCGAGCCAGACGCGTGACGGACTCGTCTTCTTCACAGCCGGATCATACGGAGGGAGGTGCCGTGCTACAAGAACATCACAATGTGCCCGGCTCATTCGTGGAGAACGCTATATAAATGCAAGTGTGGCATGAGCCGACGACGCGGCGGAGATGGCGGAGAGTCTGACAAATGGTCCCATTTCCGTACTTTTACGACTCCGACGGCGATTGGGAGGACGGCAGCATGCTAAGCAGCTGCTTGGAGCACCTAAACCAGAAGCTGCATGGAAGAAGTACGGTCGAGGTCGCGGCTTGGAAGAAGCCGAATACAAGCAAGCTAAATTGCGCAAGGTGAGCGTTCTCCACAGCAAGATGTGATACCTTCATGAATAGGGTTAATATATTGATACAGAGGCTCGGGAAAGCATCGAGCGACCAAAATCCTCTGGCGTGATGGGAATCGTGAAGGGCTGGATCGGAGTTGACGAAAATTTCTACGATTGGAGAGCGTGCGTTGATGTCTGCGTCAAGGTGAGTGTCTTTTACCCTTCTGCTCTCACTCGCTCTCATTTAACGATAACCGCAGGCTCAGACGGTGTCAAAGTCAAGCATGGATTATACAAAGAGTACCAATTGTATAGCGGGCTCAGGTACCAGGGGTCAGACGAGAGCGGACGCGTCAGGGGGCAATTCATGCAAAGCTTGACGCGCCGAGTCAGGAGTGCAGACGTGGCAAGCAGGACTCGATGGACAACCCGATCTCTTCCGTTAACATCTCTCAACGGGATGGAGGTTGTGCGCTGCTGCTTATACTCAGATCGTGAAGACGTGGTATAACATCGCGTCCTTGCGGGGGGAAAGTCGCCGGTGAAGGTCGCTGGCTCCCATCGACCTCATTTACCATTCACAACCCGATTATATCAAGCGTTTCTGAGTGAGATTGAACAGGTCACCTTTGGCCTCGTGCGACAGCGATACACCCGTCATTCTGTTGCGACTACGTCGATTCCGTGCAGATATTCAATCATTGATCAATGTCCAACAAAATCACGGCACTGGCGCCAACATACTCGCAGAGAGTAAACGTCGCTCATTCCTCCCACAACATTGGAACGAGACGCTCGGCATTCTTCAATATTCATCAAGAGGTAGCGAAGAAGCTCAACAAGTCACTGCTACTGTCAGCCATCGCCGCGGCCTCGGACAAGCATACGACCTTCCAAGACGGAGAGACCGATGTAAGTGGGAACACTCGTACAAATCCACCGCCCGTGAAGTAGACAATTCCTGCCTCACCTCAGTCTCAGGCGAGTACATCAAACGCAAGACCAAGCTCACGCGCCACCTATGTGATGAAAAGACCGATTGAGTCAATGCAGCGAGAAGTCCAGTCGGATTGTGGTGGCATTGATATACTTGAGCGTCGAATGTGCATGGAAGTCGATGGGTGAATACCGTTTTCTAACCCTACGCGGAGCGACTCTCGTTAAGAACAGTTGCGTCGCAATGTATGATACCGATCGTAAATACCATCCCGCTCTATCCTTGAATCCAAGAAATCTCCCTTGCCACCCCAACTCATGCCAACGCCCCCATGGGATCCCAAAGCGGCAGGACCTTTGGCTTCTGCTGCAGCACATCCCTCACCTCCTGGCTGACGACTTCCGGGTCAATGACGGCCTGGTAGCAGAACTCGTCCATCCAGTTGTCGCTCATGACGAAGTAGCCCTCGCTGCCGGACTTTTCGGACCAGGAGTTCTCGACGCGCCAGCGTACGGGCTTGTCGTTGGCGTCGAGATGGACGGCAGTTAGCACCATTGCATGAGTCATTGCCGATTCACCGGTACGCAATCTGTCTGCTTTATTGAGTCCTAGCTTGACGTTGAAGCCGAGTTCGTAGTCGACCTGGGATGGAGAAGTTAGTGGGATGTCGGGGGCACGGGTGGGGAGACTTACGAGGTCAGTAGCCATGATGCCCTTGTCCCTATCGCTCTGCTTGCCCACATCCGAGCCGAAGAAGATGGGCAGACCTTTCTTGAGCATCTCGATACAAGCATCCTTCAACACTTGCTTGTCCACATTTACATACGTGATGGGCTGCCCGTCCCAGACGTTGCCGAGGTGATCGACAGTCAGGAGACGGTTGTATTCGTTGCGAGGATCATTCACGAGCGAGAAGAACTTCTTGACGTGGGTGGATTCGGCGAATTCGATGGGAGTCATGGAGACGGTTTGCAGCTTGTGGGCGGAGTCGTAGAATTCCCAGGTGAATTTCTCGTTTGCCGGGGGCGGGGGGCCGAGACAAAAGGTGACGATGCGCACAATGTCCTGCATCATGCCTTCCTTTAGTTCGGTGAGTTTGGAGGCGGTGGTATTGGCGGAGACTGCTTCGCGCAGGATGAGGGCGTTTTCGCGTAATTTGGCGGTGATGAGAAGATTCATGGTGCGGCTGTTTTGCGCGTTCCAGGAGTCGGGGTAGAGGACTTGCGGGACGATGCCGTATTTGCTGACGAGGTTGACAATCATGTCCTGGAGCGTCATTAGAGGTGGTGTCATGATGTTTACACGCATAACAGCTACATACCCACTGCCCTCCATCGCCCACAGGGGCAGTCATCAACTCCTTGACCAATCTTCCATCAACCTCGTCATCTGCAGTATCGATGATGGACTCGAGAAAGTAATTCGACTTTTCAATCTTGTCCCAGTAGAAGAGGTAGGACTGGCTGAGCTCAAAGGCCTTGATGTCGTACTTTTGCTGGATGGCGATGCGAAAGACGTTGCAGGCGGCGAAGATCCAGCAGCGGCCGGTGCTGCGCTGGTTGGTGATGGGGGAGCCCTCGTGGGGGATGGCGGTGTTGAAGGTGTGGGCGTCGCGGAGGGGCACGGTGGGTTTGATGAGGACGGTGTTGGGGTTGGCGGTGCTGAGGGCGGAGAGGGCGAGGCGGTGTTTGGGGTCGCGGAGGAGTTCTTGGACGTACTTTTCGGTGGCGGCGCCAGAGATGTTTTCGCGGGAGGAGGAGAGGACGTGGGGTGGAAGGGAGGGGTCGGAGGAAGAGGGGTCGTGGTTGTCGATGCGCACGGCGTCGAATCGCTTGTCGAGAGTCATGGTGGGAGGGGAGGAGGTTTGGTCGTGGGTGGTGACCATTGTGTTTGGAATGATTGAGGGTGAGATGATGAAGAGGGAGAGGGCGAGGTTGGAGAGTGGGATGTGGGGGTTGGAGGGTGAGGTGATTCACAGTGATCCATCAATGTCGGGGCGGGAGGGAGTTCCGACGCCGAGCTCCGCCATCGAGCTCCGGGGTGATGCTGAAACAGGAAGGTGGTCGTGATGGAGGAGATGTGGTTGATAGTCGTTTATCACCTCCGTTGCAATGGGAGGAAAGTGGAGTTGAGGTCTGGGAGTGAGGCGGAGCCTTGCCAAGGTGGTCGGTGTGGGATGTTGCATCTCGAGGCACAACGCAAAGCAGCACAAGCAATGACTGCGGACAACACGAGGCATGGCGACGAGGCTGAGTAAGAAAGGCAATGGTATGTACAGTATTCACTTGATGCACGTGTCTTGAGGCTGAGATGAGTAAGAAGAGTGGTCGTCGCATCAACTCTACGTCTTCCTTGCCCATTTCCTCACAAAATAGAGTATTTCATCAAATCGTCTCGTGGCTTATTATTACTCCTCATGATGGATTGGGCGGTGGCGCAGGCGTTGGCATGATGTGCAGATGCCAGGCACCAACTCTTTATCATCTCCATTATTTGCATCGGTCTCTTACAATCTCCGCCTCGGCATGTGCCTAATGTGAACCACATCCGACCATGTGCAGAGTTTCAGGAACACGCCGAAGCGCGAGCGGGCGGCGGACCCAGAAGCAGCTGTCGCGATGACATCAGACACTGCATCATTGAGGTACACGCGCAGCTTCTTCCTCCGTCGTCTTCCGCGCCGCGAGTGGTGAGCTTTATCTTTCCCCATTGAACCCTCTCCATCTCAGGTTGGTACACTGCATCTCTCTTCCATCCCCCTCCAATCATGGCGACCGCCACCACCGAACCCAACGACCTCCACAATGAAACCAACACCTGGTCCGTCTACACCAAAACCCGCTCCACCATCAACGAACAACCCCTCGACAATGACGAACTCGACAAACTCACCCGCTACTTCCACGCCAGCATGTACCTCTGCCTGGGCATGCTCTACCTCAAGGAAAACCCCCTCCTGCAAGAACCACTCAAGAAGGAGCACATCAAGCCGCGACTGCTCGGCCATTGGGGCAGCGACGCCGGCCAGTCCTTCACCTACATCCACTTCAACCGCATGATCAAGAAATACGACCTCGATGCCTTTGTCATCTCCGGCCCCGGCCACGGCGCCCCCGGTCTCATCTCCAACTTCTACCTCGAGGGCCTCTACAGCGAAGTCTACCCCAACAAGAGCGAGGATATCGAGGGGTTGCAAAAGTTCTTCAAGCAATTCTCCTTTCCCGGTGGTATTGGCAGCCACATGACACCAGAGACACCGGGGAGTATTCACGAAGGTGGTGAACTCGGCTACTCCATCTCCCATGCCTTTGGTGCCGTCTTCGACCATCCCCACACCATCGCCCTGACCATTGTCGGTGATGGTGAATCCGAGACGGGTCCTTTGGCCACGAGCTGGCACTCCAACAAATTCCTCAACCCCATCACCGACGGTGCCGTCCTGCCCGTCCTCCATCTCAACGGCTACAAAATCAACAACCCCACCATCCTTGCCCGTATCTCCGAAGAAGAGCTGCGCTCTCTGATGCTCGGCTACGGCTGGACCCCATACTTTGTCGAAGGCCACGATCTCGAAAGCATGCATCAAGCAATGGCAGGCACTCTCGAAGTGTGTGTCCAAGAAATCCTCAAATACCAAAAACAAGCCCGCGAGTCTGGAAAGGTGTTTCGCCCGAAATGGCCAATGATTGTCCTCCGTTCTCCCAAAGGCTGGACCGCCCCTCGAGAAATTGAAGGCCACTATCTTGAAGGCTTCTGGCGTGCCCATCAAGTTCCTCTCCCAAAAGTCCTGACAGATCCCGAGCAAATGAAGGCGCTCGAGACGTGGATGCGTGGTTATGGCCCGGATAAGCTCTTCACCAAAGAGGGCAAGCTCATCCCGGAACTCAAGGAACTCCCACCCAAAGGCAACAAGCGCATGTCGGCCAATCCCATTACCAACGGCGGCGTCCTGCGCAAGCCTCTTCGCATGCCTCGATTCCAAGACTACGGCATCAAGGTGGATAAGCCGGGGTCGACGCACGGCCCTAGCATGAACATCTTTGCGAAGCTGCTCAGGGATATCGTCAAGGACAATCCTACGACGTTCCGCGTCATGGGTCCTGATGAGACGGAATCAAACAAGTTGGGGGAGATTTACAAGGCGGGGAAGAAGGTGTGGGTGAATGGCTATCTGCCGGAGGATGAAGATGGTGGGAATTTGTCACCGACGGGTCGTGTGATGGAGATGCTGAGCGAGCATACCGTTGAAGGCTGGCTGGAGGGATATATTTTGAGTGGACGACACGGCCTGATCAACTCCTACGAACCGTTCATCCATATCATCGACTCGATGGTCAACCAACATGCCAAGTGGATTGAAAAGTGTTTGGAAGTGTCGTGGAGGGAGGCAGTGTCGTCGTTGAACATTTTGTTGACGAGTACGGTTTGGCGACAGGGTGAGTTGAGCAATGTCCATCATCATTTTCCATTCTCTAACACGACCGTCAGATCACAACGGCTTTACCCATCAAGATCCTGGCTTCCTGGACGTCATGTGCAACAAATCCCCCGAAGTCGTCCGCATCTATCTTCCCCCCGACGCCAACTGTCTACTCTCGACCATGGATCATTGCTTCCGCAGCTCGAATTATGTCAATGTTATTGTAGCGGATAAGCAAGGTATGCACGCTCAACAGTCAAAGTCTCGAAGCATGCTAACCCCCGCAGATCACCTCCAATTCCTCAACATGGAAGACGCCATCACTCATTGCACAAAGGGTATTGGTGTCTGGCAATGGGCTTCCAACGATGCCGGCGAGGAACCCGACCTCGTCATGGCGGGCTGTGGTGATGTCTCGACGCAAGAAGCGCTGGCAGCAACCGCACTTCTCCGCCACCATCTCCCCGAACTCAAGATCCGCTTCATCAACGTCGTCGACCTCTTCAAATTGATCCAGCACGGTTACCACCCGCATGGCCTCAAAGACTCGGAATACACGGCCCTCTTCACATCCAACAAGCCCGTTGTCTTCAACTTCCACTCTTACCCCTGGCTCATCCACCGTTTGACCTACAACCGCCCCGGACAAGAGCACATGCACGTCAGAGGGTACAAGGAGAAGGGCAATATCGATACTCCGTTGGAGTTGGCGATTCGCAACGAGAGTGATCGGTATAGTTTGGCCATGCTGGCGATTGACGGATTGACCAAGAGACTGGGCAACAAGGGTGCGGCGACGAGGCAGGCTTTGCTGGATGAGAGGATTCGCAGCATGAATTATGCTTACGAGACGGGGCTGGATCCGGAGCATTACACCGATTGGAAGTGGCCTTATTGAGGGGGAAGTAATAATGGGATAGACTGGTCTTGTACAGCAAGCGGTGCGTCAAAAGTAATCGGATAGATAGGATGGTAAATTGGTAATGACTGTTTGATTTCTCTTCTTCATCGACGGTGTGCGATAAATGAGCGGTGTTGACTCCACGACACCCTCAGCATATGCGTTGCAACATCAAGCTAGGCGATCCTTTTTCTTTCAGAGAGCGGCAGAGGTACATTACCTCACACAAACGCCAGTCAGCGCAAGTTCATCATCTACTACAAGACTGTCAGCGTGCTTGTGTGCGTTGGAGAAGATGAATGACCTACCAGAGCACCCCTCATAACTCCAGCTCAAAAATCTCTCCCTCCTCGGTGGGTGACGTGGGTGACGACACAACCACCACTTCGTGCACAAGTTTCGGCTTGGAGGCAGCACGCAGTAGCAGAATTCCAGTGATTGCAGCAGAGGCAAGCATAGCGTCAACGTCGTCGTTGTTGTCATCCTCGTCTTCCGCTCCCGAGGCTTCAGGAGAAGAGTCGGAGAAGTGCGAGTGCAGGTGCCCAGGACGTCCGCAGAATCGATCATCGTGCAGAGTGATTATTTCCGGAAGACGATGTTTTCTCCCATGCTTAGGCACGACTTCTGCTGATTGATTGTCCTGGCGCTGGAATCGAGTGTTGTGCACATGCTCGCGCTGTGCTTTTTCCTCTGATGAGTAGCGGCGAGATGGCGGGGCCGGCGGAAGTATCTCTTCGCTTTGAAGATTTGCTTCACGGTGGAGGCGTTTGGAAGGGCGGTAGTGGTGTCGAAGGGGTGGCATCTCGGTCGTTGGAGCCCCTCTGGGGCTAGCTTTCGCCATGTACGATGCGGTCGACGATGGTCTTCCAATATTGGCACTGTTGCCGTTTGGAACGAGGATGTGGCGAGCCCGGCCTGCTTCCTGCGCAACGTCTCCGGCCATGGCCGTTACGAGAGGAGTGAATGGTAGAACGGCCGGGGGATTTCGAGGACAGCATGGAAGACGACATGTCGAGGGTAAGAATAGAGCCAGCTCCGTGCCATCAATATTTCATGCAGATGTACGAGGTCAAGAACGGGCAAGAATTCCACAACGAGAATCAATCCCTGTTCATGCAGCGCGTCTTGCGTGTCTCAAAATGAGGGGCCAGCATATTGCGGTGGGCGTGATGCATGAACAAGTCCGAGCTCGTGGTTGGAGTACGACTCGAGTCGTGTTGCTCAACCGATCACTGGCATGTGATGGGATTGAATGAATGATGATGCCATGAATTGTGCTGTACGGAGAGCAACAGAGCGGCAATAATCGGGAATCCGTAGGTTGTGCACGGCAAAGTCATTCCCGATTGCATGGGCGGCATAATCCACTGTTGTGTAACGTTGCGCATTAACAGTTCCGGCTCGTCCGAAACTCGCGGTCTAATTTCCCGCGTGATGTGGCGGAGGAATGCAGAGCCTTGCTTGCGTTCGCCAGCTAATGCCTCTTTTGGAGCGGAGTAGTCGGTGCGTAGTCTTGTAGCCTCGATACTTTCCAGGTTCCCATGTAATGCCAGCACGTGTCACCTTGCGCACATCCCCAGTTTTTACTCTGGAAGCACAAACTCACCCACGGCTGGTGCCCATCACGCGTTCGGGGGGGAACACCATGGCCACCCCGACCCATCAACGATCGGAGCACGAGATGTGGCATGTCAGTGGTACCCGCTGTCATGCCATGTCATGCCATGTTGTGATTGCAGGCCCACGAGAGTCGTTCACCCCGGTTTCCTTGATCGAGTCCCGCTGGATCTTGTGTGGTTTCTGGGATAGGTGTGGGAGGACGGTTCAGAACAGCGCGCAGATGTTTGCTTCCCTGTCGCCAGGCCGGGTCAGCGCACGCGGGATGCCATCTCCTCGATACTCTCGCAGTGCAATTGATAAGATCTTCTCGAGTAGGCATCAAAGATATCCTTCTAGCCGAACCTTTATCCATTTTTCTTTCGCCAGAAGATCATGTCTTTTCCGCGCACGCGTATGTCCGAACCGCTCATCCTCTTTCCACTGGGCGGCTTCCGCCAAGTAGGCTCCTTCACCTGGGACGATGCAGACGAACGGCCGCCGGAGTTCAAACATGCAATCGCCACCGCCCGCTGGAGACCTCTAGCGCTCGCACAAGACATCGGCCTTCCACTCAGCTTCGCCAGCTTCCAGCCATACTTTGGCACGCCGGCGAATTGGAACGCTTTCGTCAATTGCCTCGCCATCGACAAGGGATTGGCGACCCATACATTCAGCAAATGTGGGACTGGGTTCCCCGCCGAGCCGTGCCCTCTTGGTGCTTGCGGTCTGCTTCGGGAGGATGGGAGGCTGCTGAGGGTTCAGCATGTTCTTGCGCTTGCGAGTTGGTTCGATGAGACGATGCCGGGCATGCTGGATTGCTTTCACATGGACAGCGAGGATGATGTGGTGAATTTTGAGGCGATGATCAAGGAGCAGTTGAAGCCGGAGAAGTTTGCCAAGTACTGGCACGAGTACCAGGCGAGAATGGTGGAGGAAGGGATAGATCTGTCATTTGCAGGGCTGGAATGTCCGGTTGTGCCAGAGGTTGCGGATCACCGGCCGGAGGAGGAGCCGCGGTATGCTGGTATGAGGGCTTGCGAACGCTGTCGAAGTGGACTGGATTCGCCTTTGAGGAAGCTCAACATTGAGATGGGAGGCAGTGCGACTGGCGAGAGTGGGAGTGATGGGACGATCCACTCTAGTGATGAGCGTGTTCGAGGCGCAGCAAGCGCGGGCAAGAAGGATGCTCTGTTCAGAGTGGGGCCAACGCACCTGAACCAGAGACAAGCCGGCAGCGAGACTGAGGGTGATGAGGAGCCAGAATCCAATGACGAGAGTGTCGATACTGTTCGAGTAGTGGAAAAGAAGGAAGTCCCGTCAAAGTCGGAGTCTACTCATTCGAGCGCAAAGAAAGCAGACTCCGGAAAGCGGAGTGGAAGGTCGAAACCAGCGACATCCGACGGAGGCCCAAAAGGATTTGACTCCAAGCCGAGCGGAGAGAAATCAAAGAAAGAAAGCAGTCGTAGCACGAAGGAGCGATCCACGAGATACCGCCGCTGCAGTTCGACGTCGAAAGAGGCTAGCAAGGCGGATGAGGCTCCGTCGAAATCTGTCATGGGCAGCGCAAAGGATGCCCGTCCGAAGAAGCACAGCCGTGATGAAAAGGAGAAATCGTCAAGGACTTCCGAGGGTAGCAAGAAGGAGAAGCAACAGAAGAAGGTGGGGGGTGGAAAAAGGAGTGGCTAACCATGGAATCTTTTGTGAGTTGAGCGAGTTCGAGCCAACATGTTGCCTTGGCGTTAGCCTCATTGCTCCGTGAGTTGCAGTCGGTTCCGTGGTGATCAATGTAGAATATCATACACATGCATACGTAAAGTCATACCTTGTAGATGCCCCACACGATGCAGCATCAATCCCACGCGTTTTCCTGGCTGTCTCGAACACACCTCCGCACCCTCTTCTTGAACTCTTTCGGATCGTTCCGCCATAGTTTGCCGGCTTCCAGATTGGCGGGGCTCTCGTCGTTGGGACTGCTGAGCATGCTGATGACGGAAAGCAGGATGGTCTCGGGGGTTTGAACGGGTGACCAGCGCTCTGCTGCCGATTCGTAGCCGTATTTGTCTTCTTCGGGAGGGTGGAGGATGGAGATGCAGACTTCGCCGCTAGGGTATACTGTGGTAGTGTGTGAGCGCCGTCTTTGTGTGGATAAGCACTGGTACTCACCATTCGGATGGAAGAGTGGTGTCTCGAACTTCAACGTCGGCGGTAGCAGTGGGTAGGCAGGTGGGAATGTCATGCGTCCTCTGAAGCAGCCGCCTGGATGTCTTCCATCAGTGCGCTGGCTTTCATCTCTGCCAACCAAACTCACCTCCATATAAGCTATCTTGCTCTTCATCCAGCATAATCATAATCTCCCACTCAAATACGCTATCGCCAACCAGTCCACAGCTTATTCCCGGGATGTCCTTGTCTGTCTGCATCTGCTTGAACTGTCGTCCTAAGAGGATGGAGGCTCCGGAATGTGATGGGGAGGATTGGCTGCCGCTTCGGTGGGTTGTTGGTGAGCTCATGATGGCGGGTTGTAGTTCGTAATCGGTCGGTCTATCTGTCCGTAGAAGGGTTGCGATGGAGATTGTCGATGGGTCGGGATGCAGGCGGGAATGAGGGAATAGTAGGTGCGGGTGGGTGGCTCGGAGGTCAAGAATCGCTTGCGAGGGATGAGGAATCACGTCTACCAGCGTGAAGATTCGAGACCTTGATGGCGGTGAAAAGAGGCGAGATGTGTGGAATGGTGCAAGTGCAAGATGGATGTCGAGTGGGCGAGGTGACGTCTATGCAGCCGAGCCGCCATCTCCGGATTCTTACTTCATCAGGCTGACCTCGCGTTATTAATGCCGCAAAAACTTGACATTGATGCGGCGAAATCGGGCTGGGCATTGCATGCTGCTGTATTCTGCTACGTTCTTCCCTCCCTAAAAGGGAGTACACATCGTGCTCACTCGTTGATTCTCTCCTCAAGCTCCCCAACGTGAGCACGTGCCCTCAGCCCGCAAGGCTCATCACGCTTCCCCTTCAGTCCCTGCAACATACCATCTGCTTTAGCGATATACCGCTTGGCCCCAGGTGAGATGAGTACTCGCTGGAGCTTCGGACTTGCCGATTTCGAACAGCAGATGGTGTTCACACCAGCTCTCGAACGTCATCTTGTCATACGCCACTCCTCCACTGTATTTGATTTGGATGCGTCGATCATTGCAGCTTTCAGTCTTGGGTCCACGGCGTAGGCAGTGCTGCTCGGTTGGCCGCATCTTGTCCTGCACTTTGCCAGTAGTACCGCTCCGCCATGTAGTAGTCTTTGAAGTCGCCAGGTGTCAGGTGCGCAATGATGTCCAGTGGTGAGGCAGTACTGGAGCGTGTGCGATGACCGTCTGGAAGGACCGCTGCGCCTGGGTACATGACTTTATCCATGAAGTCGAGCAACACCCGGACATGCACCGCGTAGAGAGGTTTGCGGTCCTTGCGAACGACGATGACGTTGCCAGCAGTGTCCTTCCAGCCTTCTGCCGGTTTCAACTCCAACTCGTCGGGATCGCTGTCGACCATCAGCTTGCTGGCTGTGTGGTTTGGGTAGTAGGGCGGGGAGAGTTGGTAGTGGATGCTGTCCGGGCGGGTATCATGTGGCGTTGTCAGCCTGATCTTGTAAACGAGAAGCGGCATGCCGACTAGTTGAGACACGGGACAGAGACCTCCGATGTTGTAAATTTCGTGGTTCGTCGGAATGTCGTAAGTCGTCATTTTCTCGCGGCCGGCGACTTGTTCTGCGGTGGAAGAGATGAGGACGCCTTTGACCTTGGACTTCGGCATGATGGCGGCAGTTCAATCACTGTCGAGGGGATTGAAGAATGGTGAATTGCTTGAGCTGAGCTTCGGTGGTGAGATGAAGAGGGAAGGTAGAGAGTGGGAATCGGTATCAATGTCGAAATTGACGTTGCACAAAAGGTAAAGGAGATTGACTTGTTGACCCAAGAGCTGAGCCTCACTTTACATCGACTTCACTTACCGCATGCCATATTCTACCAAGTGGCGGCCGTCCATCGCAGACTGTGAGTAGCATGAGAAGGAGCATTGACGTTGCCAGAGGAAAGCTTGAAGTCGTTGCGGCAGCCTTGCAGCTTTGGCGGGCTTCGAATGTCGTCCAAACTCGCTTCTCGCGTATTCTGATTAACAAGCATCGGCGGGAAACATCACATGCTTAGGCTTTGCCATTGACGCAGCATGAATGCATCGCGTTAGATCGCAGAGATGAAGGGGGCGAAAGATTCGGCTGGAGGAGGAGTTTCAAACATTGTGGTCCGAGCTTTGCCGACTTCGACGCTTCTTCAATCCACGCCCGAACCATCACCATTCAATCCAAGCTACACCACCGACATGGCCGAACGCAAAGGTGCATACGGCACCTCCACCAGCGACACCTCCTTTCGCCGAACATGGGATCGAGAAGAATACGCCGCCAAAGCCGAGGAGCGCGAGAGAAAAAGCCGCGAGGAGGGCAAAGCCAGGCATGAAGCAGCACTCGCCGGGAAGAAGTTTCACCGTCGCGCCTCCACACCAGAAGACTCCCGCGATACCGAAGCCCGACAAGCGCGGCTCAATGTCGCCGATCAAGTGGGCAAGACGTCACTGGTGCCCGCCGGCGCAGGGCAGGGAAAGAGAGGCAAAGGCGCGGGTTTCTACTGCGATGCCTGCGATTTGACGTACAAGGACAATCTGCAGTTTGTGGAGCATTTGAACAGCAAGCAGCATCTCATCAATACAGGGGAGAGTGGAGAGGTGCGGAGAGCCACGTTGGAGGAGGTGAAGGATCGGTTTGAGTGGTTGAAGCGGAAGAGGGAAGATGAGAAGGCGAGGGAGGTGGTGGACTTGTCGGCGAGGATTGAGGTGGCCCGAGAGCAAGAGGAGAGGGAGAGGGAGGAGAGGAGGCGGAAACGGAATGAGAAGAGGCGGAAGACCAAGGATGGGTTGGGTGTGCAGGATGCGAGAGTGGAGGATGATGGGGTGATACGTTGATGTGCTGCAGGTGCCTCTTGTGATTTTATAGCAAGGCGTTGGGGCATGATACCCAGGGAAGTGATTGTGGATTGAGAATATACCGATTGGCTGTTCAGACTCGTTCAAGCGTCCTCACTGTTTTGATATTGTTGCAGCCTGAGGCTGAAGTTTAGGTAAGCGCGAGACTCTGAAACGCGCTTGCTCCCGCTTCGGCAAGATCCGAGCAGATCGCGAGTGCATTCGCTGGCTGTTTGTAAACAAACTCGAATGAATACAACACCTTCTTCCATCATCGCATGAACTTTGAAGGAGACAAGGCAACGCGCTCGTTTCTGCCTTGCTCTCGATCCTCCTCACTCATGCGCGACTGAATCACGCGCTTTCCATCCTGGACACGCCAAAACACGGAGCGTAGGCGCACCCCTTCGCCAGCATGGACGACTCGATGGACGTCTCCGACTATGAAGTGAATGTTTCGAGTGACTTTGAGCCCGTCACCAAGCCGGTGAGTTTTGCGCATTCAACTGGTGTCGTCCAGCCCTGACATCTTCACAGAAAGCAAAGCCCGCGGCGAAGAAGGTTGCAGCTGCACCCAAACCAAAGGCAGCACCGAAACAGACCACTCTGAAGGTCACCAAGACCACCCTCCCCGCCAAACCCAAGCCCAAGAAGCGCGCAAAACCCGACTCCGATGAAGAAAACTCCGACCTCGACGTAGATTCGGATCACGACGATTCCCTCCTCTCCAACACCCCTCCCTCCGCGAAGAAACAGAAGAAGACGATCGCGCGCCCTCCCAAAGCAAGCGCGCAGCCGTTGGCTGAGCTGGCCAACGAAAGCTTCAACATGGATGGCGCCGGAGATGTCAAGCCGCCGTCGGCCAAGAAGAAGAAGGGTGGTGCTACGGATCAATACCAAAAGCTCACCCAGCTGGAGCACATTCTCAAGCGTCCCGACACGTATATCGGATCCGTCGAGCGTACCGAAGAGCAGATGTGGGTCTACAACTCCGAGACTGACGCGATGGAGAATCGCAAAGTCAGCTACGTACCGGGCTTGTACAAGATCTTTGACGAAATCCTGGTCAACGCCGCCGACAACAAGCAGCGCGACAAGAACATGAACGAGTTGCGGGTTTGGGTGAACGCGGAGAAGGGAGTGATTGCAGTGCGCAACAACGGCCGCGGTATTCCCATCGAAATCCACGACAAGGAGGGCATCTACATCCCCGAGATGATCTTTGGCCACCTCCTCACCTCCTCCAACTACGACGATGATGAAGCCAAGGTCACCGGCGGACGCAACGGCTACGGTGCGAAGCTGACGAACATCTACTCCACCCAATTCGATCTCGAGACCGTCGACTCTCGTCAGAAGAAGAGGTACAAGCAGACGTGGCGGAGCAACATGAGCGTCATGGAAAAGGCCAAGATTGATACCATCAAGGGTGACGAGGACTACACCAAGATCACTTTCATGCCTGACTTCAAGAAGTTTGGCATGGACAGGATGGATGAAGACTTTGAGGCTCTGGTGAAGCGTCGCGTCTACGACATGGCCGGGACTTGCACCGGCGTCAAGGTCTACCTCAACAATGACCGCATCAAGATTACCAAGTTCAAGCAGTACATGGAGATGTACACCAAGGCCATCAAGACGGAGAATATCGAGAATGACGGCAAGGCTCCGGAGCAGGTCATCCTCACGGACAATCCGCATGAGAGATGGGAGATTGGATTTGCAGTGTCTGATGGCTCCTTCCAGCAAGTGTCGTTCGTCAACTCCATTGCTACGACATCCGGCGGCACGCACATCAACTTCATTGCCGATCAGATTTGCGAGAAGCTGGAGGAGATTGTCAACAAGAAGAACAAGGGTGGTGTCAAGTTGAAGAAGGCGCAGATTCGGAACCACATCTTCTTGTTCGTCAATGCTCTGATTGTCAATCCGGCCTTTACCTCCCAGACGAAGGAGCAACTCACCACCAAGCCGAGTCAGTTTGGCAGCAAGCCTCAAGTCAGCGAGAAGTTTTTGACGGCCATTTCGAAGACCAAAGCCGTGGAGAACATCATTCACTTTGCGCAGCAAAAGGCGGACAAGGTGCTAGCCAAGTCGGATGGAAATCGTCGCCAGCGCATGAACAATTCCAAGCTCACTGACGCGAACAAGGCTGGCACGAAGGATGGGTACAAGTGTACGTTGATCTTGACCGAAGGTGATTCGGCGTCCTTGCTGGCCCTGGCCGGTCGTGCTGTGGTCAATCCAGATCTCTTTGGCGTCTTTCCCCTCCGTGGAAAGATTCTCAACGTCCGCGATGCATCGATTGATCAGATTTCCAAGAATCAGGAGATTCAGAACATCAAAAAGTTCATGGGCTTGCAGCACAAGAAGGAGTACACCGATACAAAGAGCTTGCGCTACGGCCATCTCATGATCATGACGGATCAGGATCACGACGGCTCTCACATCAAAGGTCTTCTCATCAACTTCCTGCAGGTGCAATACCCGAGCTTGTTAAAGTTGGACGGCTTTCTCATGGAGTTCATCACGCCTATTGTGAAAGTGTGGAAGGGGGATCCGAAGAATCCAAAGGCCAAAAAGGATTTCTTCACCATGCCGGAGTATGAAGCCTGGAGGCTCGAGCCCGGACATCAAAAAGGCTGGGAGCACAAGTACTTCAAGGGGTTGGGTACTTCCGACACCACCGACGCCGAAATCTACTTTCAGGATCTCGACCGCCATTTGAAGGAATTTCACAAAATTCGCGAAGGCGAGGCGGAGATGATTGACCTGGCGTTTTCCAAGAAAAAGGCCGATGCGCGGAAGCAGTGGTTGGGGAATTTCGTCCCCGGCACATATCTCAACATGGCTGGGACGGACAAGATCTCCTATGACGACTTTATCAACAAAGAGCTGATCCTCTTCTCCATGGCCGACAACATGCGCTCCATTCCTTCCGTCATTGACGGCTTCAAGCCCGGTCAGCGCAAGGTGTTGTACACTTGCTTCCGTCGCAATCTGAAAAAGGATATCAAGGTGGTCGAGCTGGCGGGATCTGTTTCCGGTCTGACTGCTTATGCGTACGGCGAGACATCGCTGCAGCAGACTATTGTTGGCCTGGCTCAGAACTTTGTCGGGTCGAACAACATCAACTGTCTGGAGCCGAGTGGCAACTTTGGATCACGTCTGCAGGGTGGTCAGGATGCGGCCAGCGCTCGTTACATCTACACGAGACTGTCTCCGTTTGCCCGCCGAATCTTTCATCAGAGTGATGAGGCACTTCTCGCGTACAACACGGATGATGGGAGGACGATTGAGCCGGAGATGTACGTGCCCGTCGTCCCCATGATTCTCATCAACGGCGCGGATGGCATTGGCACCGGCTGGAGCACGTCGATTCCCAATTACAAGCCCGAGGACGTGATTGAGAATCTGAAGCGTCGTATGGACGGTGATTCGAAGGATGCCATGCTGCCGATGATTCCGTGGTTCCGCGGCTGGAGTGGCGAGACTGAGCCCATGGACGAGAATGGCGATCGATTCAAGTTCAGCGGCACCATCACCGAGACTGGCGAGAATGAAGTCGAAATCACCGAGCTTCCCGTCCGCGTCTGGACACAAGACTTCAAGGATAAGCTCGAGGAGATTATCAAGGCGGAAAAGGTGCCCTCCTTCATCAAAGACTACACCGAGTACAATACTCCTTCCAAGGTCCACTTTATCGTCAAGTTGGAGGAGAAGAAGATGAAGGAGCACGCCAACAAGCTGGAGGAGCTGTTCAAGCTGTCCAAGTCCATGGCCACGTCCAATCTAGTGGCTTTTGATGCCCAAGGCCGGATTCACAAATACGCCTCCCCGCTGGATATCATGGAGGAATTTTATCACGTCCGCCTGCTCACCTATCAAAAGCGCAAGCAGCACCTGCTCAGTGAGATGCAAAAGGAGTTGGAGCGGCTGAGCAATCAGGCACGCTTCGTCACCATGATTATCGATGGGAAGCTGGTCGTCAGCAAGAAGAAGAAGGGAGTGCTGGTGGCCGAGCTGCAGAGCTTGAAGTTTACCCGCTTCCCCAAGGTCGTTGACGCGAAGAAGTCGGGGGAATTTGAGCCGGTGGTGGAAGAGGAGGAGGAGGGTGATGATGCGGAGGTTGAAGCGGGCGCCAGCGATTACGACTACCTCCTCGGCATGGCCATCTGGTCGCTGACTCAGGAGCGGGTGGAGAAGCTGAAGCGACAGATTGGCGACAAGCAGGATGAGATTGACGCGCTGATCAAGCGGAGCGAAAAGGAGCTCTGGCGTCAGGATCTGGACGAGTTGTTGCTGGAGTGGCAGACGCAGCTCTCGGACGAGGCGAAGCGGGAGAAGAAGGTCAGGGCCAAGGGCCGTCGTGCGTCTGCGAAGCTTGGCATAGGAGGCAAGCCGAAGAAGCGCAAGGCGGGTGATGACAGCGACTTTTCCGATTCCGACTTTGCCGCCGTCAAGAAGCCGAAGCAGACTGCTACTGCAAAGTTGAAGGCTGGATTGTTGGGGAAGCCGGAGGAGAAGCCTGCGGGTGTGTATCCGGTGGTGAATGGGGTGGAGCAGAAGCCGGTGGTGAATGTGGTGGGGGAGCAGATGGTGCAGGCTGTGGTGAAGCCTGTTGTGGTGAAGCCCGCTGCGGTCAAGGATGCCGTGGTCAAGCCGGCCCCCAAGAAGAAGGTGGAAATCTCCGAGGACGACGACAGCGATGAGGACGTCTTTCAGGCCGTGGCAAAAGAAGCCGCATCCAAACCCGCCCCCGCCCGCACCGGACGAGCAGCCGCCCAGAAGCCGAAAAAGTACCACCAAGACTCCGACTCGGACATCTCCATGGATGATGTCAATCTGCTCGGCGATGTCAGCACAATGGTCAAAGGCATCGGCGCCAAGCAGAGTGAAGGACCTACCCGCTTCTTCCACCCCCCTTCCGCTTCACGTCCATCTAGCAGTCACGGCATGAAGATGGGTAAGGTGCGGAAGAGCACGCTCGGCTCCGACATCTCCGACGACGAGACGAATTGGGATGCGCTGGAGCAGAACTCACCTCGCAAGGTCACGAATCGGACGGTGCTGTCGGATGACGAGGATGATGTGGTGATTCCAGCGGTGAAGGCGTTGAAGGGGAAGGAGACTGTTGCGCTGAAGCAGAAGAAGTCTATCCTTCCTGCGGTGGCGGCAAAGACTCTCTCCCCGGCTGCCAAGGCGTACGCGGCGAAGCAAGCCAAGGCTGGTGCGTTGAAGCCTGTGGTGAAGAAGAAGAAGACGTTTGATTCGGATGATGATGTGGATGCTCTGGCGGAGGAGCTCCTCAGCGATGATGAGAGTCCGGTCAAGCCAACGGCCAGGCCCGCTCGTCGTGCTGCGGCTGCTCCAAAGTCGAGGTATGTGGATGATGAGGAGGATGATGACGGTGATAGTTTTGATGTCGAGGAGGAGGAGAGTGATTAGGAGTTTCATATCGCATGTTATTAGCTTGCCCAACGCCATTGCTGTGCTAATATCCTCGTGATGACTAATACGGCACTCACTTCCGAGCTGACTCGTCCTTTTACAGAGTGCGGGGGTGGGGAAACCGACCTCATACGACATTGCCTCGGGGGAGATTCTTCAACATTTTGCCACTACTCACCCCTTCTTCCTCCTCTACACCACAACATCCAAATCATCCAAAATGGCCCCTCACGCAACCGACACCAACGGCAATGCCGTCAACAATGGCGAAGCGCCCCTCGAACCCGGCGTCAGCAGCAAACACGCCCAAGACCGCGCCGTCAACTTCCCTCGGCCTCCCGTCTTCGAAGACAAGCTTGAGCAGCGCGAGTACATGAAGGGCCGGCTGGCAGCTGCCTTTCGTATCTTCGGGAAGAATGGCTTCGATGAGGGCGTGGCGGGGCATATCACCTTGCGCGACCCCGTCAACCCGGACAGCTTTTGGGTGAATCCTTTTGGCGTCTCGTTTTCGTTGATGCGGAAGAGCGATTTGATTGTGAGTTTCTGCACTGAGATATGGCCGCCTGAGCTGACTCTCGCCAGCTCGTCGACCACTCCGGCAAAGTGATTGATGGTGGGCCGGTGCGTCTGCTCAACACCGCAGCGTACATGATCCACTCCGCCATTCACAAGGCTCGACCCGACGTCATCTGCGCCGCCCACAGCCACTCCCTCTACGGTCGGACGTGGTGCTCGCTCGGCCGCAAGATTGACACTCTCACACAAGACGCTTGCGCTTTCCACAACGATCACGTCGTCTACGATGCTTTCAACGGTGTCGTACTCGCGGAGAAGGAAGGCAAGGCTATCGCGGCGTGTCTGGGCGACAAGAAGGCGGCATTGCTGCAGAATCATGGTTTGCTGACCGTCGGACATACCGTTGACGAGGTGAGTCTGGTGTCGCGGCGCTGGAAGTGCGTGGCTGATGACTTGTGCAGGCCGTCTTCTGGTTCCTCTCCCTCGAAAAATGCTGCCATTCGCAGCTCATGGCCGAAGCCGCCGCCGCTTCGCGTGGCGAGAAGCCCATCATCATCCCCGAGGAGGAGGCGACTTATACCTACCGGACTGTTGGAAGTCATCGCGCGGGCTGGTTCAACGCCAAGCCTTCGTTCGACTTGATCCACCATGAGACTAAAGGGGAGTATTTGCAGTGATGGTAGCGGAGTTTCGTAGCCAATGCAATCAAGGGGTGTTTCTTCCAATCCCATGTAGGGCCTGGTGATTGCCGCGGTACAGCTTAAAGCCAGGCGTCCGGAGAATGGATCTGAATACTCTTCTTGCATGATGCAGCCTCAGACGGCTGACCCTACACTTTGCTCATTCAACCTCTACCGAGTGACGCGTCCGGAAGATGAAGGTCGTCGCAGTTGCATCACGGCTGATTCGTAAGCGACTGTTTTGATGGCGTCCAGCCTGTCTTATTGATACCGTCGCAATCCTTGTGTCGTGCTGTAACGAGCACTCACTTTCCCCGCAAGACACAACAACGCGCAGCATTGAAACCATTGGACTTGCTACTCGCCCAGCTTCTAAAATCCGCAACAGACATGCAGCCGTGTGGTGCTCAGAGGGCAAATACGGCCAAATACGGCCATGCCCGGGAATGTCAGCGCAGCCGTGGGGTGTCCTCAGGTTAGTTCATACACACACTCTATCAATGCTTGGAAGAGCCTCTGCGTACTGAATACACGGCATCACGCGGCTGCATTTACATTGTGGATGACGAAGATTCAAGCCACTTCTCACCATGTCGGACCCGTGGCGCGCTGATATTCATGAGTCAGCTGCTAGGCTACAGCCTTTCCGCGCGGAGGCTCAACGGCTCTTGTCTATAGATCGATGTTATAGGCTATGTTCCGGGTACTGTCATGCTGCAGGCTATGGCGAGGCTCGACTTGCTAACGCTCATGCAGTTGTAGGCTGCAGCAACGTGGCTTACATCAAGAAAGAATCAGCACGGAGGACATGGGGTAGATCGTAAGGCTCCGAGAACAAGGTATAAAGAGCATCAACTCGCGACGTTGGATCAAGCAGACACAAAAATCGGTCTTCAATCTCGCACGCCTCAACTATGCTTCCCCACTCGATTCTCGCGGTCGTTGCCGCATCTTCTCCTTTCCTCAGCCTTGTCGGCGCGAGTGATACTACGTACCTCTTTACTACCGGCTATGCTCATTCTACTACCGCCACCACCGAGCCCGCCACGACCACGGTAAGCACGTCATACTAGCGTGTGGAAGGCGTGCTGGCTAATGATGTTCGTTAGGTTACTTCAGAGTCTGTTGTAAGTCGTACGAAACGAGGCCGGCTCTTCCTCGCTAATGATCGCCTGATAGGTTGTCGAGAGCACCACCACCACGACGACCTCTATCGTATCCGTGCCCGTCGCCACTGTCACGATGCCGACCTCTGCAGGCTTCATCCCTGCGGTCGACTCGTTTCCCGGGGCTGCCTATGTAGAAGGCTCCGATCCCAACTTTGGCAAACGCGACTCGAGGACGAGAAGCAACAAGCTGCGTGCGGCGAAGCGTGACCCTCGTAGAACCAGAAAGAGTTCGTCGAGTACTGATGGTAAGTTGGTCTCCACGCTTGATTTGCTGTTCTCGTGCACTAAGTGGTCGATTAGAAGTGCAAACCACCACGCAGGCACCGAGCACCGCACAGCCGTCCAGCACCACCCAGGCGCCCAGCACCACACAAGCGCCCAGCAGCACAGGGCAAGTCACTGTCACCTCGACCTTCACTCACACCTACACGAACACGACATTTATCACGGCGACTTCGACCTCTTCATACACGTCCACTTCCTACGAAGCCTGCGTAAGTGCCACAGTCTGAAGAGACCCTTGACCAACCTAACCATAACATTCAACAGGCCACTCCAAACATCGTGGGGGTCTACGATGGCAATCTGTTTGACAATTATCATGTCACAATCACCGGACAGCAAATCACTACCTTTGCCGAAGACCCCGAGTCTTGCTGCGCAGCAGCGTACTCACACCCAAGCGCTGCCAACTTGGGAGCTTGGATCTGGTTCCACCAAAGCTCGTACGAAGATGCCTGTTGGTTCTACACTGCCGGGGAAGGCGCGTCGTCTCAGACCGACTCCGAATCAATTGACCTTCATCTGGAGTATACCAACGGCACTTCCTTCTCGGGGCTCGCGATCTGGGCGGGTAATGGTCCATTAGGACAGGTTACATCGTAGTTTGAGTGGTTGAAGTACGAGGATGTCGACATTGATCAATCTGCAGCCTGAGACTTTGACTCGCTTCAAAACTTCCAATTTCGGCCAGAAGTTTGTCGCCTCTGCATCCCTTTTGAGCAATGTCTTGGTTCTACATTGGTACTAGTTTTCAGCTCTGCGAATCCCCCACGATGGCTCCCTTTTTGAGCAACGTTTTATTTCTCCATTCGTTTAGACTGAGGAGTCAGCATGTCCGGCGATTCCGATAGACGCCATTACATCTCGCGAACGCGAAGCTGATAAATCGTTGTGACAGTAGTACATATATCATGCCATCGGCCCCTCCATCCTATCTCTACTCGCGAAGCGTAATTCGATTCAGTCCGTCACAATCATGCCCGCCGTCCTACACAAGACCGCTCAAGTTGACGGGGTCAAGATATTCTACCGAGAAGCAGGCTCGCCAAGCTCTCCCGGCCTCCTCCTCCTCCATGGTCATGCGTCCGCCTCGCATACCTTCCGCAACATCATCCCAGGGCTCGCAGACTCCTTCCATGTCGTAGCTCCGGACTATCCAGGCTTTGGCAACTCCGATCGCCCGGACGCAAAGAGCTACACTTACACCTTTGAGAACATTGCAAAGACTCTGGAAAAGTTGACCGAGCAGATTGGCGTCACCAAGTACTATCTCTACATTTTTGATTTCGGCGGCCCAATTGGTGGCTGGATGTTCGAACATCACCCCGACAAAGTCCTCGGACTCTTCACGCAATCCGGCAATCTTTACGTAGAGGGCATTTCCGAGGACATTGGAAAGCAACTCGGCGGCCTGTGGAAGGATCCTCATGGTCAGGCCGCGATCGACGGTGTCAAACACATTCTCGAGCCTCATGGAATTGCCTGGGCCTACACCAACATCCCGAACCCCGAACGCGTTGCTCCCGAAGCACCCGACCTTGACGCCTACTACACCACCCGCCCGGGCGCGCAAGAGATCCAGCTCGACCTCCTGCGCGACTACCAGAATGTTCCTCCAAAGTATGGTGACTGGCAGAAATTGATACGCGAGCACAAGCCAAAGATTGTCGCGCGCTGGGGTGAGCACGATCCGTTCTTCCGACCCCCGGGGGCGGAAGCTTTCAAAACGGATTCGCCCAATGCCGATGTCAAGATCATCCCCGATGGTGGCCACTTCCTCAACGAGACGCACCCCGAGGAGATTATTGCGGGGTTGAAGAAGTTGCTGGCATGATGATGGGTTTCGCAAGCTGAGTGCAATGAAATGGTAGTTCAGGCATCATTCAAACACGTTTGCTCCGACCAGATCTACGATCCCTGCCGTCCTTTCCCAGTGAAAGATTCTCTCAACGCCGCTCAACTCGTCCAAGCCATGATAATTGCCTGAGAACAGCCAACTGTCCAAGTCGGAGCGCCATACGGTACAAGCATAATTCCAGACGATTACCAGCAGAATTGGCCGGTCTCGCTTTCGATGTGGCCGTCCAACTGCAAGCTGATTGTACCGTCGGCGGCGTATCTGCTCGTCGAAAGGGACGAGAACAAACAGTCTGATCAGATGGCTGCGAATCTTCTCGCACCCCTGAATCCGAACAGCCCCGGCGGGAGTATTCGATCTCATCCCTTCTACGTTCAACAATACTACAGGGATGTTGTTGTCAGCGGCGTGGCTGCTTATTAGAGAAAGGAGATTGGAGAGTGCCATTGGACCACCCATAAACCTCCTTGCTGTCCTGTGCTCAGTATCGCTCCGCCGAAATGGTCAATCTCATTCCCACTTTGGCTATCAAACTACAGGCATGTCGTCGTCGGCACCGCGTCTGCGTGTGATGAAAACGAAGATGTGGTCTGACCACCCCTCTCCATCGCCTCTGTGGGTACGACTACTCCACATCTTCCATCGCTTCGAAGAACACCTCTCCTTCACCATCCTCCGACTCCTCCACCGTCTCCGCCACTTCGAGGCACTCCTGGCCCTTCCCGCTCTGGGTGTGACATACCTCCATCTGACCTGTCGACTTGCCTTTGCCAGGTCTGGAGAAGGTATCTTGCACCTTCTGCAACTTGTGAATGAATTTCGCTGCTGCTGGCAAAATATTCTTGTTCCACTCCTCTTGCTGTCGAGTTAGCGCTTCTAAGGTGTCGATCTGTTGGCTGACTTCTTGGAGGTTGCGGGTAGCAGAGGCTGTTGCTTCTTCAACCTGCGGGATCAACCGGTCAATGGCTTGCAGGTCCTTCTGGTACTGGATCTTCATCTGGGCTTGCTGCAGTCGTTTCTGACCCGTGCCATTAGCAATGAATCACATCATGTCAAGACAAAGGAAGACGAACCTCTTCGATCCCGCGAAGCCGTGTTGTCGTGATAATGTCCTGTTCGAGATTGGGATTGACAAAGCGAAGGAGACGATTGTCCACGAGTCGATTGAGCATCTCTTCCCATTCATCGCCGGTAATGCTGCCACTGGTACCGACACCCTGGCCTGCTTGAATGGTGTTGATTCCGCCGGATCTCAGGTACGAAGCACAGAGCAATGCGCCAAGGCTCGCCCCAGTCTCCAGATCGCTGATCCTCGTGGCATGGAACAGTACGACTTGCAGCATCCTGAAGTCTCGATCGGGAAAGGCTGCGCGTAGCACCAGGTGGACAAGTCGGAGGAGCGGGGGAGAAGAGCTCGCCAGTCTTTTGTGCTGGCCGCATCTGTCCCAGAGGTTCTTGGCCAGCCCGATTTCCGCGTGGATGGATATGTGATTGACGTCTTGCGCCTTGGCTTGAGCGTGCACAGTTCGCTGGCTGCGGATGTATCGCCGCACGTTTGTTTGTAGTACGTCCAGCTCTTGTTGATTGAGGGTGGCGAAGAAAGACGCTTGGAGGTCATCGGTGGCGATTACGTCCCGATATGCCTTGTCGATGGCATCCCGGCACTCGTTCACGCTCAGAGTATGACCGACTTCGGAAGGGCTGGAGAGAGTCATAGTTGTCTCCAACCATGACAAGAAGACTTCGTGGAGAGCAGTCGAAATCCCAAGACCATCCGCCCCCACGAGCTGCTGAAGGTAGACGCCGGGGTCGAGCGTACCGGTGAACTCGTATGGATCGCGCAGTGAACCCACGGAGGCGTTTGCATGGGCTTGTGGGTATGTGTTGCGCAGGAGATGTCGCAGCGTGTCTTGCGAAAGCTGTGCCAGCAGACAGATTGCCTCGGTTTCGACACTGACTCGTTCGCGCTGCAGCAGGCGGGAGGTGAGTGGACTGGGTGCCGTTTCCGCTTCGATCTTGAAGAGTTCCCGAAGCAGTGGTCCGTAACGGCCGTCGCTGAACGCCGCAAGCAGCCTTTCTTGCGTGGGCATGATTTGTGCGGGCTGGATGGGTGTTGCCGCCATGGCTGGGTTGGTGCCTGGCGAGGCGGGTGGAAGTCGGAAGGTGGGTGGGTCGATGGGTGGATTGGTGTTTTGATAGAGGTGGAAGGGCTGGTGTAAGCCTGCTCGATGTGAAAGGGCTGGTATGAGCCTGCTGGGTGCGGAGGAGCGGAGAAGCGTTTGCCGGAGTACGAACGAAGGCGCGCGCCCGGGTGTTGAAGCACGGGAAGAACCTGTTGAGCTGGGTGAGATGGTGAGAAGCGCGTGAGTGCGGCCCGAGCGTCAGGTAGCAGGAAGAGCACGGGGCGAGGAGGAGATGTGGAAAGTGAAAGTAATGGGAAAGCAATTTTGATACGTTACATTCACCTCCGACGAGCTTGGACCTTGACATGCAGGAAACAGCAGTTATTGTGGTGAATGAAGGTTGGGGGGCGGCAAGAGATTCCCTGCGTGCTCCCAATCATGCCATTGTCTCTTGTCCCCTGCATGTTCCATCTTGCTGCAGCATCAGTCCTCACTACTGCTCATCGTGTCATGCACGCTGCTTGCCATGCTAAATGACTTTCTTCGGGCCATCTCCATCTCTATCTCTTTGCGCTGGCTGAATGGAAGACTCGGCGTGTTGGATTTGGTGCTTGCGCAGCGCGAGAATCGAGCCCGTTGATGGGTCCCAGAGGCCTCTGAAAATTGTCAGTGTTTGCCGGGTTCCTGTCTATGCAGTAGCGGGGCTGGAGTTTGCGGATGTGCATCTGTCGACAGCGTGTAGCAGCAGCATTGCCGGGGATTTCTAATCGTGAGTAGGAGTTGGGAGAGATGATGTACGCTGATGCCGAGCAAGGGAGTGAAGTGGAATTGGAAGCTTGATTGCCGACGGAGGCGCTTATGTAAGGCTGTGGCTGTCAATGTCGACGGGGACTGAATGTTCATGTTTGCACAGCACTCCTCCCCCGCGATTCCAGTCGTTTTCTGCATGCTCGGAGGCCGTAGGGCCAATGCTGATGTACTCGACGCAGTGCAGCCCCAAAACTCGATTTCGGCAATCTGCACTCGTATTTGCCCCATCCACTCCATCCCATCTGGCATACATTCGTGACCTTTGGCCCGTTCCAGCTTTTCCGGGTGCCGCTGGAAGCTTGCGGTCCCACGCCGATGACTTCTCCCCCGACCGAACCCTTCGTGGACCTCGCCCTCATGTTCTCGGATATACGTTGGAATTGACTGGAACCTCACCCAAGTCTCACCTCGCGCGCTGTCAGAGACTGGTGCAAACTGCAGAGTGCTGGGCTGCGGAAGAGCTCTCTGCTGCACGCGCCACCATACTCCGGTCGGAGCTTCACCCGGGACTTCAAGTGTTACTGTTCCACACTCAATCAATATCACGATCTCCAACGTATGCACAGCGATGAGGACGATGATTGAAACTCCGCGCGGTCTCAAGAGATCTTATCTGGGAACTATGCAGCAGCATGGTCCATGTATTCCAACTTGCTCTCAGCTTCCTCCACCCTCTCCAGAGCTTCGTGGAATGGCAGGACTGTTGGCCAGATGTTGTGGCTATGCTTCTCCTGTCTGACCGGCTCCTCCAACTTGATTCATCCTCTGCCGAACTTCCACCGTTGTGCTCCAGGATGCGCTTTGCGGCCTCTTCCATATCAGCCGAGTGCGCTTCGCTCTCTACGCCATGCACTAAGCACCGACAAGATCTCCAGTCAGCACTGCCCCGTACCATTTGTAAGGCTAACTAGCATTCGCCTTATCGACGCATTTATCTAACTAGCCTTGACGCCCCGACGGAAAACTGCTGCCGACAAATTGACTGAGAATGAGAGCGCAGCCATTCTTGTCAATCGATGTGCCATCGCAGCCATTCTCGCCAACCAATTTGCCAGCGCACATGCCCAGAGCAGCCTGAACCGTGTTGATGCCACCGAATCGGAGATACGAAGCACAGAGCAGCGCTTCAACAGACTTCCCAATCTCCAGCTCCCCGGCTTCAACACTCTTTGGTCTTCCACTGCTGCGGCCTTACGCTGCGAAATGCTGTCGTCCATTCCTCATGATGCCACCCGCCCTCTTTGCTCTGCTCCAACGGTCCCTGCAAGCCACTCGTTCTCTCCGCCGCTACGCACGGCAACGACATCGTCCTTCTGTCGATCGTGTGCTTCTGATTTTGATAAGATGCAAACCATCGGGGCACGGTCGTGGCTTACGATTGGCTTTGGTCACACGCCTCTTCAAGGCTGAGACCTGCCACCGACCCTGCATGAAGTCTTGCCATTCTCGCACTGACTGTCTGATTTGCTTCTCCAACGCTGCACCATCTACCGTCCTCATGTTGGACCCAGCAGCGAAACGGGTGATGACGGCGAGAAGGCTGTCTGACGAGGACGGGCCGGGCATGGCGAAAAACTCTGTACCATCAGAAGAACGATTCATCCAGGCTCCAGCTGCCGATTCAGCATCCGCTCGCTCCCCATGCCACCTTTGCACCCTTCTCTTGTAGGCAACTTCACAGCCGCACAGGTTCCAGCATTCCATGTAAAGCTCCTGGCCAACCCACTGCGGCTGTTGCTCAGCTTCTTCGACGCTCCTTGCGAGCGCTCACATTCGCTGCGTGAAGCTTCCTCGAAGAGTTCATTTGGTCTCCAAGAATCCTGCGACTGCTCAATTATCACACTCCCCACCTCCGCCTTCGAGCACTGCTGCATGCTACCGGGCTTGCGGCGCTCGAATGTACCTCTCCTGAGCATATGCACATACGGGCGACCAGGCTGCGCATATCCTCGGGTCACGCTGTCTGCTCAATTGCCGCAAGCTGCACCGTCCAGCCTACAGCCAGTGTCGGCCCCGATCGCCTTCTCCACCAAACCAACGTTCGTCTGGATCGAAAGCAATCTCCCTCTCCGCATGTTTTGGCCTACGGACCTTCGTCTGCAATGCATGGTTGGAATCTGCCACTCTTGAGGGCAGCCCGGCGAGGAAAACTCCCACGCGTAAGTGGCGAACCAGCAGCTGAGATCACGTCCTTTGATGTACCAGCGCCACGCAGGATCGCTCCTCAAGCCCAAGCTCTTGCTCGTCCGCCGGGACGAATCACGCACGAGATGCGCACCCCCAAAGCCCGCATCTCCGCAGCCTTCTCAGGCACAGCGCCGCCCACCAATCTATCGCCGTCCAGGTCCCGCACACCAGGCTTCCACCCTCACGCTCGATCGTCCACAGCACAGCGTTCCCTGCGTCCTTTCATCTCGTGCCACCTCAGCTCGTCAGCTCGCGAAGCCTAACTGTATCTACATTGGAGTTTTTAAAAAACTCCATAGAAAATCTACTAAAACCTCCAAGTTTTTTTAAAAAGTAAAATATAAATGGAGTTTTTAAAAATATTAGTTTATAAAGATAGGATTTATAAAGTAAAGAGATTAAAAGAATAGATTTTATAAAAACTCCTTTAGTATTATAAGAATTTAGATCTATTTATTTATTTTAGTTTAAAGAAATCTAATAGACTTAAAAAGTTAGAAGCTAGTTAAAGTACATTCGAAAACCCTTTTAGCTTAAACTTTAAATAAATTTAACTATAATAGTTTCTTTTAATATTATTTTAGTTTTATTTAATTAATAAAAGAAAACAGAAAGAAAAGAAGAATAAGTACTTATTTAAAAGATTAGGATAAGAAAAGTTAAAAAAAAACTTTAATAAAACTAAAATAGTTATTTTAAGTAATTAAAGTGTTTTAAGTTTATATTAGAGTTTAACTAAGAGAAAAAGAATATATAAGAAAGCTCTTTTTATTTTATCTTTGTCTTTTCTTTTATATCTACTTTAAACTACTTTAATTATAACTAACTATTTAAAAATGGATTTAATTACTTTAAATCAATTACTTATAAATAATAAAGATTATATTAAAGGAGATTCTTATAATAATTCTACTATTATAGAAAGTACTTATACTAATAATATAGAGAATACTATTCTAAATTATAATATAGAAATTAAAGTTTTATTTTGTACTATTTGTAAAACTAATCTAGATAGAAATAACTATTTAAAACATTTAAAAGATAAACATTTTACTATTTATAAAAGTTATAAAGAATCTTCTAAATTAGAAGTACTTAAAACTAATATAGAAGAACTAGAATTTAATGACTTAGCTAAATTAGAAGATATTTTAAAGCCTAATCTATTTTACTTTAAAGAGTTAGATTTAAATTTAAAAGGATATAAATGTATAGAATGTAATTATATTAATATTAATTATAAAGAAGTTAGAATTCACTTTAATACTAATCACTTTAATAGTAATAAAAGTAGTAAATCTAAAGTAAACTATATTATAAATCAGGTTCCTTTACAATATATTAAAGGTAATAATAAAAATACTAAACTATACTTTATACCTAAAATACCTAATATAAGTAAAAAGAATACTAGTACTAACTTATATATTAACTCTAATAGTTCTAATTCTAGTATAGAATCTATTACTTCTAAAAAGTCTAATAGTTCTAAAGAACTAGATTTAAAAGAAGATATTATAAAAGATTATCTTAAAGAGAATTTAGAAGAGAATAAACTAAATAATAATATAAATATTAATAATAATAGACTTTTAAACTCTTATATTAAGAAATCTAATATTTATATCTTTTTAAAAGATAAAGATAGAGAGTCTTTAGTAAATCTAGTATATAATATTAAAGAAGAAGATAAAGATCTAAGTGTTTTTAATAGAATAGACTATAATAAATTAGAAGATATTATTATAGATTGTTTACTTTATATACATTCTAAAATCACTAATATAAGCTTAGGATTAAGACAAAAGCTAAATCAAAATAATAGTAGTAATACTAGAGTATTTAAAGACTTTATACCTTTAGAGAATAAGTCTACTACTAAGACTTACTTTACTTATTATGCTAAACTACTTAGCTTTATTATTAAAGTACGTTATATTAAAGGGAAATATAAGAATACAATAGGTAAAGAAAGAACTTACTTTGATTTAGTAAAGAACTTTACTATTAACTTAGAAGCTAAAGAAGCTTTAAAGAATATTATTCCGTTTAACTTAGATTTAATAGATTTAGAAGATAAAGAACTAACTAAAGAGAAAGAAGAGTTTTATACTTATATTATAGAGTTTTACATTAGTTTACTTAAAGATAATACTACTTTAACTTTAGATAATAATACTAGTTTAAATAATATAGTTCTAAGCTACTTCTTTATAACTAATCTAGATATTAATACTAAAGAGATTAAAAATATAGATCTAATAGGAAAGCTTACTAGTTATATTCTTTATAATAGTAAACTACTTACTATAGAATATTTCTACTTTAAAGAGTTAAATAATATAAAGTATACTTATAATGATTTTAATGATTTTCTTTCTACTTATTTAACTAATAGTTCTAATAATTACTTTGAATTCATTAGTATTCTAAGGCCTTATCTCTTAGCTTTAAATAAAGAAAGAGAATCTACTAATTATATTATAAAAGAAACTAGTTTAAATATTATAGAATATAATACTATAGAGTATTCTATTACTAAGATTAAAGAGCTCTTTAAGAATGTTTATATTAATTTAGAAGATATTTTACTAAAGAAGCTTTTAAAGATAACTTCTATAGATTCTTTAGATATAGACTTTAATACTATAAATGATAATACCTTTATAAGTAATATAGATTATTATATAATAGATACTTTAGAATTAAAATATCTTAAAACTAATAGGCCTTACTTTTTAACTCAATTATTAACTAAAGGAACCTATTATAATAAAACACTATTAAAAGATATAAAGAAAGATACTAAGACTTTAAGATTTAAAGATACTAATATAGAAATATTTAATACTAATATTAATAGGTTTTTAGAATACTTAACTCTCGCTATTTATTTATATAGCGGAGGTCCTTTAAGAGGAACCGAATTAACTACTATACTTTATAAGAATATAGAAACTAAAACTAGAAGTCTAATATATAATAAAGAAGATAATACCTTTATAATTTCTACTAATTATAGTAAGACTAATAATATTACTAGGAAGAATAGAACAAATATACGCTATTTACCGCCTTATTTAAGTAAACTATTAATTATATACTTAGTATTAATAATACCTTTTAAAGATTACTTATATAAAAACTACTATAACTTTAAAGACTATTCTAGTCCTTATCTATTAACTAAAGATAATAAAGTAATAGAAAGTAATACTATTAGTAGGATCTTAAAGAGAGAATCTAGTTTATTATTTAAAGAAGGTTTAACTATTAAATCTTATAGAAAGATTATTAATTATATAATTAAAACTAAATTTAATAATTATGATTATAGTAGTAATAGTAGTAATAATAATAGCGAAGAAGAAGATTTAATCGAAGATAGACAAGCTAATAGATCTACTAGAACTAGTTTAAATCATTACCTTAATATTGAAAATCCTTTTAATACTTTAAAAAGTAAAGATTTAACTAATAAAGTTAAAGAATTTAGTATAAAATATTGGTCTTTCTTTAATCTATTAGATAAACGCGATTATAAAGAGAATAGTACTTTAGAATTAAGTGTAAATAAACTAGAATCTACTACTAAGACTAAGGAATTAAGTATAAGTAGTAGTATATCTTTAGATTTATTAGAGTTAAACATTAAAGAGTTATATAAAGATTCTAAAGTAACTTTTAAGAATAATGAACAAAAAGAAGCATTAATAGCTTTAACTAATAATACTACTTATTTAACTTTTATTAATAAAACTAGTAGCGGAAAAAGCCTATTATATTTATTATTAGCTTATACCTTTAAAGAGAAGATATATATTATTATAAGTCCTAGAATTACTTTAACTAAAGATTTATATAAAAAAGCAAAAGATCTTAATTTAAATCCTAGTACTTTAGAAGATTTTAGTAGTAAAAATAGTAATCTAATATTTATAGATATAGAAGATCTTAATAGTAAAGAACTTACTAATCTAATTAA